GTCCAGTTTGTCGGTTATCAGTACTCAAGTAGTATGTAATTTCAAAGAGATAGATCCTTGCTAGCAAATTTCTCTCAAGTCGTGACCCGAAAGCCCCCACGTCCAGTTTTGCGCTGTTAGCTAGTACATAGTAAGGTATAGTAGGCATGCCGAGATTTGGCTCAGGCTCTTCGGTCTTCGGGATGCCAAAATGGCTCCCAGTCACGGACACGATATACCTCGTCCGTGACATGTTCGGCCGAGTGGGAGCGTTGTTAACTCGACATACGTAGTAGTGGAATGTGACGAGCCGACGACGACGGGTGAGCGATTCGTCGCAACGGGAAGTCCCGCATCTCTCGACGACTTACGCTATGACGGAGGGACACGGCAGTTTAGTGTAGTAATGCCCATCTCGATGCTGTACATGTATGCTGTGCAGTGTGGTACTAGTTAGTGTGCGATGCATACACGAACTGCTGCTAACATAATACGTACTTCGGAGTACGGAGTACGTGTGGACTTGGTATCCCTACCCTACTTAAATGGGATGGGAAAAAAACGGTAATGTGAAGATAAGTCCACCGCACGCCCGGGCTGCCGCATGATGACCCGGTTTCTTACTGACATGCCAGGTACGCGTAGGTATTACCAAAATGATGCCCAGATATGGAGCAGAGAGTGAAGCAGACAGTCAGCTGACGGTTTTCTTTAATTACCTAACCTAGTGTGGTGTGGATAAGCAGCGGCAAGGTCGGTGATAAACATGCCCAGCGCCCAACACCCAGGATCAGCCAGGACCAAGCACACACGGCATTCCCAGCGTGCTAGCCGAGCAGAACCGAATTGGGATGACGAGATGCTGGCAAGCCTCGAGGGCACAGAGAAAATGGAGCGGGGGATCTGCCATCAACCATCCAGCTGGGAACGACGCAGCGCTAGTCATGGGCCGACAGAACCAGGGCCCCATTTCTCTGTGTGAGTACAGAGTACTTGCTGGGATGCCGCATACGGGAGGCTGGCTCCGGTCGAGGCGCCCCGTTGTTCGATAGGATGAGGCCTCTTCGAGCCCTGCTCGCGGACAAGCCTTCTTCACCCGACTAGCTACATTGGTCGAGATACAGTAGGTAGTATCTACTGCCATGTCTATTGGCGAGCCAATCTCGAGAGAATTAATACTGTAGAAAAGTCTCACTGAGATATGACAGCTCACATTTCACTGGCCGGCCGCTCCTCGCCATTGCGTAGGCAAGTAGCTTTCTGGATGTGTTCGCGTTTGTCGGCAGGTCTCTTGCCGCCGTCTCGCCCCTCGCCTCTGAGCACGTCTGCTACGTCTCTACACCTCTTCTGACCTCTACACCTCAACTCACTAGGCAGTTAGCGCGGCAACCCTCGAGCAAGGGAACAAGGGGCAAATTAGTCTCTGAAAGTGACATGCTACTCTACTGTAAGTAGGTAAGTATGTAGGAACATGCATGATGTAGGTAGGTATGTCAAGACATTTACCTCATCCTACGCTACTGTATGTACTTCTCAACCACCGATATACCACGGTCTGGCCACCATACCTACCTACTACTAAGTACTTACTATGTAGTACCTATAAGCGCACCAACGGGGACGTCGGCGACCTGGCGTCGGTAGTGTACACCACCTACCGTGGTAGAGGCCGGCCAATTCATGGCTTGCATACCGAGAAAGTGTAAATGTTGAACATGGCATCTTGGTCCAGAAACAGCAGCCTGCGTGTGAGAGGATGGCAAAGTTGACAGGCCATGCCATGCCATGCTGGGTATGCCATGTTCGCTGCCTCGCTACAGACACCAATTTATACAGGGCTGACCAAGCCTTTAGTGCACAAGCGTGGGATCAGAGGTTGGCCTACATTTACATACCTACTTATGTATACTAGATGAGATGAGAGGGAGACTTTCAATCCCACTAATTACATTCCTAGTAAGTCGATGGACACTACTCAACTAGTCCGTCCGTCTACCGCGACTCGGACCGTTGTAACGGCTGTCTGGACTCCCGTTGGGCGCTTTTCCTCTTTCTGTGCCCAAGACTCACTTAGATGTACGGGATATTCGACGAGAAGAGGGGGAAAGGATCTGCTGTGTCGTAGCTAATGTAGGTACATCTGTGTGTGCGGCAACACTACTGTACATACATACATAGATAGTAATGGTAGACTTAGATGTCCTCGAACGAATACCAGAGCACACTAAAAGCAAATGGATCCAGGATGAAAGATTTGATACTGCGTACTGACTGATTTGAATAGTCGACGACTAGCCTGCCCAGTCCGAGCAGGAGTCTGGGCTAGACCAGTTCAAGTTGAGTCTAGCCTGTGATGGGCAAGGAAGACGACGCATATAGAATGCATTATACTGCAAGGGAGCTAGCATTAGCACCCGCAACGAGACTAAAACCGAATCCCACTATCTTACCTGGACGACTGACACACATTGTCACGGTTGGCTGGCCTGGCTGGCTGGTGTTTAACTCAACAGTGTGTGTGTGTGTGTGACTGGGGAGGCCGTCAAAGACAGACAGTAAGTAGTGTACACCACGACGGCGGCAGTGCAGATACTTCCAGTACCCCAGACTGGATTGCATAACCATCTCCTTCAGCTTGGTGCTCTGATCCAGCACTGATCAACCGTGGGACAAGTAAGAAAGGTAGACATCACTCCGCTCAAGGTCCTCAGCAACAACCAAGCCGCGCAAGCTCGAAGACGCTACGGCAAATAGAAACGCGCACATACTCGCGCACACTCTCACTCACACATGCCTTTTTTTGTGACGAGTGACAGTGTATTGATGTTGGGGAGGGTCTTATTTATGCAAGGTAAGACAAGCCAAGACCGACGACACCTGCGCATTTTCATTATGAGATCTCGCCTGCTGTTGTCGAGTCCCAGCAGATCTAGATCCCCGTCAGGTGGGAGAGACTGTGCGATTAATGCTTGCTAATGCATACATAGGCTGAGTGATACCAAACCCGGCCTCTGCATGGGAAACGTACATAACCCCCGTTTCCGTCACAGCACTGTCCGTCACCTACACAAGCAACACCAAATGTCTGGTTCCCGTGGTCAGTCAGGCCTTCGAGCCAGAGAACTGTAGGTCTGGTAGGTCTGGTAGAGCCCGAAGAATGAAAGAACATTTGCCTCTTGCGAATTACGTACATGATCGAGCTCACACTGAGCCACGTTTTCCGGCTTATTCGTTGGCGCTGCTCGATGAACACGGTGCTTGGACGACAGCCGTGCTGTGCTGCTTGCTGCTGTTCCGTAAGCACATACTTACACAGAAGAAGCTCAGTTTCACGATAATCACGGCCTCCACGCATATACCTACTGTTGAGGGACGAGTTTGGCATCCATTTCTTGCTGTCTCTCTACGTCATACTGTATCCGCCGCGCTACCGTTTCCCAGCGGACAGTGTTTTCAACAGTACAGTATCCATGACTAACTTGGGTTATACTACCTATGTATTATATGTCATCGACTCAGACACTCAACAATAGTGTACTTTCGTTACTATGTACGACGACTGGGCACGTGCGAAAGGATGGCATACTGTATACACTACCTACCCCATATATCATCGCATATAGCGCGTACGAAGTGAATACTAGTTTCAAAACGACGCCTAGTAGCTGAAAATGCTGCATAGCTGCTCGGTTCACGATGATGGCATAACGTATACATACTGTATGATAACACGCTCTACCTACCTACACCTCGGCCTCTCGGCGCTGCATACTGTGTGTTGAGTGCGTGTGTCTGTCTGTCTGTCGCAAGTTGCTCGGCTTGGAGCTTTCAAACAGGCTGCGAGCGCACGCGCAAGGACCGAAGGGAGTCGACGTAGCGGGATTCTCGCAGGGGAGCCCCTGTCTTCCCGAGAAGCTGGACTATCGTCGCCATCCTTGCTTAACCCTCCTTCGTTGACCCGGCTCGTCACTACTTTCGTCTGTGTGTACTGCGGTACTGCACCCATGTCGCCCATAGTCCATGTCTGTCCATGTAGTAGATACTACGTTCTTGGGAGAGGCTCTTAGATAATTCATCGGCCGCTACAGCTGGAAGACCCCCCTGGAAACTACCGGTACCTCTAGTCGTCCTGGCTAGTGCAGTAGGCGTTTCTTAGCGTAGGGGACGAGGAGCTAAGACCCTTGTCTCTCTTGTCTGGTGGATTACACACCACGTTCAAAAATGATGAATTGACCTCTCAACTCGAGAGATGGGCCACTCGGGACACCAGAGACCACAGCGTTTGCACGAAATGCTCGATACGGTGGAAGTGGGAAAAGTCGAGGGGGATGTGCTCTTCTCCACATGTTGCCGTATCATTCGAGGACGCGAGTGGTCGACAGGCTCACCGGGCCCTCCCTGTTCGCCGTTCATCTGTGTCGTTTACTTGTTCGCTCCCGAACAGGTAGCAGCTGGGTAGCAGCCCGGGGGCAAAGAGGCAGCGTCATATCCAGCGTTCTCTCCCATTCGTTTGCGCGCTCGAGTGAACGCTGCTACGGATTGGGCGACGCCCGCTCGCCCATAGAAGCAGACCTGCAACCCGCCACGCCTTGTCTCGAAGTGTTAGACCTGCACAGGTTCTGGTCCCCCTCTCAGACCCTCTGTCTTGCCTGGGCGAGTCAAATGTCTCGCCGACCCGACTTGTCACCTTGACGCCCTGAAGGCGAACCTCCCTGCCCTCTAGGGTTCCCAGAATCCCAGATCGCTCACAGCTTCGCTTCCTGGCCACCAGCTGTGCATGTAAGTATAGCCCCATTCAGCAACTTGCCAGGTCTAGGACCGGGGGGTGATATGGGGGAGGGGGGTGGTCTTGGAAAGGAGCAAGCCTCATCAGACTAGTCCAGCTCTTTTATTTCCGTACCCACATGCATGCCTACAGTAGTGTAGAGATGATAGATCCAAAGATCTCTTGTTGAGGGGTGATTCCAGTCGATTGGCTCCGAGATCGACCCCGGTTGCACATCATAGTGCCCGTTTCGAAGTGACTAGGTAATATATACATTCAACTCTTGTCCCAGATCGGGAGGTTCTGTCTCACCTTCCAAGAGACCTCGACTATAATAAACCTCATGGTCGGCACGGGCTGGTTTACACCTCACGACCTCCACCTCACATTCATCAACCTTTTCTAGCGTTGGGCGGTATTTTGTTTTTACACCAGTTAGTCGCGACATCTGTCTACTTCCATCAACCATAGCGCCAACGCTCCTAGCGCAACATCAGTCTACTCATCTTGTCACGTCCGAGAGAGTAGTTGTCTATCTCATCCATCATAGTGCGCCAGTAATTATACAACTAATAATACAACAACATGGCCCGTCGGCCGGAGTCTGATAACTGGCAACGATGGCCTACACATCAGCAATGGCCTGCTCTATCACCTGCTTTTGTCATGGAACAGTCTTACGCCATCACACCCTTGATACCAATGCCAACACATCAATACCCTGTTCACCATGGGTTTGTCTATGATACATATGGTGCACCCGAGACTACGAATTCAGTTGTACCTTCGGGAAAGCAGTACCTTAATGAACGCCCAATGCTAGACATGAATCCTGTGACAATTCATAGCTTGCCTCAGCCTATTCCGGATACCAACCACTTACCTATCAAACAACACAGCCTCAGTCCTATTATCAAAAGCGAGTCGCAGCCCCCAGAGAATTTGAAGGCCCCTGAAGTAATGCCTTCAAGCACGACAGATGGCCAAGCTTCCAATGTCGTGTTCGCCACGGGTATCGATCGACTCATGAAAGTTATCCAGCAGAAGAACGACGGATCTGAAGGGGATGCGCCGGCCACGCAAACTAAGCCTAAGACCCGTGTAGGTACTAGCAGTACAGATGGGTCTGCTAGTCGGAAGAAACCAAAGGCGGACACAGGCAACGCGGAACAGAAGGACAAACCTCATGCCTGCCACAGAAAGAAATGCCACAAGAGGTTCTCGCAAATTACTCACCTCCATATACATGATCGAGCGCACACCGGGGAACGACCTCACGTAAGAATAACGTCCATACAGATATAGGGGGAAGGCTAATGACAGCGCGTAGAAATGTACTTTTGCTGGTTGTGACAAGCGGTTCACGCAGAAAGGAAACCTACGGGTATGTAGCGAAATCTCGGCTTGTCGAGCCAGATGCTTACCATGTATGATCAGACACATGAGCGCCGTCACTTGGGTGAAAGGCCTTTCAAATGCCACTTCGCGGGATGTACCAGGGCTTTCCCCCAGAAAGGCAACCTTGCGGCTCATCTTGAGACACACTACAAGCGCAACAATTTCCGTTGCATCTTGAAATCCTGCGGCAAATCATTTAGCTCGCGGGGCAACCTTAAGGTCAGTCAGTCTTCATGTCAAATCCCGACTCGAAAAGGTGATTAACATGTGCTGTATTACAGACACACCAGAACAACTACCACAAAGAAGAGCTCCGGGAGCTGGAGCTCAAGTTTGCCAACATAAGGTCCGTTGCCGACATGACCGAAGCTGACAAGGAACTTTGGGACTACTTCCTCAATGTCCACAAGAACAGCAATAAGGGGATCAAGGGGCGAGGCAAAGAGTGCAGGGTCGAGCTTCTCCCTCACGCCGGTAGCCTGCCGAACCAATATCCGCTCCAGTCACCTGTCGAGCTCCAACATGCTCCATACCCCATGTCACACGGGCTCCCTAACTCCATGAACTTTGGTCACTTCGGCATGCAACGGAACAACCTGGGGCAGGACTTTCTGGTCGCCCGGGGCGGGCATGGATACGACGTGTACGAGATAGACCAAGCGAGCATCTCCAGCGGCACCATAACACCAGCTAGCTCCCCTGGTGGCATATACGACGACCATCACCGTGGTCTCCCGTTTCACGAGCGGATATACTAACTGGGACGCGCCCTTCTTTCGAAACGCGGGACGATAAGATGACATACATATTACCACGTGGTAATTACTTTTTTACGACGGCAGCAAGAATCGGCGACAAAACAGGACAAAGCCCGCCACACATACGAGCACATAACACTCATATAAAACCAACACCAGTGGAAGTGGGCGGGCCATTATCAACGTAAGCTGGGCGGCATATTTCGAATTCTGAGATACCAAACATTGTTAAGACTGGACGAGGACCTTTGACTTTTTCTCACTCTGGATTTCTCGCTTGCTATTTTCTGCTTGGTTCCGTTCTGATTTCTACGTTATCGCTTCCTCTATTTTCTCGTTTTTTCTCTCGGTACCGCATCTATCCATCCCAGCATGCATGCTGTGGCACGCTGGGTGGCTTTTACCGACGGGGTCAAAGAGGGGAGGCCACAGAATGCCGGCATAGCGGGAGGGGAAAGGGCAGGAAGCAGCTGTCCGTGATGTTTTTTTATTTTTATTTTATTATCTAGTCTTTTGAATTGTTTTTTGGGTGCAAGGCTTTTCTGCTATTTATTTCATCAATTTCTTTTTAATCCAACGCGGCGTTGCGAACCGGCGAGGTTATGAGACCTCCTCTTGTCTTGAGATCTGGGATTCGGCGGGGAATTATGTATCGAGGTTTTGTGTGGCTTATTTGTCTGTCTTTTCCGCGCCTTCGAAAGCTCCTGTTGCAACCAAATTTACTGTACACGTGCGGACGCTTTTCATCGGAAACATTGGGCGGGGAGAAGCATTTTGGGTCAAGGCTGTCTGAATAAATTCAAACCCCGCGAACACGAACACACACACACATACGCACACGCGCACACACATACATGGTCGGATCTCTGTTCTTTTGCTCTCGCATCTGTTGGCTCTTTGCGGTGGGGGTCTGTGTTTCTCTATCTAGCTTGTCTGTTTGTCTGGCTCGTGTTTGATTCTGTATGTATTTCGAAAATGGGGGTCTGGCTATCTGTTTTTCCATTGGTTTGGGTTTTCCACCTCGTTCCGAGTTGCATGGCGGCTGCATGGCGGATGGGCTGGGGGGGTGAGAAGAAGGGGTGGTCCCGGGGCGTGCAGTTGGAATAGTAATTCCAGGAGCTCAATTTCACATGGGCAAGATGAGAACGGAGTATTGGACGGTACCGGGGTGTTTTCAATAGCTAGTAGCAGTAGGCTCTCCTACAGAGCGAGGATTAACAAGGTGTGTTTGGTTCACAAGCACTCTCTAGTCAAACTCGTATTCAGTATTCAGTATTCCGTCTTGTTTCTTGATTTTTTTTGGCAATTTTTACCTTATCCTCGAGTTTCACCAAGGAAGAACACATACATAGTCATGAGTCGAATTACATGCATACATCGTATCTACACGGAAAATAAATCAAGGCGATATAAACAATGTGGCCAGTTCACACATACATACATGCCTATACACACATACACACACACACGCATGCATGACATGACGATAGTTATTTACGTTGCGGTTGGTGGCTGCGGCGTCATCTCAAAAGTGCCCTGCACCTCATTTCACCTGGGCTAACAATGCCCTATCAAACAGAGTCCCCTTCGGGAGCATCCGTAATCGCGGGAGTCACCGCCCCTAGCGACTCGACGATACTCGATCTGGCGAAAAGGCACGCTATCTATAGTACCTAGGAGGGAGGTACACAAAGATATCCCCACGGAACACATCCCGTGTACTTACTCGTCAAGAAAGACACGGGGAGAAGAGGACGAATCGGTCGCGCACAGCAGTGTGTCCAAGCAAACGCAGCCTGTTCAATGTCCGGTCGCTTTGCCTCGTCATCAGCTCTACCTACCTAAGTAAGTACACTCACTCCTTACCAAGTACTTAATATGCGACTACATCGCCAAGGTCTGAACAGCGCATACCCAAAGGAGGCAGGGGAGAGGGGGGAGGGGTGGTGAGACCTCTTAAGACAGATCCCCAGCGGGAACAGAGTAGCAATGCATGGGTTCATGTCTTTCTTCCTTTCTTACTCCTCTCCTCTCTGGACATGGTCTTACTTAGGTAGGTAGGTAAGTAGGTGCGGTAGGATAGGTAGGATAAACATAACTGTTATGTACAGAGTTAGCTAGTTAATAATTTCTTTTGTTTCCTATCCTGTCGGTCTGTTTCCGCTTTCTACTCTTTACAGCCTCACTTTCTGTTACCTGCAAGTTGCCCATTTGGATTGAGATGCGGGCAGATCGGGGCGCTAATGACAAAGATTACGATCGATGGAACGAGAGACCCAAGCTGAACGCGTCGAACCAGAATTGAGAAAATCCTGCCCATCCCCCGCCCCTGTCTACATCCACACACACCTCACCTATATACTTGGACGGTACACGTCCCTATCTCTTTGGCTGCGGAAGTACTTGCAGCCATATAGTAGTATGCAATACATTAATACTGTTAAGGCGTCACAATCTCAAATGCCTGCAACCCTATCAAATAGATGGATTCCTCGGAGATATACATGCATGCAGGTGGGGAGGGAGATATTTGACATGAAGAAAACCGATCCATCGATAGCCGGATTGTGTTGGGTCTCAGGCGCATACTGTAAATGCCATCCACGGGCTGATCTTTGGGAACGGCCATCATCATTGGCAGCTCCCACCTCTCGATGCCACGACCATATTTCGGATAGGCCACCTACTGTATGTAGCGTAGCTAGTATATGTATGACAGAGAGGTGTATGTGCGGACGCATGTAGGGGGTAGCGTCAGGTAGTAGCCGCAAATCTAGCTTCTCACCGCATAGTGCCCTCCGATTAACCAACCCCGTTTCACATGCAGAGTCGCGGGGTAGTTTGCCCTGTGCAACTCGAGAGAGGTGTGGTTATGCGACACGGCCAAAGCCAGGTCAGCTCTCTCGCATTACTAAGACAGCAGCGCTGCCGCCGGTACCTTTGAGTATACCTGGATTACCCGCGGAGGCGATCCCCCTTCCAAGGCCCAAAACCGGTTATTCAAGGGCCCCCCTCCCCGTTCGTAGTACTCACAGATAGGAGCGAGACGCACAACTAGGCTTAACGGCGGTGGTGGGAAGCCAAGACATGGCACAAGCATTGACGATGACATGGGTGCGGTGGCCATTGGTGTTGTCCGGTTGGGCTGGCTGGGCTGGCTGGGCTGGCTAACCTCCATGCAGCGTTGAGACAAATAGAATGTTGTCACCGTTCTGAATCTCATAGGCCTCCTCTCCCTCCAACTCCCAGTCGGCGTCGTTGATCAAGACCAGGATACCTGGTCGTCTGTATAGCCGCCAGTGTCAGTTTATTATCCTTTCACGTGTCTCCTACTACTGGGTATTCTCCTCGATCGGTGAAGCCAGCAACACCAGGCAAGTAAGCAAGCACAACTCAACCATGCAGACCAGACAGACATCTGAACCCCTGCCGCAGTTCGAAACTGAACGGCGACCTGTCTGTCTATCATGTAACTCTCCGAGGCAGGTGGGGCGGTGAGAGAAACACCGGGAGGAGACAACTCACAGATGATCGTCGAGGACGAACAGTTCTTTTCGTGTGTCCTTCATCGTGTTCTCGCACAGGTACTCTATGAGATAAGCGACAGTCAAGGGCTTGTTGTCCTTGTCGAGTGCGGGCACGGAGAGCGCATGCCGGCGCTGGTCTGAGAACAGCATCTCTAGCCCACCACTGGTGCATAGACATACATGTTTGGTTAGCGACGACAAGGCGAGGCGCACGGGGAGTGGGCAAGAACCATACGTGAACTCGACTATTACTGATATAGTGGGAATATCGGCATCTTTGGATGTGCGATCCGCTACTGCGGTTTCTATTGCCGTCGTCATTACCGCCGTCACAACCTTTCTTTGGTGAATGACTATAAATCAAGCACTAGGCAGAATCACAGACGCTGCTAATATCAGCCTCTTGGAGAACGGGGAAATCTGAGATGTTTGTGAGTGTTAGGAAGATTATGCCTTTCTTCATTGTAGTATATTCAAAGGCTTACCTAGATACTACTTTAATGCAATAGATACGAAACTATCAAGTAATAAAGGTTTATGCTTATATGTGGTATAGTGCAAAAGCTCAACCACAGCATCCATCTCCATCTCGATGATCTCATCTCGTCATAGCTCACAGAAAGGTCCATACAGAGCGGCGGCGACCTCGGCAGCTTCGAAAATACATTAGCTTGCCTTAGCCTCTCTTAGCTTGGCTGCTTGTCTCATTAACCGTCCAAGCGCCTCAACATTCGCCAGTCAGTCAGTATGTGTGCAGACACAGAATAATGTAATACCTAATCCATTCTCTGTTTGTTGAGGAAGCTCGTCTCTATGACACGCCACGATGCGGGCCTCCCTCCCGCCTTCGTGGAAAGCATTGCCGGCCTGACCGCCGGCTCAGTCTCCACCCTCGTGGTCCATCCCTTGGACATCGTCAAGACTCGCATGCAAAGTACGTCGGGCATATTCGCCCAGCCTCGACATCTATGGCTACCGTCGCTCGTTCGCTGACGGCTCATTAGTCCACCGCAGCAATGCTGCCACTTCTCAGGCCCTGACCACTATCTCGGTCCTGCGTGGTTTGACAAGGACGCCACACCCAGTCGCCGCCCTCTACCGCGGTCTGACGCCAAACCTGCTCGGCAACGCCTCGAGTTGGGCCTCGTTCTTCTTCTTCAAGGCCCGTGCCGAGAGCGCCATCTTGGCTGTCAAGGGTCGATCGCGCGCCGACCATGATGCGGTCGCCCTCACGCCCCAGGATTATTTCGTCGCCTCCGGCGTCGCGGGCATGTGCACCCAGGTGCTCACCAACCCCATCTGGGTCCTGAAGACGCGGATGCTGTCTTCCGATCGTGGCGCGGTTGGCGCATACCCGAGTATGTGGGCGGGTGCCGCGCAGCTCCTGCGGACTGAAGGGTGGAGGGGGTTCTACCGTGGTCTGGGAATCAGCCTCTTCGGCGTCTCCCACGGAGCCGTCCAGTTCGCCGTCTACGACCCCCTGAAGCAGATGTACTTCAGGAGACGGGAGAGGCTTGCCGGAGCGACTCTTCGCTCCGATGATCGCGAAAAGTACTCGATGACCAACGAGGCCACGCTGGTCATCTCGAGCGTGTCTAAGCTGGTAGCTGGCGCGGTCACATACCCGTACCAGGTCATCCGGAGCCGGCTCCAGAACTACGATGCTGAGGAACGGTTCGGACGGGGTATTCGTGGTGTTGTGAAGAGGACTTGGACTGAGGAAGGATGGCGAGGCTTTTACCGTGGCATTATCCCTGGGGTGGTGAGAGTCATGCCCGCAACCTGGGTCACGTTTCTTGTGTATGAGAACACCAAGTTCTACCTCCCTAAATGGACGAATGATCCTAGCATACAAGCATAGACCAGTAGATCTCTATCTGTTATGTATTCCTTCCGTGTAGGCCAGTCTTAGAAATGTATTATGCCACGTTTTAATCAGGTTTCTCGTTCGACTCAATAATGGTGAAATTATTATATGAATGATATAGTATCTTAGCGGTGTTTCGTACATCTGTGTCCTATGATGATCTTCGTCAACTACAAATGCCATATCTCTCTCGATAATCGCATGATACATCCAGCAGGGTTATAACCACTACAACTGGTAGAGTGCATTCAATCTTAATACCCTACTGGACTTGAGGAAGTAATCCGCAGTCAGAATCTCGATTTCGTAGCTGACTTTGGCCTAGAAAATAGTTAATTCGCAAATCTATTATATCATAAAGAGCAAGCGGTGCGAAACGCCTTCTATAACCGAATTTAATGAGGTGACTGAATTCAAAGGCCTGATATTGCGAACTGATCGAGAGACATAACATGGCTTTAAGGGATCCTGTTAGCATATCGGCCTTGCTATATAAATAGTCCTGCGAACATCAACATTAGGAGCTCTACACTGTTACTATGGAGGCCAGAAATAGTCATAAATGGAGCTGAGAATTATATATTTTGAAGCAAGCCAAGGTCGTTCTGAGACGTACTGTATCTCAAGTTTCGTCATAAGATTAACCTGGCTAGATCATGAAGTTTTATGAGTTTCTGCTCAATTATGAATAGGCCTTGCGGTAAACTTTACCATGCTCTTTCCGCTTTTGATGTAATCCTAGAGCGCTATTGTATTCAAGGTTGTTAGCCCTGACGTCAAAAGACAGTCTTTGACTGTTAATCATAACACTCTACATACATGATTTCCTGTGCACCTCCCGCTCAAATCAGTTAAGCTTGTCTTCTAAGATAATTGACATACCTGGCGTGAAGAGCTGTCTTGTTCGCAGTTGACCACGATTCTGCGCTAGAAAATACCCATCAGGCCTCACGTGGTGCATGCCTACCTTTAGGGACTAAGTAATATCGCTGTAGATGTAACTCTTTGCCTTTCCACCGCAGCTGTTGATGCTTCTTCATTCGTCCGATCGCTTATGGGATACTACCAAAACCATAATGATGGTTAAGGAGTTAAACATGTTTCAAAGAGAATGTCGATGAGCAGGAATTAGCTTCAGCAATTCTCGTTGATTTTATTTAATCCTCATCATATATAATATTATATCAGCTTCGCTATCTGTCTGTTTTGGTCCGAGTTGTACAACTTCTACTCTATGACACAGCCTTGGTGAAGATAACTATCGCGACGCATAATTCTTCCACTACTCTATAAACTTCAGTGGCTAGCCAAAGTCCTAGAGACTGAAATACAACACATGTATAGTATCTAGGAGAAACAACAGCGTGCTGAAATTGAGCTCAAAATCTGCTTAAGTTTCTCTATATTTCTCATCTATGTGGTCGCATGCTGTTTTTATTGTCTAGGGACCGCTTTAGGGATAAGATCGAGACTATGGACCAGGTATACCGAAGTAAGACCAGATAGAGACATCATTGACCGACATGCATTGGGATCATTATCAATTTAGCAGACTCTCAGACTAGGGGTATTGTCTTCAGCCACACTTCTATGAAGGTTCTAGAGGTCTATAGTATCTAGCTGCTTGATGCTGAAAGGTATCCTATCATGGTATTCTAAGAAAGCAAGCAGCTTTCAACATCCTGGGCACCCGCTTAGGTCGGAGCTGGATCAAATACACAACATGCAAGGCGATTAGGCATGCTGTTTCAACCATAGCCCGTGCCTTCTGGGTGAATCCAAGCAGAGCTTTGACAAGAATATCACCCACCACTCATTGCCTTACCTCGCTGAAAATGAGATCCATGAAGTGATTTGGACCATACCACCACGAGCACACGTAGGGTTTAAGGATAAGCCCCCGGCTTCTAGGTAATATAAACTTTCGCTAGATTACTTGGGCGTTATTATCCTATGTATTAATATCTTGATATGGGGCTATTAGGTAGAGAACACTCGAAATTGGTGTATGACAGGTTCAACTTGTACAATCTGTGATCCCATGAGCTGGTTTGCCACGTGCTGTCTCTGCACTGAGGCACTGGAATACTAAGACGATGTATTGAAGTAGCGAGTGAATTTTCTATAGATTCATTATCAGCTTATTTCAAAGACTCAAAGGGCTTCCTAACGACTATTCGAGTATCACTCAGTCATTCTTATAAAAGGGGTAATGAGCTACGCCGGCGCGGTGTAAATGCCAAGGTAAGGAGGGCAAGCCTAGAATGAGACGAGCCAAAATAGTGCAATCCACATTGTTGGATTTTCATAATTGGAATTGCCAGGAATAATGATAGTTCATGTTGCCTTTCTAGAAACTTCATAGATACCGCATTGATCCTAACCAAATTATCTGCGAAGAGAAGTAGGTATGTAGGTATTGTCAAGTCGTAGTCACTAGGGCGGATAGGGCAGGACAGTACTAGGTAGCTAAGGTAACTAATTTAGCCCCATCGGCAGGCACTGCGGGGCGTCCCCTGCTCATCGCAAGCTCCCGCAACAATCACAAGCTTTCCTCCATCGTCATCCAAACAAACCTATGTACGACTACGTAGGTACTCAACAACGAAGCCTCAACAACCGCCGTGGCCCCCATATCACAGACCTCGTATCACAGGAACCAGTATATCTTACACCAATCACAACATTTCTCAAGCGTCACACAACAGAACAATACATACACCCGCGCGCGTCCTACCACCCAATAAACACCCTATTTCATCCCGCGGCAACAAACAAATAAAACAAAGGACAATGGCCGACCGCGCACCGCCCCCGAGCCTCCGCCCAGGCACATCCCGACTCACGCGCGCAGCGACGAGCGCAACAGGAGTCCGCCGAAACCTCTTCCAGAGCCGCCGTCCAACACCAGCCGAGATGTCGCGAGCAGGCGCCAACAGCAACAGCAACGGCGGTAACAGCAACGCCGCTAACAACCACAACAACAACAATAACAACAACCACCACCATAACCCACCGCCGTTGACGACATCTTCCTCGACGAATTCCGCCGAGACGCTCCGTCTGGACCTCGACGTCTTGTCCGAGACGTCGGAGATCGTGATCCGCGACCAGAACGGCGAGTTCGAGATGGAGGACCCTCCCACGCCGCCTCTTGACGACGCGGACGACGAGGGCGCGCTCGACGATGCGCAGGAGAATGAACGTATGTGAATCACCTACTTACCCCTTACCTACCTACCTATCTATCTCCCTACGTACCAAATCCAATCGATTTCATTTTGTAAGGAAGTTTTGGAGGAGACCATGTGCTTATATACTAAATGTGTTTATATTATATATAGGAGAGAGACAGAAACTAGCAGAGGCCGTTCGACATCATCAAATCAACCACACGCGCATGCCGGTGCAACATGAAGGTAGGGTAGCCGAGGCGGAGCATTATAATAAAAGTGTCATGTAAGGCTGACATGGAAAGCAGAGATCCTCGATACGCTCAAGGCAAGCATGAGAGCCAAAGTAGCCGCCTTGGCCGAGGACAACTGGATGTACGAGGCCGAAGAACCACCGCGCGTGCACTGAACAACAACATCGTGTCGGAAAGGATAGATACCGTCCGTCGTATTTTCTATTGCTGGCTTTGTCTATACTATATAGGCGACCCCTGCGCCGAAACTTGGATTTAGTCCAGACCCTCCGCCGCTGGCATCGAGGTCGATGTCGGAGCCTTGACGGCGGGCTTCTTCGCGCCCGCGCCTGCAGCAGCCCCGCCGCCACCCCCACCACCGAAGAAGCCGCTCATCATATCCATCAGAGGATTGGTCTGCCGGGGCTTCGTGATGCCGAAGTATATCTCGGAAATTATCTCCAGCGCCTCGTTCCACGAGTCGAGCTCTCTCAGATGGCTGGCGTACTTGGTCGTCAACTGCCTGTAGAGGTCTGGGTTACCCCTCTGGATGGCGAGTAACAGCAGGCCGAGGAAATTGAGGAGCGGTATGCTCGGGAACACACGTATATCGGCGTTGTTGCTGCTCACGACCTGGGCCCCGAGCTGAGGTTCTTTGTCGTCGCTGAGCGCACTAATGAAGACTTGGTAGGCCGTGTTGGCGGCTCGGACGTTGGCCGTTATCAGATAGGGCAGGACCGCTCGGCCGGCGTATTGAGCAGCCGTGTGTGCATCGTCCTCCTTGAACCACTCGTATTCCATGCGGGCCAGGACCTCGGCCGAATCCTTGGTACCCAACAATAGATGCTTCTCGGCTTCGTAAGCCTCGTGCTCCTCTGCGTATAAGGAGCCGGCAACGTGGTGTAGTTCAGGGTCGCCCGCGGGGTATTCGCCGAATCTCGAGGACCATCTGGGGGCGAGGACCTTTGTGTTAATATTTCCCGTAACTTTCTCTCTCTTCCTAGGCGGAGTACCGGTCTCTCGCGGCCGACCAAATAGAATAGAATAGAATTCGTGAAAAAAAACCTACGATATTATCTCCCCAATGTACTTCTTGCGCGTGGGCTCCTCGCTGCCGAACAATCGCAGGCACGCGAGCAGCTTGCTCTTGGTGGTGGGGTCGGGCTTGAGCTCGGCCTGCTTGTAGGTGTCGACGAGCAGGACGCAGAGATCGCCGCCGCTGCCACCCTGTCCGGCCTTCAGCAGCGAGAGAGCGACGTTGTACAGGATGTCGACGGCGGCGGTCCAGTTGGAGGCCTTGGTGTATCGTGCGGCGACGACGCGGGTCTGCTGCTGGGCTTCGTAGAACTGCCCCTCGCTGATCCTCTCCTGCAACCGCGCGATGATCTTCTCGATCTTGTCGCCGCCCTTGGCGCCGCTCATGCTGGGCTTTCTTTTTTGGCTGGACTTAGGTAGGTATGTAGGTAGGTAGGTAGCTGAACTGATTAGCTGGGGTTGGGGTTGGGGCTGATGTAGTGATCACGATGACGGCTACTTAGGTAAGTAAGTAGGGGCGGTTATATCTACAAGGAACTTAGAATCCCTCAGGTGAATTAAAGAAAAAAATGAAAAAAGGTACGTGCACAGCTGGGCGTAATATGCTTGTCAATTATGAGTACATTGAGCCGGTAGGTAGGCAATAATTAAGTGTTATTCATAGTGGGACCTGCGAGACCTACGGTAGGAGGACCTGGAGGCAAGTGCTTGATATTCTGATCTGATCTGACTGATCCAGTCCTTGATGGTGGAGATGTGAGCTACGGCGGCGGGCGGGTCAACGCGCACTGATCAGCCCCGCTGACCGCCAGGGCGGAGAGGGGAGGGGTAGAACATGGCAATGCTCAGTCAAGCGCATTTTTATCTATATAAACCCCAGATAGACCAGACTCCCCAAACAAATGACGTGGACGGATTGTAAACGATCCGGAAATAGCTGTGATGGTGTAAGGGTAACATCTAGGCTTCCCATGTCTCTCTAAACTAGCCTGCCTAGGCACCGAGTTCGAGTCTCGGTCACAGCACACTTTTGCCATTTTTGATCTCCATCAATCTCTTTTTTTCTCATATATGATCTCAAAAAGATAAAGATGATCGTTATAGAGCAAAGCATGGGTAGATAGAGTACAGCCCTGCATCGTCAAGTACTGCATATTTACTTACAGATAGATACCTTATTATACATCGGTACTGGGTTCTTGTTGTAATGACATCTCAGTCGACATACTCGTTCATCAATCAGTTGCCTGCCTCGTTGATACTGATGGAGCGGATTCATATGTCCAAGTCAAAATAGCCCGAAAGGCAAAGGAAGTTTCACAACGCTGAGCGCAGACCTATCCCGAGTTGACAGTAAATACGGGGTGTTGTGCCATACACTGCCTAAATAGGAAATGGCACTCCAGGAATACGGCGTATTCGCAGGTCCCTACCATACCCTACCTAATATGATGACTCTCACGTAACAAAGAAGAACGATCGATTAGTTTTGAAAAATGAGGATATATAAAACAACCCGAAATCCTTTGCATTCTAAATAATCTAATAATCTATGTCTTCCACCACAGTAATCAATTATTCTTTTTCAAACATCGTGATTATTTTTTCCCTCGCAATCATGAGTGCTCGTGTACTAGTATCGCAGGGAGCCGTGATAAGAGGGGCGGCACGACCACTTACACACCCACGGACTGCGCCCAAAGCTCGACAAAACACCATTATATATCCCACCCGTCTCCTCTCTTCGCCTTATCCTGCCATCGCCAGGAAATACGCTAGCACCAATGCCGGCAAAAATCCATCATCATCATCATCATCATCATCGGATAAGCGTCCGCCATCGTCAGAAGATGATTTCAAGATCAATTTCCGCGATCTCGGTATGAACCGTCTCACCAAGTTCGTGGTGTATGCCGCGATATGCGTAGTCGGGACCATGGAGACTATATTCTGGTGTAAAGCTATCGTAAGCGCATGTTCAGATGGAGTCCCCTTCTATTCAGCTGTGAGAACGAATATGTACTGACTGGGTGCAGTGGCGATGGTGGACTGGTGGAGAAGAGAGCGAGGAATGAATACAACAGATGATAAAGATGCGGGTGTGGTCCATGTATTGCTAGAGCTGTATTGTACACGCTGCTCGCTTCTTAAGCCCTTCTTCGTGTGCTGGGTAGAGGAGAGCGTTTTGACTGGGAGAGTATTAATCTTCGCTCAATAGATTCACGGTCTTATATTCATTGCTTTGATTCACAATGAATTACTAACATATCAGACCTCATTCAACATCGTAGGCGGAAGTCATATTAGCAGAGCATTTTTAAATAAGAACCCTCGCCACAGCAGACCTGTCCTTATCAAACACCTCAGATAGATGACTTCTCTCCTATACTACCTCCTCTAAACTAGAAGCTCTCAAGGAATGAGACCAGCGGGCCGGACAACGGAGATAAACAGAAAGAAGGATAGATATATTCATAAATCTACCTACACCAACCCGACCAAATACCTAGGAAAAATAAATGAAAAAGCAAATCTTTATTTGTTTATCCGCGAGCTTATTCAATAGCTTGGTATCTAAAGACAATAAAAAACCACATGAGAACAAGTAAAGAAATGAAGAAAAAAAATAGGACTAAAAATAAAAAAGCCTTGGAAAAATAGATCCCGGTGTTTTGCAACAGCTGCTCTCACTATATACTCAAGTATAAATAATAAGATTAGATTTGGCGAAACCGTTGTGATGGAAGAAATGTGACGATGTTCAGAAATTTCTAGCCTATTTATAGATAGGCGAGTGCTGTCTATACCCGCAGCGACGTAGAACTCAACTTTCAAGGCTACTTTAGTTTAACCCCCCTCAGTCGTGGTAGTGGTGGTGGTGGTGGGTGGCGGACCCGGGCTCGGTGTCGCGGGTACAGGGGACGGGGTCTTCATCGGCAGGGTCTCATGACTCGCAACTTTGGTGTCGTCGCTGATTTCCCGGACCGGAGGCAGCCGCTCGCTGACCTTAGGCGGTGCCAACAGTCCGGACTTGGGAGGGATTTCAAAACCAGGGGACGAGGGTTGTTCTCCAGGAGTAGTGACAGTAGAGCTGGGTATCTCCGCAGCGGGCTCGACCTCCTGTGGCCGGGTTGCCATCTCCGGATTTGACGAGGGCTGCAGACGTTTGTCGATCTTCAAGACAGCGGCTGAAAGACCCCGGACACCGGCTGCTATGATCTCCGGCCGTTCCCAGACGAGAAAACCGGGGTTCCCGCTCGCGCGGTTGGTATGCAATACATTGTATCGTGTCTCGGCCCAGGCAGGGCAGGAATACATGGGTTTGGCTGTGTTGAAAGCATAGACGCTAGCATCTGCGTTTGCCTCACTGTTACCCTGGGGCCTTACTTTCTGCTCATCTCCGAGGAATACGGTCAGCGCCACGTTCGGTTTCTTGGGAGATTTCTTGGGAGCGGTCGTTTCTGGATGACGCGCACAGTGGGCCCAGAAACGCATGGCGGCCTCGGGACCTGGGAGCCACGCAAGCTGCGTGAAACCGATGATCTCAGCAGGTGTGAATTCTTTGTGAGGTGCGAGAAGGCGGAGGCCCTTCATCACAAATACTAGAAGGCCCGTGGGAGAATCACATAGAGCGTATGCCAATGTATTGGGTTCCGCGAAGCCGTATTTATTAGGTGGTAATTTTGCAGTCTTCGTCGATTTCTTGGCCACATCACTGCCACTTTGCCTGAGAGCGGAAAAGTCCTTTGACTGGTACCCTAATGTGGAAGCCTCGAAGAACCTGGCAATGGACCATTTTGTCCAAGCTAGAGGGGCTGCCTGCAGTCTCGGTTTTGTCAAAGGTGGCGATATAAAATGAGTCCCGAGACATGAGTCTGCATATTGTGTTGATAGCCAATCAGCAAGTTTATAGTCGATGTGAGCTGGTGAAGAGGCTCCCGTGCCCGTAGTCGTTGCTAGATAGAAGGAGTAACCTAGGCGTTTCATTAAGGAGTCAAGTAGGTCTGCTGTAGAAGAGATTACGGCCGAGTTAGCCGGAAGCGCGTCGCTGAAACCCAAGCCGGGGAGTGAAGGAATGACGACATGGAAAGGTTGATGGTTCGCCTCTGCTGGGTCAGTGAATAACCCGATCAAGTGTCCCAGGGAAAGGCTTGATAGAGGGAATGGAGGTATTATTAATAAAGGTATCACATTGCTATGTGATGAACGAGCGTGGATGAACTGAATTCTTATGGGCGATTGAGATTGAGGGATGGTGAAACCGGTGCGGAATTGTGGGAGGCCATTCAAGGCCTTTTCTTCGTCTCGCCATTGATATTCCTCGAGCCTGTCGAAGTTGGTATAAGCTCAGCGATCAGAGTTAAAAAAAAAAGGGATATTTCGTTTCATTGACAAATATGAGTGAGAGGACGCGCCATGATTAAAGGGTCATGATGATATTTAGGATGGATAGATAGAGAGCTAGGGTGTGTCTTACCAGAAGTCAATAAGAGGTTCAACCTGAGACTTTGGCTGCCACCAATCTGTGGACTTGGGGTCATCAAGTTCATGAGGCAATCGTGCAATTTCCAGCTTCTGCTTAGTAAGATTGAGATATCTCGACGAGACCTGCCAAGATGGATTGCATATCAGCCACCCACTCATCCACCCATAGGTATACTGACTGGCCTATGCGACGGAGAGACACCAATAAATGCTTACATGTATCCTGTAAGGCTTCACTTCTTCTGATGCGGAACCGCTATCACCTGCGGCAGCAGGATCCTCGATCTCAGCAGCCATGACAGTAGAATGAGACAGGTGGAAACGAAGTTTCAGCGTGAACGAAGGGCAGGGCGCGATGTCAGATGAGAGAGGCTGGGGGGACTTATAACTTATACAAGCGAGCACATAATATAACACGGCTAAGTACCTAGGTAGAGTAGGTATACGAACGAGAGCAAGAAGAAAGAGTCAAAGGCCGGCTTGGGAAGACGGGAGACAGAAGAGGGGAGAGAGGGCTCTGTCCTCTCTACTACGGTGACATGATGCGGCCGTTATGTTTCCGCAGTCCGGGGAGCATCGCCCAAACATCGCATCTCATTTAATGGCCATCCCATCCATCCATCGCTTTTGCACAAGGCCCAGACGGAGCCAGGGACCTCGGTGGCTTGACTCGGTGTGGCTCAAGACGCGCTGACCGTTGCCAAGAGTCGCCCGTAACAGCCTAGCGCCGAGTTGCAGTACCACATAAAAACAAGGCGAGGGACGGCCGGCAGCCAATGGCCCTACAACTCTGGCTCTGGGAGCGGCTTAGGGGAGCGGCTTGGGCGCGGGCTAGAATCTCAAACAAATAGTATAGTATATAGTATAGTACCTAGGTACCTAGCATTCAGGGTCCTTGGGTCTGTCTCTGGTCTGTCTCTCCTGGCGAGCCTGGATCTCGCGTCGCGTTGGCCTTGCAGTAGTAGTAGCCTTGGTCTAGGTACTCTATGCGCTTAGGCATGTAAGTAGGTAGGTATCTTGTCGTTACATAAGTATAGTAGGTGCACAAGTCAGGAGCCCACCAATACCTAAGCGGTACCGATATCTTGACTCTTGTCGATGATTCTGAGTGGAGGAGGGGTGCAACAAGGTCTTGGCCCGTCGATTAGCGTGCCCACACACCATCCCGAGATGAAACGAGAGAGAGAGAGAGAGAGAGAAAAAAAAAACGTCTTTAATTTTATTTCTGCCCGTCACGATCCGGCGTCATGGGTGTGTGCCCCACATGCACGAGACGACGGATCTAGCAGTGGAGAGCGTCAGAGGATCTGCCCGGCTTCCCAATGAGGCACGGCAACCGGCACACAGCAGCCACCCTTCGTACCTTTTATGACGATCGGGGTTTCCAAGCATAAAACGTGAGATACGCTTTAGATTAACGAGTGATGAACGAAATATCAAGATTATGGCATTTACTCGAGGAAGCTAACTAGGTACAAGTCGCGCGCTGTGCGACCCATGCCGACGCGATAATGTCGAAAGGCTTTGCTTAAGAAACACACCCACACGTGCGGTAACTCCCGGCATTCCTCACGAAGCAAGGCAAGCCAACCCGTCCCAACTAACGGTCGCATGTTTTTCTGAACGTGCGCCCATTCGGGTTCTTCTCAATATGTAGTATACTAGATACCTACCCATTATGTAGCCAAGGTATAAACCGCCATATACCTAGTTAATATAATGAGGCCATGGCTAAGACCATGACCAGGATTCAACCAGTATGTCGGGATTAGTGAAAAATTGGGGAAATGTTAAGCTGGACCGGTTGTATCGTCCGATAGTATGACTTTGCAGCTAGTCTAGAACATGCCGAGTCGGTATTAGTAGTGAGATCAGACCTTCCCTCAAGACTTCGAGCGCGATATTGTTGAGGATGCTGTTTGACGTAGGGTTATCATCCACCCCGGAGATGATCATCTTTTCATCTGCCGACCGACAAAAGCACAGATACCATTCTTTATCATCATATCGGTCGTAGGCCCATTCAACCTAAGTATCTAGCCGTATAAGTAGTATAACATACCGACTACGTCCAGCATCCTCCCAACACCTACTATACAGACAGGCAAGTATCGGCCCAATTCTCCGGGACTAAGGAATAACCGATTCCTCATAATCTCCGGATCTCGCCTGTCAAGATTTGCTTCGCACGATGTTTTCAGCGCGTGTGTCACTGTTCCACGCGCGTACAGCCGAACATGCAGTTCGCCTACGGCCACGCACGGGTATAACGCAGCATAAGTAGAGACATGCAGGCAATATTGAAAAGTGAGGTTATACAGCCTGCCCTCGCTAGATCCACGATACCAGGCGGTCAGTACAGGCAGTCAAATTGCATATAGCGTAAAAGCCAAGTTACCAAAGGCCGAGGACCTGGCAGGTTATTATATTGTGAATAGCATCGCGGTTACCTGCCCTCGTTATTTGTCCACAAGACCGAGCGCTGAGTCGGTGTATAGCGGGGGAGATTCCGCCGATAGATCTACCACTTACGGCATAACAGGTCTCTACTTTCGGTTTCAACGTCTACCTCGCCAAAGCCCTTTCAAGCAGAAAGTTACGTGACATACAAGCCGATTCTGCACTCATCTTGGTACTATGGTAAACTCTGGAAGCCCATCTATATCAAGCTTATCTATCTACCTACTTTAGTAATACACACCGGAGTTCTTCAATCCTATTTCAATACAGTATTATACTACCAGTGTCAGTATATCCTGAATCACCTAAGTTTAGGATTATATATCGATGTAAGCAATTGTTTCGATCTGGTATCCGTTCGGACAGCGCCGGTTAGTTGGCAGTCAGTATTGCTATACCTTTTCCCCTTAAATCAAAGTAGCTTGACTTATATCCAAACGTTGTATAGATCGCCAAGTAAACCGAGTGATAATACAGAGGTGGCCAAATTATACACAGCTGAGATAGACTCATAATTATAGTTAACTAGTTTAATTAATATATAACTCAGATGGGTAGATTCTGTTAAATACTAAACTAACATCGACAACTCTGGCAGAAGTGTAAAATACTTACTTATCATACTTGTTTACTTACCGACTTTCAAGCTTTCATCCACCACCACCATATTCTGTCTGACCGCATTCCCCTGGCCTACAAAGTGATCGAAATATGTACACACCAGGTAAGTCTACTCGGGCATCATATTTCCAGTTCACATGCGTAGGCTGATATGATTCTTCAAGGTTCATTAATAATTATTATGTCGTTCATTTTATTAATTGTCGTCTAAAGTCTTTCCAGTCGCCCACGGCTGAGACAAAAAGAGCTCGAAGCCGTTCTTCGCTTGTACGTAATTGTGACATGACGAGACATTATATCTCGCAACCTTAAGAAATATTCCTCCATATGCTTTAATCATCAACCCCGACCAATCCAAACTCCATGTCAGTGCACTACCCCTTTAAGTTTTACTCCCGTATATTTACAAATGCAACGCCGGGATTTCCAACCAACTGCCCGTTCACCTCCTTTCGTGGTCGATTACATCGTGCCCAGTGATAATACCACTAATACAATGATTGAAAGGTGCTAATAAACTGCCTACTAGAGGCAAAGAGAAGGAGTTAGATAGGAAAGAACAGCACTAGAAATCTAGTTGCAAGTTCGTTGACCCCTTGGCAGTCAAGAATGGCCACTCTATGCCTTTCGAGAGCGAGGTGTGGTGCCGTTGGCCTTCCTGGCTCCGGTGGCCTTCGCCTGACCATTTTGGGAGGCGTTGGCAACAACGTGAGGGTCGGGAAGAGGCGCCTGGGACATGCGACGAAGAGTCTTGCGCGAGCTTGGGGCCTTCTTGTCCTTCTTGTAGGTAGCGAAGTAGAAGGAGATGAAGAGAACCAAGTACGAGGTGAGCGTGCCGATGCCAGCAAAGGCGGCGTACTCCTCGCCGGCACACTTTCCAGCATTTGGCATCCATGGCCAGTATGTGGATGTGAAGTAAGTGTAAGATGCGAAATAAACGAAACCTAGCATTCAATTAGAATATGCCTTTTCGAGTTTGAAGCAAGTTTCCAGGAGATTGAGACATACCAAGATCAATGACGAACTGAATGATCTGAAGACGGGTGATCCACTCCTTCCACCAGATCTTAACGCCCCTAGCGCTCTGGAAGTAGTACCAGTACATGACCACGTGGACAGTCAAGTTAAGGGTAATGACAACCCAGGAGACCGAGGTCGAGCCGACGAGCTGGGTATAGCAGAGGAAAGCGGTCGCGCCATGGTGGTAGCAGTGAAGGAAGGCTATAATGACATTGTTAGAGCTTTATGAATCGGTAATACGACCAGTGATATCTGAAACTTACTCAATGGCTTCTTCTTGAGGAACAAGAACACGGTGTCCAAAAACTCCAGATACTTAGTAAGGTAATTGAGCTATGTATGGTTAGCAGATTTGATTCATGACGAGACGAAGCCGAGAAGCCTCAGACATACATAGTACAAGACAACCAGAGGTTGAGTCCAACCACCATCGGCATCGCAGATGGCGTAGAAAAGACCGTGGCGGGCAAGCGTGGGAATGAGTTGCTCGAGGAAGAGAACGAGGAGGGTGAAGCTGACGGCAGTCAAGATGAAGTTGTGGATTAAGAACAGGGTCTTGAGCTTGAAGGGTTCTCGGTTGCGCATCCACTCACGACCGCCGAAGATGATGGAGTAATAGACGACGGAGAAGATGAGTGATTCCCTCAATGTCGACAATGGTGTATTCCCGGGGACAAATCTGAATTCCTCGGCAGGGTAGCCAGCGACCAGCTCGAAGGCCTTGCTGAAGTATGGCCAGATAGGCACACCGAATGGCCTATCAAGGGTAGGAATGGGGAGAGACTCCCACAGAGCAGCGGGTGACGGAGACGCCATGTTGGATGTATCGCAGAAGTGTCGGTGAACCAGGAGTTCGTGGCTATGGGATAAATTATAGAGTTGGAACGGACACGGACGCGGACGCGCGTTGACCGAGGGGTGGCGTCTCTTCGACGTAAGCAGATAGGGGAGAAAGGAAAAAAAAAGGGAAGTAGAGTGAAAGTTGTAAATAATTGAAGATGAAGGAGTGACAAGAAGTGGCAAGAAGAAGGACAACTATAAAAAGAGGCCCCTTTGGCGCATTCGTCGACCACGGGATGCAGAAGCAGCGGCGTGTGAGGATGCAGAAGGAGAACCACGGAAATGGTGAAAAGAGAGTTTTTCGCGGGTTCAATGGCAGCAAATGGCAGCAATCAAATAGGAGGAAGGGGGGAACGAAGGGCCGCTCAATTAAAATCGTTAAAAGGGGAAAGTCCCGTTATCTGACTGCCAGGTGTGGATGTGTCTACTCTACTCTAGGTACTTTTTCACTGCTTCGGGGCGGTCAGATCCTCTATAATCCTCTATAATCCTCCCATAGCGGCCGCCCCCCCTGTCCACGGACTCTCGGGCCCCTCGGCACGGAAATTTCATGCCACGAGCCACTAACCAACATTGGTACTTGCCTAGGTACGCTAAATAATACACTCACTGTTAATGGCTACATGTGCATTTATTCAGCTAACAAACATTCTACATATCTACTTAAGTACATACTTAGTCTATAACTTGGATGTGTATCCTGCTCGATATGATCTGGCCAGTAAGGCGAGGTAAACAATCCTGAGGCAGAGAGATTTGAAACATCATGAACACTTCCGAGGTTGTTTGTTCTCTATCTTCAGTCAGGCGACCGGGCAACTGCCAACAGAACAGCATCTGTGCAGATTTGACATGCAGACAGCCCTCGAAACGGTTTAGTCCTACCTAGTAGCTTGTTTTCACGAGCAGACGACAGACAGCTTAACTCTAAACTACCTGCTCACCTGCAGCTATAAATGCCATTAGCATTTTTATACGCCCACTAAGCTGTTCCTGTTCCATCTATCCTAGGACCGTCCTTCCAGAAGAAAGAGAGAGAATTAAGAAAAAGGGGGTTGCAAACCCGTCAATGTGTCCACAAGAGACTATTCAATAGATACTCCAATCTCCCTTGAAAGCTCTGATATACCATCATCGTACAGATCATTCCACCCTATAATGTCCCGAAGCCTCGCCTCGCTCAAGTCCTTTGGCATTCTGATATGTATGGTTTTACGATAGTCAAGGCAATGCCGGGAAGATCCGCAAAGATTCAGTGTAGAGATTGACCACCAATACCCAATATTGCGAAGCAGCCGGGGTCTGGGAGTCGACATCCTGGGGGTCGATCTAGACATCATCTGGTCTGGGGAAGTACCGGCCGTAGAGTGGTACACCTGCGTATAAGTCAGTGGTAGGTAGGGATGTTATCTGGGTTCGCTTTGTATGGGTTCGTGATGGCATTGGCAAATCATTGGAAGAGGTTTTGAGCGATGGTATACTCGTGACTTAAGCTATAAGTTAATTGTGTAACACGAGTAGTCGAATCCAACTGCATGGTTGCCTGCAGCTACTGTACTCGGGTGCACTGGAACTAATTCGACGTGATAAGCATTATCGTAATCTTTAGCTTTTTCCTACAATCAATCTCCGGTTCATGTTTTATCCTAACTATTATTGTTGTTTCTCTTCCCTTGGGTGACAGTACCAATGAGCTAGCTTCGTTCGCTCAGCTAGGGCTGGCACCGACTTCCTGGGAAGTCGCTCAAACGTGTCGTGACACCGTTTTCTCAGCTTGACCGTTTCTTACGGGCGCTGTACAATGCCGAGGGAAGCTGGTGGGGCAGCGGTCGCTATTATGCTGGAATTTGTGAGGCCCGCGGCATGTGGTTGCATTCATGACATAGACCAAGATCCACCAACTGGATACACTCCATTGTCAGCTAATCTTAACATGCAGGAAAGCGAATGAAAGAGTTTGAAAAACAAATGGCGAATTTGGTGGATACTTAGGGAGCTATCTCAAGTCCATCTGCTAACTTGTGGAAAGCAATGCTATATAGCAGCGAAGAGAGTCGAATTATTTCTGTGGTGTCAGTATACTAGTACTGAAACGATGGCAGAGAAAGGTTATTAGTCATTGTAGGAACTCTTTGAGTTCAACACCGACCTTATTTGTTGCCAACATACGCTCGCCGTTATCGCACAATAACAGGCACAGAGGCGATTGAGTTTGCAGTATTAAATTTGGCGCGAGGGGCTTTGTCATTAACTATGTGGTGAAATTGAACTAGTCACCTCATTAAGCTCGAGTCTCAACGATGTCCGTCGGACTATCTTATACAATAGCATATTACAAAGATCACAGCTACGTAGTTATGCGCTAGATTGTCCAGTTACCTACCACTTGATTACCTGCCGGTTCTCTATGCTAGAGAGTTGGGGAGTTCTACTTTCTACTCAAGTACCTAGGTTCAGGCCTTACCATTGGAATTGTTGTGTTGGAGGAATTCATTCCCCTTGTTAACTTGCCAGGTCCCAATAGATTGGAGCCGAGTATTGGAGCCCAAGACACTGCATTATAGACAGGTACATATGTTATAGACATGTCCCTGCAATGCTACATTTACATGTACAGTCTCGCTAAAGCTTCCAGCTGGCAGGCGACTGGTCATATCTGTAAGGGTTTTGTCACCATGAAATAGCCTTCTGCATATCTCACACAGGCGAGAAACGGCTACCTATGTAGGTACGGTAGTAGTGTTTGCTGGAATCCCAGGCGTTGGGCGAGGGGTCAGAATGACTTCAGAGCCATCCCTATGAAGCTTAAGCTTAAGACCACCGCATAGAAAGGAGTTACCGAGCATGAACACTGTCACCTCTCCAAGTTCCCTTCTGATGATTATGGATAGTGACATATAGCATTAAGGTTAGATAACCATTCTTTAGGAAGATGTCTAATATTGTAAGTACTTACTACACAGAAGCTGGTTCCATCCATCTACCCAATCCCGATGCTGTGTCCATGAGAGAACGCTCTGACCACCTGGAGGTGATAACGCCTCCATGTGATGTCGCTTCAAGTTACAGCCTAGCTCCCCTCTGTAATTAGTGATATAAGTCCACTAACCTAACCCACTAATGAGAGCTGAGCTCGCTGCTCACCTCACTGGGCTGCTTGTTTCTGGATTCTCCAGTGACATGATGCAGAAGACCCACATATATCCATAAAAACGCTATCATGGGCCAATCAGTGATACTCGTTTTGTGAGCGACTTTGCTCGCTCTTCTCCCAGTCCGGTCGGCCACCAGTGTCAGCGGGATCATTCGATTGGGGAGAATTTGTTATTACCTACACACTCTCAATCCACCGAGAGCCACCGATACCTATCTATCTATCTATCGTCAACCCTCGCCTTCACCTGACCGCCGATACCACTGAGCCTGCAGGCCTCCATCAGACTCGCCATGTCTTCCGCCTCTGTCCTCCGCGTCGCCGTCCGCGGCCCTACCCAGACCTTTTTCCGCGCATACCGTCCCGTTGCTCCTCCTTCTCGGGCCAGCGCTGCCCTGGTCCCTGGCTTCATTGCCGGCTCCAGCCTCAACTTCAGCACCACCGTCCCCCGTCGCAGCGAGCACGCCGAGGAGACCTTTGAGGAGTTCACTGCCAGGTAAGGGAACAAAATGGATTATACCTCGACCACCACCAAGAACCCCCCCGCGAGACAGTCCCGAACAGCAACCAATTTCGGGATATTTCGGCGACGTTACACACATACAATACGCTACCTCGGACATGGCCGCCTCGAAGCTGCAACACGCATCAATTGCCCTCGCAATCACCTCAAATCATTCTCGACTATCATTCGGAAGCTGATCGAAGCTCTATTGCAGGTATGAGAAGGAATTCGACTCCGTGCAGGACGTCTTCGAGCTCCAGGTTCGTCGCCCTTTTTTCCCCGACATGTCACCACACAAACCCTTGTATCTATCATCACCAGCTCCACATGCGCTCCCCTTGGCCCGATCGCATATCAATCCAACAGATAGCCCCGACATATAATTCATATCAACGCAACCTCATTCATATCCAATTGATTAAATCAATTGATTTACTCATTCTTTCACGTAGCGCAACCTGAACAACGCCTTCGCCTACGATCTCGTCCCCTCCCCCTCCGTTTTACAGGCCGCTCTCAAGGCCGCGAGAAGGGTGAACGACTTCCCCACCGCTGTCCGCGTCTTCGAGGGAGTCAAGGCCAAGGTTGAGAACAACGGTCAATACGAGCAATACCTTGCCGAGCTGAAGCCTCTGCGCGAGGAGCTCGGCATTGTGCTGAAGGAGGACCTGTACCCCGAGAAGGCCAAATAAATTGGGTTAATCGTCTTCGCTACCACCGCTCCCGTCAACTCCGTCTATACATACTCGGGCTAAATCCATAGGCTGCACGAGCGGCTTGGACTGAACCGAAATTTTTCGATCTCGAGACGAAATAGGAGATTATAATTCAAGTAGAGCGAGTTCGGGAGGAAACGAAAGGGGAGAAAAAAACCCTTGGATGGGCTTTGGTGTCGCCTTCTTGGATGCCGTAGATCCAACCATGTGTATATGTCTACTATAAACAGCCTTTTTACCAACAAACCAACACTAGAGAGATTCGAAATGTCTTTTGATTTTTTATTCCCCCGTCTAAGTGGCAAAGAAAAGGAGATGATTTCCCAAGGCGTACAACTGATGGCACTGACTGCATTTGGGTGAAGATAGAGGCCGAGACAGCTCGTATATTTTCCATTTTATTTTTGTTGTGTAGAGCATCGATGTTTTCCTTCTAATCTAGGATCCCTGTTGTCACTTATACTAGATATCTGCCCCTACCTATGTAAATATGACACAGAGACAAGACGTTCGAGGAAGAAGGAGTGTTGAGAGTATAATAAGGTAGTAAGTAAGTAAATTATGTTTGCTCATAATAACTATATACTGCGTCTTGAGGGACAGAAGGGGAAGAATTGCTAAGGAATAACGGAAAATGAAAGAAACAGAACTTAATACTTTCAACTTGTCTAGTGAACCTTGGTTATTCATAACTCCCTATATACGTAGTAGAGTCCGTTCATCTATCTATATAACTATTAACATATTTATTGCGTTACATATATCATCCTTCTTTCTCATGTACTATCTGTGTTTCTTTCTCATCTCTATAGCGGAATATGATTACACCGTATAGGTACATATGGCATGAGTGATGTGATGTGATGTGATAGAGCAAGTAAGTAAGTAAGTAGGCGGTCATATGCGATTACTTACTTCCTTACTTGCTTATTTGTGTATATCCATATCCAAGGCTAGGTACGGTATACTAGAAACGCAGAACTACGCACACGACGTATATAGAGGGTAGTGAAAAGCTCGCAAAAGAGTTGAGCAAAGGTAACGCCATTGCTTATCTATCAGTATAACTGCCTATCTATCTCTGTTTCCGTCTGTCTGTCTGTTCTCTATACAGCGCATTCTTCTTTCCTCACGACCATATCACGCCATTCACACCGAATCTCAATCAACGAATTCATCGCTCTCCATACAACAAAAGATAACAACACAACACAGCACAACGTAAGGTAAGGTAATACCACACGCGAGAAAGAAATTCATTCTTTAGGTAATCAATCAATTCGTTCAGCAATAACCAGAACAGACAGACGAATATATCGTCAGGACCAGATCGAGAAAAAAAAAAAAAACCATCGGGTATCAAAAGATCTAAACGGAACGAAAAGCAAACCCCGCACTCGAAAGACAAAGCTGGAGAGAAGACGAAAGGTAGGAAAAAAAGGAAACGGAATAGTAGAAGTGGTAGTGCAACACACTTTCACGATGTGATGGCAGTGAGGTATACAAGCAGACTCCAACGCTCCTGTCTTCTTTCTGCCCATCGTTCGTTCCCCCTAGATAGTAACAAAACACATTCACACACCGTCGGTCACTCTTCAGAACCTCGAGTCCCTCAAGTGCGTAAGCCTCGTAACGCCGGGACTCTGACTATGCATCGCGGCATTCTGCACACCATTTCCCGAGCCCGGAGGGCCATCGAATACGGCAACAGGTGGCTGCGGACTCGACGCGCGACTACTGCTCGGGCCTCCCATGGCGCTCGGGCCGCGGGTGCCGCCATTACGAGGACTCATGACGCCGAGGGCGCTCATGCGCGGACTGCGCGGGACGCTAGACTGCCTAGTCTCCCGACGTCCACTGCGGATGGACTTGAGTTCCTCTCTGACGCGATTGAGTTCCGCCTCGCGCTCGCGGATGATGGTCCGGTACTCTGCTACCTGCATAGAGAGAGTCCTGCCTTCATTACGGCTTTGGGTCTGGTTCACCGCGAGGATATTCTTGTCGGCTTTGCGTTCCAGCTCTTCGATTTTCTTATCGTGGGCCCGGTTCTCGGCTGCCAACTCAGCGGCACGGTGAGAGGCTTGTTGGAACAGATTCTTGTTATAATCTGCGTCGCTTTGAACCACGACCAGCCTCTTTTTCAGGTCCTCTACTTGCGCATTGGCTGTATTAAAGCTATTCTCCAACTTTGCCAATTTGACGAGGTCGGGATTGGAAGAATCGAGGAGCGCAGTGTTTGCCTCGGCTAGCTTTTTCTCCAGTTCCGTTTTAGTCGTCTTTAATGCGCTGATTTCTGTCCGACAGGACTCTAGGCTTCTACTTTGAATCGCCGCCTGTTCTTGGGCAGCTCTGCAATCGGCTTCAAATATGCCGCGCTCTTTCAAAGCTTCCATATACCTGGTCTGTATGTTGTTGATAGAGGATCTGTAGCTATCGGCCTCTTTTTGATTTCGGTCGCTCAACTGCCGGAAATCGTCTTCTCGCGCTTTACTTTCTCTGAGTTTGGACCTCAACTCAGCGAACTATACAGTATTAGCACCAGGTTTCTATGGAATAGGTTATGGCGTAGGGTACTCGCCTTATCGGCCAATGCTTCAAGCTTGTCGAGGGACACTGCAATGGTGTTACCCTCTACGCTCTGTACGAGGTCGTCGCCAAGCAAGTTCCTCACAGAGTCGCTGATATTACTCAAAGATGTTACCACTTGTGGTTGGAACATCTTTGGTCTCTTTGGAAGGTTCTCTTCATTATCGCCATCGAGCTGTATCTTGTTAGTATCCCATTATATCAGGATCCTAGTCAACTCACATAAGATCGTTTCCGGCTGCCAGGTTGCTGATCGATGTCCAGGCTTTGGCCACTCAGCTGAGTTCCGTCAATTTGTGAGCTTGCGGCATATAGATCATGGAAAATCTCGATTGGCACCGACTGGGGCTCATAGTAAAATTCGTCCTCCTCGTCCTCAGGCATTTGGATACGCCTGGCGAATTTCTCAGCAATGGAGAAGAGTGATTCTGTTGAGTCCGGCTCTTCGACATATCGCATCGCCTTGACAAGCGCCAGCATCAGGAAATTCTTTCGTTCTAAGGGCTCCAAATTTTCCATGATGCGCATGTTTATGTGTTGAATAGAAGCGACATTAACAAGTGCTAAGATGACCGGGGCACTCTGGTCTAATGAGGGTACTAATTCTTGTCGAAAAGTGTGATCGAAAGCAATGACAGCATCAACATTCCTGGGAATTGAGGATTCTCCCTCGGAAGTTGAACAGAGAAAAACTGTCAATGGGTGCCTAGCATTTGACGCGCCGGCAATCTCCTGACCAGATCGGATGTAGTGATAGCCTCGACCTAGTATCACATGACCAAGCAAATCCATCAGCTTTCCTGGCCGGACAAGTATTAGGACTTTCTTATCCGAGTTTAAATCCCGTAGGTTATCGAGCAGCTCGGCGATGAAAGAGAACTTTGAATTTGTACCGATCACATGTTTCATGATCTGTTCCGATGTCATAGACCCGAGAGTATCCAAGAAAGGAGGATAGTCGCATATGTCGAAGAGGCGAGAAAACATATTGTCCAGCTTCTCAACGACATCCTTGCGTGGCGTTTGATGGGGTAGGACTAGGAATGCTGAATTGTACTCGTTTATTAACTTTTCGTTCTCGCGTATGATATCGTTATACTGCGGACGGCAGCTTGTTTGGAAGGGAAGTGTGATGAGATACTCGGAAGGACCGGTGGGCACATGAGGCAACATGCTACGTGGATAATCTTCCTGCATCTCATCTTCATCTGAGATGGTTGACTCGGGAATAGGCTCAGGGGCAAACCCATCGTCAGTCGGAACTGAAGGGCTATCTTCTACATCATTCTCAATAGAAAGTGTAAGAGCCGATGGATCCAATGTTGCAGGCTGCTCTATTTGGGGCGCATCATATGATGATACCGGATCTACTGGCATGTGCTCAAGTGGAGGATTGGGATTAATTTCAGCTTGCGCTAATGGAAAGGATGGTGTCGTTTGACTCTGTGCTATCCCAGACGGATGTAGAAGTGCTGGTGAAATTACCGGGGCAGGTACGTCGATCGCCGAAGTCGTATCATTGCTGACATGTGCTTCAGCTTCCGGCATTGGCGCCGGATTAACAGCGACATGAGGGGTATTTTCTAACGGCGCTGGAGACAGTAAGGCTGGCGATGGGACAGCTGGCGACGCTGATCCGGTTGATGCGGTTCGAGCTCTTCTGTTGAAGTGCTCCTCCCGGAAAAGCCGCAACGCCTCTGCTGCGGATGTGCCTTCCATACTGGTAGACGGAGCGGGCCCGATTTTCGGTGATGGATCAACTGATATGTGACGTAGACCAGACTTTTCACCGGCCCGTATTGCCGCCTGTGGTTCCAGAGACACAGCCGACGACGCGGGTTCGTTATGCCCTTCAGAAGCAGTAGATATTCTGATATTACCAGCTATCTCACTAAGGGCTTGGCTTGAGTCCTGTGAATCTGCAGGCACTTGGCTGTTCCCAGCAACCGTCTCAGGTACAGTTCTATCTTCAAAGACAGAAAAGAAGGAGTGGCTGGGAGAATTAGTGTCACCTGGGTGACTACTTAGGGGCTGAACAATCTGCGCTGCTTGTGAGTTATTTGTTGTTGAGCCTCCGCTTGTGGACTGTGTGTGCTGGCTCTCTATTCCCGGAGGAATCTGGGAAGGCTGGGCGGTGGGATTCTTTAAAACAGACTCAGGAACGGTGGTGTTGTGAGATGTTGATGGGGTTGGGCCGAGGTTCTGGAAGTCAATCTCGACCTGAGTTCGAAATTGCGAACTCGCGTTGAATCCAGGGTTGGTGGATATGTTTGGGTTGGCAAAGAATCCTGAGACACCAGCAAACCGTGATGACTCCGGTTGGTGAGAAGGGATACCTGAAGAGGGAGGAGCGTGATGATTCTCTGGCAATTCTGGCAGGGCTGGCGGTCCCTGAGACAGTTGGCTTTCTCCGAACGAGTCGACAAATCCGTGATGGCTGTTATGCGCCTCAGATACCGATGTGCCAGATATCTCTTGCGAATCAGGAATGATCCGTTGATCTCTCACTGTAATGCCACTGGAATGCATGCGCTCTGACAGAGTAATCTGTGAAGATGGTTGACTAGCTTGGGAAAATGAGATAGCCTGGTACTCAGAGGCGTCGAAGGCCAGCGGGCGAGGGAGTGCAACCACTATGTGCGCCCCCCGTGCTGGTGTAACGAGCCTAGCCTCTGCAATGCCACTATCCGAACGGGCCGAAGACGGGTGAAGTTGAGATGGCGTGGACAATGTGTCAGCCTGCGCAGTTCTGTGAGGCCCTTCCCCCTTACGGCCCAGAGAATCCGCAGGTGATCCGTTTTCCGAAGACTCGTCGTCAATCTTTCTCTTGGGCGCTTGCGCGGGATACGTTTCGTCAGGCGCACCAGCGACTTTGGAAGCCTCGAGCTTCTTGTCCCTCCAATCGTTGATCGCGTCCGCGGATACGTTCCCTGCCGGTTCCTATGCCACGATGAGCCGTGAATATTGGATTAGATAGGGGTTCGGCGCATTGAGGCATACCCAGTTAGGTTTGTACGGCCGACCCTTTGAATCAGTTCCTTCCCAGTCTATCAAATAGAAAATGCGCCCGTTTTCGACCTTCTCGTCGATTATATCGCGAACGGCAAACCAGTTCTGGCCTAGTTTGGGCGATGGGTTCTGGCCTTGTTTCGTCTTTGGGGGCCTGGGTTTGGCCACAAGGCTGGGACTCGGACTGGGACTAGGACTAGAGCTGGGTCTAAGTCCGCGACGGTCTCGAAGGAGCCTCCGGTTATCGTGGGCTTCTCTCTGTGCCTTTTCGCGATGGGCTGTATTCATTGACCGAGTGACTGGTCCAGGACGATCTGTTTCGACATGTATCCCATGGTCAGTCTTCCCTTCCCGGAATACACAAATAATAGGAGGAGGATGGGGAGATGATGGAGCTCCGCGGCAAAGTTGCACGCAGTAGGGGATTACACAGGAGTAAAATGATTTGCTTGTGTAACAAGAATGGATGGGTGGATGGGATGGTGTTTTGCTTACCGTGGCCGTCCTGCGGTGTCTGAGAGACCACTAATAAGAATGAATGTAAGCTGTTGGCCAATATGATTCCGATGTACCGTGCACGCAGGGTGTAACGTCGAAGCTATCGACGTGCTACCAAGGTACCTATTCTATTCCGCGGGTAGGTACTCACTACTGTAGAGCCTCGTACCGCAGCCTGCAGGTTGTGCTGGGTGGAAGACCCTGTGGCTGAAACTTAGCGGGGCAGCTCGGTCATTCGCTGCGCTGTACACAAGGCTCACTAGCGCCCGTGCAGCTGCATGTACAATGGGACTTGATTAGCGGGTACCTCTGGTGCAGGTACTGAAGACTTGGCACCACCAATACCTGTTCAGTTCAATGGCTCACTTACATAAACTCAGTTCCTCGTAATCAGTTTCAAGTATCTAGAAGCTAGAGGTGTCAAATCATGTCAGCAATTGCCTGTGCCAATTTAACACAGGCATCGAAGCAAAAGCACCGAAGTAGAATAGAATATATAAGATTAAAGGGAATACAGAACGTAAGTACCTACCCTGGTGGATGTGCTTAAGTAGTACGATGTATCGAATATGCTCTCAAGAACAAGTTTGCTGCAATACCGATGGTACCTTTCTCTCTTCCAATCCAAAGAGCTAGGTAAATGATTCTTGTCGTAGATATGTGCAAAATTGGTAGATATCTGGAGATTGACTTCTCAATATAGCACTTACTCTGGGATACCGTAGGCAGGGACTCGGCAAGTATGTAAGTAGGCAGGCAGGCAAGATCTCGAGAACAAACGAGCAAGGTCCTTGCACAAAGGGGAAGTGATGAAGAATTTTCAAGTCAAAGCTAAGAAGAGAATCACGTCTTAAAAGCTTAATAGGTGAGTAAGTAGTGTCTTGCCTTCACGGGGTGCCTGCTGGGTACTCCAGCAACCAGATGCAGGAAACCGCCTGGTTTCCTGATTAACTGTGTACGGAGCAACCAATGGTAATCAGTGAATACCTCCTAAATATCCAGGCAGTGATTTACGGACGCATTAAATGGTGGGGAGAAATAACTACTGTGTGTTCAAGTCACAGTTCATGGAACTGCTGTCAGCAGTGCCCACACAGCTCTAAGTGACAGATAATCTCAGCCGTAAGCAAGAAGCAATATAAGCCCAGAGTTTCAGAAACTGCACTTGTATATTCTTCAGGTTACTCAGGAGTCCAACTAAGATTCGTCGGCAGCCTTACAGATGATTCTTCACAAGGACGGACTAGATGGCTAAAGCTAGGTAGCAACTTAGTTTCGAAGAGACTCAATATCAGATAAGCCGATTGCTATATATGAATGATATCCAATGCATACCAACATTCCAATGCCGGAAAAGTATGCTCAACAGATATAGGTAGGTAGTTATACAAAAGTGACTAACAATTGGTATGACATCAATAACGCCTTCCATCAGTGTATCATAAAACTTCAACGCCGTAAATGAGCTCCAATATCTAGCAGCAACGCCAAATCCATTACGCCCCATTCCCCAACCTCCTTGAAATTAGACACTATCATTGTACCTAGCCTTATTCATACACCATCGTACATCACGCCGCCTGTTTGGTAGGTAATGCTGCCGTTGAGCGGATGGGAGATTCATGTTTCTTCATTGTGCAAGAAGTTCACCTGAGTCCATCAACATTTTGAATTCGTCGTTTGGCTCCTCGAATTTGTATTTTGGCCCCCGCACTACACGGTCGACTTCGGTCAAAACGAATGGATAGACGTCCTTCCAGGCGTTGCGGCCCATCCAGCAGTCGAGATGTCCGTAATCAGGCACGACTCGACGGCGGTACTCGATGCCGTCGTCCTTGCGAGTCCCGAAGGCATCCGTGAGCACCTCATAGGTGCGCTCCGTGCTCTCGGGGCTCAGCACAGCGTTGTCACCTCCAACAAACAGCAGGAAGGGTATGCCACGGAGCTTGCGAACGTTCTCGGGTGTATCGAGGCGCTCATATAAAGGACCGTTGGACATAACGTGGCCCTGGAAACCCTGCTTCATGAGCAAGTGTAGCAGGGTCATGTTGACACCGCCGAAGAAGCGGTCGATCTGTCGGTGGGTGGCCTCGTTGAGATTTCGGTGGTTCCAGCAGCGTGCGAACACGAGGGAGACTCGGTGGCAGGTTGCGTTGTTGCAAATCTCCTTGCGTTCATCCGGCATGAACCGCAGCAACTCGTTCAACGCCTTCTGCACATAGCTGTCATTTTTGCCTGTACTGCAGCTGAACCAATTACCCGCAAAGAAGCGGTATAGTCTATCGGCCGGAATCGGCAGTGCCAGGATCTTAATCATGTTCATACAGTTCCAGATGGGGTTCATGAATACCTGACTGCATGTCACGCCCTTTATCCACTTTGCGGGAATGGTGCCGTCGAGTAGCCCTGTTGCGAATGCCACGCTGCCCATACAGTGGGCAATGGTATATATTGGTTCAGGCTCAGGTTTCTCCTCGTTATCTTGCACAGGCTCTGCATAGGTGGGATACCTTTTGCGAATGAACTCCAGACACGCCAGTAGATCCAGCCGTGCGTCAAACGTGGTCCAGTCATTCTGGGCTACCATGAGCACGCCGATACGATGGACCGGAATAAACACGCGGTAACCAGCACGCTGAAAGTAATTGACAGCATTCATACGAATGGTAGGTAGCGCAAAGATTTGATGATCCACGGAAGCACCTGGTATCATGAACAAGTTCTTGGTTTCAACCGACGTGTTTGTTGGTTCCCACATATGCAAGCTCGTCCTGACACCGTCACGAGCTGTGATCTTGTACGATTTGGTGCGAGGCGTGTTGTTGACGAAGCCTGTATATGCCGGGCTGGGATATTGTAGTGGCGTCAGGGGCGCCAAGAATAAGTTCATGGATTTCCGTGTAAAGAAAGTCATGAAGTTCGCAACGCTTTTTATTTTGTTGAAAATGCTGCTGCCTGTTGGTGACAACGTGAGTATCTCGGAAAGAAAGTCTTTTGGCTGAATTCGCATGATGCCCTGAGCAATGACTTTACCCTTTGGACAGTAGTCTTCGTCTTGGCCGCCTTGCTCCCGCGTTCCCTTAGGGGGCCGCTCTGTTATATGGACGTAAAGCGTACTTGTAGATCTCCAAAATTGCGCCGGCGAAAGTGCGACCGAAGAATCGACTACCTTATAGCCGTGAAAATGGAGTCTCCGCTCATTTGTGCCGAACATGTCGAAATCGTAGGTGAGGTTTCGAGTTCCAGGCGCTTTGGTATCGACGAGAAACAGGTTAAAATTTCCCCGTCGAACCATGAATGGAGAGCCCTCCAGTGTTGGGCAGGAGAAAGTGCCTGTCAAGTTGGCTGAGTGCTTGGGGTCGTTCACGACGGATCTCGTGTTGAACGCTTGCACGCTGAGGAAGAAGCGTGCAGTCTCACACATAGACTTGGCAGTTCTCGCTGCTAGCTCGTAGTCGTCAATGTTGTCTTTGAGCATGCTGCTGTCGTTGTGGAGGCGGTGAATGTGGCCGGACATCACTTCAGTAAAGCCAAACCCGCCGTCTTTCAGGCGACGAGCAGACGTGATTGACTTGTGTGCGTGGTAGATTTCTTCCTCCTCCTTTCTCTCTTCAACATGCACATGACAGTCCTCAACGCAAGGCTTGCGACGATACTTAGGGTGTTCAGGGGATCCGAACAGATCTAGCAGTTCGTTCTTCTTGGCGCTGATGCTCAGCTGCTTGCGCTTTGCGTATAGGTCTAATGAGCGCTCTGCCAGAGCAGTAATGGTTGCAAATGGATTCGCTCCCAGAGAACATGGAAGAATTGCACCATCCGTGACAATGAGGCCATCGTGAGTATCTGTGCCGTCACCCGTGAACACTTCACCAGCATGGTTTGTCACGCCCATGTCACCAGAGTCTGCCATGCATGCGCCGCTTTTATTCATGTCAGACTTTTGCAGGAGGGAGTAATATCCAGGGGAGGCTTACCCAATAGGATGGACTGTGATTTGCTGCTGGCCCAGAAGAGAATAGAAGGGATTTTGCACGAATGTTCCTCCGACAGCTCGAGTCGCCTTCTCAAGGATACGATTCAAGTACTTGACATGATCGCTACGGCCGACACCAATGAATTCAAGGACTGGCTTATCCTCTTTCAGCGTCAGATATGCTTGATTGCCTATTGCCCGTTAATACTTAGGAATAGTTGAGATGGGGAAGGAAATAGCTTACTATCATGAGACATGATGAGATAAACCTGTGTCCTCTCGATTGCACCTTTACGAAAGTACGGTCCGAGGAAGAAACTTCCCGCACGCGCAAGGTTAGCCTTCACTCTATCGAAAAGAGACTCGTCGGATGTCTCAATACTGCCAGGCATGAGTTCGAGAAGCGTCTGCATGAAAGGTACAAGCGCCCCTGGAATGGTACCTTCCTCAATGACATAGCCATCTAGTGGATTCTCATGACCTTTCCTATTGTCGATTATACCAGTGATGCAAGGCCCGATTGGATGATATGGCGACGGGAATCGTCTGCCCATGGCATTGACCTCGTAGTCTGTATTGTATCTGAAGAGAGAGGGTCAGAAACTGTCAAAATTATAATAAAGCCAAGGTCAACTTACCCGAAGGCTAACATGTCTCCGTTACCGCTCATGTTCTGGCCGACCTTGTCGCTCATTTTCAGGCCCATCTGCTTGCTCCGCAGCAGGATTTCGGTTGAGCCAATAGCACCAGCACCGAGAAACACAGCCTCCTTCGCATGAACCCACATTAAGTCATCATGGAGATTGGCTTTAAAGTGGCCACGGTTCCCTCCATGCCAGGCAAAGTAGACAATGTAGCCGTCTTTCTCACCGTTATCCTTGAAAGCTTCGGTGATATACCGTACCTCCGATTGGCAGAACATGTCCGCGCCCCAATTCCATGCATCTGACAGGTAGGTGACGAGCGTGGTATTCTTTGAGCCGTCGTTCAAGCCAGTGGCATCTTGGCCAGTAGACGCAGAGGCAGACATCTCAACGCCACAGCTGTTTGGTCCGTTGCGGAATCGCGTAGTTTGTCTCACTCGCGAGAACTTCTCTGACATATTGAGATATTGAGCTTGCCTCTTGAGAAGTTCAAGCTTAGGTAGGTCTGGCCAGTCATCCGGATACTCCTCAGGTTCGAGGACCTCGGCAGCCTTGTCGTAGTCTAACAGGTTGAAAGTTAATGAGTTGTCCAGACATGTTAAATCATAGGCTCCGTAGACTACGTGTTCGAAAAATAAGATGGTCACTTACATTCCCTTAAGCAACCCTTATTGTCCTTAATTTCTTTGGGCCACTGTTCCAGCTGTAGTGCATCCTCGTCCGCCTCTAGGAAGACATTGGCGTTTATTAGACTCGTTCCTCCAAGTCCTGTCAAAGATTTATAAGTTAAACGACCTTTTAATATGGTAGAACATATCAACTCACCATTGCCAACCAATGCATTTTGACCATTACCAAAGATCAGGTGATACATGGCAGTGGGATCACCACCGTGGACAACCTTCTTGGGTAACCATGGCGGTACTATCTGGCCTGAATAATGCAGTTGGTCGAGAGCATCTCCCGTACCTGTGGGAAACTCGCCAGGCCAGCGCTCTTTGCCACGTTCGAGAACACAGACATGCTTGCCCGCACGTGCCATACGCGCCGCAGCAACGCCTCCACCATACCCTGACCCAATGACGACACAATCATAGGCATGTTTCATTAGTTCCATTGGCTTTGAAATCCTTGGGAAGGCCATTACTTTGGGGTCATCGGCCCAGGTCCGCATGTGTGCGAAGGGGCGAGATCTTGGCCCGCCGGCTTCGTACTCATGAGCGGTATGGTGATCAGTAACGCCGGTACCATTGGAAGAACCTCGACTCGACGGACGAGCAGACCCAGGCCATGTTTCCGCGCGGCCGTTCAATCCGTTCAGGCCGTTTACGCCATTCATTCTTTTATGAAGGCCATTTACGGTTTCGACGCCATTTGTAGTATCGAAATCTGTTCCACTCGACTGTGCCTCCTCAATGCTAACACCTACAGTGGTTGGGATCACTGCTGGCATGGTCTCGGCGCAACCCGCGTAACTGGATTCAAGCCTAAACAATCGAGACTGCCCGACGAGGGCAGTAGTGGGATGGGGAGAAGTGAGCTCAGTACCCCTATGCGTAGTAGTGAATATCTTGTGAAAGAGGCCTTTAATTTAAATCTTTATAAAGAGAAGGTGAGACAAGACCAGGTAGAGGCCCCGAGATGTGTTTGTGTGAAAAGCAAGACTGTCTTGGACTGAATAACGCCCCAGGTCGCCGACGCTGGCAGGATTGTCACTCATATATGTGGCTCGAGACGTTACAATAGAGATTGTAGTCTGCCTTAGTGTCGGGAGTACCAAGTCGATACCACGTTGATGGGTCACCATCGGGTCAATATAGGATGAGATTTTGTAACAAGAGATGACCTGACCCATTCGAAGGGAACAGCCCTACACTACGGCCACCCCTGGTTCCCTGGGCCCCCGGACAGGACCCAGACGTCGTTCCCTAGTTCCCTGGCGCTGCGCCCGAACGAGATTGGAGGTTGGGAACCATGTCCATTCTTGCCGAGCTAATGTAGCTCTGGGGGCGCCGCCGTGGCATTGCTCGGTTGCTAAGTAGGTAGTGTACTGTCTCGCTACACCTCTTTTGGTGCAACCAGTGTGGTAGTGTGCCGAGTGTGCGTAGAGTAGTGCTGAGAAGAGGATCCGTTGATCTCATGGCGACACACAACTTGTCGGGCTTCATTGGGAGACAAGCGCATCTCTAGGGAACTAAACCACTCGTTGCAGCTCGATGACGCAGAATAGGTCCTTTCTGGCAATCGATTTCCATCCGAGCGCATCAGAGTGCATTGGAGGCCGTTGGTAGCGTAGGCACGTCCGTCCCCTTTCGCATGAGCGCAAATCAAAAGAGACGCCCGCTCTGCCCGCTCTGAAGACGGACAGAGTGGTGACGGAGCAATTGCCCAACCCGGCTAGGCGCCCGAGCATCGAACCACTCGGGATAAGTTAAATGTTTGCGCGTGGGTTCTAATTAAGAAACACGGTGGATAAGCTACTGCAATTGTTTTAATTTGAACTTCACGACGACCTCTCGAGCATGTGATTGGCGATGATAATCATATTCATAGTTACATACATACCTACATGCTAAATACATTTACACTAGGTATTGTATCAGTCGGTTCAGTCTGAATGTCTAAGTAGATGTGATCTCCCCTTACACAACATATCTAAGCCGCAGACAGCTTGGGCCACCCAGTAGTGCTGACTATGTTGCCCAAGATGCTGCGTACCTTACATAGTACCGGTACACCAGGGAGTCGTCTGGTCTGGGCATTCATCTTTACTCTATCAATGTAGCAGATTTCATCCGGTCTACCGTGTACGCTGCAAGTACGACCACGGGCATCTATTGAGATATATAAATGCGAAGTACAACCCTATGTCGTGGTGATACTCATGTTACCAATATTTGTCCATGTCTTTGTGATATTTGCTCATTTATCTATCTGTATTATTTCTCAATTCATCTTAAGACATCAGCACAGATAGATACGGTAGACAGTTATACATTACGACTACCTAGTGATTGCAAAGTATCGTGTCCTGTAACCAGATAGTTACCTACTATGTAGATGGTATTGCTCATTTACAGTTGTTCTCGGCTCGCTTACTGGTGGGACGTACCGTGTGTAGTGTGTACTCCGTACTGCTGAGCTGATACTTGAAGCACAGCTGAAATCTGGACTCTTGGAACACAACGGCAGGGCGCATCGTGATTCGCTGGTGAACGACCTGAAAGATCCGAGCTGATGTTGTAAGCACGCCAAAATTAGAGTCGGCCCCCCCTCGAGCAGCTGGGAACCAATCAGGGGGAACGCAAAAATAGCCATGGACTAGCCCAAAAAGTTGATGAACATCGCGCATCTCCAAATACGGGCTGTCTACTACAGTATTATAATGTAAGTAAGGTACTCCACGTACATGTAATCACAGTAATCCCACGATGTCATGACAGAGGTGAGAGAGGCTATAATCTCACCGAGCAATCTGCAATCAACCAACAAACGCATCTCGATGGAATAGTATTGTCAGTTTCTCATCTTGGCTTCTCACCTCTGGGGCCAACTAAATTGCTATCCACACGGCACAGGAGGCGATCCTCCTCCGACAGTTGAGTAAATAAAGGGTAACACGGCACTATAGGGCAGATGCGCACTACAGTCTACTGGTCTTTGAAGTCGATCCCAAATTTAGATTTATATGTTGCAACCGTACTGTAGGGCTGAGTGAGCGTTAGCAGAGCGTATAATACTGACTACTCTACCAGTACATCATAGAGAGTGAACGGTTTCACAGATGAGATGGCATTCCTCACTGAGCCAATTGCCGTGAGACTGATTCATAGCCAAGTACGTGTAGGTATAATGAATGGTGTTGGTGTAGGTAGGGCTGTGGTAGGGATACCGAGGAGGTCATCATCGACAACGACCGAATCCTTTCCGCCTCCCTTGTTGTTTCGAATCAGGACAAGTACCGTGCTTCTCTCTTAACATGATCCTCCCGAGACAACCGAACCAAGACCACGGAAATACTTCCACATGTAGGTACGGTACCTACATAGCATAGCCTATACTTATCCTAACGGCCCGATCACGATCAACTGGCGACGAAAAGAAAGAAAACTAATTCAAGAGCTGACAATCTCGACGTCTATAGCCTACGTAATTAGTAGTGTAGCACATCATCAGAACTGCACTTCTTGACGTACCCCAAATCTTTAAGCAGGCTATGCCATCGCGCATATGCAAAGTTACCATTCGCCAATTTTAGTTGCCAGCGCGCCCCCCCCCCCCCCCAAAACCGAGCTGCGGTAGCCATCAACAACCCCCAATTGGCAATTGACGATGCTGATTGATGGAAAGGAGGGGGTTAAGAGGGGTCCTATACAGTAACTCTAAGGGTATGGATTCAACAACGTGGATGAATGGGGGAGAGGGGCGGTGGCAGTCCTATCGAATCGCACACAGATCAAAGTGCAGAAAGACAATGATGGCTGCTCATTTGCCAACACACACCTCTCACACAACTCCGACTAATTATCTACTCTATGTAGAGGCTGGCAGACGTCATGCAACCTTGATCGACACAACTGTTTCACAGGCCGTCCCATTCGTTTCTCTAAGCGCCCGCGCGGTAACAGCGCATGGCAACAATTACCTCCCTGTGCCTACAGCAACCTTTACCTATGTTTAGACGGGCTGAGGTCTTTGCTATATTCTCCGTCATGCATTGACCGGCATACCCATTACAGACAGCAAAGAAGCTTCACCGAAACCCCCATTCGAGGAAACCCGAGCTCACACGAAGCCATAGGCTAGCGAGGCTGAATGGATCTTCGCAGTCCGGAATATTGACCCGGTAATGTCCGTGCTGCTGCATAACGGCGGCAAGAGTTGTGCGCTCATATCAGACACCGCACGCAGCACAACCTTGCATACAACCTAACGTACATACCTATCCGCACAACGACTGCGAGCCCCGAATCGGATGAGGTAGATATGACGTTGTTTTTCCCCCGAGCTTCATGCAGAATTACGGCGTCGCAATGCGAAATCCAATATCGCAGGGGTATTAACACTATGATTCATTCCTTCGTACAATCTTGCACATGATCTATTGAGATAAAACTCATTCTCCTAGGCAGCACACAATGGAAGGCGGTTTGCGTGTGAAAAGGCACACTGGTGAGACATTCGTGTAGATAATCCCAACGCTTCGGATCATAATGTCTCATACTCGCCTCGTTCCCTGAGCTGAGCCGAGATATTACGATACGCCCATTGGCTCCTCCACACCGACGACGTCGCAATGGCATCCAGACAGGTGTGTATCACAGCATAGCCATGCGGCCGAAAATCCCCCCTGCATCGTCCAAAGCGAGACAACTACCACGTAACATCACTAATATCGTGACATTGCTAATGTACTTCGACCGAGCTGAATGCTCCCTCCCCCTTCCCTTTTCCCTAACAGCATGCAGGAATTTCAGAGATGTCCATTATCATGATGTTGGTCGTCCCCGGAACCGGCATCTTCATCCCAAAGCGCAATCTTTGCCCGATAAAGGATCTAGGACTTCCTGACGGAGTCGCATACCTCGACTGAGCTGATCCTTGGCAACGACATCGAGAGAACCAATAGGAAACAATAAGCGACATCCGAGGTAGAAATTATCAAACCGAAAATGCATTATTGTTTCTTAAAGTAAACATTTACTTCCTTTCGAGACGGGCCGTTTTATTATTCCAACTTTACTATACATATGTCCCCTAGACCCCTATTTTAGGAGTCTTTTCCCCTCGATCGGGTCCTAGATATCGTATCATACTTACTTACGAGTAGGGTTGAATGGACCAGTCCCTATCTATCTACCCCTCGCGATGAAGAGCGCCCCATGGCGCTTTACGGTGCCCTTCCAATTCAATTCACCTTGTCGGATCAACCCACCGCACCCCAGGAAGAGGATTCTACCACCCCAAGCATTCGTCAACATCAAACACAGCCTCCTCCAGATGATCCCTTCGGTTCCTGTTACGTCCCAAGACGTCTCGATAAGAGGGTTCCCAATACCACGCGTGCAAAAATCTGGTTTTGTTCCCATCACATGCTCGCTCGGTAAGAGAATCCAGGTCATGTGGTGAAGTTGGGATGAAGAAATAAATTAATAAATGCCTAATACCACACAAAACGGGCAGAGACACAACACTACGCTAAATTGCCGCCACACTTCTATCTGCCTTACGCAGTAGCCCTCTATAAATTAACCCCCGGCCTCGATGCTATCCGGTACATAAAATGCTCGAATGTACTTCCCTACATAGCTGCCTGCCGCGCGTTCCTGGCATCTACCTCAGTAGCAACCTAACTTGGGCGCACCAGCATAGAGTAACACGGAGCCTTGCCTGATAGACACGCCCCGGGTCCCTTGCGATTCAAATCCCGTCTTTCTCCGCGGCGTATCCTGAAATAAACAACTCCTTTCATGTGATGGAGATTGTAATTCACAACGGCCTCGGCTGTAGAAACCCCGTAGGACACGGCTCAATTCTTCCCACATTCGTATCAAGGTACCATCTCAAGATGAAGGTATGATGCTATATATTGGGGTGATACTCGGTTAACGAGTAAATGTCATAAACTTATCTACCCAGCACACCGAAGTAGAATAGGATAATAAAAGACAAGAAAGCAGTAGACGATAACAAAAGCACATAGAAGAGGATATACGTACAGTACACAAGATAGCTAGCTACTTCCGCAAAACTACACGGACAGAATTCAAAATACCCAGAAAGGCCAATCGTAAGAAAATAGTTCCCTACAACATACATACATACATACGTACATAGAAATTCAAAAACAGAGAGTATCAACAAGCATCAATCCAAGCACTTAATCAGAGCGCGCAGCCACAAATAACCACAGCTAACTCAAGCACCCATCCACCAACATCACACATACCTTTCAAGCCCACGCCTAGAAATCTACCCCCCAAGCACAGGACACAGACAAGATATATAGTTATCATCTAGGCATATCTACCTATCTACCTACCTACATAGGTATTACAAGGCATCCAACCCAACGAATATTGTAAATAGCGCGGAACAAACACAACACAGACAACTATGGACCTCAAATCCCTACTTACCCTATCTACATCTAAATGATGATCCTACATGATATTCGCATGTAAGTAAGTGAATGAGCAAGTATAGATAGGTAGGTAAATCAGTATAACGCTCCCTGTCCAAATTCAGCTACCTACCTACCTAATTACCTCCTTCCCCTAGGTAGGTACTCCCGCAGAATACAGCACACGATTACCCAAGAATTAGGTAACACATACCCAGGTACGTAGAATGGGCACAGACACGGGGGGGAAACAGACAAAGTAGCAAGAAATAACCGGAACTTTTTCAAAGACTAATTATTTTTCAATTCATAATCATATCCATTCATCCATCTACCATCCCTTTCCCCCAAACGCCAGGCAACAACTTCTAAAAGATAATACACCCCAAACCAAAGCCCATCGCGCGCATACGTGCATATATACAACTACACCATCATATCATGATCTGATCCCCAAGAAATTTCATCGCAGCAACAACACCATGCTATCATAACACCCGCTTTCTTCTTCGTTTCCTTTTTCTTTTTACTTGTTATTTCCCTTCCAACCTAAGCTCCGTTGACAGGGGCCCCGGTCCCCCACCAATCGCCCTGGTCCTTCATGGCGCAAACGACCTTCACGAAGCCAGCGATATTGCTGCCGGCGACGAGGGAGGGGAGCTCGCCCTCGGCGGACTGGACGTATTCGATGGCGGTCTTGAGGCCGTTGTCGAAGGCGTTGCGCATGATCTGCTTGAGTTTCTCGTCGACTTCCTCGCGCGTCCATGAGAGTCGCTGGCTGTTCTGTGCCATCTCGAGTCCAGAGACGGCTACACCGCCGCAGTTGGAGGCCTTTCCGGGCGCGTACCAGATGGAGCCTGAGCCCTTTGTCTTGCGGACGCCTTCGAACACGTCGATGGCGTCTTGTGTGCAGCCCACTGGAAGGTGTAGTTGGTCAGCCAGAGTGTTCCCCTCTTTGTGGTATTTAGGGTTTCGATAACAGAGGGGAGCTGGGATGATAGAATTCATGCTGAAATGACTTACTGTTTGAGCCCTCGGCAATGAATAATGTGCCGTTGTCAACTAGCGCCTGAGCCTCCTCCTTGCTGACCTCGTTCTGGGTAGCGCAAGGTAGAGCAACGTCGACCTTGCCGACGTGAACCCAGGGGCGTGCACCCTCGATGTACTTGAAGGAAGACTTGCCGCTGAAGGCGGTCAGGGGCTTGCGGGCCAGTTTGACGGTAGCAATCTCCTCGATCTGCTCGGGAGTGAAGTGGGCGTCGCCCTCGGCGATCAAGCAACCCTGGGAGTCAGATAGAGACACGACGGTTGCGCCGAGCTCTATGCACTTGAGCGCGGCGTACTGTGCAACATTACCCGATCCCGAGATCGACACGCGTTTACCGGCAAAGCTGCCCTTGCCCGCGTACTTCATCATCTCCTCGACGTAGTAGACTAGACCGAAACCTGTGGCCTCTGTTTGGTTTATTATATTAGCATGCGCTTTCCTCCCTTTTCTCGCCACATTGGCTTGAAGGTTGCAGCCATTAGATGCTTACCAGGTCTGATCAAGCTTCCACCCCAGTCCAGTCCCTTGCCTGTCAGGACACCTTCCCACTGGTTCCTTAGACGACGGTAGGCACCGAACATGTATCCGACTTCTCGGCCGCCAACACCAATATCACCGGCAGGCACATCGGTATCAGCACCGATATGCTGGCAAAGTCTCTCCATGAAAGCACTACAGAACTTGCGGATCTCGCTGTCGCTCTTGCCCTTAGGGTCGAAGTCAGCTCCTCCCTTGCCACCACCCATGTTTACTACAGACAACGCTATTAGCATATATTTACCGGTAAAGTCATTGTGCCACGTTTCTTCTACTATCTTCTGGCCATTTATCGACGATGTAGAGCGATATGAAAGCTTAGGCCGAGGTGGGCGTGTGATAGATGAGACTTACATCCGGTGAGAGCATTCTTGAAGGTCTGCTCGAAGCCCAGGAACTTGAGGATGGAGAGGTTGACGGAAGGGTGGAATCGCAGACCGCCCTTGTAAGGGCCAAGAGCCGAGTTGAACTGGACACGGTATCCACGGTTTACTTGTAGGTTGCCGGCATCATCTTCCCAAACTACACGGAACTGGATAATACGCTCGGGGATCGAGACAACCTTTAGAGCTGTCCGGTATTCGGGGTTCTTCTGGAATAATGTGCTGTCCTCGAGTGTGCTGACGAGCTCTAGGGAGGATGTGTTAGTGTGTTTCTATGTCTTCCTTGCTTGTCCATTCCGTCCAAGGCGACTTCAAGTACTCTCAATGGAGGAAAAACGACGGCATGTATTCAACAACAGAGATTATCTTACCTTTGTAAGCCTGCTCGAACTCAGGCTCAGATGGGATGTTGGACATGTTGACAGTAGAAATGGGCTTTCACTTCTGAGAGGGGGTAATGACGCAGATCAAGAGGACAAGAGAGACAGACAGATAAGGATTCGGGTCGACTATACGTTCCCAACCTGAAGAAAGTTCGGCCGCTTATAAGTCAGGAAGTGCCAGCAGGGTTGTCACCAATGATAGCAGATTGATAAGGACAAGCTTTACGTCGCCTTGGGTCGCAGGAGATAGCAAAGGGGATGGACCGTGTTACCGTGATGTCATAAAGATAAGAATGCAGAGCAGATCCAAGATGGCAAGATGGCTCTTGGAAAGCATCGTGCTGTTATATATACATCTAGAGGACAGCATTGTTGTGTCTGTGTACATACCGTAGATGAGGCAGGGCCAGGCACGACCACCACATAAATGCCTCGCTTGCCTGACGAAGTGTGATAAAGATTCATTTGTCTTCGTTGTTAGTCAAGTTGGTGCTATCACCGTGTTCGGCGAGGGAGTTCACATGACTTGACACGAATAATCATGTCAAGGCGTGTCAAGGCCGGGAAGAGTCGCGCTGCGCTAGAGGGCAGGCAGGCAAGAGCTGCTACGATCAGGGCTTCAGCTCGTCCGTGTCCCGGGAAAAAGTCGCGCGTCCAGGTCCAGTGGCATGGCCGATTCCAGGAGGACGTGAGGGTGGGAAGACCTAGATAGATGAAGTTCGTGGGGGGCGTTTGATGATTGAGCCTTACTTAGCTGGTAGTAGGGCTCTGATTCGGAAAGGCTTGGCTCTCTTGGCTCCAGCTTAACCGGGACATGAATCTCTGTTTGGAGGCTAGACTGGGCCACGGACAGGGTCTGACATGGGCCGCGTGGAGGACCTGAGTTGGGAGAGCCAAGGTGATTCGACGCTGATTCGACTTTGATTCGACTTTGAGGTGGTTTAGGTGACGTGCCATGAGCTTTTCTCGGCCGAATTAGCAGTTACAGAGGACCTACCTAGCCTAGTGTCCCTGTGCTAGTGCTAGATAGAGGGCCTAGCATGGGAGTTAACAGGGGGGATACAGGGGGGCTAAGAGGTAAGAAACCACCCACGCATTGCCCGCATTGCTACAACTTTCACACATACCTACATAGAGATGCATCGGTGAACTCCATCAGGCTACCCACGCAATGCGGTATGCCTGCATGTGCTGTATGCATTAAGTAGCTAATAAAGTCTCGCAGTCGATTATTTTTCCGGCTGGATACCTACGAGGTAGGTACGTCGAGTCCTGTAACATTTGAGAAGACGGCAATGATATGATAGGATACCTACTGTAGGGATTGGTCCGATGACGACGGGGATTGACATTCAGGGCAAATCAGCTTAAAGAATTGGCCCCCTGCTGCGAACTTCGGAGATGCCTTGCCTTGCAAGCCCTGCCCTGTGTCGCGCATCTCCTGACATTGTTCCCGTCTTTTTTTTTTTTTTTGGTCCTTTTGTTCCCAAATGCCGCATCACCAATAGGGCTATGCAAACTTGGATCCGGGGAGATATCTGTGCCCCGCGTTTCTACTCTAGAGGCGCGCAAACAAGCAGCAGAAGAAAAATATCGCGCGCAGGTCATTCATTCATGGGTTGTACAACAGGTGATGAGATCACGCGACCCCGCGGACCTGAAGTCCCCTTTAACTCCGTTTCATGCCTTGCGATCCTAAGTACACCGAGGGAGGCAAAGGGCTCTTTTGAATGAATGAGTCTATTCATTTCGATCTAGATATGACAAATTCATGGTCGATGTTCGAAACAGATATTTGAAAATCTGGTGGTCACGATGGTTCTATCACGTGCGTGCGTGCAAGTCCTGTGGCGCTGAGCGCCTTTCCCGCTGTCGTTCTTACTTACTTGCACCTCATTCAGTATGTAGATCGTGACTACTTACACAACAATGGCGTTGAAAGAGCCATTGCGAAAGTCCTGGTTGTCGGGGAAGCTACCATATTCCACCCGATGGGGAAAACAGTGAAATGACCATGCTCGGGGCAAAAACTGACTTATGTGCGCACATTACTCAAGTCCAACTACGACGTTCATCTGTAGGTAGGTACTATTAGTACATAGTAGATCTCGAAACTTCGCTTATGTAGGCCTAAATACTACCTACCTACCTAGTATGTGCTAAATACCAAAATACCGCAAATGCATTACTTATGTTTAGGGCGAAGAAATCCAAAAGTTCCTGCGTGGTCTGATATCATCATACTTTTTGATGCCCTGTGCTCTCGGCATTATTACTCCTACTAGCGCGCCGCATCTTATTCCGATATTTAGAGATTATAGAAACAACGCGCCGTTGGTGTGTAACATAGCCTTTACCTAATTCAGGGCACTTTTCCACAAAATTTGCTCGGGAAATCGTCTTTTGTTTGGTATGAGGGCTGAAAAGAGTGGGAAATTGTACCTAATCAAGCATAGACTATGTTACACACCAACGGCGCGTTGTTTCTATAATCTCAGGTAATACGGTACCGTACCATAAGAACGTAGGTAAGTACACCACGAAAACCATGGCAAGCGAGATGTAAAGAACAAGCGCCTACCAGATGAAGCTTCATCGTTTCCAAGACATTATGGTCTGCCAAACACACAGAGCATACTATGTACGTGCGTAGGCAGGTACATAAGATACCCTATAAACCACAACACATGTAGTCTGCGCGCTTGGATACCCTCTCGTTCAATGTCTCTCATCTACAGTACTGTTGACCTTGTAAATATTATTAGATCATCGTTTCCTTACTTAGGGTGGACTAAATCACATCGCCAAATTAGATCCTATAGCTAGTGCTCGGTACTACATGTAGGCAGTTGGTAAACTTAGCTACCGGTAGGTAGCTACCTATCCTTGCAAGGATCCCGTCTTCCAACATCTGAAACTAAGTAGACACCTCGAGCTCCGGCACCGGCACAAAAGTTCAAGACGCCGACTTCGCCTTCAAACTCCATATTAAGTACGATTTCATGTTCAACATCATATTCATATAGTGATCAGTTTCCAGAGACCCGCATATGTAATTTGATCTTCGGGAGTTAGAAGACCATGTCATCCCTCAGAGCGAGGAGGCGAGTAGTGTTTGACGTAGGTATACAGATGTTGTTTTCACCTTGTCCTAATTAGATACCTAACTATACACAATGCCGCCGAGTTTCCCGATCGTCACCATTGACAGCAGACAACAAACGATGGGCCCTATGTTTGAACAATGATAAATCCCAAGGAACGCCATGCTAATATGCACCATTACGAAGAAAAAGCCTCAACATGTTTCCCACAAAGCCCGTCGAGCTCTCACCACATGATCGACTGGTCAAAGTCGAACCGCTTAAGCTCTTTTCCTGCGTCTTCAACGTCCTTTTTCGCCTTCATGCGCATATAGAAGATGGGACAGTCTTTGCTGCTGCATATGACTTCATTGTGCATGCTGCCTTGACACCGTTGACATTGTGTCCAGAGCCGTCCGAACCGCACCTCGAGATCCGACACCTTGTCCAGCGTCTTCTTGTAGAGCTCGCCCGCCCTCGGTGCGCAGTTGGAGCATACCGCGCCCGCGCTCTCCTCCTTGCCAGCCAGGGGCTTCTTGCATCCCATACACGTCATGGTCTTCTTCGCGAACTTCATGAGACCGCCGACCGTAGGCGCTGCTACCGAAATAGTACGCGTGTGCGCGCCTGTGAGGAGCGACTTGGCCTTCGCCTCACCGTCAATGGTGTCGAAAATACGGCCGAGAGGTTTGGCAAGCTGATTATCTAGGTAGTACCTCGTATCAATGGGAATGTTGTTCTCAAGGACGTAGATAGGGTCCTCGGAGTTTTCATAGTTTTTGGATCCACTGGCGCCTTTGATCATGACATACGCTACACGGTCACCCAAACCAGGCGCAGAGCCAGGATCGCGCTTCTTCATGCGTGCGGCTAACTCGACGTGAGCTTGTTTCGCGTCATAGCTTTCTTTCGTCAGAGCTTTCGTAATCACCAACTTGGACATGTCGATCTTGTTCTGTAGCAGCTCTGAAATAATATTTTTGACGTATCTAAAGCAGGTGATTAGCATCTTTAGTTAAGGGGAGCGAATTTAGGATGGAAGTTCAAACGTACTCTTGGGCTCCTGGTACGTCCCGCTCGATTAAGATCATACGAAGCACTTTCTCGATAACAGTCTGCACAAGTAGGCAGTTATCTCGTCGAACCGTCTCAATACCCTTGGTGTCCATTTTGTCATACTTCTCAGGCTTGGTCCAATACAGACCAGCGTAACGCTTCTTGTTGATCAACAAATACGGAAAGTAGACTTTCTCGAATTCAAGTTTGATCGGCTTGGTGAATTTGGATGATACGAAGTTTGCCGCTTCTTCTCCGAGTTTCATGGCCTCAGCGAGATCATTCGTTCCAAATTTAACCATGACGGAATCGGTGTCACCATATACAACTTGGGCATTGTGAGAATAGCCATTGGCAATATTGTATCGCTTCTCAACCTCATCCTTGGTCTTCTCGATCATTTGACGGCCATAGCTTGTTGTGCTACTGGCAATCTCGAGACAGGGGAGCTTTCCAGTTGTGGCTCCAGTCAAGCCGTAGACACTGTTGGCACTGATTTTCAAGGCAAGTTGTCGACCGTTCAACACGGCCTTCTTGAATGGGTCTGTTTCCACTGCAAGTTCCCTCTTGGCTTGCTTTCGAGCCGACAACAATTCTTCCAGAATCTGAGCGAGCAAACCTTTTCGCTGTTTCACAGTGACAAACATGTCACCATTTGGGGTAACAATGTAATCTTCGTCCTTCTTGAGGTTAAACTTTTCGGCTGCTCCTTTCTTGATCAAGGTGGTGTAGCAAAGATTGTGAGCTTGCATGATACTAGGGTATAGTGAAGCGAAATCGAGGGTAGCAATCGGAACATCATAGTATCCACGGGTAGGCTCGATAACCGTGGCTCCTTCATACTGGTCATCCGTCCCTTCTGCTCTCATGTTTGGAACGACAAGCTTCTGTTCTAAGGCTTTTCGGAAAAGTTGACTCATGAACTTGATCTGCTGTCCACGAGAGAGCAAGAAATTGAAAGGAACACCGGTGACTCTTGCCATTTCCGTATAATTGGCCAAGCATGAAAGCTTATCCATGAGTCTCTGCGGTAAATACGCGTCCTTCAAGCAATAGAGCGCCAAACGTCGTCTTGATTCTGGTGTTCCGTTAAAGAGTTCTGTAATCATAGTGTAATGAACATCCTCTTTCTGTTCTCCTAAGAAATGAGCACAGACTGAGTTCAATGTATAACTACGAAGTTGATGATCACGTTGAATCAACTGCAATAAATCCAATTGTAGCCGACCATTGGTATTTGTAGTTTTGGTGTCTCGGTTGCCCATCTGCTTACTGGACAGGTTTGTGTCTTTATGGTAGGATCTTACATTTGTGAGTCGGGTCCAGTATTCAAATCCGTTGACCTTCAAATGCTTCGCGCGGTCAAGAAGGTAGACGAAGTCAAAGTTGGCAATATTGTAGCCAGTAATTAGATCGGGATCTGCCTTGTCAAGAAATTGCTTCCAACTCTTCAACATCTCGCGTTCGTCATCGAAGTCTAGAATCTGGGTGGCCACGATCGGGCTTGTACTATCAAGACAGAACACATTTCGAATGAAGGGCTTGCTTTCTCCATATCGGGTAACGACATTCGCAATCTGAATAACGGGATCATGGTTCGCTTCAGGGAAAATCCCCTTCCGACCGGCACATTCAATATCGAACGACAAAATACGTAAGGGGGCCATCTTTGACCATTCGCCTTTGGGCTCGTGGGAGATAAGGTCAACATAGCTAACCTCAGCCTCAATCTGGCACGTGGACTGTCGGTGGGCCTCGGGAACGAGTTCGTACTTTTTCGCAGGGGCTTCTACCCACGACATACCAGGAATCTGACCCAGTTAGCAAGCAAGCTAGGATTTATAAGAATAGCACATACCTTGCAGTCAACCATGAACCTCAGAACATATTGTAGATTATCAAATGTCATGATACCACCCTCGGCCTTCTTCCACAAACCCTTCCAGTTGGCCTCTCCGGTCTCGATCAGACTCCGGACTTTCCCAATAAACCTAGGATCTGTCACGACGACCTTGATGTATGGGCTCTGTGTGTTTCCCTGGAAGCCATAGATGTTTTCTCTTAATACGACCTGGCAGGAGTGTATGGCGGGCTGGGTTTGGGCGATTTTTGTCTCGAGGTAGGCCTTGAAGGAGTCGCAGTCTTTTGGCGTAAAGGATACGGGGGCGGCGACATAAAGATAGTGCTTGAAGTCGGTGACGTGCAACATTACTGAGTGGCCATTTTCCGTGACACCGAATAGCTTGATTGCTCGTCGGCCGTCATGGAGAAAGCCTTCTTCAGCTTCGATCTGCTGGAAGATTAGGTTATCACGGCTGGGGTTGAAATCAACTACAGGCGGCCGTTCCCAGGTTTGATCCTTTTCTGCGTTGGCTTGCTTGAGCTCGGCGATATCCTGGCTGAGCTTCTCGAGAACTTCCGACTCAAAGGCGCTCTTCGGTTGGCTCGATCCCAGCTTTGAGGCGGGTCCCTGCTGTGAACTGTTGAGGCGCGATGCAGGCGAAGAAGTCAAGGGTTCTAATCTACGTCGCTTTGTGCTCGAGGGTGTAGAGGGGATATTGCGACGACTGGATGCATCGCCAAGGCCACGCTTCTGAGGTAGAACGGCTGTCGCCATGGCTGGCTGCTACCTCCTTTGTGTGGTATTTGGCCGGTGGCGGGGATCTGGTTGAGCTTCTATCTATTCTCGTGCCCTGAGAAACGATGCGCACAACGAAGTATGAAGATAAACTGGGAGCTTTCCAATGGTTGCAACAGAATGAATGAATGAATGAAAGACAGGGCAAAGTCCAACTAGGTAGGCTTTGGTACTCTTACCCACTCAGGGAAGATAAAGTGGTTTTCCCAAAGTCGCGTCAACGCGCTCCTGGCTTAAGCTAGGATTCACGTTTTAGTGGGGCCAATTAACAAAGGCGCGTCATGACACCAAGGCAGACCAATTGCCCCGCGTCCATAGCGCTTCACTGCACTAGGTACTTCGTAAGAGGTGTGAGATCCAATGTCCAATTGTTTTATTTATTTTCTGTCGAAGCCATTGTGGGACATATTGATATGAAGGCCAGGACACGGCCCGTCTTGAACTACCTATCTCATCCAAGTCTAATTGCTCTCCACCGGTACGAGACCGCTGTTCTGTCTTGGCATGAGGTCTTGCGCAAGCAGTACAGGACAATACCGACTGCGAAATCAATACCTGGCTTCTCCCTTTGTAAAGGAATACATGAACATGGTCATTGGTCAAATTGGTTTTAAATACGCGTAAGTAACTCATTATAATGTATATACATTTCTTTGCTCTACAATGTAGCTCTTTTGATGTTACTGCAAGATACCGAGCTGCCGTTCTAGCGTACCTACCAAGCATTATGGGCACAACTGTGTTTGTGGTTGAATTCGTTAGCATCGGTAGTTAGAATTCGCGAAGTTTATCAACCTCGATAATCCTAATAGTTGCAAAAACTATCAAACGAACTCAACATGATAAGAAAGTTGAGTTTGGATTATAGACGGAACGTCTAGCTATGCTATTTGTATGTTCTAGCGGACTCAAAGCGTGCCTTGAATTCGAGAGATTAAGTAACGTGTAATTTACAAAAGAACATGGCGAATGAGATTGAGAGTGGTAGTGACCAACGAAGGTATGAGCCTCAGAGTGCCTAGGTGAACATGCAGAATAGGGATGCGGACAGTATGCAGTAATACTCCGCAGACATGCTTCGTTAGACCACGGCAATTCGACCACCGGACATTTATACCATAGGGTCTAGGGTGATTTTTTTTTTAAAGATATTTTGCTTCGCCGCAGCTAGGCGTACATATCACCCTAAACCCAACTTACTACTCGCGGGAGGTCGTGGAGACAAAAGCGAGTGATTGTTATGATTACCTCGACGGAGTTGTTAGTCTGATATTTTATGTTAGATATGACACCAAGTATACAAAAACTAGAAGGAAGATGTCATTTATACACACAAGGGGGTGTAAACCCATGCCAGGCTTAGTACAGCAGATTCCAGTTTTTAAGAAGACAAAAATTTCGCCAAATTTACTGTCAATGGTATCCGTTGAAATCATACCGTCCAGTATTGTCAGGCCGGGAGCTTCTGTGTTCTCGTAAGTCGGAATATATACGCCACGCTGTACATTTTCATTGCAAGCAACGGCGACGCCGTAGTATTGGTCTTATATCTAGGGTCATCCCAAGGGATACTTACTGTGCTACTCCGCATTTTTTGGGCAGTGAGGTCGACGTTGACATAGACTGAACGTCAGGTTCGATTGCGGGATCTGACGGTCAGTTGGCCGAACTGCGATAGATAGGTATGTTCCCATCTAACAACACGTTCGACTATTCATCGAATCCACTGCACCCTGACGGACATGGTGTACTTGCATGAACCAACGACTGCCAGAGAGGCTATTGCTACACAAGCGAAGAAACTGTCCTCGGCCTATGTAAACATTTCGTCTCTAGGTTGTCACTTTAAGGAGCTATATCTTACTTGCATAAACGTTATGATATTCTATGTATGTAGGTATTTATGGAGAATTGGTGCATGCATCAGACGATTAACTCGACAGATGAACATACGAGAAAGACTGGTCTCGAATATTCCACTACCAATAATGCCAAATCCATGGTCCAAGAGCAATTACCCTACATAGTTGTTGTACTGTAGTGTAGTACGGCCTTATGTCCTTATCCGTTAATAACCAACCCACGCAGACATCGCTCACGGGGTACACCGCAATTACGTAAAGATGCAAGATAGGACACCGCAGCAATATAGTTGTCGCACTTCGAAGAGTAGTTGGAAGTTCTAAAACGACATCCAAGTCCTCAGCAAAATCGGGGACTCTCAATACTTGTCTCCTCCGGCTATTAACACTCGAGAAAACCAGCAGTAAACATACATGCAAGATCGAGCTGCGAAGGCGACGCAGTTCCAGCACGCCACGCAGGAACCGTCAATTTAGAGAATACGTAAATAATCTAGTACACAAAAAGTCCCCTATCGCTTCCTGATGAATGGCCCGGCGAATCCAGCGAAAGGGAAATGCATGGTATCTCATGACGTAGAGTAAATAGATATATGCCGCGAAGCCACATCGCGGAACAGACAACTCAGCTACGAAAATCGCCAAGCGATCTTCAACCGCTTCGCGTAATAATTGTTCTATTGTACATGGAGTATCAAGCAGACCACCAACCTAGGTACTTGACGAAAGCAAAGCATTCTCCCCTCGGAGAATCGATCATATACCACCACTAGCGATCCATCCCATGTGTGTCCCAAACCAACACCAGCCCATCCGAATGCCCAAACACATACTATACTCTCCGATCGTCGATTAGCATCTCAATAAACCAGTACTTCACCATTAGTAACCACAGCCGGCCACATTAGTCCTTGACCTTGCGTTAGTCGACCCCAGGAAACTAATTTAGTCAGCCCTTGGTAGAAATAGTAATTTCCAAGTGTGGCCTCTAGGAGGCAGTGTAGTTGTCATTATTTATCCCCGCCTCCTGGTGATTGGCTAGTGAAGCCGATGAGGAAAACAGACACCAGTTGATATCCACTATGGTGCGAACTATTTCAAGCTAACGATAGAAAATGTCTGGAAGTATCGCGGTACTTTATGTCTACTTGGGCGTCGAGTAGCTCTACTTTCGTGTCTGAGTTCGAGGTAGATAGCGCGGTACATACTTGTTACCTAAGTACATATCTTATCATACCTGTACTATGCAATAGCTGTCACTGCGTAGCTTCGCAGCTGCAACTAGCTTTGCTATAATAAGTGGAAAGCATTTGCTATCAAGTCTGATATGATTCTGACTCCGACTAAGGGGACCGATTCCCATCACATATCCGACCCGGGGAGAGGAAATACCAGGCGCCATTCTTTTCTATAGCCCCCTAATGTGTTTCCATTTCTGTCCAACCGTCTAAATCTGTTTATAGAATCCCATTCTATAATTCACGTCCACTTGCCTTCTCAACTCCCGAGCTGGCTGCCTTGTCTTCCGTCGCCTTTCCGCTAGGGGTCCATTCCAGGGCCTTCAGACGCTCTGAAAGGATTGGGTGAGAGAAATGGTAGCTAGCATACATCCAGTCTGCATCCATGGTACTCAAGTTCTGAACTTGAAGCTTGATGAGAGACGAAGCGAGTTCGGCCTTGTAGCCAAGGTTACGTGCAAAAGAATCTGCTTGGAATTCGAATCGACGGCTCATGATGTTCATGAGCAGCTTGATAACAGTTTCCATAGGAGCCAATGCATCAGAGAAGAGGATGAATCCAATAATGATGGGATGCTCCTTTATGAAACCAAAGTCGGCATACAGTGACTGGTTGTTCACAAAGACGGAGAACAAGGTAAAGACGTAGAAAACGTGTAGCTGTTAAAGAGTCAGTCATCATGAGAGAATGCTGCTGGACAGAAACGTTACTCACCTGCGAGATACCGAACAGTCGGGTTGTGTGTCCTAGACTCCAGTGACCCAGTTCATGAGCCAAAACAGCTACGACTTCTTCCGACTCGCTCTTCTCAATCAGGGTATCGTAGATGACAATGTGCTTTTTCCAAGGGAGACCGAAGAAGTATGCGTTACTGTGGGCGCTGCGCTTGCTTCCATCAATGACAAATAGTTCGTGAAGTGGGAACTTGAGCTTCTTAGCCAGAGCTTCAGTTTCCGACTTGAGCTTGCCTTCTTCCAGAGGGGACAGCTTGTTGAAAAGGGGCAGAATAACGATAGGGTAGACCGTGATCATAAACATCTGGATGGCAGCAGTGAAAAGCCAGAGGTACGTGACGAATTGGTTACCGGTCTTCTTCACAATGGCAAGGAAACCAGCAAGGATCGGTGGCGTAAAGGCAAAAACGAGCAGGTTAGACTTGATCATATCGGTGATGAATAGCTTGGGTGTCTGCTTATTGAAACCAAACCGCTCCTCGAGTACAAAGGTGTGGTAGATGTTGGCAGGGAGAGACAATGCTTGCTGGATCAGAATAAACGAGAGGACGAATACGATAGAGTGAGAGATCTCGCCGGTAAAGCGAGCGGGCGCGAACCGGAGCAGAAGGTCACCAGTCCACGACCACAGCTTGGGGAGGACATCATAGTGTATGAAAGCGATATTCTGGATTTGACCGTAGAGACCCTTGATGAAACCGAACTTGGCTTTGGCGCGACCGTATTCCTGACTTTTGTCGTAGACTTCCTTGGAGACTTCTTGCTCGAGAACCTTAGGGGGCTGTGTTTTCTTAAGAACCTGGTATTGACGGAGAGACAGAAACTCTTCGAAGCAGTACTGGGCGACCGAAAACCCGATCATGAGCTTCTTCCACGGGAAGAGCGGGCGGTCGAGGGCGCGAGCTAGTCGCTGCAAGGATGTTGGGTTAGCACTCGAAGCCTGTATTACGTCGCATTACATGATGGCGATTGATGTGCAAATGAAAAGAGCCGTAACACTTACCTGAAGGAAATCCATCTTGTGAAGCACTATCCTCCTACTCTATCCTTTTGTTGGATAATATGGGAGGTAGGATGGGCGGTAGGCACTGTTTTAATACAGCTGCCGCAAGTTATGACGAGCTGATGGAGAACTTCGTCTACGTGTCTAAGTCAGTGTGGCTTGAATTGCTCGAAAGAGCAAGTGGGGCATCTGTAGCTTAACCAGCCACACCTATTCAAATGCAATGTGCGGCGCAATAGCCTTCAATAGGTATTCAGCCAGGTACCTAGGTATCTACCTATTTAACAACTTGTAAAGATTTCTCCGGGTGACCTATATACATTCACAGCAACAGGGCTAAACTGAAATAAAAATTGCTAAACTGGCCGGTGAGAGTCTTTTAAATTATACGCTCTATGAGAAAGAATAACTATTCGAGGTGGGGAGTGAAGCGCGACTTCTCATACATGTCATCAATATCTCATATTTGCCTTGACCCTCTCTAGGAGCTGCTCCCTTGTGTCATTCGAGCCGGGGTGAAGATTGCGCTTAATTAGAATGATATCAGCCATTGCATTCGACCAGCAGTTAGGTTACGAGTTGGCTCTTACCGCAGCTAACCATCTTCGCAGTTCCTCCCTCGTCCAACCTTCTGGGTTGCCTTTCGGGTCAGCCGAAGCAGGAAAGATGTCGCCGCCCCAGAAGGACCACTACACATATACTGTTAGATGTGCTATGGTATTACCCACATGATGGCAAGAGGAGAGGGATGGAAGTATACTAAAAGCGACGACTTACAACGACTGCTGCGGTGACTAGCCCGGAGAAGGCTTTGAAATATAGCTCCATTAGTACTTGGCGCGTGAGTGATAATAACCAGTAATATAAATACCTAGAACGGCATTCTGGTGGTAGTTAGTCCATCGAGTCTCTATGAAGTAGATAGTATGGTTTATATATACCTTTGATTTCATCGCATTATCAAGTGGAGTAGGCATTGTGGACAGACAGTCAATAGGTTGGATACAATACTTGAATTTGGTATTTTGTACTGAAGAACAGGCAAGGTGTCAACTAATAATTATATTACTTGAACGTATGATAAGGAGTCACATAAGCCATTGTCCTAGGGTGCGGGATTCGCCAGTCTGTCTTCTTATTTGACTGCCTGGCGGCTTCGTTAGTTTGCCATTGCAAGCTACCCTGTCGAGCCTGTCTAGGCACGGCAGCTCATGAGCTCGCGCCACACTGAAGCGTGGACGCCACGTCAGCCACTTTTACAGTATCGCCCCTGGTAATTATCAGTGGCCCGTGCTCTTGCCCGCCATTGTCAGTACAGCAAGATCATTGGCTACAACTCGCTAGAGGGGAACCCTGGTCGTCCACACAATTTTGTGCCGACGATAGAATAATTGAGACTAATTCCTGAACGAAATATTCGTGTTGAACCATTCCTCGTCCTCACAATCGCCAAATCGCCAAGATGCCTCAAGAGATTGCCGATATCAAGAGAGTATGTTCCAATCGAATTGTATTCAGCACGAAGTAAAAAAAAATAACCTGACAATTTTGGTTTTTAGTTCATCGAGATCTGCCGGCGGGACGACGCCAAGTGTACGTGTGACGAACCCGAGCCGAAGAATTGACGAGTGTTGCGCTGTATGATGAGAAGATAAAAACTTGATTCTGACGATTATTTGTCTCGTTTAGCCGCCCGGATCAAGAAGAGCACCAAGTCATCGCAGACCAAGTTCAAGGTCCGATGCTCAAAGCAGCTCTACACTCTCGTCCTTAAGGACACGGACAAGGCCGAGAAGCTCAAGCAGAGCCTTCCCCCGGGTACGCACGCAATGAATCAAACAAGACACTTCTTGGATAGTACATCATGGACTAACACCTAGGTCCGATAGGATTGCAAATCAAGGATGTTCCCAAGAAGAACAAGAAGGGCAAGCACACTGCTTAAACGATGAAAAGGGGGAAATGCATTTCAACTTGGGAGTATCTGGATGAAAGGCGACAATCTCCAAGCAGGTTGGGCGATGACCGGCACGACCGAATCTCGAAATAATGGACAAACCGGAGGGTGGCGTGTACGGGAAAAAAAAACAACCATGACGCATAGGACCAGCATAGGGCTGGCCGGGCTCATTTACAGGCGTCTACGGATAGCATGGAATTGAGATTTTTCTGCAAGCAAGACGAGGCTTGTGATAGACAATTCCCATCGATTGCACTACCAAAAGAACAAAAATTTGGACCAAAGCACACGCTATCTGCCTCAAGCTTATCATTCAATTATGCCTATGAAATCCAGACATGAGATATGACATGCGACTTCTCTATTAAGACAGGCTGCATCAGTTCAAAGTGCTTAAATTGCACGCCAGCTCCCTCTAGTGTTAAGAAGCAAACTCACCGTTAATCATCGTACTGTGACTAAGTTTAGTAAAAGTCCCAAAATATTGAATGCGCTAATCGCGAGACGAGATCTAAGTTTCCGTATTGCACAAGATAAATATTTTACAGAACTCCTTGTGCTGTGATATAAATGTTATAGAATTCGCTTATAATGCTTTACATCCAAGCCCTTGGCAAGCGACTGTAAGGGGGCAGCATATTCGGCAAAACGCGACGACTTTCCGAACTCGCCGTGCTTCTCCACGGCCGGCCATCCAACGAAGAAGACAAACTCGTCGGTCTCGGGGTCCTGCTTCTGGACGCGGAAGCTAGACCTGACGACCCGAGGCTTCACAAAGTCCTCGAGGATCGTCTTCCCGCCGTCCCAGGCCTTGGCAAAGTCCTCCCTTTTGTCCGCGGGTATCAGGACCCTGCCGACGCTGATGAACGGGCTCCGCAGCAGCGACTCTTGTTCTTGCTCGGCGTCGACGGGACGGAAGACGTCCGAGTCCAGGTGGAAGTACTCGAGCTTGCCAAAGTCGAAGTGGGCGCCGAGGGGCGCCGAGCTCTCCTTGTACTCGTCCGAGGCGAGCCAAGCGTTGTGCTCGTCGCTCGAGGACCAGTGCGCCGTCTCCATTACCACGCGCGGGTCCTCGACCTGCTGGAACAGGGCCACGCCGCGCGCTTCCCGATCGGTTGGGGCCGAGGGCACGTTGCGGCCGACCCAGTCCGCTTGTGCGTTGAAGGCACCACCCATCGCGGCCTTATTCGCCGGCGTAAATGCATCGGCAGTGCTCGTAAGCCAGACAATGTTGGTGACAGGCATTGTGACGGATGGATCGATGGATCGATGAGTGGATAGGATGATAAGCAGGTAGGTCTTGTTTATCTGTCTGTCTATCTTACGTCCCTTGTGTCTGTGATTCTTCTGTAGGGCTCGAGCGACGGAAGTCCTTTGAATTAGGTAGGTACCTATGGTTGTAATCTTGGAGGCTCAAATCTAGGTATAGCATGAGGCGATAAGAAGATCATCTAACCTTATGTCAGGTACCAATTTAGTCTAGTTTAGACGATGATTTCTAAGAATAACTCATACCATCAAATGAATGAAAGAACCTGCGAAACATTGGTGCTTATCTTTTCAAATCATGATGGAATTGCTGACGATCCATGAGGCGCCCTTTGAAACGCGGATGCCCTTCTATGGTCCTCCTGTTTCTCTACCCCGCATAGGCCAGAGCGTACGCAGTGGATTTCGAGGTGGAAGAAAAGAGGGCTAGACAGTCTACTCCAACGGCCCCGGTTGGGGTTCAATAACACCATAGCAGTTCACGATGTCGTCTACTCCATACCTACCTGCTATCATCGTGATGTACAGCCAGTGTTGTATCTCTAACATACGGAGAATACGCATACACGTCCTTGACTTGCAGATAAATAGATTATGTCTGTTAGTATCCGGTTATGACTCAATTCGGCGCACCCCGGTCCTCAGTGAATAAGTATCGGGGTTACTCAACTCGGATGCGCCGGGGGCTCGCCGATTCCGGTTAAGCAGTGACCGAACTCACCTACCTACCTACACGACCCATCTGCCTCACGAACACCGTTGAGGCCTGCATCGTGCGCTGTGCTTGGCTGCTCGGCACTGGTGACTGCACTAATGTAGCTACCGTGTGACGAGCATACCACAGGTGGTTGTACAGTAGTGCAAGAGAGAAGAGATAACTCGCTCTCTGTCGAAATTTATCCGAAACTGTCTGTTCCCGTCCTACCAACCCTGACACTCGAGAAGCTGATACGGGTATTCGTGAAGAGGTACACGAATTGCCTATTCGCCTACCTATCTACTCACGAAGTCAGATAAACAACGGGCGGTTTTCGCAACGCACCGGCCCGCAGAGCTCCGATTGTACATCATCATACATGCTGCTGCCGTAAACGGGTTGTCTAGCGAGATGGTCATAGCCAACTCTTCTGCATAGAGCAGACCATACTGTACTAACGCTCCACGTAACGGTGCACATGGTGAATAGCAGATAGGCAAGCCGTTAAGTCGTGTAGATAACATAGTGTGTGCAGCAGCGAGTTACGCCGCATGCAAGCGCACGAGCGGAGAACATATTGCGAAGGACCTCGGGAACTGTTGATGTTCTCTTATCAAATACTGGTTTGCCTCTCTCGGTCAGCTTACTCCAGCAAGTTGAAGCGACGGATGGGTACAGATGGGGCTAGATAGGTACGGGTAACAGGAGAAGACTACCTAGAAGATAGAAGATAGAGGATAGGTAGGGGATAGAGGAGAGAGATAATAGCGTCATCTTCCAAGTAGGTACCGGTACCGTAGGTATCTCCGCTGTCAATTTGACACATCCCATCCGATGACTTTTTTTTTTCTGGTTGAATTGTCTTGCCGGGCAAATTGCTTACCAGACAGAGCCTCCCACCACCACCCCCCGCGCCCCGGGCCCTTGTCGTTGATATGCGCGCATAGAAGCTTCGGTTTGCCCAGCTGACTGAACCTGACTAACCTGAGCAAACATTGTTGGACTGACTTGCAGACCTGATTCGGCGTGGTTGATGATGGTGATAACAGTAACCGTATCGGACTGAAACGCTCAGATCCTTGCGTTACTCAGCACGCATAGCACTTTATAAAAAGGCACCCATCGCAAAATAGAAGCATACCCACCCATAGCTGGGCGTGGCAGAGCAAGGATCTAGGGTAGGTATGTACGTAGGTAAGTACCTAAAGTAGGTACAGTAGGTAGTGTGTACCTTACCTAGTAGGTACCTACTTACACACCTTAACTCATCTGAGTGTGATCGGAACCTACCTTGATCCAGATGCGCATCGCGCATACATACATACACACATACTTACTTAAGTAGTATACCTCTCAGCCTCCTAAAGCTGCTCAGAGCACCAAACCATGCTGGAAAGGTAACCTGAGGGTACTTGGCGTGGTGTGCAGTGGACGTATAAGAGACGTCGAGGAGTATTACAGATGGCCTAGAGAGGAAAGGTCGGTATCGGTAGGTAGGTAGGTACTTATACTATGTACATACTACCTATACTACTTATGTAGGTAGGTGCAGAGAGATGCAGTAGCCAATGGTGGCCCGATCTTATCCCACGCAAAGACGGAAAGTTCCCCTGACTGTGCGGCCGCCCATTGGCTACGAGGGCCAACCTCAGCCTCCCCACAGCGTAGCCCACACCCAAGAGAAGGGGAGGGCGTGGGTCCCCTTTCAATTATTACCACGCTGAGCCCCGGCTCTCTTTCGCTCACCCCGACATGGGTCTAGCTTCTGTAGGTACTAGTAAAGGTACCCCATGACCCCACGTAAATACAGTGTAGAGAGAGGTACCTACCTGGGCACTTCCGTACTTAGGTAGTCTCGAGAGCGCGCGTGGCCAGAATGATTCCAGAACTTCGATTGCTCATCATGATTTGAAAAATCGGAAAGCAGAAAGGGGGCATTTATTCAGCTATAGGCGGGCCCCATTCACCCCAAGACACAGGACAGAACCAAAAGGGACGCCAGATGCCGTTAGTGAGAGCTGGGCTAGCTCGTCACAGTTCCAGTCCCGACCGGTTGTGTGACCCGATGACATTTCCCATGTTTTCTTATTGCTGGTCTCTCGGCTTCGGGGGATGGATACCTACCCTACCTACCTGCCTGTCAGACTGTTGGGAATACCTACCTACAGTAAGTACTGTGGGAGGATGGCAGCACGGATACACGTGTAGATGCTTCCGATGGATCGATCAACTGGAGGATGGATTGAATCGATGACGAGTCGTTACATCTAGACAATGGGTCAATTCACTAATGAGGCAGCGCACTTGCTGCACATTACATGAACAGACTGCTACACAAGAAGAGGTAGAGCATCTCAATCCCTGTAGTCGCATCCGCAACCCGGGCTGTCAACCAGAGGTACCACGGCCTGGCTGGGTACATTGCTCACCCGCATATCGTCTCTGGATTCCATGTCTTACTTACAAAATAGAGCAGAGGCACTATGCTTTTGTACCAGAGCGCGCGTCTGGACTCACACACATGACCTCAGTGCAAACTCAGGCCGCCGCTGATTGGCCGGCGAACTCTATCCAACTCGAGGTAACCTTGGGGACTGCTGCGTATTCGTACTTGACCCGAACTTCGATCGAAACGCGAAATGTGATGGCCTCCTTGTGCTCCCGCTTTGTCGTGCTTTGTCGTGCTTTGTCCCGCGTTGTGTGGCCTTGTTTGCGCTGCACAAGCCTCCATTGATAGGACCAACATACTCCAGGCAGATCCAGGCTACTGCTACTACTCAATTGCCCGCTTACAGCTTGACTGGATTGGATATACCCACCGTGACTGGGTATCGAGAGAGCGAGGCCCCCCTCGTCCCTCACTCGCTCGATGCTACCAGCCTGGGCAGCTAATAAGATACCTACAATACATACATACATACCCAGTATACCTAAGCTTAGGTAGTTATTACTACAGTACTGTAATGACATAGTTTAGGCCAGGCAAGGAAGAAGGAACCCGGCCTGTCTTAGTATGGGCAAGCGGTTTAGTGTAATGGTCTAGTCGGTGCGGGCTGCCCAGATCCTTCCAACAACTAATAAGCCAGGGTACGTTTTTAATAATAGCTTTTTCCCATGTCCATGGCCCAGGACATATACAAATAGCTTCGTCGCCTTTATTATCCCGTACACTATCCTCCGATTTCCCCTTCTTTTTTTTTCCTTTCCCCCTTTTCTGCAAATTTCCTCCCCGTGCTCCATCTTTCATCACGTCTTGTCTGGTCTTTTTGTTACGCACACGCCAGCAGACCTTCGCGGATAGTCCTGCTTGGTCTCTGCACACAAAGGTCACCACCACCACCGTTGATTCGATATCGTGCCTCCTCTCGACGCCTCCTCGTCACTGGTATCCGGCTTCCCTGTTTTATTCAAGACAATAAACTGTTGGGCCAATTGGTGCGAACATCGCAGTGTGGCCCACTTGTTGAATTACACGCTTAGAGCTGGTATACCTTCAAAAAGGCTTTATTGGGGACAGCCCCATCTGTAGGCTCATTTCTGCCACAACCCATGACTCGTGTTCCAGCTACACCCGAAAGCTCGTCTTCGGAAATGCCCAGCCTCACGAATGGCTTCCATGCGATGGAGGTGAACGGGAACGGGAACGGACGCACCAATGGTCACTCTAGCAGCACCGAGGGCAGCAGGTCATCGAGTGCGAGCGATGGGGCCAGGTTTGGGCGTAGGAAGTCAATTCCTATGATGCCCCCTTTCATGGTCTCCGCACCAGGCAAAGTCATTGTATTTGGAGAGCACGCGGTGGTTCACGGCAAGGTATGTCCTTGGCGGAAGCAAACGACGTGCACTCATTGTGCGCGCTCGTTTGCTCGTGAGACACTTGTGCTGGCCTAGAGAATACTGACCAGTTCGCTTTTTACAGGCTGCTATTGCTGCTTCGATCTCCCTACGATCTTACTTGCACGTAACGACACTTTCGAAATCACGACGCACAATCACACTCAGATTCCCCGATGTTGACCTAGTACATTCATGGCACATTGACGATCTGCCCTGGGAACTGTTCTCGCACCCATCCAAAAAAAAGTACTACTATGACCTTGTCACGAGTCTGGACCCGGAGTTAATGGCTGCTATTCAGCCACATCTCGCCGACGTTTCGATCGACAGGCCTCCTACTGAGCGCAAGATTCACCAGAATTCCGCTGCGTGTTTCTTATATCTTTTCCTCTCCTTAGGCTCACAAAAATTCCACGGCTGTATATATACGTTGCGGTCAACAATACCTATCGGTGCCGGGTTGGGCAGCAGTGCATCGATTGCAGTATGCTTATCGGCCGCCCTATTATTACAGATCCGCACCCTTTCGGGGCCGCACCCTGATCAACCCTCAGATGAAGCACGCTTGCAAATAGAGAGGATAAATCGTTGGGCCTTTGTGGCAGAGATGGCTATTCACGGAAATCCCTCTGGTGTTGACAACACCGTCGCGACACAAGGCAAGGCCGTTGTCTTCCAGCGAATAGATTATGACAAGCCACCTGCCGTAACGCCATTATGGGACTTCCCCGAGCTTCCGTTGCTTTTAGTCGACACTCGCACGCCCAAATCAACAGCTGCGGAGGTGGCCAAAGTAGCTAAGCTAAAAACTACTCATCAGAAACTCGTAGGCAGTATCCTTGACGCGGTCGATAAGGTGACCAGAACTGCCGAGGGTCTCATTGACGAGGACACTTTTGATGCCAAAGAGGACGAAAGTCTGAGACGCATGGGCGAATTGATGTCCATTAACCACGGCCTGCTTGCTTCTCTAGGAGTGTCACATCCTCGACTTGAGCGTGTGCGCGAGCTCATCGACTTCCAGAACTTGGGTTGGACGAAGCTGACAGGTGCTGGCGGCGGCGGTTGTTCGATAACATTGATGAAACCCGGTGTGTCCAAGGAAAAATTAGAATCGCTACAAGCACAACTTGATTCCGAGGGCTATGCACAGTTCAAGACGACGCTCGGTGGCGATGGCATCGGCGTTCTATGGCCAGCCGTGTTGAAGAATGGATTAGATGAAGACCACGAGGGTGGCATGGAGATTGATCTCGATAAGTTCCTTAACGCACCTGGCACTGAAGGTGTAGAAAAGCTGGTTGGTGTCCATGGCGGAACTGGCGAGAGAGAGGGATGGAAGTTCTGGAGAGTAGAGAGCCGATAACAACAGCAGCCTGGAGATGAAGAGCATCGTTTTGCTGTTTCGCTTTCTTTTGAATCTAGCTGCTTCCAAGCTGTTTCACTTCTTCACAAAGGTTTATCGAGCGGTTCCCCGGGTGTCACCACGGAAAGTTACGGATCGTATTGTATCATTGTTCTGGGGGTTATATCACAGGGACATTTAGCATGCATTATTCGGAGTATAGTTAGATCAGGGGCTCGATTTGTTCAAGTCTTTGACACAAGGTATAGTTAACTATCGTGCAATTCATATTAATAAGAGTTGTACTACCATTTGCGAGCTGTGCGCATGCAAGGCGAGGTGATACTGCGGGCAATTAACCCTTCGCGATCGTGGTGAGGTGGCGCGGATTAGATGCACCCAGAGACCATGCTTTAACCGGTCATATGGGCTGCTAGCGAGGCGCGACCGAAGTGTGAAAGTGACGATGTATCGTGAATAGGATTGAGACAACTCTGGTGACTTCGGGGAATGCTTGATGCGGGTTTGATTTACAGGCAGGGTCGACAATACGGTCGGGGATGGTCTCGGGGTTCGCTGGGCAGACTGGGGAAGGCATCTGGAAGCGCAACTTACCCCACCACATCCCACCATCCGCCGTCCCGCTGTCCCGCCCTCCCGCCATCCCACTCTTTACCTGGTCTTGCATCTGCATCTGCACCACATCACCAACATCATTGCCTTTCTCTCTGCTTTTTCGGCCACCCGCAGCAATGCCCCCGAAGAACAAGGGTGGCAGCTCCAAAGCGAAAGACGCTGAAGGTGAGTCGGGTCTTGGTCGACAAAGCGCGTAATCTATCTCTGGTCGGCTATCCAGTCTGGCAAGGTCAAGCGAGCAAATGCTCCAGCCCAGCCAAGTCGTGGCTTGCACTCCCAGTCTACATTCCAGACATGCACTCCAGCCCCCGCTACATGCGTAACGTGTGACGAAATAGTGAAAGTGGCCTCGGACTAACTGATTCTTTGTCTTACCTAGCAAAGCAACTAGCATCTGTACAACAGGCACCAAAGGAGCCTCAGACAATTCGTGAAATTGAGTGGCAGCAATATTGGTCTACGAATCCGATCCACAAGCTAGCTGAGGAACAGGGGTTTAATAGCCTGGGTCCTGCCGACAAACGAACCTACCTCAACCTAGAGTTACTTAGAAGTATAGCTCATATCGACGACCTCTCCAAGAAAGGCCAGCGCGAGTTCTGGAAGCAACTGAGCGACGCGAACGTACCACTACGCAGTGCCCCGAGACCGAAGGCCGACCAGTGGGGTCGCGACAGAAACGGTCGGCCTATAGGCGACTACACACCTGAGGAATACGCCGCGTACGAAAGGAAGAAGTCGAGGATAAGCGAATTAGATTTCGAGAGCACTTTCTTTAGGCGCGACAGGGAGAGGGCGCATTGGAAGTCAAAGAATCCAGTTACTGGAGAGGTATATACCATCACCGAGGACGATATAAAAGCTGAAAAAGAGCGTCGTCAGGAGATGTCGGCTCTTCGCAGCGAACTGTACGGCACAAAGCTGAGTACTTACGCAAATGATCCGGAGTGGGACGATGTCGTGCCTATACCGCAGGAGGAGCCAGAAGGCGCATTAGCGGCCATCGCTTATGCTGACGACTATGCGGAGGGTATGCATTCTTCTGAGCAACGAGTTTCATATCTCGCTTCCTGTAATTGAATCTGGTGGCTGATACTGTACTACAGCAATGGCCTACCTTCGTGCTGTCATGGTACTCAAGGAGCACACACCTCGTTGTCTGCGATTAACCGAGCATATTATTGATATGAACCCAGCACACTACACCGTGTGGCTTTATCGATTCGACATCGTCAAAGCACTCAACATACCTATTCCAGACGAGCTAGAATGGTTGAACGAAGTATCACTCGAGCATTTGAAAAACTACCAGATATGGCATCACCGACAGCAATTGTTAGATCTTCACTACCCGGCAGTGCAATCAGACGAGAAAGCCGTCGCGGCACTCGCCGCCGGCGAGCTTGATTTCCTAACGGACATACTAGAGAAGGACACGAAGAACTACCATGTATGGAGCTATCGGCAATACCTGGTGCGCAAGCTAGGGCTATGGGACTCGGGAGAGGAGATGCGTAGCACCGAGATGCTGATCAGTCAAGACGTGCTGAACAACTCGGCGTGGTCACACCGATTCTTCCTGGTCTTCGACAACCCGAAACAAAGCACACCAGGATCCCACAGCACCGCCTACGACCCCAAGGTCCCCGAGGAGATAATCCTTCGCGAGACAGCCTACGCAGAGGAGAAGATCTTCCTCGCCCCTCAGAACCAGAGCCCGTGGAACTACCTCCGCGGCGTGCTCGTCAAGGGAGGAAAGCCATTGGGCTTTGTGCGCAGGGTGGCGGAGTCGTTCGTCGACGGCCTGGGCGAGGGCGAGGAGAAAGAGGCCGTCCGCAGCTCGCATGCCCTGGACCTGCTGGCTGACATCTGCAAAGAGGCCGGCGAGAAAGAGAAGGCCGACCTGTGTCTGCGCCGACTTGGCGATAGGTGGGATCGCATACGGAAGGAGTACTGGGAGTATCGGAGACAGAAGCTTGATGAATAGGGAGGGCCTTTTTGCACGTAGATGTAGGGAGGGGGGTGACTGGCGCAAAGCGGTTTGAAACTCGGTTGTGGAGTATAGATAGGAACGAATTTAGAAGAGGGGAGGGTATTGTGCCACGTTGTTGTTAGGTTGTGAGGGCGATGGTACAAGGTGTTGTGAGTGGTCTGTTGGACCAGACAGGTAGCTTGATATCAATTGACATGCTCACGTTTACACGCGGTTTTCTTCTATCTTTCTGCTGTGTATGTGTTCTGAAGACGTGATGCTAGATCTTTGCATTCGCTCTAGATACGTCACTGCTATATGTATATATATATATATGCCTGGAACGTAATATCTGATATCCTTTTCCTGCTTGTAGCTAGCTGGTACATGTACATGGATTTGGGAAGTGCCATGGTTTCTGGTACGAATGTTTCGTTAACATCCGTTGTCTGTCTGTCTGTCGTGATGAAATGTAGAGATGTAATTGTGGGCTTTTCGTGGGATATATCCCAGGGAGAAGAGTTACGCAACTGTTTCTTCTGGAATTCCCTACTCGCACTTTCCTCGCCTTCTCCTCGCTTGGGCGGTATATGAGTCTAGCGACACCGTTTTGTCCATTGGGTCATCAAATCCCTCGCCCGTTCATCCCATCCTCGTATCCTCCTCGCTTTTCCTCGTCTTTTGTTTGACTTTATCGATATTTGGTTGGGGTTCGAGTGATGACTACTTCACTTTGTCGTCGTGGTCTTGGTTTTTCGGTATTGCTTTGGCTTGACGCCTGTATGGATGGTTTCTTGCTTGACGGAGTGGGTGAGTGAGTGAGTGGTATATAGGTATACTCACACCCCGAATTTCTCGCGGTACTTTGCCAACATGTCGAAGGAGATGCTCGCGCCGCCGCACACGACTAGCACGACGTTCGTCCGCGCCCAGCTCGCGTCGTCTGCGTCGGGCGCCAGCGCGACGCGCAGCAGAGCTTGACTGTTGTACGCGGCTGAGAGCGTTGCGCCGCAGGCCACTTCGACTAGGAAGCGCGCGTCGTCGAGGAATCTCGCGCAGGCTGATACGGCGGCTGCGTCGGAGACGACGGCGCTCGTGAGACGTGTTTGGGAATGCTCTGGGCTCCGCTTCGTGGGTGACGGCTTTGTAAGGGGAGACGAAGACTGTGGGGAGAGGAGGGTGAAGGTCGATGCGTTGCATCTCTGCGCCCACTGGTATGTTTGCGCTGAGACGCGCGGAGCGCCTAGCGTTGTCGCTACACTTGTTATACCTGGTAACGATACGTGTTGTTCTGCGCGGATGCTGGCTGCTAGAGAGTCTGCGCCTGACGTCTCTATCGCGAGGACGGCGGGTCGAGGAGAGCCATAGTTTCTCTCTATCCCCTCCATCACACCGTTTAGTAAACCACCGCCCCCGACACTGCACACGATGGCATTGACCACGCCGTTCCCGTCCCCGTTTCCGCTGAAGAACCCCTTCGCCTCGAGAGACGCCAGTTCATCGACTATTGTCGAGTTTCCGTCCCAGACCGACGGATGGTCGAAGGGCGGGACGTAGACGCCGTCCGGATTGCTCTCGACCGCGGCCCGACATAGCGCGTCGGCCTCGGGCCAGGCGCCGCTTGTTGCGCGATGCGGCGTCGCGCCGAGGGCGGCGAGTTTCTCCATGACTATGTCGGGCGTGGGCGCGGAGAGGAACACGTCGCAGGGCTGCCGCAGAGTCCGCGCCGCTTCGGCACAGGCCAGCCCTGCGTTGCCGCCGCTGCTGCAGTGGAAGTGCGCGCGCCCTGAGCTCGACGTCAGCAGGGCGCGCGACATCATGGTCCCGATCCCGCGGGATTTGAACGACCCTGATGGCTGCAGGTTTTCAAGCTTCAGGTATATGTTGCAGCCCGCTGCCCGGGATAGCTCCTGGGACTGGATGCAGGGCGTCTCCATGTGGAGCTTGGGTAGGTCCGGCACGAATGAACCCATGTTTGTATGAGGACTGCTGAATAGGAACTGGTTTTGTCTTGTAGGAAGACTCGATCTCTTGAAGCGCAAATTGGATATCGAGACTATCGCCGCTCTCTAAACTGCTCCTTGATGAGAATGTATAGAGACACCTGGGGATTCGCTCCCTGCGAGGCCCTGATTCTTTGCCTGATGCTTGATGAGAACCTTGGTGGTTTTGGCTGTGATAGTCTCTGGAGGCTTATATATGAAGCAGATAAGACACGGCCCCGATCCTGGTCCGAAGAGTCAGGTTGCAGATATTTTGCAGGTTCTGATGTCTCGGAGTAGTTAAAAGGATGAGAGTTGTAATTGGGGAAAGACCAGAAGATGAATTGAGTTTAATCAATCTCAGGCACTCTCTTATATAAACCCTGGTAGCCTAAAGGCATGGATTTTTATGGGAGCGTGATTCATTCACATCGAACTCGGAGGTTAAGATATAGCGACAGGTTGGCGTCCCACAAATATGCGAAAGGGCGTGGTCTGGAGCCGCCTTCTTTGACATTTGGACAAGCTGCAATCTCACCATGTCCAACCATTTAGTCCGACAAATGGGATTATCGCCAACCTACCTCCCCAATACGAAAAGGCTTGCCCCCTGTTTTCTACCATCGTGACATGTTCCGGGACAAAGCGGCGCAGGTTGACCGGTTCCTCTTGAATAAGTATAGGGTAAGATGGAGCGAACTATAGGGTAATGGAGATTGACTCGAGGGGTTGCCGACCGAATAAAGCCCGGCGCCCGATTCCGACGCTGGCCGGGTGCAACTTCATGCCCTTTAGCTTTAGCTTGGGCTCAGAGCAATGAAGGAGAGTCTTATCTCGATCTGTTTTATCGTTATTATCGTTATTCTCAGTGCGCGAATAGAAGTATTGACTTCCCATCTCCTCTGTTTTGACTTTTGGGCAGCGTTAGGGATCGTGATCATTCCTTGGGATGCCTTTGGCGAATCTCTTCGGTTCAGATCGGCTCATGATTATGTTATTGTCGCTGGCCTTCGTTAGGCCTCTACCTAGATAAATTTTTGGAGAATCAATACATCCTTGCTGCTTATGGGAGACAGCCGCTTGCCGATGTTGATTTCTTAATACATCCACAAATACATATAGATCCCAGGCCTTACCGTTGAGATTAGCTGGGCATGATACAATAAGAGGCAGAAAGCACATCCAATGCCACTAAGAGGAGGAGATAGATGTAGTCCTAGACTGAATCATAACTGTCACTCGATCTTACAAATTAAATTCAAACCCCTCTCAAGAACAGTCTAACGAGCTGATCCGCTTGGGCCCTTGATGTTCTAACCTAGGGAACGGATACCAACAGGGTGACAGGGGTTGTATTGTAGATGGCAGAGATACTTGATCCGTGATTAGATGGCTCACAAGCTCGAAGAGTTAAACTTTGATATAGTTTGGGACTGATGATACTTGATCTATCACGGCTCTCAAATTTCGAGGAGTCAATTGTAGAAAGTAAAACCTGATACAAACCTAACAATTCAGAGGTGGTGAAATTGACATATAAGAAGGCTGGATTATGGCGCCACAGTGCGCAAAATATGCCCTACATTCTAGCTCCAGCGACTTTTGATTGGTAACTACGTCCTTGAACCTTCTGTACACAGCTGATCATACTGGAGTTAGGCTCGACAGACTTCTTTTCAACGCACAGTACCTCAACACCAACATACATCGTCACATTATTTGCTAGCACATGTGTCAACGACACACAATATCAAATACAACTCCTAGAGACCAAGTTCCTTCGTATTGCGACTCATTTCTCCTATATCGCCCTTTTCCCTGAAACCACGATACAATATCATTACAAATCACCGTAGCTTATACACCGCAAAAGAGGTAGCTCATCCATCGTTGAAGGTGACGGCAGTTTAGTCTAGCTCATCTTGAAGTGGGATTTATACCGACATCCATATATACAACATATAATAATTATATATCCCTGAATCACGCCGAATTCTCATATCACTAAGTACTACCGGGGCGAGCCTCTTAGGCGCAGGCGGAAGCAACAAACACACCATGGCAAACATACCATCATTACCATCATTAGAGACACAGGCCAAAGTCTCAAGCGACGGTACACTACGAGCCCCATTTCCCTTCCTATCTCCCCCTCATATTTTCAGAATTGCGCAGATCGCTAACATGACCTCCACCTCCAAAGCGGCCCAGGATTTCGTAGACCACTACTATGAAACCCTCAACAAGCGGCAGTCCCTGGCACCATATTACGCCAGCACGTCCACGCATCTGACCAATGCGTCTGTGAAGCCCGACATCGGCATTAACGGGCGCGTAGTGGAGTCGGTCGCTGCGTACGAGGCGCTGCTGGATGCGCAAGGTGCGAATGTGCACTACACCGTCTCATCTTTCGATGCGCATCCCGTGAATCCGAACTACGCGCTAGGATGCCCTGAGAATCTCGCGGTAGCTTTTGAAGGGAGTGAAGGAGGGGGGCCCGGCCGAGGGAAAGTAGCCAAGTCTATCAAGGATGGCGACCGGGTAAGCTTTGTGGTTCAAGTCAGGTTAGTGCTCTAGTCGATGCGCATGAGTTCTCACACTATAGACGTTCAATCTGTCGATAGTACGGTGCTGACTTTGGATTCATTATATAGCGGGACTATTCAGTATGGCAAGCCCAGCGATACGCCTGTGCCTACGTCTACGCAGGTAGGAGCCGTGGTAGAAGCAGCACCGGCCGAGGTGGCATTCAATGAGTCCTGGCTTCTGGTCCCGCACTGGGAGGCATTGGGTCGAAATGCGGCGCGTGGGCTTAAGAAATGGGTCGTCGTTAGTCAAAACTTCCGAGCTTTTTGAGGACTTTTAGCCGGAAGACACGAGATTGCTATATCCTCGTATACCCCATATTGGCTGTTTATATATGATTGAGGGAAAGGCCTAGGATATCACATTTAGGATTTGGGCATGTTGGATTGAGATACCAGAAGAATCAAGCGGATGATAGGCAAAATATGTACTAAAAGCACCCTTGGATGAAAGAACCGCTTGTTGGCTGGGTTCGATGGGTAACGGAGAGTCATACCTCGACACTGGAGGAGAAGCCTGAAAAACGTGGTGTAGCCACTAGGTACTCAGCTCTTTTGGTCCAACTACATAAAAAGTATTTAAGCGATGAGCAAATGATGCAATAGACATAGAAAGCCGAGCGGCAATGCAACCACCAAGTCCTGTCTGACGTTGTGACGCCCAACGATACCAACATAGGCCCTCATCATCTCACGCATGCCATCCTGGTATTCATCAAATTCATTTTTTTAAGATATCATATACCAAGCCCATGTCTGATCTATGTTCTATGCCATCTTCACCACGCATTTCACCGACATCACCTCTTCAATCGCGACCGATCATACAAACACTCTCTATACCCAGCACACCCAAGCCCATCCGAATCCAAAAGCACCATAGTAATCTCGTTGAAATAATCCGGCTCCCCGTGTCTGCGGAATCCCAAGTTCTCGAATAATCTGATGCTCCCCTTATTCTCAGCATTGATCTTCGCCACGAGCCTGCTTAATCTTATTTGACACTGATCCGTAGAAGGGATTTCCGCATTTTGGCCCCGGATATATTCATCTAGTATCGCGTCGCGATGTCCGCGCAAGACTGTCAGAAACGCGCATACGACGCTCTCGCCGAGACCTTTCCGTCTATGCTCGGGGTTGGCGATCATGATGTCTATTTCGCCTTTGACGTCGCGAATTCCACTATTTCCTTCTCCTACATCTTTTCCATCATCATCATCGTCGTTGTCGTCAGGTGTCAAGAATAGATTCACATCCCCCACCATGCGCGCATCGACATCGTCCTCGCCAGCGTATATAACTGAGGCAGACGTCGTCGCGTCCGTGTCGGGTTCTGTCTCTACCGGGACAGATGCGGATGATGTGGAATTACAAGTAGCCGGTTGGCATACTATAAAAGTCAGCTTGTCGTGCGCCGTGCGCCACGACTGCTGGTTTTCGTACTCCTCCTCGAGAGTCAGGAGGTCCGAGGCTGTTGCCTCGCGGAGGTCCTGGGTATATATCTTAGCGACACGAATACACAAACAATCAAGAAAAGGAAGAGAAAATCGAAACAGAAGGAAAAAGATAATATATAGAAATTTTGGATTGAGAGATGATGAGAGTGATGCAAACCCAGGAAGTGCAATAATACTCTCGGAATACGCAACGAAAAAGAACACAAACACGAGAAAAAAGCAAGTTAAAAATAAAATAAAATGTAAACTCACCTCATCCTGCATCCACTCATGATACCGCCCAACATGATGCGCATCATACGGGACAAGGAGGACGCTAGACGCAGACACGGCTATCGAACATTCAATCCGCAAATTAGCCATCCCAATTTCAACCTATATCTTCACCTCACCTTCACCAGCCACTCCCCAACTTTCACACAAGATTATAAAAATCCAGTTTCGAGAACGAACGAACGAACTTACCCAAGTCCTCATTAACCCTCATATTTCATGCGGCGATATACTTCGAAGAGTCGTGTACATTGGTATGATGTATATGTACCATAAGTCCTGTTAGTGGTGAGGATGAGTTGGGAAAGTAAAGTAAAGTAAAGTGTGTGCTCGTGCTCTGATTGGGCGAAATGTGGAGATATTTTAGATGCATGCCCCAGCATTCATCGGCTGAGAACAAACGTATGATACTACAGAGGTAGAATTCGCATAGAAAAACGAACGAAGAAGCGGTGACAACACCGTAGAAAAGGTGGAATGGGAGGTTTCAATCGCTTTATATAGATGATTATGTCTTTTGAAGTGCATATTTGGTCTGATCTACATTGAGTGGTATAACATATTGATACCTAACCTAGCACAAATTACTATGTGACCAAGTTCAATTTACTTATACATGAATTAACATGCTATGATACATCCTCGATCTCACGAGGCACATGCATTATTCCTTCTATTCGAATTACTTCAGTCCTCAACGGGTAAGGTCGGGAAGAGACTGCCCTGCGCGCCCGTACCAAGAGGCACCATAGGAGTACCATAGGAATCATCGCTATTAAGCACAGCGTCTTCGAGCCTCCGTCTAGTCGGGTCGACGCCGAGTCTATCGAGGAGCTCAGAGGCCTTCTCCGGTATAAAAGGCTGCAGAAGAATGCCCACGATGCGCAGCGATTCCGCGGTGAAGAACACCGTTCGTTCCACGGCGACCATGTCGCCTTCTTTGCTCCTTTCCCAGGGCGCTTGTTCGGTGAAGAATTTGTTCGTCTGTGTGCAGTTTGCATGTGCTTAGCAGTTGATCAAGCAGTGCACGGGAACAATAGTGATACTTACATCAAAGACAACGTCCATAATATCTTGCAGCGCCCAGCTGGGGTTCAGAGCCTTCATGTGATCGTCCGCTTTTTCAACGACTCGTCCTAGAATCTTCCGATGATATACAATTTCCGGGGACAATGTCGAACCTTGTGTTCGTGCCATGTTTTCCACGGCTTGTCGAACGCTCCAATTCTTCGGTCGCGTGACTCGGTTAAGCAGATTGCCCAATCCACCCTGTAACCCCTTTTTGTACTTCTCGACAATGAAGGCGTTGTTGTAGTCTGCGTCGCCGGAGATGTGGCCACTGTAGATCAGAAAGTATCGCATGGTATCCACGCCCCAGCGATCTAGGGCGAAGAACGGGTTGACAACGTTTCCAACCGACTTGGACATCTTTTGCTTGCTCATTAGCCAGTGGCCGTGGCTAAGTACCTGCTTCGGTAAAGGGAGGTCTAATGCCATCAGAAATGCTGGCCAGTAGATGCAGTGGAATCTGACGATGTCTTTGCCAACTACGTGAACATCGGCCGGCCACCCCCCGGTGTGCTCAGAGCCGGGCTGCCAGTGAGGATATCCCGCCGTGGTGATATAGTTCACGAGAGCATCGAGCCAGACGTAAATTGTCTGACTCGGGTCGCCTGGCACAGGTATGCCCCAGTCCAGACGATTGGCGGGGCGGGACACGGAAAGATCCTCCAGGTTATTCTCGACCCAGTTGATTACCTCTGTAAACCTACCAGCCGGTACCACCCACTCCGGGTTTTCCTTATAGAACTGCAACAGCTTTTCACGGAAAGCGGTCAGGTGGAAATGGTAGTTTCTTTCCTCGGTCCACTCGACGGCATTTCCAGTTTCAATGGAGGCGATAAAGCTCTTCCCCGTTATTGGTGACACGCGCTTTTCAACCATGTTCTCGGGGTAAAATGTCTCGTCGCTCACGCAGTACCAGCCCTCGTGCTTATTCTCGTATATGTACCCTTTCTCGCGCAGACGCGCCCAGAAAAACTCAACGGCATCGCGGTGCTCGGGATCAGTGGTGCGGATGAAATAATCGTTGGCGATGTTGGCCTTTTTCGCGAGGTCCTTGAACGTCTCGGCGTTCGCGTCACAGAGCGCTTTGGGGTGAAGATCCTGCAGTTCGGCAGCACGCTGAACTTTCATTCCGTGTTCGTCGGTCCCGGTGCTCAGGTAGGCTGTCCGACCCTTCAGAACCTCCCAGCGCTTGAAGACGTCGGCGATGAGCATGGAATACAAGTGACCGACATGGGGGGCTGCAACAGTTAGCCACGCTCTTCGCTGCCTAAAGTCACAGCGCTGGCGGGCCTATCTTACAAGCATTGACATAGAAGATAGGAGTTGTCACGTAGTACGGCTTGTCGTTTTGCTGGTGCGAGAGATTGCCGCTGTTGCTACTACTGATGCTCGCGCTGGTGCTGAAACGCAATCGCGCAGCTCCCCGAGCTCTGCAAGACTGACAAACCCACCCATTGGGCCGGATTGAGACTGTTCGAAGTGTTGAAAGCCGACGGCTAGAGGCTATCATGAAGCGCTCCATGTCGCGGTCAGACCCCTCTGACTGGCGTTGAAGTAGGTGGCTAGAGCCTACCTGAATCTGCCTTGCAGAATACCTAACTACGAGGCAGCTAACCTAAGCTAATAGGCACAGTATATACCTACGGTACTGTCAGTGAATATCTGTAAAAGCACGTACTAAAGGCAGTTAAAAAGACCCTAAACACAGTGCGCGCCGAACATGCCCACAGACAGTATACTGTATGGGAAATGGGAGTCTCTCCCCTTCAGTCCAAAGCCTGTGCACCTCAGCAATATTAGTGATAGTTGCTTCTGATATCAATCATCTGTATTCGTTACACTTCCCGCGCCATTGGTCTGCGTGGGTAACTAAAATACAATGCCCTCTTGTCGCATAGTTTTGGTGGTCCTGTAATCCCACACACTACCTGGTCATCTTGAATGCCTGCCGTTCTCTAGCAAGATTATAGGCAAAAGACAAGCGTAGATAGAGGCTCGCCATCTCAAGCTAGGCAGAAACCTCGTCATTCATGAGGAAAGAATGCAGAAAGATGTGAAGATTCCCACTCGTGTAACGCCTCTTTACCTGCCATAGCGTTGACGCACAATCCAGTCTAATAACACCTATGCTCAACCAAATAGACCTTTTTTTTTCTCTCTCATTCTTCCATCAAAAAAATTAATTCACGCCGAGAAAATATCGATATATCTCCTGACAATTCAGGACATTTCTGATCACTCCTTCCGACACCGCTAACGACGATGCAGACAGCGATGAGGTGACCAAACCTTACTACGTTCCTCGGAAAAGGAACGACAGGTCGGCAGCAGTAAGGGATTCCATAGCTGCATCATCGGAGTTGATAGTCGAATGGATCATGTGAGTTTTCTTCTCTTGCAGAAGAACCATTCTACTCTCCACTGAGTCTTCAATGCAAAGACGTGTAATTGTGCACGGGCGAGTCTGACCAATACGATGACATCGATCAGCAGATTGCCATTCGGCAGCTGGATTCCACCACCTATATACAAGTAGTTAGTTAATGCGGATGTGAACTTGACTATAGCTACAGGTAAGATATGAGAATACTTACGGGTCAACAATAAACACCTGTGAGGCCTCGGTCAGGTTCAACGCGACGCCACCTGCCTTCAGAGAGACGAGGAAGCATTCCACCTCGGGCTTTTCCATAAAGTGTTTAATAGACGCTTGACGCTGCGCTGGTGTCATGCTGCCATCCAACATGACCGTCGTGATTCCGGCTCGCCGGAGACGCCATTCGATAAGCTGGAGCATCGTGGTGAACTGCGAGAAGATGATGGACTTGTGAGATGCATTGTCGGATCTCAGTCTGTGAAGTTCGTGAACCAGCAACTCGATCTTGGACGATGATGTCCAATTTTCCATCTTGATACGGTTGATGATGGATGATTTCTTGAGCAGCAGCTCATCCTGCTCAATGCTAGGCTGCTCCAGGTCAATGGAGAGCGGGATATGGCATCGCGGGCAGTCAGGCTCATCTTGCGACGCGAGATAGCTAGTTGCACATTGGCGACAGAAGTCATGCTTACATTTGGACCGAATCGCTTCCTCGGCAGGTTCGTCGCAAATGCAGCACACCAAAATATTCTGTCCACCTTCTTCAGACTTTTTGAGGATAAGATCAGGGTGGTCGGCCACTTGGCGCATCTGCATGATCAATCCGAAGATATTGGCATAGTTGTTCAGAAGAACACCTTGAGCCACATAGGTATTGAATTGCCGCTCAGTGTTAGACATGATACTCCCGGCGAAGTCGTTCTCCTCTTCGCCAAAAAACTGCCGATCGACATAGATCTCCTTGACAGGCAGCTCCATGACGTTGGTGTGATCCTTCTTGAGACGGCGCAACATAACACGATTAGTTAGAAGGCGAAGCTTTTTAAAAGCTTCCCGACCCGGTCCGTTGTTGCCATATCTCTGAATTGGGTTCAAGAGTTCTTGGTTGAAGACAGAGACATGTGACATGGAGTTATGGTTGCCTAGACTATTGTTAGTTGAAGACGCAAGTTTCAGCTGTAAGGGGACCAACAGTGTGTGCACTTGCTATCTTCACCCATAGACCACTCGAGTGCTGAGCATTTACATTCTTTGCAGAAGTAAGAGGCATATGGCGCAATCTCGAGGAACCTGATCAAGGAGAAGAACTCTCCGATGCGGTTTTGCAGCGGTGTTCCGGTCAGACACCAGCGGTATGACACTTTCAGTGCGAAACAGGCTCTAGCTGTCATCGTAGTACGTGTCTGCCCCCACGGTTAGTAATGGGGCGTGGGACAACTCATAATCTGTCACTTACCTTGATGCAATGTGCTTCGTCAAGAATCACACGATGGAACTTAATCTGATGTATAGGACTCTTCTCCCTATACAGCCCTTCTTTACGTACGATACCTTTCTCTTGTCTGCGATACAGGGATTCAAGGCTGTTGTAGGACATGATAATGACATCAAACTTCTTCAAGTCTTTAGCCGACATGTTCTTGGCTTTAGCATTAGTTCCATGAAAGACGATCGTCTTTAGTAGACCCCCAGTATAGGCGGCAATCTCATCTTGCCACTGTCCTAAAGCAACAGGTGGAAGAAGAACCAGCGTTGGGGCAGCGGCCGGATAGTCAGACATAATAAGGGACACGGCCTGAATCGTCTTACCGAGGCCCATCTCATCTCCAAGCAGACCGCCACGCCACGGGGTCTGCTCCATTGCCTTCATCCATGCTAAGCCTTGAAGCTGGAAAGGCTTGAGCTGAAGAGAAATTGTGGTAGGTTGTGCGGCTGTACCGGCGTTCAAATCTGGCATGTTCTCGAGATCAGTCCACATCGTTTGAAGGACTGGATGATTCTTCTCGAGTTTCAGTCTCTCATTCCTGGCTCTTTTGTTAAGATGGGGGTAATGAGTATTCATATAAGATGACCGTATTCTCTCAGCGGCGGAGGCTCGACGCCTACTGGGGGCTACTCTAGAGGCTGCTCTAGAGGCTGCTTGCTCTGCCTCCTCATCCTCATTGTCGTTACCAGTGTCAAATCCAGGTGCTTCTGATAGATCACTGTAGCTCTCATCATCCGACAAACTATCAGGTACTTCAGCAGCAGAAACCTCATCCTCGCTTTCGACCAATGCGACTGTAGAAGCACTTGTTCTACTGGAAGGCTCAGTAGCAGATGCTTTTGACCTTTTACTTGACCGTAGAATAACGGGATCGTCTTCGGAGTCGCTGGCGAATGAAGACGCATGAACACTGCGTTTAATGGGGATGCTAAGACCTGTTCTAGAGGCCTTCTGGTCCTCCTCACGCTGTAATTGGCGAGCAAGGTTGGCACTGGCGGACTGATCATCTCCATAAAGATCATTATACTCGTCAGAGTCCTCGTGGTATGAGACGTTTGAGCGACGTTGTCGCTTGGGTCGGCTAACGATGGATAATCTGGACGCTTGGGCACTCTTCTTCGCTATGGTTTTGTCATCATCTTCGTCCGTTTCCTCGTCAGGAAACTCAAGAGTAAGGCGACCTCGACGGGGAAGGCTGGAAGATTTGGGGAGAGGCGCACGGATATCGGGAACGTCTTTGGTGGTAGGTGCGGGCGTAACAGCATTGCTAGTGGCTGGAGTAGAGTATTCACCATCCGAAGTACTGGCAAGCGGGGTGGGAGCTGAAGAAGCAGAGTCACTACCAACAACTATGGGGATTGAGGGCTGACTCTTGCGTGGTCTGCCTCGACCACGCTTAGGAGGATCAGCAGAGACCTGCGCAGTCTGAAGCTTCTCCTCAGCTTCGATTTCTTGAGCAGCCTTTGCGGCAGCCAGAGCCTCAGCGACACCGGCGGATCTCCTAGTCCGTGGCGCCATGGTGCACAGGCAGCAAAGAGTGGGAAGAGAACGAGTGTGGTAAGTGTTGCAGAGAAAACAAGAAGGGCAAGGCGGGATGAGATATTCCACCGGAAAAGCCAAACTCCTCCGGCCGAAGGACGAACGTATAACCTAAAGGTCACCAATGCAACAAAGGAAAAAGAGGGCTAAAAAAGAGAAAGATGGGGGTGAGATCCAGGTTGGGAAGATAGAGGGTTTGAAGTAACTAAGTAAAGGAAGGAGGGATGAAGGAGAGAAAAAGAAAAGAAGAGTGCATCAACACAGCTCTGGCGGGATGGGACGGCGACACAGAGCTGGGTCAAGTTGTTTTTGTTGATCAAAGGCTACCTAGGGAAGTAAAGAGAGAGGTGTTCAGGCGCAAGATAATTGTGTTATAATTGAGTTACTGGGCAGATACTTTGGTTGTCTCGGGCGAGCTGGGGCAGGTGCGGCGAGGGGGCCGTACCTCCTCCCCCAGACTCCTCCACTACCAAAGGTACGTAGGTACCCATTAAAGAATCCATTAAGGACCCTATTCTGACTGACCTATCGACATATTTGGACCCCATTAACGCGCCCCTTCTGGCCCTCTGGCGCGAAGTCACGTGGCAGAAAGATGGAGAGAGGTGGCAAACAGAGCCAATTGCTGCACTGGAACGGCCCATTCGGCATCCCAGAGAGTGGATGGAAGATCTGGAAGAGCACTAGTGGGTTCTTTGCCAAGAATTGCCTGCAAGCACTTTACACGCTATGGCAATTGCCACTTAACGCGCTATAATCACTAGCTATCGTCACTAAGTCAGGTAAGTAGCTACCTCGCCAATTAATAATGATGGTGCGACGTGGGCTGTCAGGTACCTAGCTGTAGCTAGCTACCTTTGTTCCTGCCTTACTTCGTACCTTGTCTTACTTCAATGCAAGGGAGAGACAGTACCTGCAACTGTAACAGGTAATTAATTATTAATTACACCAAATAAGGTGTGGCAGCAGCAGGCAGAGCAGGTACGGAAAGATCCCTTTGCTTTTTGCATGGATAAAAAAAACAAAACAAAAAACAAATCGTTCTAGCAACCATTGACTACATATGTATGTATGTATGTATGTATGTATGTACCTGAGCATGTACCTAGGTACCACCTTGAACCTTCAGTTGGACATTGGTTGCTGATTTCTGGAAACTGCCGACACAGCTTTGGTCTTCTCATTCACCTCTTCTTGTCCCTCACCTCCATCTTCCATTTCTTTGGCCTTTCTTGCCACCAAGAGCTCTCTCACCCCAACTGGAAGCACGCTCATTTCCCTCATCGAGACACTCTTGGTGAACTGACTGGTCTGGATCTGGATCTTTCCTATCTGCTCAGCAGCCTACTCATTTCTTCTGTCTCAGCATAGTGTGCGTTTGGTGCTGTTTGATCACTTCGGATTGTAGATAGGGCTGTGCCCACCTGTATCTAAGAGACTGAGAGACCATGTATGCTATAACTCATCGCATGTACAGTATCTCTGAGCAAAAATACTGATGTAACGCCTTAGGAACAACGATAATCTTAATCACAACAATGGCCGGCGGGCCATTAGAGGGCCACAGTCCGCCTTGACGGACTTCTTAGCCTCTCAAAACATATCAGCTGCACGCATTCGAGCTGATGCGCAAGCTCGTCGGGCAGCGGCTTCCGCCACTCCCAATCCCACTACAGACGCCCCGGCCACAGAAGAGACACAACAGGCTGAAGGAGAGGAGAATGATAGCGATGCTGCTGTCACCGGTAGGTCCGCTGCAGCCGCAGCTCGTCGAGCAAGGGAACAGAAACGTCGGAAACAGCAGGAAGCTATTGTCAAGATCAAGAAGTCCAAGACATACAAGAAACGGAAGCGAGGCGCAGATTCAGAATCTGATGATGACCTCGCCCTTGCCCTCTTCAACGAAAAAACGACACCTCTGCCTGGCCAGATGAGCAACTGTGAGATTTGTGACAAACGCTTCACTGTCACTCCATACACCCGCTCTGGACCTGAGGGCGGCTTACTTTGCCCACCGTGTGGCCGACAGCTTGCCAAAGACGAAGATGCAAATAAGAAGCAGAAAAAGAAGAGAGGTCCAGCAGCTAAGGGTGGCGCAGGCAGACGCAATATGCAGAGTCGTATCCTGGATGGCACATATGACGTTGGGGCTAAGCCCTTGATGACCCTTTGCATCGAGACTCTGGCGAAAAACATCCATTTGGCTGACGACCTTGGTGACCTTCCATCATCTGTCATTGATCGTATTGCAAGACTTCTATCCAAGAACCGCCTGCTAAACCCTCACACCCTTAACCTCTTCCTGCAACCCCGCAGCGAGGTCCTCAAGGTGTATGATGCCGGAAAGCTCAAATCAGATGATTTCATCAAGATTTTTCAGTTTCTTCCGCAACTAAAAAGACTCAAGCTGCGAAATGCAATTCAATTCTCAGACAGGGTCATTCAATTTCTCACCACCAGAAATATCTCTCTTGAAAGCATTTACCTCCACGGAGCAAATCTTGTAACGGAGGAAGCGTGGGCGGAGTTTCTAAAGCAGAAAGGCACACATCTACAGGCATTACAAGTCTACTTTACTGACAGACACTTCAATGATAATACGGTCAATGTACTGTCAACCTCGTGTCCCAACCTGACGCGTCTCAAAATCTGCCGCAACCAGGCAGTTTCTGATGACGGCATCAAGTATATTGCTAAGCTCGATCAACTCAAGCACCTAAGTTTGCGACTCGTCAAGAAAACCACCACAGATCCCTATGTTCAGTTGATCCAATCTATTGGTCACCAGTTGCAGACATTTTCGATTTGGTTGGTGCCCGAAGTTGACGATCGGTTGCTTGACGCGATTCATGAGAATTGCACCGATCTTTCGAAGCTGCGCATTACTGAAAGCGAATACATGACTGACGCTGGTTTTGCCCGACTCTTCCGAGGCTGGAAAAACAAACCTCTCTCATACCTTGACCTAGAGAAATGTCGTCACATCGACGCAGCCCAGCCTCGAAATAATGAACACAAGGTTGGACTTTGCTCGGAGGGCTTTGAAGCTCTCATGGAGCACTCGGGTACGGGACTGCAACACCTCAATGTGCATGCTTGTCGAAATATCGAGAGAGAGGCGTTTGAGAGGGTCTTTGCCAGCGATAAACGCTATCTCCAACTACGTCACTTGGAGATATCCTTCTGCGAACACGTCAACGACTTTGTCATTGGCAGCATCTTCAGAAGCTGTCCGAATCTAAAGGAGGTGATTGTCTTTGGATGTATGAAGGTAAGCCTACACTTTATTGACAAATGATCCTGGATTAAAGGCTCTTCTCGTCTTATCCAACTACTAACCCGAGTCCCTATCAGGTCAGAGATGTGCGAGTGCCGAGAGGCAAGATTCTGGTAGGGGTCCCTAACGCACTGGGCATGCGCATTGAAGGGGTAGACGACGCAAGCGATTAGGAGTGATGTCCATCTTGAATCAGCCTAGATGAGACTCTGGACATTGACATGCACGAGGCTGTTCAGTCTTTGCTACACACGCGCGCTTATAATCGCTTGAATCAACTGGAGCAAGAACTCATATCAGCAGAACTTGATGCCACAGCACAATCCCAGTCTGGGAATGACTGGGTTATATCAGCCACATGATGCGAATCCGTCTCCTTGAAAAATGGTTTCCTAGTTGTTTGTGCCTTCTTCGTCGGATGCTAGTTGTCTGAAAACTTTGTAAAAATACAAACAATAAATCGTGTAGTTAAGCCAGATAGTTGTTTTTTTTTTAGCAGGGATGCATGAGTACGGCTGAACAAATTGTGTATGTCCCATTAGATCCCCAGTGATAGCAATATTGTCCGAAAAACTACACGGTTTGAAAGTTAAGAATATTCCACGCTGTTTTAATGTAAGTCGGATTATTCACAGACAAGGCCGGAGCGGCGCGCAGAATGAGCCATTGGAGAGAGGCTCCGCTACTCCCGCACACCAGCGGCGAAATGGCGCAATCGAAATAACCCGCATAATGCACTCGACTTACGTACATAATACATAGATGCATGCATTAGGCTGCCATCATCAGATCTATTCTATCCATGCTTGTAGTAAGTTGGTTTGTGTTGTAGAGGTAGTTAATTCTATCCCGAATCTGAATCCGGAAGAACAGTCTTGTTAACTTATCGTAGCTCATTCGAAGTTGCAGTAGCGGCAGCAGCAATATCCCCGCCGCCCAGGATGGGGTCTTTAGGGAACGATGACATCGAAGGCAATGCAGCAGCTAATACCTCGTCGCCGCCTGCGTTCAACATCAAACGCATCGCCATAATCGGTGCTGGACCAAGCGGTCTAGCAGCAGCAAAGCATCTCTTGGCCGAAGGGTTCTTGTCCTCACAGATCGACATCTACGAACAACAAGCCGAGGTAGGCGGGGTGTGGAATTACAGCGCCGTGACATCCCACGAACAGCTGCGCGTGCCGCAGACCGATGCACATGCACCGCTCGACACGCCAATTTACCCGGAAACGTCCATAGAGCAAGAAAAAGAGGAGTATGAAGATTATGTCTTCGATTCAGATGAAGAAGCCTGCACGGCTCCCGGGTCGGGAGCGTGTTCACTACCTCCTGTGTCGCGCAAGGAGAAGCAGGCTCCTTTCTTCCCGACTCCCATGTACGACTACCTGCATACGAACATTCCGCATACGCTGATGCGGTATTCGGATTTGGGATTCACGGCGGATGGGAAAGGGGAGGGCACGCATGAGGACTGTGAGATCTTCCCTTCGAGACAGGTCGTGCAGGAATATTTACTCCGATACGCTCGCGACGTGCGGCATCTAGTTCGCTTCTCGACGCAGGTGACGAATATCTCTCTACAGACTCCATCATCGGACGTGTTGGAGGGAGAGAAGTGTCGAATCCATGAGAAATGGACTGTTCGCTCAACGAACCTCCTCACAGACGTGCCACGAGTAGAGAACTACGATGCCGTCGTCGTCGCATCAGGTCACTATTCTGCACCATATATACCTTCAGTGCCCGAAATCGAAACATTCGCCAAGGAACACCCTGGTATAATCTCACACGCAAAAACATACCGCGCTCCGTCCGAGTTCGCCGGCAAGCGCGTCGTGATCGTCGGGTCCTCGGCCTCAGGGCTAGACATCGCATCGCAAATCAGCGCAGTATGCGCATCTCCCCTCATCATGTCGGCGCGCAGCGCCATACCCGATGATCAGGCCGCGCATATAGGCGTAGGGGACAAAGTGCGCGTAGTCGGGCGGATCAAGCGCTTCCTCGTCGACGAAAGGGGCATCGAGGTGTTTTCCACTCCGGGTTCTCCTAGTGCCGCGACAGAGAAGATAGCAGACGTCGATGCGATTGTCTTCTGCACGGGTTATCTATTCACATACCCATTCCTTTCCCCATCTTCCCTCCCGTCCTCCACGCCCCCGTTGGTCTCCGACGGCCGTCGCGTCCACGGTGTAGCGCGCCACTTCATCCACACTTACCATCCAACCCTCGTATTCCCAGCCCTGCCTATCAAGATTATCCCCTTCCCGCTCGCCGAGGCGCAGGCCGCGGTCTTCTCGCGGCTATGGTCGAATAGACTCTCTTTACCCTCGCATGAAGAATTACAGGCCTGGGAGCGCGAAGATGAACAAGGGAAAGGATTTGAAGGTGAAAGAGTCGTCGGGGAAGGGAAGTCGTTCCATGTCTTTCCGAAGGGCGGCGATGCGCGGTATATCAATGCGCTGCATGATTGGGCGTTGCAGGCGGATGGGAAGAAGAGAGGGAAAGGGAAAGAGCCGCCGTTTTGGGGCGACGAGGAACTTTGGCAGCGGAGCATTTATGCGCAGGCGAAGATGCGGTTTGAGAAGAGCGGACGAAAGGCGAAGACTTTGAGGGAGCTTGGGTTCGAGCATGAGTAGATTGCTGGGGATTGTTGATGGAGGGTAGAAAGTGAAGACTTTGATTGAGGGAACCTCAATGATTTGAACGCTGCACTTGGATATATAGAATAGATTTATGCGCGTCGTTCAAGCTACGATAGACAAGCAATAGCCGATTCAGCGTGTATTAGGCACTATGAGCTTCGTAATAGATTTTTCCCTTTTATGCCATTAATGTACTCAGGACTGCTGCTTAGATGCCGTTTCGAATATATACACATGAATACACGTCATCGAGGCACGTCCCTCGTCATACATCATCATGTCCTTCATCAGCCTGGTCCAGGCTTTCTGCTTCATGCAATCGATGCCCATGCTATACCTTGCCTTCCCAACGCCTTGAATGCAATGTCAAATGGCCCTCATTCCAAATATCGTTCAATTTCGTTCCAATATGCACCCAAGAAATCCTCTCGTGAATAATTCATTCGCTCGCAGATTAAGACATCATGCTGATATCCTGCTGCACCCACGCATCAAGCTGAGCCTCAAGCTGCCCGTCATCGACGTCCGTAACAGGCGACGTGCCCTGCCACCAAAGATAATCCTCCTCCGCCCTCTTGCTCTTGAACACGATCTCAATGGGCGAGCAGCCACCAATCGGGCTAAGATAGAACAAATGCGAGACGACGTTCAAGCCCAGCGTGACAGCATTGCACCCCAGCGAGCGCACGCCCTCGCAGACCTTGATGTCATCGACGGTGTAGTCCGTCTTGAACGGATTGCCCCCTTTCAGCCAGTACTCCGGCGTCGTGTGCGCGTAGTTGAAGACGATGGGGGGGAGCCGGGGCACGGGGTCGTCGAGGTGCGTGACGCGCCATTCCACGCCCGGCTGCCCGGATAGCCAGTCCGCGAACGCGACGTTGCCGACGCGCGGGGACCCGTAGTTGATGATGTCCACGGCGAGGCCGGACTTGCGCGCGTAGGCCGCGCCGAGCGAGGACACGGCGGCGCCTAGAGAGTGGCCCGTGAAGACGATCCTGTACCCCGGGTTCGCGGCCTTGGCGGCCTGGACGGCGGCTAGGGCTGCGCCGGAGATCTCGTCCCAGGCCTTGGCGAAGCCGTAGTGTACTTTGCACCCGCTGACGAGACTGCTGCAATCCTTCTGGATGAATTGGAAACTGGTGGCGGTGTCAGCGTTGGATGATTACTGTGTGATGATATGATATGATATAATATGATATTCTTTTGGTGTTGGAGGAAGAAGCTTACTCTGTGATCCAGTTACGGATTGAGTGAGATCCTCGTACGGACAAGACGATGACTCGGTTCCGTGCGTCGGTGGACACGAATCCTTGGATATCGGTTGCCTTACCACTACTCCAGTGTCAGCTGTTGGTCTTGTTCCACATCTAGCACACGAGGGAGTGAGGCGGTGAATGAACTACATACGAGAAAGTGGCAGTGATCTTAGCACCAGCAGACGTAACATCAGGGCAAGCGTTGCCACCACAGCTTATGGTAGATCCGATCGCTTTCCCGCTGTTGCAGTATGATGCGCCGGCGTATTGCGCGTAGAGCTTGAAGGTGGCGAGCATATCCGAGGAGACAGCAGCTGAGCGAGAAGTGATGATCAGTAGGTAGTTCTCACGTAAAGAAAACAAAAATCATATGAGCATGTAGTAAGACGGGTAACGGCATGCCATACCTCGTTCATTGAGCAACATGCCCGGAGCCGCCAGGGGCGAGCCAGCAGCCGTCAGAGCAAGGCTCGAGATGAGCGACCAACCGAATGGCTTCATCTTGCTAGCGTAGCGTTCCGGAGCAGAGTTGACCTTGCAATGGGCGAGGGAATAGGTGAATACAAGAATCCGAAACAGGGCAGTGACACTTTTCGGTCTTTAACGAGGAAGCCAGCTCGCTAGGGAACTCAAAAGGTCTCACATTTTGCTCATGGGACGGGGTTCATGATTCCCTTATATATACAAGTTAGGCCATGATCTGTGGTCTGCACTAAGACCTAGACTCAGCATTCCCGCGCAAAAATGATTGATCGTCGTCCCTGTCATCCTAACGGGTATCCGCCCTAAGAGCAGCACAAGCTCACGAGATGCTCAAAACAACGCAAGGGGGCATGGGAAGTTGTTCTAAAAAAGGAATGGCGGCTGTCACTGCCCTGCAATTCTTCATACATATACATACTACTATAAGTAAGTATGGGGGAAACGGGGCCAACCCCCCCAACATTTTGGCGGCTGGCCTTCTCTCGGGCCTTCTGCTCGGGCATGGGATAAGTAAACGGCTAAAGCTCGAAGCTCCTGCATGAAGCCGCTCACCGGCTAGTGTAGCGACGAGTGCTGTGCGAAGGCCGCAGAAGTACTATCTATGTAAGGTTAGGTGGACAGAAATGCGCGCGAGATCTACACGGATAACCATCGTGAACCCCCCTCCAAAAGCCCTCACCTGGATGAAATGTTGGGGATTGGTGGCCGGGGCAGATTGCCGCATTCGGGATCATCAGGGGTTGTTAGGTTGATTCCTTCGCGTGGGGTAGCGCAAGACTTCTCCGCAATCTGCAATCTGGGGGAGCACACGCGGCCAATCGCCCTTTTGGACCAATTGTGAGGCATGCCATGGTTGGACATGATCAACCTTATTTTCCTTCACACTAGACTAGCAAAATAGCTCTGAGGGCTGTAAATGGTAGTGGTGTTCTCGTTCGTCGGTGAGACAATGGGCATTTCCCACAGGAGACGAATGGGTGATTCTGAATGGTAGGAATACCGGCCAAGGATCGATCCCCTTGGCTGATATCATGTTGTTACTCGTTGCTAAGCCTCTCATAGGATCGATTGTTGGAATCGTCCATGTTTGAGCACGCGCTCCCGTAAGCAATAAGCAACGTCAGCATCCGTGTACATTCACGAACATAACAAACAACGAGCCCATCGGTCTACCGCCAACCAGATGGCATCCCGCCCATCCTAGCGGTGAATCGCTGGATGAGGAAACCGTGGTACCGCCCACTCATACATTCCGCTCTGCATACGGGAATGCGGCTAGATTCGTCCCAAAGCTTCCATCGTGACCTCATTACGTCTTCTCACCTTCTACTCTCGTCTTTGGTGCTTTGTGCTTGCAGCGCTGAGAGGAGTTACGTATTCGTGCCTAAGTACCCAACATTAGCTTCCTATGTCAGCAATCCTTCAGTCCCTCGATAGAACTCCCAAACAGCTCGACCTGCTATCAAATTGAGAATTCCGGTCGAGTCCTTTGGGCAATGAACTTTAGGCTTGAGAGCCATAAAGGGCCCTATTTAGACCTATGTGTCCAATATGATGCCAGGAGCAAGGAAGGTTCTGTTTCCAGATTGTTCTATCGAGCAAAAAGTTATTTCTCTAGTCAGCTAGCCTAACCTTGTAGCACCTAGGTATTGTAGCTCGAATCTGCACTCCTTGATCTCACGTGCCGGTTGTGGCGGCGCTTACAACGGGACGTTGGATGTGACATGGGCCGCTAGCGACGCCACGTTTATTAAGCTTGACATCTATAAGAGATGACCTGCATGAGTGAGAATTAAGAGCCGAGCTTGCATGTGATAATCAAGTAGTTTCGTGAGGTTGAAGCTGAACGTTGGCGCTTCTGAATGTGATGAGTTTTGGCCCTACAAAGTTGAAGGGGACGAGTTGAAATGCAGTACCGGAAGCAGTTAACAACGCCCCGCAACAGAATCTGGGGATAGACTCCTCACCCTGTATCTGGATACTGTCATCTTATTGCATTTGTTATTACTAGGTTGCTCCAGCCATGTCGAGGGCCATGTTAGAAATTGAGTCTTTTCAGTGGTCCAGAATCTATTTTTCACTGGCGATATCGGCTGGCCCTTCGGCCATGGATCATGTGTTTTCCTTCCCAACATCATTTTAGCCTAGAGGTGACGGACAGGCGGTAAAGATGGGAAAGGGTAGATTCGTCACTGCTGACTGCGCAGTCCGTGTCCCGGCCGGTATCCGAACAGGGAAAAATCCTGCGACTCGGCGAATTCTCGTCCTTGTTTGAATGTGCAACATTGCGTTTGCATAGCTAGCTCCAGGTGGCTTCTGTTGTGTAATGTACGCCATCTCTTGTCGGGCAATGTTTGGTGCGAGCACCAATAAGGCATGGATTGGCATATTTCTTGCAGCACGCGACTTGACCAATGCTCACATCGTTTTGGGGTAACATGACCAACCGCTTTACCGATACCTTGATGAGAAATGCAATTTAAGCACGGCCTATTCTCGATATAAAACAGGATATGATGATAGATATTCGGTGTCAGAGCCTGCATTCAGTAACCCATTATTGAGTAGGCAGCTTGACTGGTAGGTAAGAATAAGGTTGATCGATATATGCAGCCAGCTTTGGGAAGCGGCATTGAAAACCATCCCCCGATCGGTGGTTGTTCCGAAATGTCACACCTCTTTTATTCGAATTCCGCGTATGCATAAGTCGGCGTCAAACCCCAAGACAGGTAAGCATGCTCCTCTTCGATACGACCGTCTCAGTCACGATGCATCAATAGTGTAGCGAGGGCCTCACGCAACGGCTTGGAGAGCTCAGGGGTTCCCCGCACGTCATTGCTAGCTGGCCAAGGATGCCGGGTATTGCCCAGGATGGGCCTTGTTGCGCTATGATTGAATCCCACACGACCATGAGTTGGTCATTCTTCCACCAGTCAACCGACCTTCAATAGTCTAGGTCGATGCTCAGGTGTTAAAAGGAGCTCACCTTTCTACCAGTTACCTACCCGTCGCTAGAATTCCCTTCTTCATCTTACAGATCCCTCTCACAAGCACAGCTGGGCTAAGCATCCTGCGGTCAAACAGGAGTGACGACTCCAAGTAGCTAGGCAGATGATCTTGGTTGTGACTTCGAACACGGTACCCATTGTGTCGTGTATAGCCAATACCAGCACCTCAAGTGAGACTCATGCTGCCTCTTGCTTGATATGACCATTTCGATGCACTTACCTACTCTTACCTACTTATACGCGGGAAACAGTGACAAGAGAACGGTCTGAGCAACGAAGATCCAGAAATGCAGATTCATTAGGCCTATCAGTAGGGTCTCGTTGGCATCGGGCGACGGTCACGGTTTGGGAAGAGTGCCAATGTGCCAGCCAGGACACCCCTACCGAGATATCGCTTATGTAAACGACGTAAACATGAGCTCTGCCTGGACTGAACTCGCTCATTCACTTCACCCCAGCCTTATGAGCAATTTGTTCTAGAAGAAAGGACACGGCCAAGACAGGTTCCCACTTGTGATCAAGGCAGCGCTATGCGCATGGCTATGTGCATTTGGGCAAAGTCCCAGGACAAAATGAGGTTACGGGCTTGGCATGGATCGATGCGACCTAAGATCCGCCCGCCTTGCCGTACCGAGTTTTCTTTTCCTGGATCCTTTCTCGGTTTCGCTTCCTCCTTGAGCTCTCGTCCGTCCTTGCGCACGGGAAAAGAGCTGCCCTTCAGGGCAAATTTACAACCCCATACCCTGTCGATGACGATGTTTGTCGTAGAACAACAGTGGTTTTCGTATCTGTTCCGTATTCCCCTTGACCCGCCATAGCCATGGTCTACACTGTAGCTGAACTGAACTGATGGAATCGTCATGCCGGCCCCATCCGTGCACGTGGAATAGCCCGCATGAGATAGACTGACATTAGCAATTTCCATATCCAGCAGCTACAATGTATATCAGCTCTTCACGGGTGCCTGTAGCTTATATAATGCACATTCCACCCTAAAATTTTGTCTTGTTTTTTCTTTCTCGGTTTCTCCCCTTGCGTCGGTATTTCCGTGGTAGTAGTCGACACCGCTAACAATACGTTTACGGACAAAGGTCCAAGTACGCGGATCGGTCGCGCTCTTTAATTCGTAATGTTCAATATGGAGCCGCCTTCGGGCCTCCGGCGTCTCGCGATGCTGTTGGCGCTTTTGCCGTCGCTAGCGTCAGCAGCTACTCTAGACTACCGCGATCCCGTCCCAGCCGGTTACGCCTCTCCGCCGTATTACCCTGCGCCGTACGGCGGCTGGGATGACGATTGGGGTGGTGCTTACGAGAAGGCCGTTGCCATGGTGTCTAGCATGACTATCGCCGAAAAAGTCAACATCACTGCGGGAACGGGTATCTACATGGTAAGAGACATAGCTTCTCTGATTTCGAAACCCTTGATTTTATTTAAATAGCCCCGTCTTTTTTGTTCTTCTTTCCTGTCTCACATCTTGTTTCCTCTCACATTTTGCAAGAATGATGGCTAACAATAAAACTTTAAGGGTATGTGTGAGATAGGATAGACTCAACATTCAAAGACATTAATATACGAGCGTCCGCTTAACCAAATTTTCTTCACTAGGACGATGTGTGGGCAACACGGGTAGCGCGCTTCGTGTGGGCTTCCCACAGATGTGCCTAGAAGACGGTCCATTAGGTGTTCGCCCGACTGACAATGTCACGGCCTTCCCGGCAGGTATCAGCACAGGCGCGACGTGGAGCAAGGAACTCATGTACCAACGAGGCGTGGCTCTAGGCGAGGAATTCCGAGGCAAGGGCATAAACTACTACCTCGGACCTTCTGTCGGCGCGCTCGGCAGACAACCGCGGGGTGGACGAAGTTGGGAGGGCTTCGGGTCGGATCCTGTGCTTCAGGCCGTCGCCGGTGCGGCGACGATCAAGGGTGTCCAGGAGCAGGGTGTCATCGCAACGCTGAAACACTACATTGCCAACGAGCAGGAGATATATCGCATGTATAACCCCGTGCAACAGGCTTACAGTTCCAATATCGGTTAGTGGCGGAATAGGGTTGAAAGAGTATGGGGAGTCTCTTTGGCTAATCCTTTCGCATAGATGATCGTACTCTGCACGAGCTGTACCTCTGGCCTTTCGCGGAGGGTGTCCGTGCCGGCACAGGCGCCGTTATGACTGCGTATAACGCCGTATGCATAGCACTCCACGGGTCCCCGGTACATGTGTTTCTAACTAACCGCTCGCAATAGGTGAACGGATCTGCATGCTCTCAGAACTCATACCTTATTAACGGTATCCTGAAGGATGAGCTAGGATTCCAAGGTCCCGTCATGACGGATTGGTTAGCACAAATCTCGGGCGTCGCGTCGGCTCTCGCAGGCCTAGACATGTCGATGCCGGGAGACACGTTCGGAAACAATATCCCGCTATTCGGATACAGCAATTGGATGTACGAGCTCACGCGGTCGGTCCTAAATGGCTCGGTCCCGGTGGACCGAGTCAACGACATGGCGACAAGAATCGTGGCGGCTTGGTATAAGTTGGGACAGGACGCAGAGGACTACCCGCCGCCCAACTTCTCGTCTAACACGATGGACCGCGAGGGTCCTTTGTACCCAGGCGCTTTAATCTCTCCCAGAGGCGTGGTGAATGAATACGTCAACGTTCAAGCAGACCACAAGACGGTCGCAAAGCAAGTTGCGCAAGAGGCAATCACGCTTCTCAAGAACGACGACGGCTTCCTCCCTCTTACGACCTCAACGCCGCTATTTGTGTTCGGCACCGACGCCCAGGCCGACCCGAAAGGTATCAACTCGTGCACCGACAAGAGCTGCAACCGCGGTCTTCTAAGCATGGGCTGGGGCTCCGGTAGTGCTTTATTACCATACCTCGACGATCCCATCAGCTCGCTGAAGCGCAAGGCCTCTAAAGTCACCTACTACGCCACGGATTCATTCCCGAAAGTGGCCGCGGCCACAGAAGATGATGTCGCCGTGGTCTTCATCAACTCGGATTCTGGCGAGAACTCGTACACGGTAGAGAACAACCACGGCGACCGAGACGCATCTGGACTATCTGCCTGGCACAACGGTGACACGCTGGTGCAAAAGGCCGCGGCGGCATACAGCAACGTAGTGGTCGTCGTGCACACAGTAGGCCCAATCATCATGGAGCCATGGATCGACCTCCCGTCCGTGAAATCCGTGCTGGTGGCTCATCTGCCCGGACAAGAGGCAGGCGACTCGCTGACCGAGGTGCTGTTCGGCGACGTCTCCCCAAGCGGACACCTACCCTACAGCATCCCCGTAAAAGAATCCGACTACCCCGACAGCGTGAGCATCAAATCATCACCGAAACTCAGCCAGATCCAGGACACATACACAGAGGGTCTATACATCGACTACAAACACCTGAACAAGGCGGGCGTGAAGCCGCGCTTCGCATTCGGCCACGGCCTAAGCTACACCACCTTCTCCTTCTCGAACGCGACCATCTCCGGAAGTCAGCTCTCCTCCATCCCTCCCGCGCGACCCACGAAGCCGTCTTCCCCCGTCTCCACCATCGACGCCTCCCTCCCACCCGCCGCAGACGCGTACTACCCCAAAGGCTTCACCAAGATCTGGCGCTACCTATATTCGTGGCTGGACAAGCTAGAAGCGGACGCCGCGCACTCCATCGGCGCGGCCGGGAAAAAGACATACCCGTACCCAGCGGGCTACGCCACGACGCAGAAGACTTCGGCGCCGCCCGCCGGCGGCGCAAGCGGTGGCAACCCGGCGCTGTACGACGCAGCATACACGCTCTCCGTGACCGCCACGAACACGGGGACGGGCCCGGCCTCCGGCAAGGCCGTCGCGCAGGCGTATCTGCAATTCCCCGGGGCCAACGGCGGCTTCGACACGCCCGTGATCCAGCTGCGCGACTTCGCCAAGTCGGACGTTCTCGCGCCCGGCGAGAGCGCGACGCTCGCCCTGCGGCTCACGAGGAAGGACGTCAGCGTCTGGGACGTGGGCTCGCAGAACTGGATCGTGCCGAATCCCGCGGGGAGGTACAGTGTCTGGATCGGCGCGGCGAGCGATGATTTGAGCGTCGTGTGCTATACGGATACCCTCGAGTGTGAGGATGGTGTTACCGGCCCTGTTTAGATTGGGATGGGAGTGTGTATTAATATGATGCCCTGGATAACTTATTCGTATAATTCTATGGCTGGGATTACGGGGGGATTGATATTCATTCCTGTTCTTATATCACTGGTATATAACTAGGTAGTAGTAATCCAGATATTTCCAATTCAGGTTAACTTCGAACATTTGCTTGTGAAATCTGATGGTTTATATGTGCCTGCTTGACCGTGTTGTTGGCATTGTATCAGAAAACATCCGATTCCACTCTAGGGAGAAGCTCAGATATCAGTTTTGCTTAGTGGATATCGACTTTATTTTCAGTATATAAGACCTGGTTGATGAGGATTTGTGTACATTTGATGTATGGATGTGCAGATATGGTACATGAAGAGCTTATCTTCCTTTCAGAGAGGTGTTCCAAGGACCTGAAGTCACTAGGGGGGTCATAGTATAACGTGACGTGACGGCGTCCTCTCTTCGTGCTCTAGTTTGGGTATGTAGCTAGAAGTCTCTTTTCTCATATATCGACAATAACCAAAGTCGAGACTGCTACGGCATTGCCATGGCAGAGAAATGTCGGGGTATGGAATCGTAAACCGTGTTACATCGACATGACCGAACGCTTCTTATCCTTTCTCCGCTGCAGTGTTTTTTGTCCGTTTTTTGTCCTGAGACGGCTCAGGAATCCATGACGCCTCTTACGTACCAGCCGGCTAGACCTGGCCATAGTCGGTCTGGGACCGCATCGGACCTGTTGGGGGCCGGCCAGCGCGGGATGTGTTGTGATGGCTGACTTTGGCACAATGTCTATAATCCCCTCGGATGTACTTGTAACTCCACTCGGCGATGCTGTGGTGGTGGGCAGGCGAGAGAGGAGCGAGTTACCACTGTTGCATGGGCGGAAAACGGCGCTTCTTGGGGCTAGGATCGAGGGACGCAGATGTGGCAGCAAAGAGAATGTTCTGTTACGAAGATCACCAGCAAAAGTCAGCTACCAGCGGCTAGAATGAGACAAATTGAGCCGCGTCAGAGGAATCCGTACCGTTTCGTGGCCAGAGTCTGTGTAGTTTTGCAGGCCCGCGAAAGAGCTGCCCTCGCAGTCGACGACATGAGGCCCCAGGACGGCATTTTGCGCGGTTTGAAGACTTTCGCTTCTCGCGTAGCACTTGTTTCCCCTTGTTCAGCTAGGAATTGAGCGTAACTGTGCAGCTAGCTACTGTATTGTTACAACTTCATGACGATGCGGTCTCTGAAGTACCGAAGCTAGCGTAGAATTTCAGAGGACGAGATTGGGTGAAACGGTCCGACGGCCAGCTGACAGCCATAGCCTACCAAAATACCTGGTAGCTACTTAAATACCTAGCAAGGAACAGCACTGCAACACATCTACTCGGCTTAATTCTATAATTACCTATATTCATATGTCTCTCGGTTTAATCACGTAAGACTACAGTTCTCACTAAAGGCATGATCTCTGTTAGGTGGGATGCAAGGCGTGAGGTCCTCCTGGAAGGGTAATCGTTATAGTACCCCTGGCAAGGAAGCAAAGGTGCCGGTATCCGTACCTAGGTTCTGCCGTAGGGACTCCACCACCGACACCTACCGACCCAGAATCCAGCGCCCCACCAGCGCAACGGCGTGACATTCAAGCGACGGTAGCGAACTCTACGGGGCCGTATTGCGTATATCGCATCAACCATTTGCGGAAAATATGAATTTGCCCCCCATAATGTAGAGAGGCGCTCTACTTGCTTCCTTGTGCATTTGTACCTAAATCCAAAGTCAAGTTTGCCATGATGAGAATTTCTAACGGACAGCTAGAATGAGTTGCGCCCTGAATCTTGCATTATCAAAAGACAACCATGTCAAAAATCATGCTATCGGCCAAGCCTGCCAAGAAAAGGCACAGAAGGCTGAGGCAGAAAGGCGACAAAATTTAATTACCCTTTTCTGTGGTGTAGGTAGGCGAACCCCAATCCTCTCACCGTGGAACCTCGTATATACGGTAATACCTCACGTGGACCAAGCAAAACCTGCACATCGACAGCAAGCCCAGCACCTTTATTCACGACGTGTTTTCTAGAAAACACGGCCAGCCTGCCTATGAGAGAATTCCCATCACACACGTGTACCGGCCCAAGGAATGCCCACTTTTGACCAAGAGCTTCGTCGCTCTTGGCTCCAAGGATCGAGCCATGGCTAGATGCAGCCATTGGACTGCTGGGAAATCCGCCTTGCACACTACATATGTAGATGCCCTTGGCAACTATCGCTGACGATATGTCTTGATACCCATTGTTCGTCTTCCGCGTTCGGGTGGATGCAGTGAAATCAGTATTCGGTGTGGACCTTGTTCCGATAGCTCGAGAGCAATTTTGCACTTTTGTAGCCGTGCTGAGAGGTGGACGCCCCTCCCATATATATATAACTTTTTGTATCTACATAGGTAGAAGAGACCTAGGAATTCATTTTGGCGAAGAGTTTCACACACATTGGTAGCAAATAAAGAATTGGCTCGTATTGCGAGATACGATGTCCGACGACCAGAAGGCTTTGGCTTCGGCCGGGGAGCATGTCTCCGGTCAATCCAATAAACCTATGTCTCGGCCTGCTCACGCATTGTCCTACGAACAAGTAATTCATGAACTAGATAGCGACCCAATCAATGGCCTGTCGAGTGAGGCTGCGAAGCAGCGATTGGAAGAGCTGGGCCAAAATGCCCTAGGCGACTCTGAAGGCGTATCACCGCTCAAGATCATCATAGCTCAGATCGCCAATGCCATGACTCTAGTAAGTCCGATACAAAAAACCCTCAATTCAATCGTTCTCAATGAACTTTGGAGACTAAGATATGAAAGGTGCTTATTCTAGCTATGGCGGTTAGTTTTGGCATCAGATCCTGGATCGAAGGAGGCGTCATCACTCTCGTGATTCTCATCAATGTAATTGTAGGCTTCTTCCAGGAATACTCTGCTGAGAAGACCATGGACTCTCTTCGATCACTCAGCTCTCCCACGGCATGTGTCGTGAGAGATGGCAACGCTTCTGTCATTCCAACTAGCGAAGTCGTCATTGGTGATCTGGTGGAGCTGAAGACTGGTGACACAGTCCCAGCTGATCTTCGGTGAGTCGCCCCAATTCTTGACATCACTTTTCCTTTGGAGGCGATTCGAGTAGCTAAAGCTAGATCCAGTATCACCGAGGCGGTAAACTTCGAGACAGATGAGGCACTTCTTACCGGCGAGTCACTCCCTGTCCAGAAGAATGAGAATGCCGTCTTCGACGATGACACCGGCCCCGGCGATAGGCTCAATGTCGCATTCAGCTCTTCCACCGTCACAAAGGGACGAGCCAAAGGTATCGTTTTCGCAACGGCGACGTATACTGAAATTGGCGCTATTGCGGTAGCGCTTCGTGAGAAGAGTTCTAAAGTTCGGCCGGTTAAGAGGAAGGCAGACGGCACAGTAAGTATCCAATGTTCGTTTCGATCTACTTATGTTTAGGTCGAACATTGCTCCTAAGCCCCGAATGAACTGGCCATTGTCCTGAACAGAAATATCTAACTCGTTTATCTTGCTAGGCGAAACCCCATAGGTATCTGGAAGCGTACACACTGACAACAACTGATGCTATCGGCCGTTTCCTTGGCGTCAACGTTGGCACCCCTCTCCAGAAGAAGTTATCGAGGCTCGCAGTGCTGCTATTCTTTATAGCTGTTGTATTCGCCATTATTGTCCTAGCCGCGAACAAGTTCTCAAACAGGTCCGAGGTCATCATTTACGCAGTAGCCACCGGCCTATCCATGATTCCGGCTTCGCTTGTGGTGGTCTTGACCATCACCATGGCGGCGGGCACGAAATCAATGGTTACACGGAACGTTATTGTGCGGAATCTGAAGTCCCTTGAGGCTCTTGGTGCAGTCACAGATATCTGCTCTGATAAGACTGGTACGCTGACACAGGGCAAGATGGTTGCGAAGCGTGCTTGGATCCCGGCTCTGGGAACGTATACTGTGGATACTTCTTCTGAACCGTTCAATCCTACCGTCGGTGATGTGATGTTTAGCGACGAGACACCCAGCCAACTGAAGACTGGCAAGGACTTATCCGCCAACGGCGACGTCTCTGAGCCAACTGAGCTATTATCAAAAGGCGGTTCAGCTTTAGCTAACTACCTACACGTTGCATCGCTGGCTAATCTTGCTACTGTTTCGGTGTCCAATGGCGAATGGCGTGCTCGAGGTGATCCCACTGAGATCGCTATCCAAGTGTTTGCTTCTCGGTTTGACTGGAATAGACTTAAATTCACGCAAGGAGACAAGCCCGAGTGGAGTCAGATATCAGAGCTACCGTTCGATTCCGATGTGAAGCGCATGTCTGTCATTTTCAAGCACAATCCTACTAACGAGCTTTCCGTCTTCACCAAGGGTGCCGTCGAGCGTGTGCTTGGAATCTGTCGGGATTACTACAAAGCAGACAACACGGAGCCAGTTCCGTTGTCTGACGAGTTCCGCGAGCAGATCCTCGAAAACATGACAGCACTTGCGAGCATGGGTCTTCGTGTCTTGGCCCTTGCGAGCAGAAAATTCGATGGAACATTGGAGAAAGGTGACGACGTTGATCGTGAAGCAATCGAGTCGAACCTCACGTTTCAGGGACTGATCGGCCTGTACGACCCTCCACGCCCAGAGTCTGCGCCGGCCGTGAGAAGCTGTCACGAGGCTGGTATTTCGGTTCACATGTTGACTGGCGACCACCCGGAGACAGCTAAGGCTATTGCTATGGAGGTGGGTATCTTGCCAACGCGGATGGAGAGAGTCAGGAAAGATGTTGCAAACTGTATGGTCATGACAGCTAGCCAATTCGACGCATTGAGCGACGAAGAGGTGGACGAGCTACCGGTACTACCTTTAGTCATCGCTCGATGTGCGCCGAGCACCAAGGTGCGGATGATCGAAGCACTTCACCGACGTAAGAGGTTCTGCGCTATGACTGGCGATGGCGTGAACGACTCCCCGTCCCTGAAGCGAGCTGATGTAGGCATCGCCATGGGTCAGGCTGGCAGCGACGTTGCGAAAGAAGCCTCGGACGTGGTGCTCTCGGACGACAACTTCGCTAGCATTGTAGCCGCCATCGAGGAAGGCCGTCGCATCTTTGACAACATCCAAAAATTCATTCTACATGTCTTGGCTGAGAATATTGCCCAGGCTCTCACACTGCTTGTCGGCCTAGCGTTTAAGGATCGTACTGGCTTGTCTGTGTTCCCTTTGGCCCCAGTCGAAATCCTCTGGATTATCTGTGTTACGGTATGTGTATAACCCCGTGTCTAGTTTCTCGATCTTCTTGTTCCTTATAACCTAGTAGACCAGTATTGCTGAACTTAGAGAGTGTGACTAACTAATCCGATGTAGTCTGGCGCACCGGATATGGGCCTCGGTTTTGAACAATCTGTCTCTGGCATCATGAACCGCCCACCGAAGAACTTGGAGACTGGAATCTTTGACCTCGAATTTTTGATTGATATGTTTGTCTACGGAGTATGGGTGGCTGCTCTTTGTCTTGGTAGTTTCACCCTCGTCGTCTATCGCTTTGGAGGAGGTAAGCTCGGATCCGGGTGCAACGAAGACTACAACAGTTCTTGTGAGGTAGTCTTCCGGGCCAGAGCCACGACCTTTGCTTGCCTGACCTGGTTCGCTCTGTTTTTGGCATGGGAGATGATCGACCGTCGGCGGTCCTTTTTCAGGATGCAACCAGGCTCTAAGCGATACCTGACACAGTGGATTCGTGACGTCTGGCGAAACAAGTTTCTGTTCTGGGCCGTCGCCTTTGGCTTCTTGTCGCTGTTCCCAATCGTCTATATTCCGGGTCTCAACACGATCGTGTTCAAGCACAGCGGCATTACCTGGGAGTGGGCTGTTGTCATTGCTGCCTCGGTCCTCTTCTTCGGCGGCGTCGAGGCCTGGAAGTGGGCGAAGCGTGTCTATGTGAGAAGAAGAGATGCTCGTAACTACGCGAGTGGCGGAATCGCTTGGAAGGATCTTGACGTGGAACAGCGCGTGTTTGCCGAATATCTTGAATTCACTTCGGACGATAACGCTGCTGAGTCGCCTGTTGAAAAACGCCAATGACTACGAAGGGGCGGGAAGCCCCGTGGTGTGGTTGTGGTAGTGGTGTTTGGCACGGAGTGTAAGCAGATGGTGCAGACGAACCAGCATCTTAAAGTCAAGCGGCATATTGCCCAGGATGCTCAGGTGATTCAGACTACGAAGATCCTTAGTCGCAGGTTTGAAGGACATGGTGGCGATGTCGATAGTACAGATGTTGATGAATTTGAGGGTGATGTGGAAAACGTGGAAGCGGCGAAGGGGACAAAAACCGGGGACGGAATGGAGATAAGATGGCTCAATAGGTGGATGGGCACATCATGGGTGAGGTTATATCAACACAAAATAGCCGTATCGTACCTACTCAACTTAGGTACTGCAAATGAAAAACACTATGCAGCTGACATGACACCGTTCTTCTTGGCATGAGATACAAGCTAGACAAGCTGGACTATAAGCAACTTTTACATATCGGATCGCAGGAAGCTTGTCGCTGATTTGCAGTATGATTGCGGCTCAACGATCAATAGTTAAGGATACCGCCTTCTGAAAAGTACCTGAATTCCCATAGCCTAAAATATCACCGGCGCTAGCTTCCTACCGTTGGGGTGCACTCAAGATTCGTACAATCGTCTTCTTCATGGCCGGGCGCAAGGCACCAGCACACAATGAAAACAAGGTTAAGACATCAAAAATTGCGTCCGGTACGATCCCGAAGGATAATACAGAGCAGTCGACTCCGCGCTGTGCAATGCAGGTCTCCCACCCTACTGCTCGAAATTCAGGAGCTTCAAACAGTCGAACAAGGTAAGTATGAAGAAGAAAAGAGGAAGGAAAGTCTAGAGAGATGGGAGACAGGCTGGCCTTATATAGACAATCTGGAGGCGGTGAAGCAGGCGGTCAAAAAGTTCAGACCGGCAATATTCTGAGCTAGGCAGGCACTACAGTGGGCCTTCTACTTAGGTACTTACAAGACGCTGTCCACCTCACAGTTCCCATTCACTCAGGGTGGCTGCCGCCTAATTAAGTTAGAACAACCCACTCAGCTCCCCCGGGGCCAACAAGGGTTCCACAGGCAAATTTCATTTCCAAATAACATAAGTAATCCGTTTAATCCAATAAATATGTGATTATCAGGATGCCTTCAGGATTCTAACGAGGTTGTGCCCATCAGCGGCTCTATGGCCCCTCCAAGTGTGGCAGGGGCAGGTTAAACGCGTCTTAGCACTTTACCAAAGTGGTCTTTACATGTAGCTCTCGCGCGCGCTACCAGCTCAATTTACTTGCACGCGTTCATTGGAGGAGTGGCCGCACCCCATCACTGTCTCTTCAACTGTTCCTCATAACCACCAGAAACGTGGTCAGCTACCAGCGACTGCGAACCGACTTTTTTTTGATAGGGGAGATCATCTTATGTGGATTAGCTATCTGGAGTGCCATCTGTCTTTCTATCCAGCTGCTTGAATCACTATTGAGACCTCGCGCGATTACTCTCGTTGCGCCCTTGTCCTAGTTATCTCGACCGGCCCTGTTGTCCGAGTCCTGTCTCCGTTTCGATTTCTCTTACCACTTAGCGTACACCAGACACCTAGCGAGGCTGCAGATGGGCTTAGGCGCGCCCTCTAGTATTAATCGATGCCTTTATCCCCCTTGTCTCCGAATGTGAAGGTGTCGCAAGCAGTAGCGAAGGACGGCGCTCACGACGATTGTGCTCACCCAATTGACACTGCCACCGCTTGCCACACCTCGATTGATGCCCCAGGCTGCGAGAATCTTTCTGTCCCCAAACCGCCCACAATGTCTTCAACAACAGTAGATGGGCCGCCGCCCCGTAAGGTTCCACCAGTGTTCTCATCTTCCACCCTTCTCACTTGCTCTTCATCGCTAGGCCTTCATTCCCCATGCCACTCCATTCACTCCGCTCCACACGTATTATTTGACTGAACAGCGTCCTAATGAACATCGTTTTCAGAGTCTTCAGAGCGATCCAGCACACCTGAAATCAAGATGGGGTCAACACCAGATAGTAGTCCTGCTTTGACAGAATTCTCCTGTACACCACCTCGCGATTCACCCCCACCACATGTTACGCCCTCTACGCTCTCTCTGCTGTCCACTGCTTTACCGACAAAGCCTGTACAGGGGGAAAGTGCCTCGAAACCCATTTCGGCTCCGAAGAGAAAGCACACTGCGACAACTGAAGATAAAGCAAAAGAACGGGCGGAAAAGAAGCAGAAGCAAGAGGCAGCAGTGGCAGAAAAGGAAGCTATGAAGGCCAAGAAAGCCCTTGAGAAAGCTACAAAGGCTGCTAAGAAGGCTCGTGTTGATACAGAAAAGGAAGCTAATAAGGCTGCTAAAGCTGCCGAAAAAGCCAAAGCAGAGGCTGCTAAAGAGGCAAAGAAACAGAAGAAGCAGGAAGAGGAACTCGCCGCCAAAGCAAAACAGGAGAAGCAGCAGAATTTGATGGCCAGTTTCTTGAAAAAAGCTCCTACCACACCGTCGAAGCCGAGTACTCCTTCCTTAATTACCTCGAAAACTGATACAGCAAGCCCGTCGGCACCAAAACAGGACGCTAGACCGACCAAACCGACCAAGTCTGCTTATGAACTCAATTTCAAGCCTTTTTTCATCAAGTCTGGAGTGACCATGGCACCACCGCTTTGCCAAATGGATGATGAGACAAGGAAAGCAAAGGAGGCCATTCTTGATGATTACATGCGTGGCGACCGAGGCGAGTATAATCCAAAGCGACCGTTTGATGCTGCAGACACGTTCAGCTTGGCATTTCCGCAACAGCGCGGCGTGATCCCACCTAGTGTCAAGAAGATAATGGAGAGAATACATGGCGATCCATACCAAAATACATTCGGCCTCACGAACACAAGAAGCGAGTCACAAACCGAGAAGCTCATCAGCAGCGCCAAAAATGAGCTTGCCGCTGTTCCAATGAAATATCTACGGTTCTATGAGGATGTCAGGCCGGCTTACTTCGGTACAATGACTACCCCCATGACCTACAGGAAGCTTCGCACGCTTTCTCGCAGGCCAGCGGGGAAGATATTGCCATTGGCATACGAATACGACTCGGAAGCGGAATGGGTTGAAGATGATGGTGAAGATCTTGATGACGCCGAAGATGAGGAAGAAGACCTCGATGGGGATGAAGAGATGGATGACTTTGTGGATGACTCCGAAGCTATTCCCACGATCATTCGACCTGGTTTCGAGTCTGATAGTGTGCCTGTTAGCACAGGCATATCCTTTGAAAACCAGAAGCGCCTAGGCCCTTCATCTACGGTTTACAAGTACAAGCTGGAGTTCTTATTAGGTAAGTCCAGTTGTGCATTGTCCACGGTGTTATGAGCGTAAATTGACAATCTCTAGATTCTCTCGAACATCACTCTATGATAGATCCGTTTTCTACTGAATACTGGCCCATACCAGCAAAGAAAGTCCCAGTAACCGTCACATTATCGTCAACACAAGGCACGATCACTTCTATGCTACCCCCTTCCGCGCCCCGAGATGGGGCCAAAGCCGCATGCAAAACAACAACACTAGACGGAAAAGATGTAGTCCCGAAGGATTTACTCGTAGATTTCAAGCGCGCTCTGCTGAGTGACGAGTACAAAGATTTCTCGAAGGGTACAGTCATTGAGGTGCTGGCCAAGAAGTTTAGTACTTGTACCAAATCACAGGTGAAGGCAACTTTAGATATGATTGCCCACCGCGTCACGCCAGCAGGCCAGGCCAAGAGATCCAAAATATGGGTATTGTTGCCCGGTTTTGGCCTCGAGGAAAACAATTAAATTTCATCGGATTGTGCATTTTTTTGCGCCACGGAGTTGCACGGAGTTCTTGGGATTTTCCTCGACGATACCAGCTATATTGTTGAGTGTGCTATTATCTGGCTATGGGAGGGAATATTGCTTGCATTTTGTATGGCCATACATTAGCTATTAAAGAGCGTGGTTGTATGCTTGTTTTGTTTTTTTATCCCACTAAGAAGAAGGCCCGCCAAAAACCTGTATATAGATAGAGAAAGGCAGGGCAAAGCAAAGGCATTGAGATGATGTGAAGAAAGTGTCATCCTAGCCTGGTGGTTGATGTAGACGGTACAAAGGTGTTAGTTGGTCGGTTAGGTGAGGTGCTATGGTAATGAACATTATGATGTCCCGAGATTCAGGGCTTGTTTTGTTCAAGGGAGATATGAGTGTGTGAGTGGTTGAGTGAGATCTATTTGATTAACTGTCGTGACGCCTTGTATACCCTCCACCCAGTCTTTCTTGTATTATGGACTGCGCTCTGTTGTTTACATACAAGTGATATATTGAGTAAGTGTGCATAAGTACAGCATGTCATGGAGGGACGATGAACATGTACTAAGTATGTATGCAAACCCTTTTTTCCCCGTCCATGTGCGATATCTTACCGCTACGATGTCACAAGACTTGTCTTGTGAATCGTAGGAGTTGATACATAAAGCAGCAGAAACGCAGCGTTCACGATTTCACGGTGTTGGCATTCACTCATTGGCTATTGAAACTGAACTTCTATCATGTCTTGTCTTCTGCATTCATATGAGAGGAGTATTCCTTTGAGTGCTTGGAATGGCGGTGTAGCTGGCTGGTTCTTGAGGAGATTATCTTTCTTTTGACGAGGATGTTCTATCTATCCTTTCACATCACTTCTCTATGTCATCTAGTCATACTTCAGGAAATAATTTGCTTATACCACACAGATATATACCTAAATCAGCATCTCGGTATCTGTTGTTGGTGGGGGTTGCTTGTGAAAACGTTTAAAGGGGTAAACTCATGAGACTAAGAAAAGGGATGGATGAAGCAAGGAGTCAAGACACAAGTTAGTGACTCGTTTAGGTTCACGTGCTTGTTTATGAATGTTTGTTTAAAGGTAGTCATGAACCAAAAAGCTTTCTCGCATAGCCTTTTAATTCAAGTGTAACAACAAGTCTAGTGACTGATTGATCATGTTTACCTCGCCAGTTGTTGACAGTTAGTTCACGTCTTCAACATAACTTCAGACACACTTCACACAAATCAAAACCCATAGAGGTTCGTTCTTTCAAAAGTAGCTCATAATATAGTGCATAGGCATGCTATCTTCCTACAATACAGAGGGATGGGTTAAAGCGAGCTAAATGCTAGGTAGATGGGCTCAGTGTCCAAAGGTGAAGCTTGCGCCAACAGAACGTATGGGAACCGGCACCCCGCTCATTTCCACCCATTCGGTAAATATTCGTTTCACGTGTATAGCCTATCGCTGCGTAGTCAAAAGTCATGATAGAGGCACGGCCCCCCTCCGCTAATCATACATATAAAGCACCCGGGTTGCTGTTACGCCTTGCCCCGTGTGCTCCCCTGTTCTGAATAGATAAAAAGGTCCTGGCCACATCAAGGCAGACATACCTTCCAGGACCGCCCAGCGAGGAGTGTCAAACTCACTGCTTGGGACTTCACGACATCAGCTAAACCTCTTCATAAGATGACTAGCGTCCTCTGTCATGGATCTAATCATGGCAACGCTTGATGGCTTCAGCAAGACTTTTGACATAGATGGCATCTCACTTTAGTGGAATTGGCTGTTGGCGTATGCGATGGCCACTACATCAACAAAACTACGATTGCTGATCCTCCTGTGTCTGTCGTGTTTTATTGTGCGTGCGTTTATCGTTGTGGTGATTATGGGCCTTCTCGCGGCGTGATTCCTCGATCATAGTGCGCTGCTGCATGCTTTCGTCGTGGCTCTTCCACTCAATGCGCGTGTCAGCCGGATATTTCAGTACGCGGCGTATCGTCTCACTAGGGGCCATGACAGTCAGTTTCAAACTCATTTGCGACTAGAGGGTAATATTTACCGGATCTTTAGGACCTTGGACCCTTCGTTCCGGATCCAAACACTAAGAACGTCTTCGCCATTGCGCATGCTCAACACAATGCCGCATAACTCATCGGCTTCATCCCCAAATTGATCGCCCGCACAAGCCATGAGGAGATCCTCATAGTAACGGTCAGCGATACCTTTCTTTAGTCGCAATATCCACTTTCCACCCTTCTTGTTTTCTTGGTCTTCCCATATTGGTCGAACCCCGTGCTTGAAGAAGTGGTAGTCCGACACTGTGGGGAGCGAGGAAGGTCGTTTCAAATGAGAGTAGGCTACCCAAAACTCCTCGACTGTTTTCACAGCCATCATGGGATGCAGTGTCTTGTCATATTCGATGAACCCATTTGCCTTGGTGATTGGGGGTCTATACCAGAAAACCCAAGTATCTCGTAGAGGGTGCACCAACGCAGTCTGGCCCTGTTGTCCTGTTTCTGAAATGGAACCCATGGATGGCTTCCCGCTTGTGGTGGAGCGCAGGCCTTCCTTCGCAGACTTCTCTGCCGAAGGTGTCTTGGCTCCAACTGCGCCCATTGCTTGTTCAAATGGGTTCGCGGACGACTTCGGTGTCTTCGCCGAGCCGAACGATGCAAATGCGCCCGAACCGAGGCCGAATTGGTTGGCGCCCCCGGTGCTCGTGGGGGATGCCAAAGCCCCAGGTGTAGTAGGTGCGAAGGGGTTGGTTCGGCCGTGCGAGGAAGAACCGCCATTTCTTCGTGATAGACTCGAAAAGTCTCGAGGTGCAGTATTATCAGTTGAGCCCGAAGTACCCAACGAAAGGTTGCCAGCGGTGGTGCTGGTGCTGCTTTTATCTTTATGTGAGCAGGATGAAGTTTACAAGGATTGATGCACACAAGAACGGACATACTTGTTACGTCGAGTCCATATTGATTCCTGTCTATCCATGATGATAGGTTGTTGCTCGCAGCCTCTGGTCTGGCAATATTGGAGTGTATGAAACTTGGGCAAACCCCGTGGTTTCTCTCAAGACCTAGGCAATGCGACGGGACAGGCTTTCTTTTTTATGCCGTACTCACAATGTCTTTATCCCCTCCTTCAGTACTATCTCGTTTCGATGTTCACTGTGGCAAGCAAGTAGACGTGGGCAGATATCGTGGATGGTATCGGACGGGGTAATGGACAGTGATATGATCTTTGACAGGTGGATTCCTCTTTGCCGGCGTAGTGTGTGAGTCTGAGTGTGTCCAAGTTGAAGACGGTGAAACAACCAAGAGCGACGGCGGCGGGCGGCGTGTTGGGACGAACGATGTGGGATGGAGACAGCGATTCGGGAGCAGGCGAGAAGGGATGCAGAGAATAATTGATGTGATGGGCGATGGTGATACACAGGAATTACCAACTAGAGCGAAGCTGGACTATGATGGGGGAAGAAATATTTGGTTACAGCAGTTAGTTATTAGGCAGTCTGTGAATGAGAGCTCGAAATGTTTTCACGACGATACTAAGTAGATGCGCCGTCGACTGACTGAGTGACCCCAATTCTGGAGCAGAGGTACCTGACTGCGTGTGGCGCTGACCGTTGCTACTGTTGTACCCTGACCCAGCACGCTAGCGAATCAGTCAGGCCAGTTAGGTCAGTCAGGTTAGTGTGCCCAAGCGCTGTTCTCTGCCCGCTATGCTACCTACATAGGTATTCTGTACATATGTAGCACCTGCTACCCTCAGTGGCCAATGTACCCTGCTTGCCCTAGGCAGGTACCTACTTGCACATGGTATACCTAAGGCACTGACAGTAGGTACTGTCGCCTCTCTCGCCTCTGTAGGTGGTACCGGTATGTGGTCATCCCCCGCAATACCTACGCTGTTTGCAGCTACCCTACCTATCTGAAAAGTTACAGTGCCCTGATAGTACCTAGGTAGTACTTCCGGATAGGTACCATCGGCAAACGGCGGCATATATTCCGAAATTCTGGGGACCGTAGTGGGCTAGGCTCGCAGTAGACCTTCAGCCTCAAGATTTTTTTTTCTCTTCCTCTCTTCCTTTTTTCTTTCTTCAACATTTGCAAGACCACCAACTCAAATCATCGACAGCCTGCTTCTCAATCCTTTCACGGGGTTATCTCTCTCCACGCTGCTGTCGATTCCGATGTGTGTGTCGAGAGTAATATTCGCTTTGCCTAAAACCATCGTCACGAGGGCCCTTGATTGTGGCCTCCCATGATGCGATGATGACCTGATGCAATGTACAACTAATCAATCCAACTAACCCATGTCTGTTTATTCTACAGACAACATAGACGACCTGGAATCGTGCATGGGTCTCTCTGTGTATGTTTAGTTGACTTTCGCAAAGGTGAGTTCGTGTTGTTTCCATGTCTTACTATTTTTTGCCTTGATGAAAATAACTGGAAAGGTAATCTGAGATGGTTAGCCAGCGTATACACATTCACGCTGTGGTTAAACGTGCAGAAGAACCGGCACACTCTGAGCGATTCACTTTTGATGTCTTTCTGGTAAAGTATTGGAAAGCCAGAACAGCTGACGTGGTCTCAGTAGAGACACGAATACAGAGTCATATGGACGCGCACTTGCGTGGTTACGAAATAATAGAGACCTTCCGAGTGCTAAGCAGGTTTTGATTCTGTTATTACCTGGTTACAAAGGTGCTAAGACTTGCTGCCAACGACGTGCTGAGCTACGTTGAGTAGATATGCGAGTATGCATGAGTCAGCTCTGGAAGTCAACAAGATACCCCGTGTTTTAGTTAACGTAGACTTGCACTCAGATCCAAGTAGTCAGATAACCTTGTTACGCGCTTCTCGATAAACCTACCCAACGACCTTGCTTAGCACATTTTAAGCTTCAACCTCTCATACCAGGTTGATACCAGGTTGTGGTGAGATTTGCGAGAAAAGGCAGATTACGCACAGACATAACATAACCTGCCATGCTATATACTTTTGGCCAGATATGCAAGACTCGTCAAATCCAAATGCTGTGTTATCTAGGTATCTGTCCAGGCAATCGAGGGAAATCTCAGAATAAAAATAAAAAAATGGAGTATCTTTATGGGCTGATTGTTCCTTCTAACATGCAGCAAAACGTATATAATTCATGGCAATAGAAAGCTCCAGAAGTTTGCTCATTTTGGCCTGGTCCTACCAAGCTAGACTCGGGCCAAACTCGGGCTAAAGGCAGGCAGGCATACCTAGTTCAGATGAGATGAAATTTCCCATAATGTGGTCAAACTCAGACCCCGCACGCCGTCTCTGAGAAATCAAGGCTGACGATACTTACTTTGTCAAGTCAATTTTGGCCGCATATTATGCTCTGGTTGGTTAGTGTGCGAGCTAGATATGTCAGTTCATAATGTAATGAGATGGGAAATAGGATGGCTTCAATTGGTCCGTCTGCGGCTAGCTAGCGCTCCGTAATGGTTGCCGACAGTACGTTTGTAACTCGACGTCATAATCAGAGGTGTAGCTCAAGTTCCAGCTAGCTCTAGCTTCCTAGCGATCCTAGGATCACATGTTGATATGTTTCTACGAAGACGACAAAATTGAGACGTCCTTTTCAGGCGCGACGAGGCTGTAAAGAAATAATCCAGGAATGCCATTGACAACCCATCTATACCCTCCTAAATACATAAACCCCAATACTCTGCTCCCACTCATAATTCATCGTCAGCCTATGAAGCTACCAAGGGTCCTTGAATCAGGCTTGGCGCTCAGTTACTGGCAATGTGATGAAACCTCACACCAGTAATCCAGTCCTATCACATCATAATCATCATTCCCAGCTAAGCTATTACAGCCATGACCAGGTAGCCATATCGCATCACAAAACCAGTCGTTGGACGACATATAATTGTCTTCCGGACCTTTACAGCATGCGTGTCTTCAATCGTTTCGCATTTGCTTCAAGGTGATGTCGTCATCGCACTTAGGCTGTAGGAATCTACTGGTCTTTGCCCAGAGAGTCGGCCTTGGCACGAAGATTGGCAGCGGTCGAGCCGGACTCGGAGAAGTAGCGCGAGAGCATAGGTTGCATGAAAGATCGGAAAATAAGTTGGGCGCCGCTAAAAGCTTGTGTAAGCATGCGGGAACCCTACAGTGACACCTGAAATCTTACCTGAAAGCGGGAAGGGACAGCCAAAGCAAGAACACAAACTTGAATGTGTAGTAGAAAGGGAACCAGTAGACTACGCTAATAAGGCTCTCAATAACGCTGCAACAATTAGCATTTCAACAGGGTGCATTGGAATTTATATTGTTCTGGCCGGCTCACGTGAAGAAGGAAAAGACAACCCAGTACTAGCAATCAATTAGCGTTACCATCGACCTTCATTTTTGCGCATTAGCGCGCATGATGGGAGGGAAACTTACTGTAAGCCACTGAGTATCGTCGGTTTTGCTGGCACTGAACAAAGCGGCCAAAGAGTAGTAACCGGGGATGACGAAACCAGCGAGGTTGGTCAACAATTGGCCACCGAGGTTGAAAATAATGAAGAAGAGATAGAGAGTGGCAACGCCAATGACGGCGTAAACCTTGGGAACAGCTGTCTGCTTCTCGAGGTTGTTGAGAGCAGGGTATTTGCTCAGCTGCAAAAGCGAAATCAGTTCTGTTCAACCAAGGACATGCGCGCGCACGCGACAAGCATAAGCATGGTAAGCTTACCTCACGATCGAGCTGAGTGATGTATTGTTGGGCGCGGTCTTGGGCCGACATGATGTGTGGATGATATGAGATGATGTATAGAAAAAGCAGAGGAATGCTCGAAATGAAAGCCGACACGGGATGCTCGGATGGTCGTTAGGGGTGGGGACGTTTGGTTGAAAGGTTCAAGTTTTGGTGTATTGTGTATTGTGTATTGTACGTATCTACCAGCATTTGATCCTTAGGGTTAGCATCGAACGATCAAGCCAGCTTGCGCATCGGGCACGAGCACACAAAGCACACAAAGCACACCAGGTGGAGAGCGGGGACAGAGATAGTGACAACTGGACAAGTAGGTAAGAGAGGTAAGAGAGGTACATAGGAGAGGTAGGTAGCATACAGGTCACTGGTCGCGATGCAAAATGTGCAGCAGAAATGTTGGCAAAATTGAGTTAATATTGGAGAGGAATGATAATGTTAGATTTGTATGCGGAGTGGTAATTGTTGTGTTGTTCGGAAGGCGGATTGTGGGAGGAGGAGGGGAGGTGTTTAAGATGACGAGATGGGGGAGGAGCAGGCGACCCGGGCTAGGAGAGAAAGAGGCTAGCACTAGATGATGGGATTGCCGTTACGCATGCCACGGGCGATGACGGCAGATAACCTCCTTAGGTTGATAGATAGATAGATAGATGTGTATCTCTGCGATACGATACCACTGTTCTACCTCTCTGACCTGCCTAAATACAGCAGTAGGTAGGTACCGTCCAGTGCGATACGGGGCGGGCATTGTGTGACGAAACAGACCCCGGCATTGCCATTAATAACCAAACCCTATCTATCTCTCACTCAAGCGCTCTCATCTTGGCTACCGTTGGTAGGTATTCTTCTGCTCTAGGCCAGATCAGAGGCGATTGGTTCATTTGAGCCCTATCGATATACCTACCTAGGTACTCACCTGAGGAAGGTATTGCGTACAACCTTTGGAATTTCGTGATCCTTACCGGAATACCTACCTAACCTATCTGTACACGTCTGTGTCCAGAATAGGTAATTAGATAACTCGGTGTCTACAACTTGTGAACTGCAGGTATTATACACCTAAAGACTGGGCACCTACTTATCGAGATATGCTGGCAGATGAGCTTGGTTGAGAGTCTCGAGGCTCTCTTCCTAGGTACATACATACTTATTGAGTACCTATTAGCAGCTGATAGTGATTCTCAGGTTCAAGCCACAAGTCTTACAATAATAACCATACCTTGTAGACGAGAGGAAACATCTGTTAGGTTGGTAAGTTCTTCGACCCTCCAGGAAATGGCATGAAATTATATGTATCACCACACTTATGCGTATGCAAGTAGGTAGCCAGAGTCGCGCGTGGTTGACTGGGTAAAGGATAGACTCTGTACCTCACTTTAATCTGCACTTCAAGGTTTGGATCAGTTCCTGGGCAACCATGTGTAGATTCGCGATAGGCTTTTGAAGATATTCCCAGCTCGCGGCGTTCTATCTATAGGGTCGCGCATAGCCAGGGCTTATTTATGCCACTTTTTCAGGATGTCTACCTATTCTCTCTCGTCTTCATCGTCAAGGTGTATAGGTATCTGTGTGTGTGTTCTTTGTTTTTGCCTCAAAGGTTCGTATCCAATAACATGATCAGAAGAGCAACAGCAAGGAATACCGGTAGCGCAAATGCAACCTAGGTACCTACAGGGTAAATCATTTAGGTAGGTACTTTCACGCCCAGCACCAGCCACCTCTTCACCCGTTCGCGTCTTACCCCACTCCCACTCCCTCTTAGGGCTGGCGTCTTCAGCCAGAACATGTATTTGTCCTGCAAAAAAAAACCTTGAATGTAACCAGAGTAGGTAGTAAGTACCTAGGTACTTGCAACGACAGACAAGGGCAGAGCAGTCAAAAAGGGCCTGCCCAGCCGGTCCCACTCCTTCCCACTGGACTGACCACTCAACAGCTCGCGGGCGGTTCTCACACGGTTGCCCCGACGAGTTTTGTTGTTTGGACACCCTCCTCCGCTCCTCCATTTTCTGTTTTCGACTCGAGTCACATCTCAGGCTCTCCATCTGTCCTGCAGACCTTTGGCGCCGCGACCAACCCCCGGGGCTCCTCTGTCTGGTGTTCCCACTGCCCATCTGCAGCTTGTCCTCCGTCTGCTTCTTTCTATCCTAATTCTGTATTATTTTGCTCTGCCTCGGCTTCTCCGCCTGTGCCTCCGGTTGCCGTGTTTTGGCTGGCGCAACAAAGCTGCCCGGGGTAAACAACCCTCGACACCATGGATCTCGGTGGGTGATTCCTGTCCTTCCACGAGCCCGGGTCACGTCACGTCACGTCGCATCACACCGTACATGCAGTCTTTCTTTCCCCGTCATGCTACTTGTTTCGTATTCATCCTACGCCTTGAACTGCGCTTGGACGATGGTGTACGGTATCTAATTGTTACGCAGATCCCCAGCCTCCCGAGGCTGCCACCATGTCGCAGCAGGATCAGAGGAAGAGAACACAGTCGAGAGGCTCAACTGCCTCGATGCACAGCATCACCACCCAACCCAACCATGAACGTAGCTTGTCCGCCGTTCATCAGGGCGGCTTCCAGGATCAATGGTCCGTCAACGGTCACACTGTCATGCCACATTCAAAGGACATGTCCGCGATGGGACACCAGATGGGGCAACAGATGAACCAACAGATGACAGGCGATGACATGATGCGCTCAGCAACGCCGATACCATTACAGCAACACTTCACTATGAACACGGGAATGCACCATCAGCCTGTTGGCGCAGCTGCCCCTTATGCTCATCACCCAGCTGCTGCAAACGGCTTGTCGATCGATTCGTACGGGACCGGCACTAGCTTCACCGATGCCGACAGCCAGATGATTATGGATCGTGACGATCCCGACGAGAGCGATAGGATGGAGGTCGTCCGGCCGGCTGGCCAGAAGTCAACTTCTGGTCGAGCGAGCGCCAATAATGAACTCGAGATGCGCGCTTTATACCAGGCTAGCCGACACCGTAAGCTTGAAGACGTGGCTAAAGAGCTACATGGAAATGAGCGTGGTCCCAATTCGGAACGGGCTCGTCAGGTATTCGCTATGCTTTGGTATGTTCGAAATCTCTTCCCGGGCTCACTGAGGCGTTTTTCGTCCGGAGGCTAACTATTGCGTCAAGGCTTAATCAGGTTTGTGCCAAGGGCAAGGGATCCGTTCCTAGAGGGCGCGTCTACGCCAACTATGCATCTAGATGTGCGACGGAAAGAATAACTGTGTTAAATCCTGCTAGTTTCGGGAAGTTGGTGCGAGTGCTCTTTCCCGGTTTGAAGACTCGTAGGCTGGGTGTCCGTGGCGAGTCGAAATATCATTATGTTAATTTTACATTGATGGAGGACCAGCCTGAACTTAAGGAACCCGTGGTCCAGCCAGCACTTCCCATCCAAGAAGCTTCACAACCCCGACAGTCTTTTAAGTGAGTATCGTACCTCTGTACACTACATTTGGCCTCAGTCTAACAGTTTGCAGCACCGCTGAGTCTCAAACAACGGTCGTGAATGCACTAAAGCCAGCGCTCCCATCACCACAGATCAATAATCCCCCGGAAAAACACCCGTCATCGTTAGCAACATCAGTAACTATGTGCCATAGTCTATACAACCAAGCAGACGTCGCCAGTATCGACCAGCTACGTTCAGCCGCAGCCAAGACAATGCTGCATCTCGCCTTCCCAAGGGACGGTGACGACCAATTCGATTCATCTCAGCCTCTTATTTTACCTAAAATACAGCCTTTCCTACCAAGCGGTACTGACTCTGATGCGGCTAAATCCCTCGCGGCACTATATCGGTCTCATTGTACTTCTCTAGTGGAATGTATCCGTTATTGTAAAGAAAAGACATTTTTTCATCTATACACATCTTTCCAGGGCACACTCACCATGCCGGTACAGAAGTTATTCGCAAATCCAAGTCTCGCACCTTGGATAGAACAATGCGATTTCACCCTGTACCAGAGAATGACACGGATTATCGCAGGATTGACGCTTCAAGTTGTCCCAAAACCTGTTCTCGACACTCTAAGAAACATCTCGGAGCGGCTGGTTATTCATATCCGTGATGCTTTTCAAGGCCAGCCAAGACATGTAGTTCGTGCTAAGGAAGCTCCTGCTACTATTTTTTCAGCGATCCTTGATCGTGCCCTACGAGTTAACCTCACAGCTCACGCAGCAGCCAACATGCTAGCGAACCCATCAAATCGCAATAGCATGTACCTCGATTGGATCTCTATGGTCCGAATACGGAAAATTGCCGAATGTGTGCCGACCAGAGGCATGGATGATCTCGTTCAAGTCTTAATCAGTGAGATGCGAGGTCTTTTAGACCCCACCAATGTTCCCTGGGATCTTGAATGTCTCACGCTATATGGGGATCTGGCTCAACAGCAAGGGCAAAACTCAGAATCAGGTGCATCTAACGGAGACAATCCTCAGAATATGCTTGATCGATGGGTTCAATTTCTCTCTTCGCTTCCTAACCGGTTTCCGTATGCAACACCTGCCGATATCGTCTGGTGTGTTCAGAGAGTGGGAACAGAAGTCATGCGTGATCTTACCATAGCCCAAGGTAAGAGCTTCGGGTCTTGGTGGGTTACGAAATGCTGGATCGACGAAATGGTAGCGTTCCTCGCAGAGCAGGGCGGATTCATGCAGACTGTCTCCTCGACTCCCGCGATCGACAACGCTAAGCGCTCAACCTCAGTCCCCGTAGATACTGTCAATGCGAATCTAGAAGAACGTGGCCGTCAAAGTGAAAGCGTGGAGTTGAACGCATCACCAAGCTTGGCCGCGCAAGCCCAGCCAGATCGTGCTCCCTTCCCATCTCGTGTTGACGGCCCTGACCCCGATGATAGTGGGATCGGGATAAGGACGCCCGAGGAAGACTTCCCCATAGAGAAGTTTTCTTTTTAGCAAAAATATCTTCTTACACACTCTATTCTACTACAGGGCAAGGATTTGAACGCGAAGGCTGGCTCCCAGCCGATTTGACTGTACATGACCTTGTTCCGTACGTTACTCGGAGACCTTTCTCAGATGATCTGTCTGTTTCTATTCGTTTGGCGTTTATGGAGTCTAGCATGTGCATCTAGACATGGGCGGATATATGTTGGTATGGCCAGGTATCCGGTCGTACGACGGCTGTGTGTGTGCAAGGCTCAAAATATTCGGGTACGACGGTATGACTCAATCACGAGGGATTACGACCAACTTTCTTGGGCGACGAGGGAGGTTTCAAGCCGTGTTGCTGGGCAAATATATTAGTGACGACATGGGGGTTGGACGCACGCCGACAGTCACGGTCTGCTTGTGGAAGGACCATAGACTTGGTGTCTGGCACTACCTGGGATGGGGACTCTTCAGTCCACCTGGAATGGAAACTTGGCGTTAGGCGGTTTGGTTTTGTCACGGTGCTACTGCCTCTCGGTAGGATATATAGGGCAAAAAGCCGCCTCTATTCTGTGATACCCATTAACCATGATAATATTGCCTCTGTATACCACGACGACTCTCTATTTGGAGGCAGTTTTTCTTGGACTGGTAGCATGCTCCGGTCGTGCAGGTATCACGGCGAACCAACTTTCCAACTCATCAATGAAATAATGCTTGCCTACTTGTAGTATTGCAGCAATGGTGGTGATACTGAGCAGTCGTGTTAAGTTATCATGTTTTAACTTGAGTACTTCGGTATCTGGACAGGATAGGGGGTGGGGATACATTGTCAGACTAGGTAATCTATTGTTAATGGCTAGTGCTCTGCTAGTGCTAGTCATTACCTCGAACTACCTACTGTAGGTAAATAAATTAACAAGCAATGGTAGCCGACCAACCACACCTTGGGGCCTGGATTCTACGCTGAACCGGACTGGCTATCATCGTGGTACACCTAGGTAGGTACTTAGGTACAGTACTATGCAGATGACGCTATACATGGGGGCTGCACAGACTCGGGCCCCACATTTCTGACTCCCCGCGATGGTTGAGTCGTAGTTTCAACTAGACTTTTTTTTTCTACACCAATGTTCGAGCTCCGATTCGGGGCGACAGGCGATGAACACCTACTCAACCTGGGCGCCAGAAGAACCGGGGCGACTTGGGCCGAACCCGATACTCGCCGTAGTCGTGTTTTGTATTTCCTTTGCTCGACGCTGCTCTTCGATAATAGACTCTCTTCCTGATAATAATCATAATTATAATACATGATCTGCTAGGTACATAGACGTACGCTTGCATCTGCTGAAGCGCAGCCTATAAAGCTGCCCCGCCACCATTCGTTCCCTACTGTGTTCCGTCTGCTTGTGATCGCGACGGCTTCCCACTCGTTCCTTGCCCATTGCTCCCGCCTATCGCCCAGCAACAGACAATGGCTCCCGAGACTGAGGTTCGGAACAACAGTAACCCCCGCGGCTGGATTGTGCAGAAGTTTGGCGGCACGAGCGTCGGCAAATTCCCCATTAATGTTAGTAGTGCCCCTCACTGTTCGCCGAATGCGCTCCTTGCTTCCTCTCTTGTTCATTGCGACTGACACGACCCGGCTTCGTACATAGATTGCCCGCGACATTATACGGTACGGCATAATCGTTGCCTTTTTCTCCAATGCAGTTACTAATTCTAGAGCGCCAGCGCGAATTTGACCTCGAATAGAATCGCCGTTGTCTGCTCAGCACGGAGCTCTGGCAAAAAGGTAAATGGTACGACCAGCCGGTGAGTCACCCTGAGCAAGGCACCTCGCGGCAGCGAACACTCTACCACTAACCGAGAGGCGAACACGGCAGGTTACTTGAAATATACAAGAGATTGCGCGATGTAGCTGCAGCGACTAGCAACGAAGCTATCAAGGCTGAGCTTGTCGAAGATGCCAAGACGACGATCCGAGAAATATGCGACGAGCATTTGGCTGCCGCCCAGGATTCTGTCAAAAATACCGATTTACAAAAGGAGGTTTGCGATAGCATACAAGAAGACTGCCAGGAATTGATAGACTACATCATCGCCGCAAAGCGCTTCAACCTTGAAGTCAATGCAAGATCTAAGGACCGCGTCGTTGGCTTCGGCGAAAAGCTCAGCTGCAGATTCATGACAGCGATGTTGAGGGATAACGTACGTCTCTATCGCAATTATGCGGCACTAAGTCTTATGAACTAATACTTGCCTTAGAATGTTGAAGCTGAATATGTTGATCTCTCCGACGTGCTGCATTACGATAGCACAGATCGTCTTAGTCCAGCATTCTTCAAAGACGCAGCTGCCATATTTAGGAAGAGGATACACGCCTGTGTAGACCGCGTACCAGTCATCACCGGTTTTTTCGGAAATGTCCCTGGGAGCCTGATGGATGGAGACATTGGGCGTGGCTATACAGACTTATGCGCTTCCTTGGTAGCGGTTGGACTTAATGCAGACGAGTTGCAAGTGTGGAAAGAGGTGGATGGTATCTTCACGGCTGACCCTACCAAAGTTCCGACAGCACGGCTGCTGAGTTCCATTACACCCTCCGAAGCTGCCGAACTGACGTTCTACGGCTCCGAAGTCATTCATCACTTGACTATGGATCAAGTGATCAAGGCAGAGCCACCAATACCTATCCGTATCAAGAATGTCAACAATCCCAGGGGAAGCGGTACCATTGTTATCCCCGATCTAGTCCAATCACCAGCACAGCAGATCACACGCTCTCGACCATCAGATCCATCATTGCGCAAGACACCGAAGCGACCCACAGCCGTCACCATCAAAGATAACATTACTGTCATCAACGTACACTCGAATAAACGCTCCATATCTCATGGATTCTTCGCGAAGGTATTTTCAATTTTAAACAGCCATAGGATATCTGTCGATCTTATTTCTACAAGTGAGGTCCATGTATCCATGGCTATCCACCAAGCCAGCTCTTCTGTCCATCACTTTGAAAAGGCCAAGGAGGAACTAGAGGAATGTGGAGATGTCAGCATTCTTATTGACATGGCTATCCTAAGTCTTGTCGGGGCTGAGATGAAAAATATGATTGGTATTGCTGGTCGCATGTTCTCGACGCTTGGCGAGCACAATGTCAATATTGAGATGATATCACAAGGTTAGTTTGGACAACACCCACTTCGTCCTTTGATGGGATACTTACTAACTATTCGAATCAGGTGCCAGCGAAATCAATATATCGTGCGTTGTCGAAGCGAGAGAAGCTACACGAGCCATGAACATTTTGCATACAAACCTTTTCACGTTTCTAGATTTCTAGAACAGCATAGCAAGTCTTTTTATGTCCCTTTGGCTTAAACAAAATACTTTCAAAATAGATGGGATTGCATACTGGAGGTTTTACAAAAAATCTTTTCTCTTGGAGATTTAAAAAAAGAAAAAGAAAATGCGTTGCTCCTACATGTATATATCGTCACAGCGTGTCCAAGACCGGATTTAGGGCAACGAGATAGCGTTGTCGTTGATGCACATAATCGGCTTGATTGAATACACCGGAAGATGTAAAACAAGACAGGAATACACAAAACTTTTAGAATGTTTCCTTCAATCAGAGACTTATGAATGAGTCGATTCGTTGTTAATTCCGCCTTCGTTTCACTCTTTGCGTCACTGCTGAGCTGTTCCCACTGAATCGAACCAATGTGGCCTGGAGATGCTCCTTGGTGAAGTCATAAGATGTTCATGACGTAGAGTCATGCGGATGGTTGATGAAAGTCTATTTATTACTCGATGGTATGAAGGATGGGATGGGATGGAGGGGGTATATAGGTAGCTTTGAAGGACCTTGTTTAGAGATTGGGATTTGAGTATGTAAACGGAAATTAAAATTAAAGACTTTACGCATAAGTTTTATTATTACGTTTATGTAATAAACGTATAATTATTATTCACCATGCCATCGGGTACGGAGAAAGCAAAGGAGATGTTCAAGCACGGCGTCGAGAAAACTAGGTCTGCGGCTGAGCGTACGTGTTCTAATATTGATCCTGTATTCTTTCCATCGCCCTCTTCTCCTACTTGTGTTCTATTCTACGCCTATCTTTCATAAGAGAATTCCCTGAAACATGAATATTGCATCTATGCTGACTTGCTAATTTTTTTTGCGCCGTCGTCTAGCGGGAAGCTCCTTCGGTACCCAGGGCGATTCTCTGGGGGGCAAAAAGGCGGATAATCCTAAGCAAGGGTGGTTCACGTCTACACTTGGCCGGGGAGATAAGGGATCTTCGCATTATGATCCTGCTAAGTACAGTGGGAGCAGCGCAGGTTGAATCTTGGGGTGTGGAATGGATGGAAAGAAAGGAAAGGAAATGATGGTGGTGCTCTATGGAGGATATATTGAAGTCCTAAGTGAATAATACTTGGAGTCATCATAAAGGTTCTGGATTAGTGGTTTTATGTGACTCTTGTTGCTATTATATCTGTGTTTGCTACATGAGGCCTGTGAAACGGTATTATCTTATATGAGGATTCGAGGAATACCAGAGCTGGACGTTGAAGATCACTTGACTGGATACGAAACTAAGTGTGATCATTTGGCTATGCTGTGCACGATGCCAGCATCGTCGATGCGGCCAGTCCGACTGGGTTTGCTTGCGCCGACGTGCATGGTTGCACGCCACTGCGGGGAAGACCGGAGGTTGGATACCTATCTCCCAAGCCTTTTCTTTCTCTCGCGGACACCGGTTGCACCGTATCGGGATAACTAGTCCCAGCATCTTTCTATTCAAAACTGTAAAACCTTGATTTTTATTCCCTTGTCTTATGATCGTCGATATTAAAGATACCTAAGAAGTCCCACGTGTTTTTGTCCGAGTAGTATTCGAAAACTTTAACAATGCAGCAAGACGCCAAGATCCTCATCGTGGGCTCCGGCGTCTTCGGCCTGTCGACGGCGCTGTGGCTCGCGCGCGCCGGGTACCGCCGCGTCACGGTGTTCGATATGCAGGACACCAAGACCGCTGGGTATGACCCCGGGGCGGGCATCGAGTCCGCTTCCGCGGATAGTTAGTAATATCTCAATTATTTCGTTCTCGTTCTTTGATGAAGGATGTATACGGGCTAGGAGTCCCCTGATTTAAGATGATGTTCTTGAGCAGATCCGCATGACTTCTACTCTCGACCCTGAGACGTTAATTATATGCGGAGCTCAACTGCTGACTCTAATTCATTTGTGGAAAAGTCAACAAGATCATCCGCTTCTCGTATGGTGACGAAATCGAGTACCAGCGGCTCGCGTCGCAGGCCGCTGAGATATGGGACGATTGGAATCAAGAGATTGCTCGCCTGGCTGTGGACAGACGAGATGAGTTGCCGGAGGTCTTGCGGAAGGGTGAGCCGAAGCTTTGGTATCAGTGCGGATTCCTGCGCATGGGGGCCGGCAGCGAGTTTTCTGATTATGAGATTCAGACGCTTCGGAATATGGAGAAGGAAGGCGTTAGGGCGTCCCAGTTTAAGAGCGATGATGATGCGGGTAAGTTTTCACGTTCGTGATGTTTGGTGCACGGCTTGGAGCCGACTGAGTCTGACTTGCTGAATTTGCCCGTGTCTGATTCGTAGATATCGAGAGAGCCTCGCGTACTGGCTGGGCTCATAAACTAGACGCTTGTCGGCGACAGGAAAGATTCGGCGTACACAAGGCCGTCTTGGATTCCTCTGCCGGCTTTGTCGTCGCGTATAAGGCCTGTGCGTGGGCACAACACTTAGCGAGGAAAGAGGGCGTTGAATTCATCTTGCATTCTACCAAGGGGAGAGTCGTAGACATTGATACGTCTAATCCCAACAAACCTGCCGTTCAAACTGCGGATGGCGTGACGCATGAGGGAGATTTAGTTGTTGTAGCTGGTAAGGAACTTCTTTGCCCTTCTCAACACCAAAATTTTGATATATCTGCTTAATACCATCTTGACAATTGTTTTCAGGTGGAGGCTGGACTGCGGGATTACTACCCGAAGCAGACGGGCTTATCGAGACAACAGCTGGCTCCGTAGCGACTATTCAATTACCAAAGGACCGACAGGACCTCTGGGAACGCTTCGCACCGGAGAACTTCCCCGTGGTGACATGGGGTATGCACGAGGGCAGGGTGAATGATAAGGATATCTACAGTTTTCCTAGAGACGAGAACGGCGTGATCAAAATCGGCTTTAGAAAAACGAAATGGACCAACTTTGGCGATGTTGCTGGGAAGAGGGTATCGGTTCCCAAGGCCGTCCATGTCAAGGAACCCAATATCCCAATCCCTGCACTCGAGGCCGTCAAAGGTGAGGATGCAGCATCTTTTCACTGCGCGGCAGGAAACTCCATTTGGCTAACTCGGGTGTGAATGTAGAGTATATCTCTGTGAACCTCCCCGAGCTCGCTGAACTCGGGATATCCTCCACACGGCTCTGCTGGTATACGGATAGCATCGACAACTCCTTCGTGGTAGATTTTGTGCCGGGTCGGCCGCGTGTCGCGGTCTGTTCTGGGGGTAGCGGTCACGGATTCAAGTTCTTGCCTATCCTGGGACGCGAAGTCGTCAAGATATTAGAGGGCAAAGGCATCGAGACAGTGTATGGCCGGATGTGGAAGTGGAGAGCGAGTGATAAGGAGAAGAGAAATGGGCTTGAAGAAGGGGAGGATGGTCCTAGGGTCTTGGAGAAGCAGCTGATGGCAAGTCGAGATGATTGGGTGTTCCGTGAAAATGTTTCTTGATGGGAGAAGAGCCGATCAAAATAGGTTGGTTGTATACGTTAACCTGCTATGGCTACTATGGTCCATGTAATATATTATTCTGGTTCCCTTCTTGACCTTGGCTCTATTTTACCAACTAGGCTTTGCTAAACTCGGAGTTCTGTCTATACATCTCATATAAGCGGGAATGGAAAGGTTCATATGCAACATGAAAAGACTTGCTTAAGGGGTGTCTGGTGTCTAATCGGAGCGGACGGAGATTGCGTACAGAAGCGTAAAAGAAATTCAAAGTGTGTCACTATCCAGTGGTGCTCCTATTACTCTTACTCTCCTCTGGATATCTCAAATGATTGGGAAGATATTTATACGACGACTGATTTCCCCAGTGTCCTTTTAATGAAATGATATAAATAAACGATTAAATCACGCTTGTATCATACCCCTAGGACCATCATCCTGAAATAGATGATTGTCTTCAGAGGGACTATAGGTATGCTGTTTGATACCAATAAACCTAGGTAGTAATCTGAGGTTAAACCTTCCCTACTATGTTGTCGAGTTTCTGACTTAGAAGCTCACGTAGCTTGACGAACGAGTCGAGCCAATATACGTCTCGGTGAGAATATATACCTTGTTTCGACATGCTCTAAGCAATGGCTGGTAGCTGTGGCTTAACTGTGGCTTAACTGTGGCTGAAGCATATTTAGCTCCATCAGTCCCCACTTGTTACAGCTGTGGCTTAGCCAGCATCGATATCCATCCATCTTCAACCATCCTACATTGAAGATATACATCGACGACCTCTCTCAATCACGTAGCTACAGCAGTCGAGCCAGATATTACCTACAGACAAAAATCGCCGTTAAGAACCTGTCAAGATGCCGAAAGCCGAAGCCGGGTCCGTGAAGGCCCTTTCCAAACAAATGAAGATGAAGGGCCTTCAGCGCCTGAGGTTCTATTGCCAGGTTTGCGAAAGGTAAGCTTGCAAGACTTCCGGTGGAGAATCTAGTAGCTAACATATGGCCCCGATAGACAAATGAGAGACGAAAATGGCTTCAAGCAACACACACTCTCAGAGGCCCACGTCAGACAAATGCAGCTAGTTGGCGAGGACCCTAAGAAATACATAGAAGGATACTCTAAAGATTTCCTTAGAGATTTTGTTCAACTGCTTCGGACATCAAAAGGCACAAAATCAGTGCAAATCAACCAGTTCTATCAGACCTACATCAGTAATAAGGTGAGTCTTATGTCGGATGATTCCCCTGGGGAAAGCCTGGTTGCAAACACTTCCCTTTCGACAATTTACCTCTGTCCAAACCTCTTTGTACCTTGCGTTCTCAAAAAACTAGGAGGGTCACTGATAAAGATCTTCTGTAGGAGCATATACATATGAACGCTACGAAATGGCCTTCCTTAACCGAGTTCGCGAAATATCTAGGACGCGAGGGGATAGCGCGAGTCGAGGAGAATGAGAAAGGGATTCATATTGCCTGGATAGATAACTCGCCCGAAGCGCTAAGGCGACAAGCGGCCTTGCGCCAGAAACAAATGCAAGATAAAGGTGACGAGGAGCGCGAGCAACGAATGATTCGGGATCAGATACGTCGTGCCAAGAAAGATACTGCTGGGCAAGACAGAGACGAAGAAGAGGATGCCGATGACGCCGCTGCTAAGGGGCTAGTACGACAGGAAGGCGAAAAGGTCAAGCTTTCTTTCGGAATTAAACCTACTGCGCAGACCGATACTGTTTCCCCAACACCACCAGCTTCGACAGAACCCCCGACTTCTGCGGCCGCTGAAGAGGAGACCTCGAAAGCTGAGCAAGCTGTAGAACCTGCAGCTACTGGCACTTCTGCGGGGAAACCTGCCCCTATTTCCATGAAGATGACGGCGAAGCCCCAGACGAAGAATGTGTTTGCGGCTGCGAAGAAGAATGCCCTAGCAAGCGGACAGAAGAAGACTTCGGCGTTCGAGCAGCCGAAGAAGATGAGCGAGGCGGAGCGGATCATGAGAGAGGAGCAGGAGAGGAAACGGTCACGCGAATTCTCGGGTTCGGGGGGACCCTCATTTAAGCGTCAAAGGACATAAGGAAACTTTCGTTGAGATTCATGATTTAGCATAGGTCATGGCGTTCTGGCATATACCCGTCGGTTTAGAACTTTTAAGGTCAATACCATGGCGTTGTTTGTTTCACCCTTGAATTACACAGTTGGACACGCAGAAATCCAGTCATCCATCATCAATCGCTCGGGCTCTCTATCATATCTAATGCGGTGTATTTCTATCTAGTCCCCTCTATTCGTACATGTAACGGAGGGGAGTATAACGCCGTTAATCCGATCAGAGTAGATGATAATATATTGCGCGCCACAAAATTATGGCAGTCTGAGACAAGTTGCTCAGATGCCGATGCATCTTCAAACACCCAAACTCAGGCGTCTGCATGTATCGTGTAACGGGAAGGACACAGAGCGAGGACTGTCGAAGTAAAGCGTCAGTTTTGCAGTGGATACGATACGGAGATAGACATGCAGGCGGGTTACTGCTCCAGTAGGTATCACTGCAACCTGACCAACTCGCAACACTCGATATCCCCACGTCTGTGCTGTGCTTTGCACGGTGAACTAATGTAGGAGGACTCTTGTGGGTATGGAGGGGTTGCGATGCAAGATAAGAGAGCATCTGGCCGGATATTATGGGGATGATGTGTCCTTTTCCTTTCTCTCGCTCCTTACATTCGGAGTTGACAACCCTGTATCCCCTCTCGTTGGAAGTAAGTATCATTCTGATGTTCCGAGGCTAAAGTGGATAATGGTAAGCATTGATCTATATCTCTTCTGCATGTCGGCCGCCATTTCATGTATCTATGCCTAAGTAGATAGAGGGGTCTAGGCATGGTTGCGGCGGCGGGCGCTGTAAGTATGTAGGTATTTGGTCACGAGATTACCCAGTGCGTAACTCTGCGGCTGGCTGGGCCAAAGAGGCTGCCAAGCTTTTGACATATGATTATCCGTTGACCAAATCAGGCGCTCCGGCTCGCGACCAGACGCCCCGCGAACAGGCTGACTACCGTATCCCACGACTGGTTATCGCATTCTCGTTTGGGCGATATGTACCCCTCTTGAAGGCATCTTCAGATAATCGCCATTAAAGAGTTACTAGCAGCTAAATTTGAGATATATATATATATAATACTATGTATGTAGGAACGGTTGTTTGACTAACAGCGCGTTGTTTTTTGCTCACGACTGTTTCATGAAAGGATGGGTGATCTGCACTGATGTCATTGGAAACATGACGCTAACCCAGGCTGGGACTTCTCAGCATAACTGCCAATGAACTCGCCGAGGCCTACCTACGTACTGTGCTGTTACCTAGGTAGTAAAAGACAGATAGATGAAGAGCCAGCTGGTACCCAGTTGTATGGAATTTCAATTGAAACCATTTTCTCTCTCTTTCTTTCCTAGGTAACTATCTAGTGCGTATAAAAATATCCGAATAGTGTACATAGTACTAGCCTTCCAGTGGAATGGGAGCTTGAAGACAACGCAATTTTATTTTTGATGGCTCGATGGTCTGATAGTGGTAGGTATCCTATTATAAGAATTAGTGCAGGCATAGTGCCTAAGTAAGTAAGTACACAGTAAGATAGCGCCCCGGACATGCCCATCAAGCCACGGTTCACTTGCTACATCTGGCGGGAGCTGTGGGCCTGCTGGTCCAGGGTGCCGCGCAGTGTTAGCAGGCGACTGGGTCCGTCATCTTCGTGCCTCTCATTTGCTCCTCCAAGATCAAGCCAGCTTTGCCTCAATTGTCCTATCCCCCAATGCTTCTCATCCTGACATCCTGACATTCTCTTTCCAGAAGCCATCCTAGGTATCGCATTACGCGCTGCGCACGCCTGGAGCATGGCCTGTATAATTAATTACATTTATTCGATTAACTCTGTTTAAATTTGTGAGTTGTCATAGCATCTGCACTTGCGTCGCCCCTATCCGTGTCTGTCCATGTGTCTATCCATGCCGGCACGATAGTGATAGGTCTCGTACCGAGCTCTGTCGCCGGTGATCGCGTCATTACCTTAGTGGTGGCTGACCCTCGTATCAATTAGGTTGCAACTGTACACTCATGCCATTCGTCCTTCGACACCTCTTTCCCTCTTTTGATCTTGTTTAATTCGCTATTATAATGGATGCGGATACCCCCAGCGCAGCGTGGCATCCGGCCAAGCGGCCAAATTCCTCGGCCGACGAACAGCCCTTCACCTTCAATATGGGCCCCAAACCTGGAGCCAGCGATTCGCCAGATAAGACCAGCCAGCCTTCTGATGCGACCAATTTGGCGTTGAAAGAGGAATCACCCGAAACTGCCACTGCCACAGCCGCTGCCTCGACTGAGCACCCTTCCCCCGCCGAATACGCCGCCGCCCAGTCCCCGAACCATGCAGGGAAACTTGACCATTTAGAACATGACGAAGAATCTGGCGCTGCTTTATGGGACATGGAAGCACCGGCAACCAATGATGACGTGACCTCGATGACACCACATAATGAAGAATCTGTAGCTGCATCTCCAGAGCGTGCACCAACTGAGCAGGCTTCGAAACACTTAAGCACAATGTCCTTTGCTCGTACTGTTTCTCATGAAATGAGCTTCAATGACGATGAAGACGCGGAATGGAATCTCCAACGTTCCGAAACCGATCTTTTTGGCTTCATGCCCGAAACCGATAGGACAAATTCATTTCCTGTTGTTCCGCAGAGACAGGACTCGATAACCGAACAATACTCGCATCCTCTGCCCTCAACCCAGGCTGAAGAAATTCTGCAAGAGTTGGAAGGTGAGAGCGCCCATGATGATGCTACCGCTTCGGAACCACGTGCTGTTGGACAGCCGGGAGATGCTCGAGCAAGCGAGCACGGAGAAGAGAAACTCTTTCAGAATACAGTTGGTGGCGACTTTGTGGGGATAGAAGAAGACGCGTCTGATGCCCGGTACGAAGAAGGGTTACCTCTGATCCCTCAACAACATTCACCCGAAGCGAACGGCGACATAAAACAAACGGGCGCCGACCCATCTGACCTCTTTTCCCAAGATGAGACAGGCGAAGCTGGTGATGATTTCTTTACCCAGATGGGTGAGAGTTCTCAACTAGCCGCAGAACCCTTGCTGGATCACACCTTACAAAGGAAGTCTACGACTATGGTAATAGGCAACAATGTCGATATGGAACCTCTGAGCCCAACAGAAGAATTAAATTCTAGGCTACAAGATATTCCCAGCTCAAGCGTTAATGGAGACTCAATACATTCGCCGGAGGGAGGTGCTAAAATCACAAACGGAACTGAAGATATTGATGCTAAGTGGGCTGCAGCTTTTGGTGATGACGATGACGATGGCTTCTTGCTAGACGCGACCACGGAATCCAAAGAGCTAGACCCGGCTGATATCTTTGGTAGTGATGATGAAGGATTTTTAGATGACGAGGCGGAACCAACGCCGCTGGCGCCTTCACAGACGCAGACTCCGCAACCCTATACCAACGGTTCTCGTTATGCGCCCGAGTCGGTTCAACAACAACCATATGCTGCCTCGAATCCATATGCACCAGCACCTTTGGCCGGCCAATTTCCTGCAGCTCAACAGCAGCCTCCCTACGCACCCTCAAACACAGCCCCGCCCACTATGGGGTTTGGAGTACCACCTCCAAAGCCAAGCATACCCAAAGCACAAAGCTTCGTCAACAAGTCGAAGGGCGGATACCAGTCGCCTTACGATCTCCCAATGGAGGTAGTCAAGCCAAAGAAGCGAGCAAGCGCGCAACAGTTGCCGCGAGTCAATGTTGGATTATCTGCACCTCCCTCCATTCTGCCAGCTAAAAGCGCCACCGGCTACGCACAGCCTCCACCATCAGGAGGATCAGTTTCGAGCTCATCTCCTCCGAGTTCAAGTCATTCGAACCTACCTCCAAGTCACGTTGCACCGAAGGGCACACCTCAGCTGAAGTCAAAGGCTAGTTTCTTTGAAGACCTACCCATGACATCTAGGCCTCGTCCTTCGTCACGCCAATCCACTCAGCCATCTCCGACTCAGCCAAGCGTATTTACACCTCCTCAAGGACCACCAATGAGCACGCCACCGATGAACCCGACCGTGGCGCCCCTCCCAGCCCAGTCGAGCTTGTCCCCTCCAACACAAGTTGCTGGGGTTGCTGGACTGGTTGCCCCTGAACGCGTTAGCCCGTATGCCTCCTTGCAATCTGATTCTCCTACTAGGCCTCTGCCTCCTTCTACGACCAGCAGTCGTTATTCCCCTGCTCTTGCTCAACCCCCTGGCATCAACGGGACGGGGGTAGCACCGGCTTCAGCAAGTCGGTACTCACCAGCACCCCCAAATTCCCGGTCATCTAGCGGTAGCTATTCTGCGGTACCGCCTCCTATGCTCGCTCACCAGCCGAGGACTTCCAGCCCGCTCGCTCATTTCGAAGTTTCCCATGGAAAGTCTGATAACAAACTAGGAAGTCCTATCAACGGGGATGGTGTTCCACTAATGCGAACCAGTTCTTCTCAGTATGAACATCGTGTTACAAGGGTGCCATCACTACCACCAACACAAGAGGTTGAAGAAGAGCAGTCTCTTGATGTACCTGAGATGTCTACGAAAGCACTAGGTATTATTCCACCAGAACCCAGGTACCCCCCGATAAAAGCGAGGCATACACCGCCACCTATGGGAATTCCTCCATCCAATCCTCTTTCTCCTCCAAAGCGTTCCTTATCAAATTATGCTCCACACCCAGCGCCCAATATGCCCTCGAAAGAGACCAACTTTGTACCACCCCCTCGATCACAAACCCAATCTCCTGGGTCGGTACATGGTAATCGAGGACTTACAAAATCGATGGATCCAGCCCCTAGGCCGTCTTCAGCGCATAGCCCTACGTCCCCACGATCGTTTCCTGGAGTGCAGAGTATGGTGCCTACTGTCCGAACCCGTGGAATGTCTCAATCTCTAAACTTGGTGCCTCCTACGGACGGCCGGGAGCATGATTCTCTACAGCGCTGGCGTGGAGCGCCCTCTATTGCCTGGGGAATTGGAGGACTATTCGTATCAACTTTCCCTAAAGATGTACCACGGTACGGCATAAGCTCCAACGTCCCTCAGATTATCCGAAGTCCCGGCGAAGTGAAAGTGAGGCATATGAAAGACATTCAACCTCTAGAAGAACGACTCTCTAAGTTTCCCGGGCCCCTGAAAGGAAAGTCTAAGAAGAAGGAGGTTGTCGGGTGGCTTACTACAGGCATCGATGGTCTAGAGAGAACACTGCCGAATGTATCATTCCAGCAGCATGTCTCACATGAAGATAAGAGAGCGGCTGAACGGGTTTTGCTCTGGAAAATCTTGAGAATCTTGGTTGAGAATGATGGTGTTCTTGAGGGCAATCCAACGGTAGAGAAAGCTGTCCGTGACATTATTTCTCCAGGCGTCGAATCTGTTACCCCTGAACTGTCATCAGAATTCTCATCCGGTGCAGGCTTGGCAGGAATGGCCTCAACCGGTGCTGTGCAGGCAGATGCGGCTGACCCCACTGCTACTGAGTCAATACGCAGATGTCTACTTATTGGCGATCGCGAAAAGGCTGTGTGGATGGCAGTGGACAAGAGATTATGGGGTCATGCTATCCTCATATCTGGTTCAATGTCGAACCCCGAACTTTATAAGCAAGTCGCCCGGGAGTTCATTAAGAAGGAAGTAAATCATACGGGTCGTGGCAACGAGTCTCTTGCTTCACTCTACAGTGTCTTATCTGGCAATTTTGAAGACGCCGTTGATGAACTTGTTCCTGCCCACGCCCGAGCTGGTTTCCAGTTGATGTCGCCTACTGCTTCTACTTCTTCTACGTCTCAAGACGTACTAGCCGGTTTAGACAAATGGTGCGAGACACTGGGGTTGATACTCAGTAACAGACGCCAGGGAGACGGCGAAGCTTTGCGGTCCCTTGGTAATCTTCTATCTGGATATGGAAGGGCTGAGGCAGCGCACATCTGCTATATATTCTCCCGACACTTTTCTATATTTGGCGGTTTGGATGATCCTAATGTCAATTTCGTTCTTGTTGGTGCCGATCATCGACGCCAAGCTGATCAATTTGCTAAGGAAACGGAGGCGCTTCAACTGAGCGAGGTGTACGAATATGGACTATCACTTGCACCTGGCTCACATGTGGTACAAAGCTGTCCTCATCTGGCTGCGTATAAGCTCCAGCATGCTATGGTCCTTGCTGAGCACGGCTTCCGAGACAAAGCTTTACAATACTGTGAAGCCATATGGAGCGCTATCACGTCGCAAACGAAGAAGTCTCCCTACTTTAATCCTATTTTAGAATCTGCTGTGGACGATCTTATGAAGAGGTTGAAACAGGCTGCTGGCGAAGAGTCATCTTCATGGATCACTAAACCTAAGATGGACCAGGTTTCGAGTAACATGTGGTCTCGGTTCAGTAAGTTTGTGGCTGGACCTGATGATGGAACTGAGAATGGAGCTCCTGGCGAAGGTGGTGCTGAGGTTGGGCCTTTCGCGCGTATTGCGGGCGGGACACCTACAGTTAGTCGGTCTCCTTCAGTCTCTAATTTTGAGGTATACGGATCAAGCCCGTCAATGCCTATGAACAAAGCTTCCTCAGCCTACGCGCCAGCTGCTGCCTATCCCACAACTTCACCTTACGAACCTATTGGTGGGGCATATACCCCGACCGCTCGATCATCGATGGAGCGGACCTCAGGGGAGCTGACAAGAAGTTCCTATGATTTGGGACGACGAGGCTCGGATATACAGAACGTAGCCGCCAATCCATATGCGCCGGTGTCCATAAGCAGCTCACTACCCAAGAACAGCTACCAGCCTGTGTCTCAAATCACGCCAGACGTGTCACCATATATGCCCACTTCTGAAATTCAACCCTCACCCTCTATCCCTGAACAATCATCGAATGTCGGATATCCAGGATATCAACCTTTCGGTGGTGATCAGGGTTCCGAGGGTGTTGGTGCTATCGGCGGAAGTGACAACGGCTTTAACTCAGGTTACCAACCTTCTTACGGTAGCTACGAGCCTCCCTCGACGAATAGCTTCGAGTCACCTGCATTAGGGGAGAATACTTCTGGTGGTTATGAACCACCTTCATATCAGCCTTCTGGTTTTGAACCACCCTCTTATGAACCTGGCCCGGTGGATGATAACGAATCGGAGACCAAACCAAAACCGCGTAGTTTCATGGATGACGATGACGATGATATTCCTGGATTGAGGTCAAAGGAGAAGAGTAAAGCTGAAAAGGACCGGGAAAACGAGGAAATGTTCAAGAAGGTGGCTGAGGAAGAGGGTAAGTCTTATCAATGGAGTACGAAAGGAGACGTGCTAACGGACCTTAGCTAAACGAGCAGCGGAAGCGAAAGCCGCGAAAAAGGGTGGCTGGGGCTTGGGGAGCTGGTTTGGAGGCGGCAAGAAAGAGCCTATGGAAATACCAAACAAGCCTATCAAAGCCAAGCTGGGTGAAGCCAGCAGCTTCGTGTACGACCCGGAACTGAAACGCTGGGTCAACAAAAAGCCAGGGGCCGAAAACGCACCTGCGAAGACGGCTACACCACCACCACCTCGTGCTTCGAGCACGCCTCCTACCAGTACTACGTCAGCACCACCGGTTGGAATGATGACGCCACCACCCCCTCGCCCTATACCGACTCCAATGAGATTAAACAAGGCGATTTCCCAGGAAAGCTTGAACGCACCGGGCGGCGCTCCCCTCATGGCCCGCAGCGTCTCTGGCCAGAGCAATGCCAGTTTACCACCTAGACCCGCGACAAGTCTCAGCAACGCTAGCAGCATTGAAGACTTACTGGGAGCCGCGGGGCCACGAAAAGGCCCCAAGAAGACACGGAAATCAGGACGTTATGTGGACGTCATGGCGAAGTAAAAGGCTCTGCGCCAGCTTTTCGCGAATCTAAGATGGAAGCAGAAAGGCTTTTTTGAGTATGAGCTGCAATGTGATAATTGATACTACTCTAATTAGGAGGATGAATGGACTGACTGGCAAGGGGGAGTCATGGCAATCGATACATAGGCGCAGGCATGCATATGTTCATTCATGCTGTAGCCCGGGACCGGCGTTCGGGGATTCGATGGCATTTCTTGGTTTTTTGAAAGACTGGTGTATTTATAGATCTATGAATATTGTAATAAGGAACCCATTTTCTTATATTGATCCACATTGGGATGCCGTTCACTTGATTATAGTGTATGAGCTGGGTAGCTTGATAGGAGGTCACGGGAAGTGTTGGTGGGTGATACCTAGGGGTATATGGACTTGGTTGGGTGTTTGTTGGTGGCTTATCTGCTTTGTTGAGACAGAGCGCTTAGGATGGATGAAGGGGATATGTCGACTACTTCAAGTGCTCACTGGGGTATTATCCTAGATACTGGCACGAGCGACTGGAATGCATGGCAGAAATATTGGTTTTGGTGATAAAAGACGCCTTGTACTCCCATGATCGGGAGAACAATGTATCGAAAGCCTTTCGACAGCCTATATCGACGAACGCCAATTCATACCGAAAGATAGTGAGAGCTCATTCCTTCCTTACCAAACAGGTTGCGAGTTCTCACGTGCCTTCTCGTGCCTGTACCATTTAGCAACGAGACTTCCGGCAGTCTACCTAGTCGGGTCCCTGAGGCGCGACTGCCACAGCCAAGTGCGTATACAACCAATGCAAGCAGTTGCAGGGCTCAAATCGCGTGAAAACAGTTCGCTCCTTCCCAGACTGCCTCTGGACGACTTTCTGTATGACTGTGTGCGTAAGAGATTCATACTATGTGTCGGGTGCTCATACGGGACACTATAGATTGTGTTTGACTGTAGGTGTTTTGGTCACAAGCGACGAGCCATGAAACCGGCGTACTCGTGACTCCATACGTGACGAAATGACTCAGAGTCCCAGGGGCTTATCATTGATAGTCGCTTGTTACCGCTCTCGGATATTGTAGCTTGTACGGAGCACAATATCTAACGAAGGGATCCCCTTAAGCTGAGTCGCGACGCGTCACGACGGTACGAGCTAAAGCTTGATTCGACGAAGGCTCGAAGACCAAGGCAACATGACATCGGATCCAGTCTCTTACGTGCCACCATAGTGCCCGGTATAAGCTTTCTGTGCCACCAACGCGAATCCACGCTACACCATCTATGCATTTGTGTCGGCCGTACTTCCGTCGCTGCTGAAATTGGCCGGCTTATCACGACCCAAGTTCCGAACTCTCTCATTACACTCGAAGGCCTTTAGTCACACGTGTTAGATTCGTTCTCACACTCGTGGCAAAAAGTAGGAGGAAAGAGAAAATGACCAAGGAAAGATCGGTAATGGTGCTGAGTGATTGGTGTGGGAAACAATCAGGAATAAGTTACCACCTAATCCTCGTTTCTACATGTCTAACAATACACTAGCGAAAAATCATCCATCAACCCCGGCATTGTGAACGCGTCTAGCACTGAACGAATACGGTACCGCAAATGAGCGCACATATCATAGTACAAGCGAGCGACTTGAGCACACCGAGGTTGGAGTTTGACGTCAATGTCTGCCCGATAGATCGGATCAGGAATAACAATCTACCTCACCCCAAACGAAAAGGAACGGACTCTCGGCAACGTAAATTAGGGCCTCGGGTAACCAACTCCATAAATGCGAGTATTTTATTGTCGTTGTTGGACCTGTGCTAAATGAGCACATTCCAATAGCTTCCACCGTGTGTACCTGCGATCCGCCAGTCTGTCACACCTATGTTTCGCCTCGACAACCTTTGGAACCCATCGTCTAGCAAGCCCATCCTATTCCAGTCACAAGAGCTACGCCTCAACTGATTCGGTATCTGCCAGCATTAGCACGTCGTTCAATCCAGTTGGCTCTAGAGTGACACACTTTAATGTTCTTGTTCAATAAACTTGGAAGATAGCCGTCTGGAACCGTGCCTGGGCATCGTTGGTCGTGTGCCTTCCGGCAAAAAATGCCAAGTCATGGTAGTGCTCCACGGCGGGCGAGATAGGGTGAGCCATGGAGGTGCTATAGAAGGTAAAGTATCCGTTCGTCGCGGGGAGCCCGTCCCATTCCGCTCGTGTCTTTTCGTAGGGTCCCCAGCGCCCTATGCTCGTGCTTCCCGGAAATTCTTCATACCATTTGCATATAGTACACTGCACATGCGAGCGCTTGTTCTTGAGCTTCGACTCTACCCTGCCGTGCTTCACCTTGGTCTTTGTATGCTGGATGATTTTATCGTGTGGCACGAGGACCTTGAATGAGTACGGGTGTTGAGTCGCTGGTAGCCTCGATACCTGGACTTCTGGCGCTGCATTACCCTCCCAGCAGATGACGTGCCATGGAGTCTCAGGCATTGCAGTAGCCAGGTGTTCATCTGAGTCCTTCAATAGCTGTGATTTCTTGACGAAATACGTGAGGTATTTGACACATCAAAGGAGAGAGATGCTAAGGCTGACTTTATATCTTTATCAAACGCGTTTTGCAAAATTTGTTGGTGACATCGTCGCCTACCGTCGCCATCACAACCAACCACCTCGTGGTCGCACCTGCCATCATTTGTAGACAGAGCAACATGTCGCCTCAGACATAAACTGAAGCTTTCGATTCCCATATCCTGTACCACGTTTCGGATAGTAGATTGGCTTCCCGAATAGAGATCCTGTGAGCATCGGTTTCGGCTAAGTGAATCAGATAGAATATCAATTTTGTTTGCTCATTCCATCTCCAGCCGCTTATGTTTCAGACCCCATACTCGTTAATTATCAACGAGAATAATGGCTAGCATTTGCTCAGAGACAAAGTGACGTGATGAGCACTTGGGTCTCTCTCTGTGCAACGCCATTCCCTTCAACAAATCAAACTTTTTTGAACGTGGAAAACAGGGCTACGGGTACATGGAATTAACTCCTGAAGCTCTGGAATATGTCCACTTCCACATTATTCTGGCAATCTTAGTTTGGCAGGCTAATTTACTTTCATTCACCATGCCCGCCTTGATTCGAGGATGTACAACGGAGGGTAAATACCGGGCACTGCAATGTGGGAGAGATATAGTAAAGATTATAGTTAGCCCTGCGCCGCATATCCCTGTGCGAAGTAATCGCATGCATGCACTCCGTGCTTTAGTTGGTCCTTACCACTTAGGATGTTTTCGAAATACCTGATTTAACATGGAAGCCGTGGGCTATACCTGTTTGACTGACTATATGGAGTCGCGATTTAGGTAGATTTGGGATCTGCCGAGAATCAATGCGATATGGAGAAACTTTCAAGGCATTAACTTGTGTGCTTTTTTTTTTTTTTGCAAGGTTTCTTTCATGAGACCCTTTGGGTAGTAGTGCGCGTAGGTATCGATTAGATTCAATGTGTGATCGGAATTGCATGATACATACTTACTCCCCGCCAAAGTATCATTTGAGCAAAACCCTATCGACATGAAAAAGCTTTAGGTAGAGCTTTGAGTATAAATGGAACCACTCGAACCTGTTTCCCCTCATCATCTTCTTCTCTTTTTAATTTTCTTTTCCTCCTTAGCTTTTCCGCCACTTTAATTGTTCGTCTCTTGATTTCCTATCCTTTTCTTCTTCTTTTCTTTCTCGTTTTCTATCTTTCTGCATCTTGCTTTTGCTGTGTCGATACAGATAGATGATCTACGTGAATGCGGCCGAGTGAAAGGAAGACCTACCTGCTTAGACACTAGACCACCGAGGAGCAGGATTACATCCGCGTTCCGGCTTGTGGTCGCTGGTGTGAATAAGGACGAATTGGGCCTGATGGTCCTGAACCGGCGTGGAATAGAGTGGGAAGGACCGTGTTTCCACGTCGTCTCTCAAAACTGGAAATGATATTTGAGGGGAGCGAGGACAAGCCTTGAGCAATATTTGTATCCTGCTACTTTTGCTCGCTTGTTGCTGTGGGGTTTACTGGGGGCCTTAGAGACAGATGCATACCTACAGAGTACTTTGAGGATGTTGGCGCGCGCCTCTGGTGGGGAGAGGTGAAGCCTACAAATCGTAACGAGGAAGATGATCGATGATGATAATGAGGGCTGAGCTAGGGCCTGATAATTAGAGATGGTTTGGCGTGGTTTAGCTGGCGTCTTGTCGGTGGTAACCATTGCCCATCTCGAAATTTATCTGAGATCTCGAGTTTCTTTCTACTTTATTTTTTTTTCTTCCTTTACTTGTATTTTCTTTTGTGCCTCGGTTTGGCAGTGCTGGATCGAGAATATCGCAGTGTTGGGATAGATAGTTGGAGAGATCGAAGGGCTGGAAATTTGCTGTTCATGTGAGCTCATGACACTTATTTGAGTTGATGATACTTAGCTATTTGATGGGGACATAGTGTATACTTGGGCAGATAGTAATTATTGTTGTTCGACATTTCTACAGTAGAGATACACTACAAGTTAGACTTTGAAATATATGTCCTAGAAGAGGTTTGAGGTGGGAGAATGCACTGATACGAAGGTAAATTGGCTGAGCGAATGGATGGGATATAAATGATGTCTACGTAGTAGTAACGGCAGAGGTGCAACTACATATAAGCCACGCTACCATCATCCAACCTTATCATTCTGGAACAGCGGTGGTAACCGTTGTCTCTGAAAACATAATAGTATCCACCCTGATTGACGCCTCTATTTCTGGTCACTTCGGGAACACGCCACCAGGCACTGGAATATGTCAGTATTTTATAACATTATGTCATAGACGAAGGGGGTTATATATAATACAGTGGGTTAGAAGTTGGCGTGACTGTGCCGTCGTAAAAGACCGATTCTCCTCTGGTATTTACGAATATGCCGAAGAGAACGCCGTCAGCATCTGCCGCGGTGTAAATTACGGTGCTCTCCATCGGACTTGCCATCTTTTTGATAAATTAGAACTGTAGCAAAGTGTAGAGTTTGGAAGTCTGAAGGTTGAATGATGGGGTCGAACTGGATATCATGTAGAAATTTCTCATATGTGTTCTGTGGCAGTTGGTAAGTTGTAGAACTGAATTTTCTTACTCTTTTATATGTTTGAATAGCGATGAGCTGAGGTAACTCGCTTAGAGTATGAGTCTTTGAAGGTATACAGATTTGTCATGTGAATAATTCGTGCACACAACGTGGTTTCACAAAGCGTCAAGCATCCGATATCTTGTTGTAACGAGTTGAACAAAGCGCTTGAGTTGTCTTAAAATTGGACCCATGACTAGATGTTGAAGCAAGGGATAAGTCGGATAAGAGCGTCTTGTCCCATCTGAATGCTAACTAACTCGAGTTGCTTGTTGCACATCAGCTGCGGCTGGCCTACAAGTGTCCCTTACCTCAAACACACAATACTTGCCTGTGTGCAATGATGCTAGTAGTCAAAAGAAAGTTACTTTGCCACCGGTGTAGTAAGACTCAGTAGACTTTCCGCAAGTTTATCTGTATCATGGTAAATAGTTCTACAGACCACCGTTTCTCGAATAATTTAATTGGCTAACAAGAACAGACAGGCTCACGGTTCAGAATATTAATGGGCTCTCCAGCACCGACAGCCTCCCACAGTTTGGCTTGGTGAAGTCTACGAGCTCCGCTGGGTTTCACTGAAAGATATAGCTTCCCGTCGCGACATTGGCCCAAGATTCCAAAACATCGGCCGTATTCTTACCCCTCCGCCATGACTCATGATTCTCCCTGACCTTATCGGTTGCTGAAATTTGGCCGTGGGCATGAGTGGGCATATCGTAAAGGGTTTTAGAGTATTATTATCTGCGATAACGGGTCTGAAGCCTCGAGCTTACCCCACATGCCAAACAGTCATAAGTCACGTCACACTTATTGTTTTGGTGGATCTGCTGTTACTATTCCTATGAAGCTTAAGGTTCTGACAACCTAGAAGAAAGGCAATTATTTGCTACTAGGATCGCTCAGAATGGACATGACTAGCTCACGCAGTAGCAGATACAAGCTTCGAGAAACTAATTACCCGACGCTTGAAATTAAGTGGACGATGATTTGGGAAAGTATAAGCCAAAACGGCGGTAGATTCGGTCTTAAGTAACTATGTAGGCAAAAAAACTGTAAAAGCACTCCTGTCATATGCAAGTAATGCTTGATGACGCGCCCCTGGTATAATACAATATGAGATACATGTCTGATAGCTAAGTCCCTAAAGCCGATACCTGGATGCCTCTATCCAATAATGTTTAGAAGTAAACAACGGCTGGGGGATAATCTTGACCCTCACGAGAGATGACAAGGTTGCCGCTGCCGGACATAACGTCTTCGGGGCCGTAAGTTTCTACAGTTGGCTCGATATCCCTGTCCTTGAACCAATCTTCGAGGTTGGTTTTAAGGTCTCCATCGAGATACTTGCTCACGAGGAGATAACCGACGGGTTCGTCCCAGTCCTCGTCGCTATATCGGTCATCAAACTTGGACTTGTATTCATCAACAAGGTCCTGACCCGTCGCCGCCAGACCTCCATCATTGCCTTCTCGTGCTGGTGGGATATGCGCCACTTTACTAGAGTTAGTAATGTTCTTGTAATCCAATCAAACATCCTTGATGCAGACGCTCGAAACAGCCTTGTTTATTTCGGAAGATGGAGTTGCGAGAAATGGAAGAAAATAACTCTCGGGACTACTCACTGATCCAATGATTCTTGTCCCAGAGCGCCATGACCGTGCAAACGCTCAGCCCGTGAGACTCGAGAACATCGCCCCCTTTCCATGAGCCGGAGCCGATGGCATTCATGGGAATATCAACTCGGGCTGAGAGAGAATCCCCATTAAAGAGGATATCAGGACAGGAGGTGCACTCGTCCTCGCCATCGACAGGGCATGAGAAAGAGTCATCACGCAAGAAAAGCGTGCGAGTGCTGCTAGATTTCACTGCTCGGCTGTCGTAGAATATTAGTACTCAGTTTTAGTACTCAGTTCTAGGGATGGTAGCTGAATCTCACCTCGTCTCGGGCACGATCAAGCCTTGGCCTAGACCGATGACCGAAGTAAACAGCAGCGAAACTTGTGAGAAGCGCATTGTGGTTTACGAAATCTTTATCGAAGATCAAAGATTATCGAGCGATGTATTGCGCTTTGGGGGTAAAGGTTCAGTGTGTAGTGTTTGGATGTTGTTTGTTTATGATGTAGGTTGTAATGTGGATGGTGATAGTTCAAGTGAGTTTCGAGATGAGAGGACGCTGTCCTTTATATAAACATTCGAAGCAACTTGATCCATCGTGTTTGTGCGCAAGAATCGACTTTGTCAATTTTCTTGAAAAGATTTCAGCACTCAATGGTATTGCTTCGCATCAAGCTCAGCCTGGCGGATGTAAGCAACTATGACAACATCTCATTCGTTGATTTCTAAATATATCAGAGGAATTAGTACTTAACATCCAGTTGGATTGCTGACTATGGATCATGCCAAGTAGATCAACAGATGCTGACAGGCGACACAGCACAGCCGCCGATGATCTAATACGTCATTGGGAATCCTTACAAACGCGCGCCGTTCCGCCTTATTATAAATAAAGTAAGTAATTGCATCTATCTACCATTATGACGTCCATTTTCGTATAAATGTCAAATCGTATGATTGAACAAATACTATAACATAATTGAACAGCTCGACCCCTGATGGTCATGCTGCTTCGTATTGCCTTATTGGGGAGGATCAGCGACTACTAGTCAGTTGCTAGCTGACTTACACCATCGTCTAAATACCACACTTAACATCTTTCAATTCCTGAACTCTTGGTTCTCACTCAGAAGATAATACAATCGCTTAAGTCCTTCACAATGGACCTCTCACAACTCGCTTCCCACTCCTCTGATTCCACATGGGAGAAACCACATTTTCATGCCTTACACACTATACGGCCTTTCTCTACGGCAGACACAGGTAGTCGTAATGATAGCGATCTAACCGAGCGAGCGAAAGCTCTGGACCGCATCAGTCTGGAATTCCAGACATTGGTAGGGAAAAACGCACCCTTAAGTGAGGTTGAGAGCTTCACGAGACAATGGGAAGTCGCATCATCAAATGGGCCTATTGTACAGCCGAATATACTAGCCTGGTTCAGCGACACCAACGCTCTGCGATTGGCGTGTGCAAACAACAATCCAGATGTGGTTCGCTTTCTTCTACAGAAGGGGCTTTCTATTACCCCTACCGTCATCAATTTTGCAGCTTTAAAGTTGAAAGAAACCCATGACACCACAATCATGCAGGCCCTGCTTGAAAGTGGTTGGGATATCAATGAACCGCTTGGGGAGACGAGGCCACCGTTGATAAGGTATGTTTCACTTCCTCTTTAGGAGCATGAACTCTTTGTTTTGCATGCCTCTGTGACTGCAATGTTGAACACGAGCACAATTAACCGTCTGACTTAGTTCCATACTCGATGCCCCAGATCTTGTGTCTTGGTGTCTTAGCAAAGGCGCCAACCCTGGCTTATCCAGCCCTTCAGGATTATCAATCATTGAAGTCGCAGCCAGCATCGCCTCACTCAGTACCGTAAAAACCTTGGTAGAGCTCGCAGGCCGTGCACCGGATGGTGCTCCAGTAGCACGCGCGTCCTACGCGCATGCCCTTGGGAGCAGCTCGGATCGTGTAGAGGTGGTCCGATACCTTTCGGATCAAGGCTACTCGGTCGATGCATTCTATAAAACATACCAGACATCTAATGACCATTCATGCGAAGACATGATGATCGGATCTCAGAATGCACTCCATTTTGCCATCTGGGCTGGAAAAGAAGATATGGTGCGACTTCTACTAGAGCGAGGTGCTGACAAGACTTTGCCTACGAAGTCCATCATGAAGACGGGTGGGGAAACACTTTCGCCGCTGGATCTGGCAAGGAAGTTTGGAAATACAGCTATTATCGAATTGCTATCGCAAGAGACATAGAGCAGTTGTTGTTTATGCACGATGGTTGACTGAGGTTTCGCTCCCTTCATTGACTGCAAGTTGTCAGTGTGAGTTTTTTGTGACCTAACCTACAGTCACCAATTAGTTCGATGCTAATTCTTAGAGTGGGCTGAGTGAAGAAGTCATTTCGTTGCCTGCTACGGAACTAGCAGTAGGTAGTTTATAAATTGAAGTCTTTACTTTATAATTATACCAAGTCATCCATAAGCGACGATTATAAGTGGAATATTCACATACTACTTCACCATGTCTACCAGCTTGTCCGTTACGTATTATCATGCAGATGAGTGTCCTAATGTGACAGTATAACAGCATTTATTTTCCTTCATGCTCTATCCTCCACCTAAGTTTTGCCCCTCCTGCGTTTCGCACTTCTCTCCCATTAATATAAAAGCCAAGAAAGTGAATCAGTCGCAACCCACGCACATAACCCTTGTGTCGTCCGAGCTAGCTGCCTTTACCAAGTTTAAGGAGCGAAACAACGTCTCTCTGTTAGCCAGCTTCGATGTACCGGGAAAAGTAGATCCGCTTGATCGCATGTTCGTTGCCAAGTTGCTTAGCCAGTTCTTCCTTTCCAAACTATGCGAAGTGGTGCCATCGTCGGTAGCCCTAATCAATTGTTCCTCGCCCGGCTCCTGCCATAGCACCGAGTATAACCGCGGGATTGAACATACTTTCTCGGTTACCTTGATTAAGAGGATCCAGAGACGTGTAGCCAACAAGCTGGAGGTTGGTACTCGCACTATCACTGATGCGGCGTCAACCAGGGCGAAGAGACTCACGGCCAATTCCTCTCCTCTCAACGATTGGTATGGTAAGTCTCCCTAAGCAACGCCTCCCCCCTATCTGGAGTGGAGGCCTGACTATTCGGTAATGTAGCATGGCACTCATGATCTATACTGAAGAAGGAATGAGAATAAAGGAATAGATTTGGAAAGAAACCATTGTCAAATTCAAGATGGTGAACGCAGAGAAGATCCTGCGCGATCTTGTCCGGTAGTCGCTCCCTCCGAGCCCTCATAAACAGATAGCCTAGGTCTTCAATATGACCTGTTCTCACTTGGGAAGAACCCCCTGATACATATGAGACATCCACGGAGCAGATTGTTGAATGCGCCAAAAACAATGAGCATAAGTTCTTCTTGGCTTATTACCAGAGTCCACAGCCAGATATTCCTAGAATTGTCTAACAGCTCTCGAGGTACACCGACTAGAGATCAGCTATACGTTAACAGCCTCCACAGGTCCACCTGCTCGTCGCCTACCTACCTTAACTTTGTAATCCTTGTCCACTATACGCTCTACGTCTGCATCACTAGCATGTTGTGCTTCTTTGAACACATCGGTCAAACCGTCTCCTGTCAGCTGCGATATTGTATGCCATATGTTTCCATGGCGTGAGTACCGTATTTGGCGGACGTAGACAACTGTGATGACTGCTACACATAGAAGGTGTATAGCAAGCAATGTCGTCACTGAGGCATACCCGGAACAGCTATTGATGCCTTTAGAACATGGTCCCGGTGCCGAAACAGTAGTAACAGCCACTATACGGCCATCTTGGCGCACTTGGAGTGTACTAAGATACGTATAGTATACCGAAGCGAAGATGATCGTTGTAAGTGATAGGAGAGCGTTTGCAGCTCGCCCAGTTCTAGAGACAACATCACTGAATAAGAGGCTGATCTCTGGGTTGACTGAGTAGCCGTTAGTGGTGCAGAAGTAGCATAGAGACATGCTAACGTTTGGCTGGAATCCGGGGGTAAGTTGATAATACATGATCACCTCGAGTACGGCCGTCGTTAGTCTTCCGACCGTCATAACATCTCCCACTGTGGAATAATTAACTAGCTGAGATGCGGGAGAGGACTCCCTAAGATCGCTAGTAGGAGCACCGAGGATATCGAGATCGAGAATCTGTCGGTCAAAGTGGCTCTGTTGGGGTTCGCTCACCCCCATAAATCTTTGGACATCTGTTGTGCTATAAGTTCTAGAGGTGAGAACCAAGTCGGTCTGTGGCTCACGTAAAGGCCCAGGCGCGGTCATTAAGGTATGAAAGCGGCCAAGGCTGAACCCAGACGCGCATAGACTTATGTTGACGAATTGACTGGTGCCAATTTCGTAGCTCTGCCACTCATGGTACGGGCTACCAGTAGGCAGCGTACTATTAGTCGCAGCTCTCCAGTCTTTATAGTCCATGTTTGTCGTGATAACTAGTACAACAGATGCATTTGGAGACCAGACCCCGCCTGCTGAATCCCATATAGGATCAAAGTTGGCAGGTCCACCTCCTCCAACAAGACCATCGATGAGACAAGTGACTGTTTGCCAGTCGCCTGTCGTACCGCTTGGAATGGGACACTCAAAAGCGACGTCCTCACAGCCTGTATCCGTATCACATAGACTGCTTCGTTTCACTTCTGCATTATCGAAGCTTCGTTTATAATCAACTGTCCCAGAGATGTATCCAAAGACATCCGACACATCGATATCATAGAAAAGGGTGTTATTATACGTAGCATTGATTTGGGGCCGGATGCACGCGGATTGTGAAGTCATAACAACAGACGTAGCCTCGACTTTCCTAACCGAAGACCGAGCGCTAGACGCGGGAATGGGTAGAAGTGACCTTTGAATGAGACCAGTATCGCTCAGTCCATTTGGACTCGGAGTGGCGTTGAAGTTAGCCTGAGCCTCGCCGAAAACTGCATACACCGGAGACTGCGAAATAAACTGTAACCCCAAGGCTTCCACGTGAAAATCATCCTTGTCGTACAATAAGATATCGTTGAACTGGGTAAGATTTAGGTCTCCAACAATGGTGAAGTCCTTGAGGTCTGAAAGGAGGAGAGTAGAAGAGAACTGAAGCGCTGATGTGACAATAACTATAAGGAATAGCAGCCAGAGTTCTACTCGGCGGAGAAGAGTGGCAATGCCATTTGATGACACTAGAAGGCCACATAGCTTGAGCGGCCCGTTATTGATGCCGCGCATAACAGAAAGCCATGCCACCTGGGTCCTCTGTATGCCATGTTTCTCCAGTACGATTGCAGCAATCATCGAAGTGCAGACGACGGCCTGGAAGCTCACTGCAACTCGTAGTGCAAGGGTATAAAGAGTAATAGCCTGAGGAAAGTAGTGGTGCAAGGCGATAAAACGCCATAACTTAGTTGCATCAGCTGCCTCTTTAGAGCCGTGGCCAAACCAAAGGAATGTGAGAAACCCAAACGCTCCGAGAATCCACAACGAGCCTCCTACGATACAAAACAATCCCATGCGACTGAGGGACTCTGCGACTGGAAGTAGCTGGTCAATTGGCTGGGTAGGTGCAGCAGATGGCCGTTTATGCTCTGTATTGGATAGGACTGGCTCATGGCTCTCATCAGCGCAGCTTGGGCTATCTTCCAAGTGCAATGTGTTACTTTCTTGACTGTTTGCAGTCGTCGAAGATGGTCTACTACACTCCGCACTAGATAGATCCGACTCTTGGCTTTCGTCAGCGCGGCCTAGAGTCTCTTCCAAGAGCAGTGTGCTTCTCTCTTGACTATTTAAAGTCGGGGTACGATGAATATGAAATGTGATTGCGTCGTTGAGGTTTTCATCAACTCTGTCGTGAGGCGTCGTAGACGCCATTGTAACTTTGGCTCTCTTGCGACTTGGGGCTAATTAAATCTTGTCTTAGGCTATAACCCCTTATGTGATACTGTAAACTTTAGAGTTAACGAAGCTGTTTCCGAAGGAACTAGGTCATTGCTTACTCAAAGCGCCGCAACCGGGATGCGATCAAACTCGTGAGCCCTGATGTTTCTGGAGCTTCTTCTCTGAAGTGCACTCTACCGCGATGCGCGTTCTAGTTGCATGCTTTCATGACGGGAGGGTTGGCCAACTTCGCCCGATTCTGGAGATATCACTCTATTGACTCTTTTATACATATCCACTTGTCGAGAAGGCCTGCAATTATGCCTACACAGCCCAAGTAATTCAACAATCATTAAGTTGTGCGACCCTGCCTGTTTTGGCAGCCTCGTCTTGATTAAAGGTGTTCTATATATATAACGATTCTTTAACCAATAGCTCTGTTGACTAAAATTAGATCACTAGGCTGCCAATGCATGGTGCATAGAATGAGCTGTAGGTCTATATTCCTGTGACATTATTGGCTGAGGTATATAAATTCGGTGCTGTGTTACATGTTTCCGCCAGCTACAGTACCGAGTGGAGTGATGTGTCTTAGAATTTATACACGACAGAGCGTCCTACCATTATAGAGTGGTATCGACCTATCTATAGTGTACATAATCAGGTAATGGAACTACCCGAAATACCTATCAACCCTGGAATTCGGAGTAGCTCAGCCTAGTCAAACCCCTCCCTTCGTGAAGATAATGCAACGCTTCTTTTATCGTGCACCTGGTATCGGCTTGGCCCCCGAAAGCATTCATACTAGATTACCACGGAATGTGTGTATTAACGTGATTTAATGTAGGCCACACAGATCAGCGAGAGGTGAAAATGGTAAAAATAGAATGGGCTAATTGTAACATACTATGTACTTAGGTAGCACAGCATCTTCCTCCTTTTCCTCGCTATTGGTGGTCGAACCGAATTGAATCTAAACAGTGCGTACCTAGTGAAGCTATTAGAATGAATGAGCCAGTTAGGATGGATTGACTCAGCTGAATATGCCAGAGAGTGAGCAGAGTCTACTCAAAGCTCTGAGAACGCGCCACTGTTAAGGAGTACACCCCTCATGGAGGCGGTCAAACTCGGTCTTGGAACAATACCGGTACAACACAATACACCTTCAATGGCCTGGCTCGCTTATTTCTGGTGATTGCAACCCCGCTATATGCCTACGTCATGAGGCTTTTAAAATACACTGTCTTGATTACCTACTCCAAGAAATTGGAGAGGCAGACTAGAGGCTTAAAATGATGGCCTTTGACGTAAGAGGTCGTGATCTCTATTCTCTACATACAATTAGACTTTCATTTCGATTCTCCGCAATATCCACTCATGTTCTCACCAAGACTGTTTAGAAAGCTAAAGGGAGCCTGGGAGTTGTCGGAAAGCATGCCGTCCGGATAATAAGGGCAAAGTAACTGGGCTTGGAATTGAAGCTCTCCACATTACGATGATCAACTAGGGTTGCAGGAGTCCTTGACCAACCAATTCCACCTTGGCATTGGGGGCTTGACTTGACTCTATCTCCAGCTAGTCTGCCAGCCCTGGCCGCATAGGCCCCATTGGCTTGTTTCAGAAAGCGAAGTCTGTACAACCTCACTTTCCAATAGGTATTGCCTGCGTGTCTCTGAAGATCATGAACAGCCTTCATTGGCCTTCGGGATGGCCGAAGGCAATACGTACTGCATGTTCATCTTGTACGCGTATAACAGTCCGGCTGACTACATCGATCCAGAAAAAGACCAAGTGTATTTCAATTGCCATTGGCTACTTCGGGGTCAGAAGTCCTCAACAGGTCCGGCAGCATTCCTATCATAGGTAGCAGATTCAGATTGTGACAAACCTGCAGAACAAACAGCGAGATGACTGCTGATAAGGCTTCGGAAGTACATTTTCATGACAGCATGGATTTGATATGAAGCCCGGATGTACGTCAATCTGTAGGTTTTTTTCACTTCCAGCTGTCAAGGCATAATTTGAGTCACCTATCACAGCACTGGTATTGTTCTAAGGTTGGCCCATAACTATTCTACAGGTAAGGCGCAAGAGCCGCCACTTGCGGTACAGGGTCCTCGAACCTGACGCATCCGATATGCGGAATGGGCGTTAAGTTCACGGGTAGATGCTTGAACCACTCATTCTGAGATATCCCGCAATCGGCATGTTTCGATGAAGTTTGAATGGACTACTCGCTTAGTAGCTATTTAGGGGGATTCATTAAAGAGAATAAGTTGGAGAAACAGCACGGGGAAGCTAGACTCGCATCTAGCGAGGACAGTATATTAACTTCGCCGGATTGATATACATACTTTCATATTTTTGACGCAGAATTTTGTCTCCTATTATTTCCATCAGCTACCCTTTATCTTGTACGCCACCGTCGTGTCAGAATTGCTGACCTGCACAGCGAGGATAGTGCACTAGCCGCTGGCTAACCTCGAGCCGACAAGAGTATATGATAAGATGCCGTGGAACTGAGGTGCAGTCCTGCACAATTATAAGATGAAACGTTACGGGGGCGGAAACTTAGTCGCCTACACTATCTATGAATATACGGCAAGGCTCGGTCGCCACGACTACCCGCTACGGCCTACCCATGCCACGATAGCCTCATTCCTATTATCCTAGTATGACGACACCGGGGACGCAACGCTAAAGATCAATTTATATAGTCATATTCTAGGCACGAAAGCTTTGGAATGAGCTCATGTAATGACCAACGTCATAGAGTGTCTGTGTACATTTAATCCTAGTCCACGTATAATCCCAAGGGTACCTGTGTGAAAACAAGGTGTCCAATGCCTACGTATATGGGATTTTACGGAAACTTGGAGAATACACGAGTCCGCCAACGACAACAATCTTGGTGAAGAGAGCCAAGGGCGTAATGGATAGCTATGATGAAGACGAACGGAAGGAGGCCACATACGGCTCCTTATCAAGGCTCTTCCTGATGAGTCAACATGGCCACCTAAGGTAGCGGCGAAGGTGGCCCATCTCGATGCCCCTTTGGCTACGTGTGTCAAAAAATGAAACCTTTTTTTTCATGTTCATATGATATATACTTCGTACGTGTTTTTGTAATAAAACTTAAACAATATTATAACTAGAGATCGGATAGTATTTCAGTAGAACCCTTTAGTTATTAGAGATCATAAAAGTTCCAAAGGCTGCCATCGTGAACCGCACTAAAATAGGGGCATGCGAGGTCACGTGATACGCCATCCCCGACGAGCTCATTCAGCTTGACCTGAATCCTTTGGCGGAATTCCGACAGAAAAATAACATTTGCATTTTAGAATAAATATGACAAAACTATCCCGTTATTGAAGCTGTTTTGTGAACAGTTGCAAAAAAAAAAAAAATCCTCCGATCGAAACGCCATGGTTTCTTACAGCCAGATCAAAGCCTCCAATGTCCTAATCACCGACGGCCCACGTGTCTCGGTGTTCGTCGGTGGTACCTCCGGCATCGGAAACTACACGGCGCGGGCCCTAGTTTCGACCGGTGCGAGTGTGAGAGTATACATCATCGGACGCGAGAGCTCCGAGGCCCGTACACGCGCCTTTATCGAGGAGCTGAATGCCATCAACCCCAAGGCCGAAATCATCTGGATTGCAGGCGAAGTCTCTCTGCTCGCAGAAGTCACCAGGGTGTGCGGGATTATCAAGGAAAAGGAATCACGCATCGACTTGCTCTTTCTCACTACCGGATATGCGCCCGTCGGTGCGCGCGAGGACACCGCCGAGGGTATCGAAATTACGCAGACCCTCGCGTACTACTCGCGGATGCTCTTCATTGTGCAGCTCTTGCCCCTCCTTCACGAGGCCGAGAATCCTAGGGTTATCAGTGTGCTAGGTGGTGGCCTGGAGAGAACCTCAGGCATTATCCTGGATGATATGGAATTGAGGAAACCGTCCAATTTCGGTCCTATCAACGGACAGATACACTGTGGTACAATGAACACTGTGTTTATGAACAAGCTGGCACGCGAAAATCCTGAAGTCACCTTCTTTCATTCCTGGCCGGGCTGGGTAAACACAGGCAATGTGAACAGGGGCTATGAGCCGAACTCGAAATGGGCGTGGTTTGTCTGGCTCTTCCTCGAGCATATTATTGAGCTGTTTGGTTTCAGTTACGAAGAGTCCGGACAGCGCTACTTGTTCCAGTGTACCAGTGCGGCTTACGGAGGTCAGGGTACTCCCTGGAACGGCAAGATTGGTGTTAACACTATGAATGAGACGGGGAAAGGATTGTTTCTCGTCAACTACAAATGCGATTGCACTCCCAACTCTAAGGTGGTTGCGGAGCTTCGACAGAAAGCGGAAGACAAAGTATGGGACTACACGCAGGAGATTTTTAAACGCTATATGTAGATACAGAAGCATTTGTCAATTTAATCACCCTGACCAACAATGCCATAACAAGAGCTTATAACTAAGTCGCAATGATTCATCAGCTACGACCGAACCAGTCATTGAAATCGACGATAAAAATGGAATAGGGCGATGACCACTCTGGCTATTTCCGCCTGTTTGGTACGAGGATTCAAGACTATTACTCACTTTCAGGAAATACAAGCTAAGCCGTCCCGTCAAAGAGCTCAGCGTCAATTTTGCTGTTCATCGCAGAGAACCTAGCACCGCGTGTACAAAACAATTCGTTGTTTCCCCTTCAGATAGGACTGGGGATAATTGTTAATCACGGTATAAAATGGGCAAAGTTAAAGACATATGAACCACGTCCAAACTGACATGGGATTCAACAGCAATTCTATCATATGACTAGTAGGCTCTGACTGTCCAACCTAGCTCCGCACCTTCTTGAATTTCATCCTCTGGCACAGCCACAGCGTTGAAGACTGTAGGAATGTACACCATTCTCAACCGAGGTTGTCAAACTGTATCTGGGTTCACAAATGAGAAAGGCAACCCCTCAGTTTGGGAACGTTGGTTGGAGACGACAACTTGCATATGCATCATACATCTAACACATGTATTATCTAGAGTATTAGCTCGGCATACGCGGCGGGTAATAGATATACCGAAAGCCTTCTCTGTCAGTTGCCAAGTCAACAAGATTTCGGCAGCTGGTCGAAGGATTCTACCCGCTCTAAGGTCCTCAAGGTTATCTCAATTCAGAAACCAAGGATTTAGCATAAGCGTAGTGTTGTCACCGAAGTATGACTATTATATGACCACCACGTCTACCACATATGTGTAATTGGGCATAGCTAGAGTGTGCCAAAGGTTTAACCAAACTATAATTAGCTAGGGTCAGTAGATAAATGAGTATTAGGCTTACATGTGTGGCGGAACTGAAATGCAGCACTATATCACGCCACTACCAACAGATGGAACGTTGTCAGGTCGAGAACCTGACTGGCTGCACTTACCGTATCTGGTATTGTAACAATACTGAAGAATTTGGAAGAGGTTGTCGAAGAGCCTTAAGCTCGTGTTATCAGGATATGGGGCAAGTGGCGGGGTGACATCGTTGACCCAAATACTGCCGGGCACTCATCCCCTATCTCCCAGCCTTACTAGCTTTGCATCAATGTGTAACGCGGGTCAATCGAGCTGCCCCCTCGGTAGGTTAGCTGCGTGTACTGGAACTTACATTAGAACGCCTCCATCACGCGACCCGATGTTACCAATTTCGTGCGATCCCGCTGCTTATGGTGAGCAGGAATATGCATGCTACTAACACGGGTGAGCATATTACGGATCCCGAAAGTTTCCTCGTCCGCTCCATCGGAGGCTCCCTTCCCAGATCTTTCCAAGGTAGTCTGATACATCTAACATCTGTGTGAAGTTTTTGTATTCTGGGCAAGGAAGCGTTTAAACTCAGGGAAATTGGCTCGGCGCCGTTCGGTAACTTGAAAATATGGAGAAACTGAACTGCCCATAAACCGACGGCACGAAACAAGGCGTGGGGATGGATAATGAACATGTAGCTTTCCTGCGGAGGGAAAAACGAAGCTGGTATTGGAGGAGCTACTTGCGAGCCAGCAACATGAACATGTTGTCAAAAGCATGAATCTTAAAAGCGATGAACAAGCTTAATACCTTCTTATTGTCAAGAGTAGTACATGTGATCCCATTAGATTATCTAGAAGTCTAAGTTACAATACAGTTATCTGGCTGGATGAAGGTCTTATATACAGATTCCTAGCATTCCAGTATGTGGAACGCAAGTATCACCGCCTTCCCTTTCTGACACTTATGCCCCTGTACGTGTGCTACCTGCAAATTTTGATCGTACGGTCTTCAAACAGTGGTGGGAGGCGGCCGTGTGATAGTTTAGGAAAGACAAAGGTATATCTGAGCCCAAGAGCAGGTCATCGCGCTCAGGCTGTACACCAGAGAAATCGCGTTTTCAGTCACAAGGAAGACCCCATCGCCGTACCTAATGCGATGAGGTGTCGGCCCATGTGTCCCGCGGGATAAGTATGCGATATTGGCAGACCCTGGAAGTTAGCAATGAGCGGATATTTTATCAACATAGCCAAGTTCAGCTCCTAAAAATCAGTGAGGGATAGAAAGGACGACCTGAACTGCAGTCGCTATGACAAATTATTGTACTTCGGATAGCTTGATTTCTAACCCCTTTCCATGCCCTGGTTGTAACGAAAAGGGGCTCATGTATTATCAGTTTGACAGACACTTCAGAACCGGCCAGCGTAGCATGGAATTACGAGAAACCGATATATTTGAAGATTAGAGATAAAACCTGATCAGAAATTGATACTTGATTTAGCTCTTTGTAAGTATTAGTCATATTGATAAATTTGTAATATATTTCCGGGGGGTTAAAAATATGTTCATCGATCTTCTTTAACATGGAAGACTTCGCATTTTCAACGAGTTTATAGCCCCGGTATGCCAACGCCAAACGCCTTCCAAGTCACTTATAACACAATATATTGAGTACCGAACCGATTCATATAATTTACCTGAAAGTATAAATTGAGTTTGGTTTGTTCTGAATTGAGATTGGGCTGAGCACTCTTACTATGAAGCCCAATACTACAACCATAAGAGATGCGCCTTATGATATTAGCTTTATGAATAGTGAAGTCTCCCATCTTTAGAGACATACCTGTTGAGGTGGATGGAGATAATCCGTATGATTCCCCTGTGAACTGAACAATGGGAAGGGAGAGTAGGACCACGGCTAGGATCACCCCAGGGAGACGCGGTCGATCACCCACGTGGCGTGTGCACGGAGCAGCTTGCAAGGAGAAATCGGTCAACATGTCGTGGGGTGCGGCTTGTTGAAAATGCATCTTCGGAAGTGATTGATGGGTAGCGGGATACTGGGATGGAATTCAAACCGATAACACAAAGTTCTTAGTTGTATAAGGGGGAAAGAAAAAGAGTCTCTTGCTACACGGGACATACAGACACTCTATCATCCCGAAAGCCCGTCAGACTCAGCGTCTTGTAATGTTGGTCAAATCTAGCACATGGAAATTCGATCCTTCGGGTCCGTAAGCCATTGCTTTCAGTTGCGTGAGGGTTGCATTTTCGGGTTCAAAGCCACTGTTAGACGCTCAGCTGCCTGGACAATGGGCCCCCCACGCCTATGGTCAGAGATGAATCAACCAACTCCAATCCATGCATTGGCGTAGACGCATGATCTAGGTATCTATCTTCTATCCATCGTGCAATGCAATGGGACTGGTTGTATTTATCAGACGGCCCGAGACACAAGTAAGACTGTCATGTCAGATTTTCGGGTTCTTCCACCAAGGTTAGGCCCTTCTATGCAGCCATTGTTACACAACTATCTAAGTATAATATACACTTACCAAAAGAGATGCCTCGTTGCGAGCCTGCTGATGGGTTCTTATGAACGTGGCTGCATCTGCCTGACCCCTGTGAGGTATGTGGTATGTGTGATGGCAGGCTGCCCGGCCACACATCGCCACTTACCACTTACCCGATCCACAAAGTAAGGGAGAGTCGGAATTTTCCAGTAGGCCGAGACCATGACACCTATTGATGCATATGTAGGTAGGTAGCATCAGCGGATAGCCACAATTCGCAAAGAACCTAGGAATATACATAAGTCGTAGGGTGTCACGGGACACCAAGTACCAGTACTTGGCTAGGTAAGGAGGTACGTGGGGGAGGATACATTAGGCGTCCTCTAAAGAGCCTCATGCTTGGTATCTTTATGGACCGGCCCGATCCGATACATTCGATACATTCAGCACCAACCTCGCCAAACCCAATTCACAAGAGGTATGCAACATGCCGTGCTAACTATTGACGCTACTTAGATCCCATTAAGGAGTAGTAGTTACCTGGAGCAAAGAATATGTAGGCCGCGAACACAGTTGAGTATGAAAGTCTACAAACCAACTAGAGCACAGTCGAGCTCACACAGTGTTCGCTGTTGGCTGCGACGACTATTGACAGGTACCTATTCCATAGGGCCCACTAGCCCCATAAAGTATACAGTACATACCACCTAGGTACCTACATCGGAATCATCAGCGCCATAACCACCAATCATAGATGCAAGTGGTTTTTTACAATCACCAACATCAAGTCCTGACACGGACCTGCTCGGAAGGTCGATTCAGGCGAGTGCCGATGACCAGCGATGCACTGAGAGGCTGAACCCGTGGACTGCTCTGTCCATAAATCATGCGCCAAGCACCTAAAGTAACGTTGAGACACTGCAGCGTGAAGTGACAAAGCCATGCAGCCAGGATTATGATTATTGGGAATTTATTTTTGATATTGTTCACTGCCTACTACCACTACTCTGTACACCGGAGGGAAAATCCTAATCTGATCGTGTGTGCCAGTTGACATCGTACTCTTTTCTAGGTATCTCCAAGTGTTCACTATGGCGATTCCATACTAGATAGGCTCTACTAACGCCCATGGTCGTGTTGAGGGACGCCCAATTCCCGCATCGACGATGTAGCTGAGTACCGTGGGTGGCCTTCCTCTTGCTCGTTGAGGTAGGTCAAGTCCCCGCCAGTCTGGTTAAATGTTGACATGCCAATGGTGCTGAAATCCCAGTATGGCCTTCTCACACGTATCCCACCATCTGAATCCTTCTGTGGAATGAATCGTGGATTTGCAGCACGATGGGTTGTGCGTGCGAATAGATGGGGGAAGGCAGACAAGCAAGCTACAATAATTGCTAGTGAGAACACAGTGGTTAGCGACTCGCAATAGGGAGGATTTACTCTACCGTGGCGGACTGGATATACAAGCTTACCAACGCCTTGCTCAATAGCACTCCATAGATAAAGCCACGATACATCAGGCTGGTGCGTCAACTCACTCACTACAACAACACGCACTATGGCGAATGCAATTGTCACAAGCACGAGAGAGAAGATGCCTATCAGAGCCATCTTTCTCCGAGTTGGAATCTGAACGTTCCATACTAGAGAAATGGGGATTATCGAGACTAGAGAAATATTGGTAACGGCAACGGTAGTGACGCTGGAAAGTACAAGACTTACTAAGACTATCAGTAATGATATCAAGGGCTGTGTTCACTTTTAATGTGACCAAAGTGAAATCAATGTTCGCCTCGGAGGAACAATGAGCCTGGATCTCTGCCAACGGTCTCGCCAAACACCTATACTGTATAGTCCCGATGCAGACCAAGTAGGTAGCAGTAGTGAAGAAGAAAGCCACCCATAATAGATATCGAATCCTGCTAACATTCTCCCCAAGCCTTCTGAAGAAGAACAAGAAAGAGAATTTCACAGACCAAAGTCCGCTGTAGAAGAAAACCAAAACGATGAGCTGCCCAGTATAGTACTGCTCTGAGTGTAGGACGAAGGCGGGGCCTGGCTGGCTGTATCCGTTGATCACATCATAGAAAGCATATAGATATGAGGCAATATACGTCCAAAGGATAGCTGATAAGAGAAGCAGGAGCCATGCGAGGATGACGAATCCGTCATCCCAGTAAAGCCTGCGTGGCCCGGAAAATCGCGAGTATAGTCTAAAGGCGAGGAAGAGAAAGGAGATAGCAGCAAAGCTCCAGATCGTTCCCTATCAGATCGTCAGCTTTTTTTTATATCACACTATGAAGGGCTCAAGTAGGGAGGTTAAGAGGACGAGCTAAAGAACACCTCCAGCATCTTACTTCAAAGGTATGCTGCTTTACGTGAAGGAGCTGGGTAGCCATAACTGGTGGGGAAGCATCGTTAGACAACATGGTCTAGTCGAATGATCTCTGTAATCAAATAGGAGGCATCTGACTATGAATTTAATGATGAAAGCTAAGAGGGGGGTCTTTGGCTCATCACTCAAATGATAGGATCTATAAGACGACAGGGAGTCACTTGAAATTATAGTCGACTCTCTGCGCCGACAAGGCTGCCGCTCCTCCAAGAGTTGGGATTCGGTGTCGAAGAGAACCGCATCTAGGATTGCGCCATAAAACCCCAAAGACTAACAGTATAGCGACTGTTGTGACTAGTCTGCAGTATATCAGTGGGGGTCGTCCCTGGGTAGCTGCAGAGTACCTACTTAGAAGTTGGGTGGACACCTGGATCCGATCTTAAGCGCCCTTCAGCATGTGTCCTGTCCTGCGCCACTACGGTACATAAGACTTGCATGAGGAGGGAACAAATGGTTGTTTTGTGTTTCACTCGAGCGAGTGAGTTTTGGAGCGTATCCAAAGCCCCAGAAAGGCTCAGACATGGCGCACTACCGTTCATCCATTACCCATTGAGAGACACAACACTTGGCTAACTTTGCTGGACTTTTCAAATATAGTATATCAGCTGAAGATATTTATAGATTTCGTCAAGTCGCCTCTGTCTTAGATTCTATGCCTACACGATGATGACATGGGTTAGACTACTAGCTACTGGTTCCAGCTTTCTCGAGGATCCACCTGCTACACTACGCCGCCTACGAGCACGGCTTGACGCAGTGTTGTTTGGAATGGGAAGATCGGCACATGGAACTTGCGGGAACTAAAACTGCCTGCCTAAACTAGCGGCCTGGGGAGGTTTGGTGATAGTATTTTTCGCTGAGATGTCTCGTCTAACATCTCACAGTCAAGGGGTCACGTTATTGCGAGTAATAGTGTAATGTAATTTATGTGCTAACCTGAGCTATATGACAAAATACCACCATAATGTGTTCGGTAAACCCAGCTTCTGAAGTAGCTGGCTTTACTGCTCAGTTGGGGTGATATCAACAAGGATATCCGCGTCTTTTAGAGGACCTGTTATTCCCAGGGCTGGAATGGAATCATTCAAAGAGGGGAACGGCGGTTTCAAGCCCTCGGAAGTTAATGCTAGCTTCAAGTTGAAACGGTGGAACAGAATGGCAATGAACCCGTAAACCTCCTCCTTCGCGAGAACTCTACCAGGACAGTAAGTGAGGCCCCCGCCAAATGGCCGATACGAAGAATGCCGGGCCAAAGACCTATTCTTCAAGAATCGGTCGGCGCGAAATTCCCTGTTGTTCGAGCCCCATACGTTTTCATTTGTGTGGATTTGCCGCGATGGAATTAGGATCGAATCACCGGGTTTCAACTCTTTGCCTCCAATTGTGGTCTTCTCAAGGACAACACGGCTGACCATGGCGGCGCCGTTCAAGCGTAACGCTTCGTGGAAGATTGATTCAAGATGTGGGCAGTTAGCGCACAAGTATTTGATATCCAGTGTGCCAGAAACCCAGGCAGCGTCGGTCTCGGCCTTTACTAACGAGAAGAGGTTCTCGTCATAGAGCAAATACCCTAACACCCAGAACGAGATGTTGTATTCGTTAGAGTTCGCGCTACGACTGTCAGTATATGAGACTGAGGGCTCGAATGCTTCACTTACGCCCAAAAGATCATCAAGATAACTGATGCTCTTGCTTCCAGGTCAATACCAACGATTTCCTGTGCTGCAATAATGGTTTCAATAGACCAAGACTGCTCTTTCCTCTGATCTGGGGGGAGCTGGATGAAGACCTTAAGAGCATCCATGATCTTTCTCCTTGGCTCTGTAACGGGTAATCCAAAAAAGTCAGGGTAGCGAAAAAAGACCATCCATGCATAGTCGTTAAACTTTAGCATATTGTCGACGATATCAGGCTCAATATCGTGGAGATGAGAACCAAACATGGATCTAGTTGCGGCATCAACCATAGCTAAACGACATAGTGAGTATAGAGAAATTCTTCTTGTCTTTCCTCCGACTGAAGAACCCCAGTTCTCAAGCTTATCGCGATGAATGGACTTGTGAAGCGCATTGAGAAACGCTGCACAGATCTCGTCCATTCGTCCACCAGGGAGAAGCTGTTTTTTATAGATGTCTTCCGTAAGGTGAATGAAATTCAACTGCTTGGGATTGATGGGATTGTTGGGAATGTAGCACCAATCACCAGGTTTAGGGTTGTGCCATCCACGGCGGATAGCATCTGCGTTGAATCCGAAGTTGAGCAACAGTTCGTTCAAGTGGCCATCAAACCTCAATGCTACCGTGTCGCGGAATGCAGCTGCAACATCCGCTGGCGAGGTGATGATATAGAGCTTCTTCACCAAAAGCTGGATAGCGTAGATCTCATGAGTTCGTTTCGTGTAGTTTCTTTGATACGGTCAGTCGGGTTTTGCCTGGGCTGGGACGGAGATAATTCACATACAGTCCTCGCTCAAGCAGCTTATCAGAGTTACCAAAGAATGCCAGAGTGTGGCCTGGGGGAACTCGTCAGGTCAGACTCATCACTTCTGGAATGACACGTACCGAGAACTTGAAAGAAAAAGTTAGTGAACATCAGAAGATTTCATCGAGAGGGCATTTCTCCAGCTTACAAGGTATCCAATAAGGTAGTTCTACGGGTTGTCGAGGATATAACCATGGCTTCAACGTGAAGCACCAAAATCTCCAGACAGAATAACACAGGGTTAGAAAAATGACAGCCAAAGACCATGGGTCTAGCATGGTCCACCATCCCTGGCACCACACGAAGAGAGCGTTGGGAGTCAGAGCCATGTTAGCGGTGGGTTTGACAAAAGTCTATTCCATGGCACAAATAACTGGATGATAGAGGGATGACATTGGTCGGAAATACTTCTGAGGAGAGTGGTATTCATCGCAACGGAGCGAGGCAGGCTTATGATGATATCACGCCTTGATGATTGGCGCATGGCTCTAACAAGGCGTCCGGCGCAATACACACCATACAGCCAACAACTCGACATCACCCCGGTGTACTCAAAAAGCAAGTGTCTAAAAGCACCGTTGACTACTGTCATGGAGCAGCAGGCAAAGCTCTCCTGACGGCTTGGTTACTTACACTCCCTCCCACCCCCTACGATATTTTAAATCAAACCTCGCTACCTATGTGCAAGGTCACATTTCAAGATTGCCAAACATACAGAAATGATAAAACACATGTTGATAATGTATTTAAAAAACTAGGTATAAATATAGAAAGGATAGTTAAGTATAAATAGAAGTTAACGATTCACTGGGATACCAATGAGTGAAGGAGAAGTACATAGGTAGCAATGTGTGGGCTATAGAAGCTGTAGCAGGGATGGGCTATAGGTACCTAGAAGGCGGTTTTGGCCTAGGCAGATAAGGCGCCCTAGCTCTGCGTCGCATTTCGAAACCACTGCTGAACGCTGTGCAGTGCAGTAAGTACGTACATAGGTATATATACCTCTGGGTACCGGTACTACATAGATACGACCTACATTATCATATGTATGTAGGTCGCATTGCCTGAAATGAGGGGATTGCTGAAGTCACATTGAGGCGGCTCTCTTTGTCTGAGCCTCCTCCCGCCTTTTTGTGTGGGATTTTGGCCCGACAAATAGCACCACACGTCCAAAGTCAGCGGAGGGACTTGGAAGCGTGTGTGAGAAATGACCATGGCGTGCTTCCACCTATTAACAATACGGCATCCACGAATACGACGTAGCATCGTGCGATAGCCAGCTGGGCTGGCCGCCGGCGCATGATGTGAGAGCTCAGTTTGGCGTCTTCAGCTGCACCCGTAAGGAACTTGCAGGCAACACAAACAAACCAACATGCAGCTCCCGGGGAGTTCAGTCTCTTTGGTCTCACTGTCTCAGCACCCCACCAACTCTTCATGTCCCCTCCCCAAGTTGGCGACCCTGACCAAGATCGCGTCTATGCCACGCCTGAATCCGTGTCGGTTTCTCATCTGAGTGCCGTCCTGCCCGCTCAACCCACAGCTATCCGTTGCCTCGCAAACACTCCGCTAAGGACTGGACTTGTGTGCCACGAGCCAGAGACCTAGCTGTCTGCCCATGCATCATGGCCTTCATTTCACTAACCAGCACCGTCTTGCTCTCTGTGGCATTTGCCTGGGCTACTTACTCTGCCGTTTGCCTACTGATTAACTACCGTTCTGCTCGCAAGCTCGGCCTCCCCATCAGGGTTCTCCCGATCAGTCATGGCAATCCCTTTTGGATGATTGTTGACCGCAAAGTCACTTCACTATTCAGACGCGTCCCTTTCGTCGGCGACAACAACTTCACCAGATACAACTGGAGGGGTTGGGAGGTTCAAGACAAGTGTCGGTCGCATCTTGAGATGGGGGATGCGTATGTGCAAGTGACACCAGGCAGGAACTGGCTTTATCTCTGCAGCTCTGACAGTCTGCTTGAGGTTTTCCGACGGCGGTCCGATTTTACACGGCCGTTAGAGCTATATGGTACGTAGGATGACGATGTTGTTGTTCATCCCCCTCGTCTTTAAAGCTCTTAGTATGAGGGCCTAATTTCAATTGTCTAGAGCTACTCGGTATATTTGGTTCGAACCTTGCGACCGTAAGCCATCCATTTCCACTATTCCCTGCCATGCAGTGTGCTAAATACACACATAGGTCGATGGCGAAAAGTGGAAGAAGCAGCGAAAGATCACAGCGTCATGTTTCAATGAGTCCACTAGCGAGGTTGTCTGGACTGAAAGTATTACCCTTGCCACCGACATGTTGAAGTTCTGGTCTAGCAAGGAAGCTATAAGCTCAACCGCTGATGATGTTCGCACTCTCTCCCTGCACGTCCTTTCCAAGGCCGGGTTCGGAAAGTCATTCAAGTTTCAGAGTCAAGATGATCAAAGTGTTAACGCCAACCCGGCCCTCAACTACAAAGAGTCTCTGAAGATGGTCTTGGACAATTGTGTCCTGATCATGGCTTTAGGTACTAAGTTTCTTTCTCGGCCTTGGCTTCCGGCTAAGCTACGAAATGTCCACCAAGCATGCGTCGCCTTTCAGCGGCATATGACAAGCGTCTACGAAGAGGAAAAGCGTGCACATGCTGAAGGAGTATCTTCAGATCGCAATCTTCTCTCGTCGCTTATTCGGGCCTCAAATGAAGAAGCAAGGTCTTCAAGCGCAGGTCCCGGTTCCTCAGGAGGGCTCACCGAGTCCGAGATTTACGGCAACATGTTCGTTTTCAACTTTGCTGGACATGACACGACAGCACACACGCTCATGTTCGCCATCGCTTTTCTTGCAGCGAACCCAGAGGTCCAAACTTGGCTTTCAGAAGAGCTGCGTGCTGTGTTCGCAGATCGCACGGCAGATGAATGGGATTATCATCACGACTTTCCGAGGCTCGCGCGTTGCCATGCCGTCCTTCTGGAAACTGTGAGATTATATACCCCGGTGCCGGTAGCTAAGTGGACTGAGACCTCGACTCAGGCACTACAAGTGGGCAAAAAATCCGTCATCATACCCCCAGACACAATGGTGATCCCAAGTTACGCTGCACTCCACACGCATCCCAGATATTGGGGCCCAGATTCCCTAGAGTGGCGGCCGGCTAGATGGATTACCAAGGGGACAAATGGCGAGGAAGAGTTGAAGTCCCCTCCCCGCGGAACATTCATAGCCTGGTCTGAAGGGGATCGATCATGCCCAGGAAAGAAATTCTCGCAGGTTGAGTTCGTCGCGACGATGGCCGTTCTCTTCAAAGACTGGCGGGTGTCTCCGCAGCTCTTCGGGACAGAACGAGACATGGACGCTCAGAAACGCTTACTTCGACTCATCGAAACAGACTCTGCGCAGGTGTTGCTACTTCAAATGCTTCATCCTGAGCGAGCACCACTGTGTTGGTCCAAGATATAGAACAGCATCATTTTGAATACTTTGATTCGTAAATAGTATAATTGGTAAACTGATAGAATCACTGAGATATCAGATTTGGGAAACATGAACAAGAAAAGGGTGTACACCTCTCTGGAGATGAACCGAGATAGGAAAAGCACAAAGAAATTCGAGGGGTTGTCATTTAGTGTAAGTTGGTACCTGAAGAGGTACCTACATCCCCTCCTCTAATTACCTAGGTACACAAACATAGTAGTACCTACCATATTACCCCAGGTAGTAATGCGCCGTTGAAAGATCAACACGGCAGTACTAAAGAGATAGCCCACTACAGGATCTACTTCAGTGAATGGTCCGTAGAAATTGACCCCAATACCAAATAGAGTGATAGTGATGGTGCGTTGTTACAGCTGTTGGTTAGGTTGGTGCTTGATTTGCCAAGACAGCCTGCTTCGGGTAGATGCCTGTTATGTCTGGGCACTTAGTACCGGGTACATGATGCTGCATGTATCTATGGTGTCTTGTACCCCCGGTACTTTGACTTAATTATAGAGCCGCTGGGAGTCCCTACCTATGTGAGCTGTGATTCTCCTGGATTTCTTTTCTCGTCTCCATGCGAACGAACACATGAGCTGACTTGGTGTTTTTTTTCTTGTCCCTTCATACAGTCTTTCCCTTCGTGACTTGACCATTTTTCTTCTTCTCAACTTCTTTGTCTTCAACCCACCAGAATGGGTGAGATACAGCAGGATACGTTGGTCGCTTCCCGTGATACCAAACCTGTCCATCTCCAGTCATGGAGACTAGCTGTAGTCATCGGGTCCTTGTGCCTTGGTATCTTTCTCCTCGGGCTCGACCAGAATATCATCGGGGTTGCCATCCCACGCATCACAACCGAGTTCAGAGCGCTGGATGACATTGCCTGGTACGGCTCTGCATATCTGCTGACCATTACGGCTTTCCAGCCGTTCTTTGGTAATCTGTATAAGCACTTCAATGCTAAGGTCGTTTATGTCGTCTCCCTCCTGATCTTTGAAGGTTCGAAACCCTGTCGTACCAATGCTCTCCGCTCTAAGTGATACCTAGATCATTGATATAACTAACGACATTGCTTGAGTAGTCGGATCTATCATCTGTGCATCTGCGAAACAGTCCGAAGTCCTGATCTTCGGCCGAGCATTCTTGGGTCTTGGGGCTGCTGGGTTGCTTCAGGGTGCCCTGGCCATCATAGGATATGTGGTTAGCCTGGACAAAGTGCCCTTGTTCCAAGGCGTGGTAGTCAGCTCTCTCGGTGTCAGCGTGTCCATTGGTCCGGTGCTAGGCGGTGTGCTCACTGAACGTGTGAGTTGGAGTACGTCATGAAGCTTGATTCGTATCCTCGTCTTGACTGGTGTATAAGTATCTAACAATTTCATTGTCCGGTTTTAGGGTGGTGCTTCTGGATGTGCGTCTTACCCCTAACCGACTTGACATAATATCCCCCTTTCTCCATGTCACTGACCAGCTAGACAGTAACGTTCCAGTCGGAGTCGCTGTTATAATAGCCATCGTTTTTTTCGTGCGCATACAAGCCTCGTCAGATCAGGTGAACCATGACCTGCCCCTAAAGACTAAGTTGAGACAGATGGATGCTGTCGGGACGGTCCTGTTCATCGGTGCCGTCGTCTCGTTGCTGCTGGTCCTGCAGTGGGGTGGCCAGTTGTACCCCTGGAACAGTTCACGTATCATTGCTCTCCTCGTTGTTTTTGGCATTCTCGTCATTTTATTTACTCTATGGGAGTGGAAGCAAGGAGATACTGCCATTATTCCCTTTCGAATAATGAGGAAGCGTTCAATCCACATGGGCGCTTTGGTCTTGTTTGCGCTGGGTGGATCAAGCCTCGATGTAAGTTTTCAAGATAATTATCTGGATTATTCATTTCTCCGCCGGCTTACTAGGAATTTAATATTTTACGAGAAGTCCTACAACTGATCATATACACAGTATGCATACTACCTACCAATCTATTTCCAGTCCGCTCAAGGTGTCAGCACCATTCAAAGCGGTGTACGGTTTATCTCGCTAGTCCTGCCCCAAATCGTCGGGTTAGTCGTTGTGGGAGCTATTGTATCTCAATGGGGCTACTATGTAAGAACATCTTCACTTCACAGCAATAGCTGGAATCTCAACATCTAATATCCTGGTTAAGGTTCCATATATGATATTAGGTATAGTGATCAATAGCATCGGCGCCGGCCTCCTGACCACAATCGGTGTGTCTACACCGACAGTCGAATGGGCTGCCTATATGGTCATCAATGGACTTGGCATCGGAATGGCGCAACAGCTCCCTTATACCGCTCTTCAAGCTGTACTTGAGTATGTCATCCTTGAATCCTTTTGTACCAACCGTTTGCAGGAGTGCTATTGACACGTCATCATCAGGCCAGCGGATGTTCCTATAGGGAATGGTATGTGCCTAAGTACTATAGTGAAATTAATCTTGAGACAATACTTACCATCTTCTCCAGCAATTTCAGTCTTCTCTTACCAATTAGGGGGGTTAGTCGAGAAATTTTCTTTCTCAATATCTTTGGCTTTATCTGTACACTTATCTACACTATCTCTCTTACGCCATTTCTTCTTCATTCACATGAACTCTATTTCACAATCTCTTTGTGAAGTTTTAATCTTCCCACGTCTATTTCGATGCCTTATTTTGCCTTTCCTCCTTTTCTCTCTCGCAGGCCTTGCGCATGTGTTCGCATTATGAATGCAAGCAAACAGAGAGTCGCGCCATTCAATATATGATGTTTACCATGAAAACTAACTCTTCCACCAGGGCTCTATCGGTAGGTATAGGCCAAAATCTACTCCTCAGCAGGCTGAAGACCGCAGTGCCCCAGTACACAGACGCCGTCTCGCCGCAAGAGGTTATCGCCGTTGGCGCCACTGGCCTCGCTCAGATTGCCCCAGATGGGGCAGTCCTCTCTGCTCTCCGACACGCCTATGCGGCGGCTGTGCGCGATCCGCTGATCCTAGCACTTGCTTTGGCTACTCTCGCGTTCCCATTCGCGTGTGGCATGGAGAGGCTGAATATCAAACATATAGCGCAGAAAAGATTGGATGAAAAGAGTGACATTGAGGGGAATAGTGCAAGGGGAGATGAGCTTCAGGATTCGAATGTGAAGATATAAGAGACTAAAGAGCCTAAACAAGGATGAGGTTCAGGAGAGTAATCGTGAAATTCGTTCATTGTCAGGACTTATCTTATAGTCACATTATAGACGCATAGCAGCCAACTCATAGCATCCTAATGTAATATACTACCATCACCGTGTTGCTCAGGGGTAGGGTACCGTTACACGCGTGCAAGCTGAGCATGTAGCTCGCCTTGTGCTTCGGCCGTACGGAAGGCCAATGCAGGCTGTTCATGATTCTCAGAGACACAGGCAATATTGGGAAATGAGGCTATACAAACTTCGCTTCATGAATAAAGCCAATGAGACCTAGGCGGTCAGGGCTGGCAGACCAGTTGTATACAGAGCCGACTCAAGCCACTAAGGCTAAGGAGGAATCGGTTGGCCAAGAACTCCTGCAGCCCTACTATGTAGTTACTCATTGTAATGTGAATAGCTTTAATTCCAAGCCTAGTCACCTGCCCTAGTTATAGGTACACTTTGAGACCTCTCTAGAGGATTACATGGAGTTCACGACGAACTGCACATAACACCCAATTTCACGAAGATTGAATGAGAACCTGGTATACACATGGCCTATGTTGCCTGTTGTGAAAGATGACATCACCTCGTGAATCAGCTATCCCTCATGCCTCATTCGTTTCTGGAGTCTTCTTCTTGCGTATATCAACCCACCCCATCCCCCACGACGCAGCGAAACATACGACCGCAACCGCCGTCAAGAGGTAGAAGACGCTGTTCACGCTCCTCGAGTACGCGAGTAGTAGCCCGGTTAGCTCCGGACTCCCAGGCGGAAGCAAGGCTCGCACTGCTTCGGCACCTCCACCGGCCTCTAGCGCCGATCGAGGGCTCACTGATGGTGCTAGGACGGAGACCTGCTGTGTCAGGGTCTCCGTGAATATGGCGTTGCTCGCGACGGAGAAGATGGCTGCTAGTAGATTCTGTGCGAATACCAAGAACGTGATTGCGATAGGGCTTTGTGCCGGAGTGACGGCGTGTTGAATTGAGATTACAGACTAGAATAAGTTAGGTTCTTCCTTACGAACGACAATCAATCTAACTAACCCAACTCGAACTAAGAGGTGAACAGTTAGAAAGCTAAGGGGAAGACTTACCACTTGCAGTGCCATTCCACGTAGACCGAATAGTATCTGATAGCCGATCCATTCAGCCGTTGAAGTGCTCAGATTCCAGGTCGATATCAGACCACAGGCCACGGCAGTCAATGCGCTCCCTAGGATTCCGAACGGTAGATAATAACCGACTTTTCCCACTAGATGGAATAATGTTAGCTTCGGGGTTTCACACCATTAACTGTAGGTTTGTGATGGCATGTGCCATTTGAAAGAATCGGGATTCGCGTACAAAGAGCACCGGAGACAAGTATAGTCAACAGTTGGGATATGATGGAAGGCAGCGTGTAAACGCCGCTTAGCGAGGGACTGGCACCCTTGACACTCTGGAAATAGATAGGGACGTAAGTGGCGCCAACAGCGTTGGTGATAAAAAGGAACGAGTTTTGTACGGTGCTCGTCCATACAATCCGTTTCTTTATTAGACTGAAAGGTATCAGGGCATCATCGCCCACATGCCATTCCCAGATGAAGAACAAGATAGCTGTCGCGCCTGAACCGGCGAACAAGCCGATGACTGTCGGTGAGCTCCATCCGTAATCACTCGATCCCCACTGCAGCGCAAGAAGCAACTGAACGGTAGCCGGTGCGAAGAGCGCGGCTCCTGTGAGATCAAGATGTGGAACGATGCTGCGGAGTAGGGCGAACGAGAAGGGCGGCTTAAGCGTTTCATCTGGTATGTGCGTGAAGAATAGGAAAAGGATAGAGACGGCACCGATGGGCAGGTTAATGTAGAAGCCTCGAAGGTTGTCAGCTAAGAATTGGGAAGCGCAGCGCTACTTACACCATCTCCAGGTCGCATATTGCGTTAAAGCGCCACCAATCAGAGGTCCGACGATGATACCAATCTGACCAACTGCGAATACTAGGCCAGTATAGACTGCAAGTTACAGATCAGGGTCAGCTTCGGTTGATAGAACGACAGTGAAAGTCTGTGTGCGACATCTCCGACTTACAAGGCCGTTTGTGCAGAGGTACTGCTCCTGAAATGAGCGTTAATGCCCCATTCTCAAGGCCTGCTGTGCCTAGTCCAGCGACGGTACGGCCTATGATGAAGAATGTCGATGAGGTAGAAACCGCACAGAGCAACGAGCCAATCTCGAAAATGGCGATGAAGAATAGGAACAGCCGTTTCGCACTGAGGTAGGTGTAGAATTTTCCCGTGAGAGGCTGTAAAGCCGCACTGATGCTCAAGCAGGTCAGGTTACCGCACAAAAATGCCTTATTGTTGATGGCGTCGCTGCTATCAGGGGGGTATATTACCTGGACAACTGATATGCACCGCCATACCATCCAACGCTTCATCTCTATGTCAGCAATGTTTTCCCGCATAAGGACCGGATCAAGATTCTAGATTCTGAACATACTCTTGAAGCCGGTGAAACTCGCTCGTAATATACGGGATGGCGGTCGAGATGATGCTAAAATCTAACAGGACAATGAAGAAGGCAGAGATGATGCCCACGAGAGCGGCTAAGAGCTTGTATCCGCTAATGTACTCCTCATCTTCGGTACCAAAACCATCAATCGAGCTGGGATTTGCAGCTACTTCTGGAGAGGTCGAAGCAACGCCCGGTGCAGTCACTCGCACATCTCCCAGGACGTTGTCGTGCGTTTGCCCGGATTTCTCAGGGTCTGAACCGGCTGGAGGTGCTTCTGCAGTTCCATCTGCTTGACCTGGTTGCACTTTTTCGCTAACTGAAGTAGGCGGCGATGACTGCCGTCCATCTCGTGGCTCTAAGCGCTGATCTGATTCTATCGTCATCTTTGCGGGTTGTGTTGAACTTCTTATCTTTTTCTTTCACCGGTTCTTGTTTAACACGAACTTAAACCAGAGCAAAAAAAGAAGTTAACGGTATGAATAGACAGGTTCCAACATGAAGGTAAGAGGTCAGCACCCCGCATAGGCCCCACGAGGACTTCAATCCATGATTATAACAAGGAGGTGCTTCACAGAGAGGTACAAAAACGTTGCAATGCCTGTACCGATAAGAGATTAATCACCTTGGCAAAATGTAAGCTCGTGCATCAGTTGTCGAGACAGTGCCATGGAGTCGTCAAGACAACCTCGTTCTATGGCGCGTTTGCATCCCCGCTCCAAGGGCCAAAACGCGGTATACGGAACATTGCCTTTTCGAGAGCCGACCAACACTATGCCAAGCCCCTCGGACATGGGCCCTGACCAACGTGCATTCCGAACCTAGCTTAGTTACCTATAACTTATGAGTCATCTGTTCAGCTTCACTGTTTCACTGCAAAGTAACCGAAATCCTCACGGCGCAGAATCACCATGTTGGCCGAAGGGGAGAGTAACGATTAGGGTGAAAAGGGTTTTACCCCTTGAATTCATATCAAATTATGATAGTCTCAAAACCAGCGAGAATTGTCTCATCTGCATATCAACTACTGCGAATCATGGCTTCTACTAGATCCTTCTTCTTCCCTGAGGCTTATCAAACGCAATATGGTGTTTTTTCAAGACGCCCACCTCAACTCTCTCATACAGAGCGACATTGTTGGTAATCTGTTTCTGATGAACCAACAGCACCCAGTGCACCTGGGATCAATCCATTGGTGGCATCTTGCTCTTCCCAAGAATGACACACTGGATAGGCTGATTGAAGGCTCTGCTGGGATCGTCTATCAGTCTCTCTCCATTCTCAGGGTCGAGAAGGTTCCAAACCGTGGCCTCCAATTCTAGCAGAGATATCGCGATGAAATCATCACTCGGATTTTCGTTCATATCAGCGTTTCGACTTCCGTCCTCAGAGAATGGCGAGGTGATATCCTCGGACCACGTAACCTCCCCGAAGGGAATGGTCAGGTAACTGATCGGTCCGTCGTAGGCACATGATCAAGATATGGAACATCTGAGGGGTCCTCACCAAGTGTTGAGGTTGAGAACAAAAGCACCAGCTACTTGTAACCACGCAAATAAACACTCTTGGTGAGGCATTGGAGCTGGAGTCGGTGATCGCCCGCCGTGCTCCCGGCCATTGTTCCCATACTTGGGTGTCAAGAGTAATACATGTGATCCCATTAGATTATCTAGAAGTCTAGGTTACAATACAGTTATCTGGCTGGATGGAGGTCTTATATACAGTTTCCCAGCGTTCCAGTATGTAGATCGCAAGTATCACCGCCTTCCCTTTCTGACATTGGGCTCTGTATCAAGAGCACTGCTAGGCAACAGCTTCTCTTTTTCGTCTAGAATAACACGCGTGCTCAACGCTTTCATGTTCCACAGTATCGCTTTGAAATCAGTAAAATACAAAGTGGGGGAAGGGCACTAGATAGAGTAATCCTGCTTGTCAGACCTCGAAGGCGGAATCAAACATAGAGCAACATTCGTGCTCATGAATGACATCCTGGAGATTGTACGTGAGGCATTACAGGGGTGGCGCAGGAGGCAGACGCCGGAAACCATACATAGAAGAGCCGAAGCAAAAGGATTGCGTGTACCTTCCTAGGAAGTCGCACACGAGGCGGTCTAAAGGGCTAGGCTGTCTAGGTGGCTCTTGCTCGCCGCCCCTTGCCGTTGTTGATCTCCAGCCCGTAGGCCTTGAAGAAACAACTGCACGTGGCGAGCGTAACGATGGGGTCTATGTCCTCGAGCACGAGCAGGTAGAGGTTCATTCAGCTCTCGTAGTCGCGGATGCGTCCGAATCGGGCTATCATTATCCCTTTTATCGGCTAGGGAAGATGATCAGCACTTTGAGGCTGATAATCTTTCTAGGGACGCCGACCTCCTCGGTACATGTCCTCGTCCAGATAGTGGCATATAACGGCAATGGTGGAGGCCTGATCGTCTCTTTCGGTAGCTGGGACTTTGGAAATAAAGTCATCACCCGAAACCATCGACGCAGTTATAAAAATTCCAGTTTCCGGGTTCTAGACTCGTACTAATTACTAGATGGCCGGCCCCTCACGCTGACCCGAAGGCCAGCTTTCAAATATGAGTAACCTAGCCGGAATTCCTTTCCCTTTCCCTCCTCATCCTCGTCATTAAATCTCTTCACTAAGTATAGAATTGTATAAACTTATTATAATGACCCTAGGGCTAGGGTTTCATACTCTTTTCTGGGGATGGGTTTCGTGTCATATATATTAGATAGATAAGAAAGTCTAGGAGACATAGAGGGCGAGGACATATCCATCGTCAGTGTCGGGAATACCAGCCACCTCACTTCGATACTCTTGACCAGCCATTTCCTATCCATTTCCTATCCTTCGCTATAGTTGCCGTATCTAAATTCTCGAAGTTGTATAATTATATCCCAAACCCATACAACATAGCAAGACTAATAGAAAAGGATAACAACGTCAGGTCCAATGCTCTCTTTCGGTTTGAAAAGCGACCTAGTTTTCAAACTATCAAGTCTTTGAAAATATATACAAGAAAATTCCTATAAGCTTAGGTTAACAAGTCATGCATCATAGCTATTGGGTGCCCAAATAACCTATTTACTGTTAGCTCATGCCATGCACACGATCAAATCAACTCAACAAGGAGAGAGACTTGAAACGTACAAAGCTTGGGTCAATATTTTTTAAATCCGCCACGCCCGCATTCGCAGCATCGACCTTGAGCTCACGCTTTAATATCTGGATAGCCCTGGTGACACCCTCGGTGCCCCAGACATTCGCATACATGAACGGTCGGCCGACGCCGACGGCCTTGACTCCGAGCGCAAGCAGCTTGATGATGTCGGCACCATACCGGACGCCGCCGTCTGCGTACACCTCGATTTGGCTGAAGATTTCAGGTGCTTGCTGGTGGATCTCGATGGCGACCTCGAGCGGGGAGCGCACGCCATCGATCTGCCGCCCTCCGTGATTCGAGAGGTAGATGGCAGGGACGCCACGCTCGACAGCAATCCGCGCGTCTTCGACGGTTTGTATACCCTTTAAGATGATGGGGAGGTCAGTCATGGTGCGGAAGTTGTCGTAAAGATCCCACTAAGAAATTGGTTAGTATAATGATCTACAAGCTTAGGATTGATGGCATGTCGTGAGCTTACGGTAATCAAAGTGTAGGTCGTGTCACTGGGATCTCACGTTAACTGAAGATTCCCTGTTACGTGACGAGATCGCTTGGAGGCATGAGACTTACTCCGGGCCTACACCGTAGCGAACAGCACGCTGACGGTTGCCGTCAGCAGGCGAGTCAATGGTGAAGACGATAGCCTGATGTCCGTTCGCTTTAGCATCGTCAAAAACTCCCTGGGTAGCTGTGTTGTCCGAGTCCAAGTAGAACTGCTGAAAGGTCACCTGATCCTCTTTTTTGAGGGCGGCGATTTCTGCGGTCGATAGTGTGGCATATAGCGAAGGCTTTTGGCAATATCAGCTTCATATAATAAGGATATAGCATTTTCATGAACAAACTCACTATATACAGTATATTCTCAGCGGCTGCAGCCTCGACTAGACCTTTCTCGCCTTCAATGTTTCCAAATCCAGCTCGAGCACAGGGGGCAATAAAGAAAGGCACTGAGAAGTTATGACCTAAGATTGTGGTTCTGCATATTTCTCTTAAATTAGGAGGCTTAAATGAGAAGCTTCGAAGGTCTATATGATCAAATTATCAATGGCACTTACGGTAACGATGCGTCAATATTTGTGATATCTATCATCGTCCGTGGCTTAATCGGATACCGGTTGAAGACCTCGAGGTTATTGCGGTACGACCATTCACCCGCCGCGCCATTACGGTAGTAAGTATAATTCCGTATTGGCATATATCGCCGCGCGGCTGCGTCAAAATCCGGAAGCCCTACCAAGTCATCTAAAGATGCTAGCTCCCCATCTGCAAGATTAAAGTATTCATCGAAGCTATATAGGCTGTTGTCAGCACATAGATCTTTGTGATCCCGGTATTAGAAACTCACCCAGTGTCAGGCTCATTGAGGAATAGGCGGGCAGCGAATGTTCCTCCAAACAAAGAGAGCGACAGTACTGAAGAAAGCATTTTAAGATGAGAGAAAGTGACCGAGGGTGGGCGGCGGGCCTTGCTAGTGACAATCCTGTGCGAGATGACTCTCTGCAAAATATGCGGACTGTCTATATCATATACTCAAGGGTTCCGGTTCTGCAACAAGCCTTTGGTATTCTCCCATTATTCTAACAGTCTGCCCACCGGGGACCAGGCAGGGATGGACTTTGGCCGTATTGATAATAATCGCTAAGCTATTACCACGGTCCTTTGTCATGATGGTATAAAGGAGAGGCGCAACCTTATCAGCATCTATTTTACGCAACTTGACGTATTCTAGTTATGGGCGTCCACATTGGGCTATTGAAATGGTTCCAACTTTCCACCCAATACTAGACCTAACAAATGTCTCGAGAATGGACATCGGGCAAAGATTGCTTGAGGCAGATTCTCGATAACTGACTTTTATTCCCGAACTGGAGGTCTAGAAAGGTGAAGTAATTACACCTTCAAGGCAAATCTCCCTATTTTCGTAGCTGATCTGCTGACTTGCAGGGACTTGAGGCATAAGCAACAGTCCCCAGACTCGGCAGGTACCAGATAAAGCTGGTGGCAAATGAGCTTGGCAATGTTGGAGTCTTGCTTGAGCTTCGACATTGGTGGACATTGAATATAGACACAGCTTAAATCAAACGAGATTGTCCGATGGGTCTGCACGCAACGACATCGACAGAAAAAGAAGTTTAGTAACTTACCCTGTAAATTAGAGCTGCAAATCGCATTTATTTATAGGTCTGCACTGGAGGGTCTTCAAGTGAATGGTACAGTACATGCATCAGATGGACAATCTACACGATTGAGAGCATTTGTAACGGTTGACTCACGCGCGGGCTTTTTGGTTGATTGAGCTTGATCTGCACAGCAATTGGTGCGATCTGATAACGGTCGAGGGGACGCGCGGACGACACGCCTCAGACTTTCAGCCGTTACCTGCGCTCGGGGTCGATTGAGGTGAAGCGTGAGGTTAGTTAGCTGTTTGAAAGTTGACTCGAGATCTCTAGGCGACCGTTAATGTGACCTATAGCACGGAGTGCCATAAAGCCACGACCAGGACCTAAAATTCCACACAAATAACTCTCTGCGAAAATGGTTCAGAGGCCACCCGATTTTAACTATAACTGGGTGCTCCTGTTACTAGCCGATAATAGGCTCATTCCCAGTGCTTCTATCTAACATCTCAGTAAGGACGTCAGTAATAGAGGAGCGTGGTCGACCTAAATACATTTCGCCCTGCTCGCGTCGTGTTTTCTGGTTATTGGTCGCCGAGATAAGCCCTGGACCCAGGCAGGCCGTGAGCGTACCGTGTGTGTAGAGTGGACATGGAGAAATACATCTTATCGGAGAGTGTTTTGGAGTTCCAGAAATGGTAGGTCTGGGTTGCCATTTCGGCAGGCCGAACCCCGACACGGGCACTTTATGTGAAATATGGTTACCTGAACATATCGATATCTGTAATTTAGCCAGCTATTTTACGAATCAATAACGGGCAGTCGCACGTATTGTATAGCATACATTTACTTCTCTAGACACCTGCCCCGACACAATATATGAAATATCTCGGAACCTGGCGCTATCATCACTCCTCTAAAACAACCTCAATAATACCATCCCCATCATTCTGGGGAGGAGCCCAGACCTTGACGACCTTCAGGCCGGCCCTCTCCATAAGTTCTATCCATTGTCTCTCCGTTCTCTCCATTGCCGCGTTAAAGGCCATCATAGTCATGTCGAGAACGGCATGAAATGCTGAAGCTCCTTCTTCAGGAATAATCATTTCATGGATAAGCAGTCTGGAATAACCAGGCGTCATAGCCTTTTTGACTCTTTTTAGAATATCCAAACAGTTGGAGTCGGACCAGTCGTGCAGTATGTGATGATAAAAGTACGCGCGTGCGCCTTCTACCGGCTGTTCAGTGAAGAAATTGTATTCCATTACCTCAATTGCTGAATCCAGTCCTTCGATGCTTTCAATGACTGATTCCAGATCCTGTAGGACTAGGCGTCCTTGATGTGGATATCTTGTGTGGAATGAGACGACATCGTGTCCTTTCCCGCCTCCCACGTCTACAAGGAGCGGGGATCCGTTAGTTGCTCCATCTAGCAGTATATCTTGAACTGGAAACCAGTCAACCCAATAGTGCCGAGCACCCATGGTATTGCCCATGAACATATTGAAGTCGTTAAAGATTTCGGGCATTGACTTGAAGAATTCAAATGTTGTTAATTTAGTTCTAAAAGCATATTGCATGAGGCCATCGTGGGGATCAGTCGGGCATTGGTAGCCGGCTTCTTTGAAGTATTTTGGCGCTTGAGATGCCGCCCCGACAATCATTTCGCCCCTAAAAGAAATGTAAGTCAATCCGGAATATTGAAATGATGTCCATTATAGGAGCGCAGCACTAACACCATCCGGTGTCCAGAGGCTATTTCCTCTGTCGCCATTGCGAAGGTAAGGGGTGTCGCCGTCCATTTCCTTTGACCAGCCTCTTTGACAAATCCTATTGCAGCCATAGGTCGGAGGATACGAACTATTGCGAACTTAATATGATTACCATCACTCGCTACAGGATTATAACGTACTGATCAGTAACTCTTCGCTTCCAGACAAGGATGCGAGCTCGGCCGATGTAACAGGCTTGTCGTGGCTGGCGATATGTTTGAAAAGATCAAGCTGTACGGCAATTCGGGCTGCAATCGCCAAAAATGGCTACAACTGTCAGTGAAGAGACCATGAAACTATGCGCAAGTCTTTGCAAATACCGAAAAGGCTAATTCAACAGCAATGTTCTCCGGTTGCTCTAGAGTAGTCACCAGCTGGCGAGCCAGATTTACGGCATCCTCTTTAGCAACTACATCATCGACAGACGACAGTTTGGCTTTCAGGTCATTGAGCTGCTCGATGATGTCCACTGCCGTGTTCGGTGGTGAGGCCATTGTGAATGTATTGAGGCAATGCTCAAGGAGTGCAGAATACAGAGGACAAAAGTATAGCTAGCTAGGAAAGACTTGTCGGCTGCGGCGCCGGTCGGTCAACATAGAATGAATTGGAAGTGAGTAAGCCTCAATCTACTAGTTAAATTCACTCGCAGAGGTAGACAAGCCCGCCTGCTTTTTGGGTACCATGCGCCCTTGCTGCGTAACTACACAGTAACACCTACCCAGGGAGGAGGGAGGGGGCTACATGCCCTCCTTGTGACTATGCCACGCGCAATCGATGGTTGACATGAAACGCTGTTCGACGATTCCTTGCCCAAAATTAATGTGTTAGGTCCTAGTGGCAGATTACGTCTCCTCGCAGCATGCCGGGAGATGGATGGTCGACTACTGTATGTGGCTTGAAATGTTAGTACCAACAGGAGGCAGCCAGCATGGGTTGCGGCTCGGTATAATGAATTAGGTGAACAGGTTGCCCATGAGTCGCGCTCAAAACACGGCGCTGTTGAACTTGCTTAGCGTATGCGGATACGATCGAGTCGACGATTGATCCTTTTCCGGTGAGAGTTTTGTTTTCCCGCACGCAGTATCCCAACATGTCCGGACATGGGCTTAGCTCAGCGGTTGTGTCCATTGCTTGGGCATTCGCAGCTTTATCCGCAGTCGTGATAGTCGCTCGCTTCTAGGCTCGACTTGTCGTTTTATGTAGAACGACCCTGGATGACTTCATCATTTTAATCGCATTCGTGAGTCTACGTACCAACTTGGCTTTCAACGCAGTACACAGATGGGTATCTATGGATACTGACAATCTCCTTTCCATCGTTTCATTTTTTCGCGCTTGTTAACAGTATCTTCTTGACGGTATCTGTCTCATGGGGCCTTGGATAGCACTTTGAGATTCTTAAATCGAAACCGATTCATGTCATGTATGCTATAAAATATGTATACCTGTGCGAGTTCTTTTCTATCATGTCACCAGGATTCGGCCGCATATCGTACAGCTTTCTGCTCTCATTCCCTCGACGCCGATGATAAACGCTGACAAGTTAACAAGCGATATGCTCTACTGTCAATCTTGTCCTATCTCTTTCCCCAACAAGCCTGTTTTAGAATTTGAAAATGGAATGGAAGCAAAAGGCATCACGTAGTGCTTTGATGGGCTTAGGTATCACATGCATCTGCGTGAATCACACTGTGTTACATGTGCAACCTCCGTACCAGCTGAATATGCAGTTCATCTTGCACTTCAGTCGTACGAAGGGCTATTGCAGGCAGTTCATGATCATTCAAAGACATGCAGGCAATATTGGAAAGTGAGGTTATACAGACTTCGCTTCTTGAAACAGACCTCAGAGACCTAGGCGGTCTGGGCTGACAGACTAGTTGTATATAGAGTTAAGTTAAGCCACCAACAGCCAAGAAGGAGTTGGTTGGTCAAGGACTTATGCATCCTTAGTTGATCATTGTAATCTGAATTCTCAGTTCCAAGCCCAGTATCTTCTGCCCTTGTTATACACTGTGAGTGGGTATCTGCTTACCCCCAAGGCAGGTAAAGGAGCGGCAGCCATTATTAGGAGAATCATAAACGGTGCCAGCTGAGAGGACTGAGGCTCATTGCACATGCAAACACTTCAGTATGGCGCACAAGCCTAAATACCGGCTGATCGGTCACGTTCGGTCCCATTGATACTCTGTTAATGGATAGGATAACCGATGATCACCTTCCTCTGACGAAGGACGAGAAAAACTACACACTATAACAGTGTGGCAAGAAGATCATTCAATGGCCACCGGGGTAACAGGAGCCTCGCGCATACCTTAGGAAGTCAGTGGATGATGGTGTGGGCACCTATTTTGGACTTTAAAGCTGGCAATTTGACACCAATTTATCTTAAACCACTCACAACATTGCCCTTTGATTATGGAAAGGTCGTCGAAACAGATTATAGCGCTGTGTACAAAGGTACGCTGTGGTAGTCACATCATAAGAGGCTCAACAACAATGTGAGCTCAAGTAGTGCTCTCTATTCTCACGCCAAGTTAACACGGAATGACACGGAAGGAACTTAGTCTGATGAAGTCTGTATTACCATCAAGCAATTTAAGAACGGGCCAAATGGTGATGTCTTGAACGTTCAAAAACCACGCCGTTAGACGCTCGAGGTCTAACGGTTGTTTTATAGCCTCACCTACGTTCAATATGATGAAAGCTATTATTATCATTTGGAACTTGAAACTCTAGAACAGATCTAGGTGATTGAAGATGAACTGATCAATAAGACCCTAGCTTGCTGCGAACAAGCTTGTTGTATCTTGTTCTCATAGGCGAGCGGCAGTGACCTCTGGAATTTTGGGGATGCCAATGGTTCACAAGAGCTTAGAAGTACTCCCGATGTCTTCCCAGGGGCTCCTGGACAGATTACCGGCCTCACACATACCCTAGCTTTGATCCATTATGTTGACACCCAACAGGGGATTTGAAGCCATCCGATATTCTTCAATTTATTGATGTCCCTACCAAACTAGGCACATTGAAGATTGCGAACTTTGGTCTCTTTAGGGTACATAAGATAGAAATCAGTCCTCGCAATAGCCTACCCTCACCGAAGCCTCGACTTTTGTTATGAAGCCCCTGAGGCGCACGACTATCTCAAAAACCGAGAGAGCCAATCGTGAAAATACAACTGTCGGTCTAGTAAGTAATGCTCTACATCACCATCCCCTATTGTAGCTGGAGCTAGAAAGTAGGACTTTCTAGTGATGAAACTACGTCCTAAGCAGTCTGCATAAGCCTGAAACCACCACAGTTTTGGTCGCTACTAACCACGAATTCGGTAGTGAGCTGCATCATGCTGGAGTTTGTCATATGGCTCTTGTACGACTGCGCGGCTGTTTCAAGCTGCTATGATAAGCGCGATCCCCCGGATCGTTCATATTACCGGCTAATTCCAGGGTCCAACCCAGAAAAACAACCCATACTTAGAGGATGCGATAGAGCTGCATCCCGTGGTGGATAAGGCAATCAGAGAGATGAAACACCACATCTGGTTCGAGAATACAGCCATGGAGGCCATTGCCAATCTCGTCAAATCCGATCTGCTCAATATTAAGGCAGAGAAACGCCAGGGAACGGATGACACCTATAAGACATTAAAGACGATACTGGCCAGAGCACAAAAGGACACTTCCGCCTTCAGCAAAGAAGTCGATCCGACGGTGCTGGTGCCCCCGATTTTCAGCTCGCAAACCTCGCCTCAAGCAACTCACGAGCAACATTAAACTTTGACACTAGAGCGGAATTATATTATGGCTCAGCGTCTAATGTGTAGACTCTGAGGATAGTTCATTAACAGTCTTAGACTTTACTCAAGGAGATCGAGCTCTCGCTACTGTGAGACTTATTGATGATCCACGCATGCTAGAGGTGGCAACTAAGTTGTGTACAACAAGCACACTCAAATCAGCTCTGTGGATCGACGAGATCTCAATAGACCAAGTGGACCTAGAAAGCCATGATGTTACACACGCTGAAGGCACTGACCACCTTCGTATGCGCTTATATATAGTACTCCGTCTGCCCGCTTAGGTAAGACATTAAGACGGCCCGGCCCCGCTGGTTTCAAAATGAGGATATTTAGCACTTGCTTATGAGAGACATTCTCACCGATTTTGGGGGATAGGACCTAATAGATTACTACAAATAGCTTTGATGATAGCCCTATCACTAGTCCTTGCTAAAGATATGCCCATGATAGAGATGTCTCTACACTATTTGTATCTTGAAAAAAGATCATTGTTACAGAGCGGGTTGATACAGGGAAAAAAGGTGGTGATCATGTCAGCAGTGTTATAGGTGTTAGATTTCTGTTTTAGTTATATTATTGCGTATCAAAAGCCACACTGGCATAACCACAAGCTTGCACTGCCACGTGAGCCTACACACGGCATAGAGGGGGTCATACCAATATCTCATACCGGTACCTAGTATGCTGCCTCTTATGCTCAAATACACATATGTGGCCAGATCAGAAAAACTAACAGCGGCCTCAGAAAGAAAGCGTGATGCGCTTAGGAAAATTACCATGATATTCACCGTCAATTGACTGGTTCGCTTATGCCGACTATACCTGCACGTTGTTCTTGGCAATGCCAATCAAAAGTTCCTTGGCTGATAAGCGGTCGCGCCGTGAAATCAGCCGGAAGACGATTTTAGCCCTAGCGAGTATCCTCATAAGCATGTCAAATACGACAATACGGATAAGCTGATGGTCGACACCCCTATTATCCAGATACAACCCGTGCAGTTTTGCCTTGGTAACACTTCCTTCTCCCTAATCTTACATGGCATATAAGTTCTTAATGCTACCCTCAGTGCCAACGGCATACGCGCTGCTACAACGCAAGCATCACGCACGACTATAATTTTGCCCATCTTTTTAAATTGGTTAGCTTCCTGGGGACCATACTATACTTACACTACGCTCCGCGCGAAACCCCTACTCCGCAGAGAAAGTAAATAGATTCAAACCTGGCTCGTCACTAACTTCGCTCGCGAGGCTACTATTAGATTTTAACGTTCGATTTAGTGTTATCGTTTATCGATAGACCTTATCGTGTGATGGTGGAAGCATTAGAAAGGAAGAAAAAGCACGGGTGCTAGGTCTCAGGTTGAACAGGGGCGGGGGTTAACCATCAGCTTGGAGTCTGGGCCTCCGCCACGCAATTTCCTTCCGTAGGGCTGGCCCTTCTCCCTGGTACGATGGCCAGAAGGTTCTTATTACTGGTAGCTATTCTGTGCGTGATTCCTAGCTTCCTCGTATCGTATTGTGTACCTAATCGACCGTTGTCAACAAAATGACCCCATCACCTTGATGCCTCCTGAGTAAGTATGCTGAGGGCAGCAAGGTCGACGAAAAAGCCTTGGCGTTGGTTGCCTACACCACGTCAGACACTCATCTCCACTTTTACGATATGGAACTCTGACATGTTGTCTTTCCAAAGGAGATACGGTACGGAGTACGTAGTACACGATACGTTGTCTCGCCCCCAAATATACCGTACGTCGGTAGGATGATGATGATCTCAATGAATTCTTTCATAGCAGCCTTGCGATTAACATTACTTTTGCTATGCTAGAGAATAGTGTCGCGCTACGCATTATCGTCCTACCGACCGGGAGATCCTTCAGGAATATTGCTAACCGGGAAGCGTTAGGATAGGCTATGTTTAAGGACAGGCTGAAATTGTCTCACCTTTTCTTTGAAGCATCGGGTCTCACTATCGAAGCACCACCCTATACCCAACATAGCAATGTTCGCATCTTCGCATAGGTTCGTACGTACTATGTACCGATACCCCTGTATATTATCCCAGTTGCAAGTAACCTAGCCCTATCAGACCCTTTGATGACTTCAGAGTTATCCAGACCCTTGCATTTCTGGTATGAGCTAACCAGTATAGAAAAAAAAAAACACGTGCATTCTAGGTAATTTCAAGACTGCAATTATACTATCCCTTGATCTGTTAGCAACGGCCACATGGAAGATACATAGTAGATGTGGTTAAGATTGGGCCCCAATGGTCACGCAGGCATCGTGAGCACTAGGGGTAACGCTATGAACCGCTATTGTATATAAATAAAGCGCACGCTGATTGATCGGCGTACGCCTTTAGCCTTTACTTACTATAAGATCTACGAGAGACCCCCAAGTGATAGCCCTGTTTAAGTAAGTAGGGTCAACCAGCCAATTTGACGTATTTGGGAGACGGGGGGGAAATCGCATAGCCGTTAAGCCTGACTATCCTGGGTATCTGTGCAACTAACTCGTATCCACTTGGCGTGTGCAACTATCCTGTTAGGTATGGGAAACCAGGGGGGCCTGGACGTCTTCGGCGACACTTGCCTGACTGGGGCTAGGGTCATGCTTCCATAGTGAGACGTGATGCTTCAAAATGCGACCCGAGCTGAAAACAAGCTTATGGAGTATACCGGCCAAGCCATTCTTTTCTTTTAACTCTTTGGGAACCGCCTGTGGCAGTAGAAACTTCTTCTCTTTGGGTTCATTTCTGGTTCCTTCCCCCCCTTTACGGCCTTTTAGTCTTTCGTTAATTTGTCTGGTTGTTGTTTTTGTTTTTCACTCGGTGAACGACCCTCGCTATGAATAGTATAAGACGGTGGGTGAAGGGCTTCACTGGCAGTCAGGACCGTCAGTATGAGGAGTCCCTGCCCCTCACTTCGAACAACCCCAATTCCATAGGTGACGATGACTGGATGCCACCCCGTTCCCGTTCAAGCCCGACGATACGATGGCTTATCTTCCTCCTTCCCTTCTGTATCGCCCGACCGCTGGGCCTTACTGAGCGGAAACTACCGAAGACCATGTCGACAACCTATCTGAACGGCATAAGAGGCCTGGCCTGTTGGATAGTGTTCAACGAGCATATGGTCATGGACAAATACCGCGAAATTGTATTCAAGCCATACGGAGCAGTCAAAGACGGGCAGAAGTTTGAACACTTCATCCAGCTACCTCTTGTACGTGCCTTGATAGCAGGGAAAGGCATGGTATGCGTGTTCTTTGTGCTGTCAGGATTCGTACTGTCATACTCGTCCCTACGCAAAATAAACGACGCCGCCAAGCCGAATAAGCAGGAGAAAACTAGCCGTGACGACCTATTGACAAGCGTCTCGTCGATGACATTACGTCGTGCTATTCGTTTATTCGGACCTCTGTTGGCGCTCGCTTTCATAACTGCACTAGTCACTTACTATGTGCCCTGGGGTGATATGGACCGCAAAGCCCCTAATATTTTCGCTCATGTGTGGACATTCTGGCTCTCCGCCGTTACCGTCATGGACCCATACCACGTATGTAACCTCCTGCCCAGTTCCCTCCACATCTTATCATGAAGATTGCCTGTGTGTTGTCCCGCAGGCATGCGGGAGGAGGCCACGAGAAGAAGAATTTACTGACCCCTGTCATCACAGTGGCCGAGACTTAAGCCTTTGCCGCGACATTACGGGCAGGCATGGACTCTAGGTGTAGAGTATCGACTGTCATTGGTTATGTTCTTGATGATAGCCACGACCGCAACGCTAACCACCGTCGCTCGGAAGAGCGTCATTATCTTCGTCGCAGCCTGGTCAGTCTACTGCGCTCGCCGTTGGGATGTCGCATGTGCCATGGGTGGCATGCTGCTCGCCGAGTTGCGATTCGCACCATTGTCGGACGACATATCCCGCCTCTTCAATCGACCTATACGTATCACAAGCAAATGGTTGACCACCATCCCGGCCGTGTTCTTCGTACTTCTCGGCACCTTATTGTGCAGCTGGCCCGAAACTATGCCGTCTGGCGCAGACCCTTACCGTTCTATTTGGGAATTGACGCCCTTAGCCTGGCGTCCTGATTCCGGTCACGGCGCGCCAGAGCCGGTAGGAGGTTGGCTATGGTGGTGGGGCACTATCGGCGCTTTTCTGATGCTCTGGGGCCTTGAGCAGCTACCGGTGTTGCAAAAGGTTCTATCCGTCAGCTTTCTCAAGTACCTCGGCGAGATCAGCTACGCCTATTACCTGCTGCAGGGTTTAGGTCACACTCATGTCGGCAACCCTCTTTACGCGGTTTTGCAGGATAAATATGGCTGGTCCAAAAACTCGGCGTTTGCTGCCGGGTATATCGTTGGCAATATTTTCAACATAATAGCGTCGGACTACTTTTGGCGCGTTATTGATGAGTCGTGCATCCGCCTGGCACGTTTTGTTGTTGTGGAGTTGCTGGGTGTTGGGAAGCAACCCGGTAATCGCAGTCCAGGTTCAGCCGTTGGCTATACACCGGTGCCGACAGCAGCGCCAACATCTAATGAGGGTCGTTCTGAATCAGACAACTTTGCTATAGATGACGACGATGTTGCTCTCAAAGAAGGTTTTGATGATGGGAATGACGCCGATCGGGTTAGGCGCCGAAGAGCTTCGTAATGGCATCACGATTTGACGCTCTATCTTATGAGTCTTGTCAACCCCTAATTTTTCCCGGCATTTACATCTCATTTAGCGGTCTGTCTTAGAATCATCATGTATACAATTCAACCAACATAGTGTGAAAATAATCACACAACCACTTAGCCATGTCCATTTTCCCTGAAAGTTCATATCAATGTGAGATGAAGTGTCTGATGGACGTAGATTCCATCTCGCCTCCCAGTTACTGTTTATCGGATCGCGTCTATACAGCAATAAACACGTGAATCTGGCCTTTATCTACAGATGAGAACCACTCTAATTCCAACTTACCCGTCCTATCTAGTCTAAGCTTTCTAAGTGCTCAGCATGCTTCTTTATTTTATCGAACTGGTAGGGCCTGCCCGCATGGAAGTATGTTAGTCGAGAACTTGCTAAACCTAAGGAGGGTATTAAGCACGCACCAATTTACGACGTATAGGAACGGACGGAGATCATGGCGGTTGTCATCCGGATTATATGCCGACTGGGTGCACAAAACATGTTAGTTGAAATCTTTTAGCTCTGGATCATGGGGATTGCTAGATTATAGTCACAAGGTGACCAATGATAGGAGGGCGAGACAGACCATGTGAACAGATGGAGTAATAATAGTAGCTTTACTGTTTCCTGGTGTTAGTAGCTATTCTGTGAAGTAAAATGGGGCGGGTTTGGGGAGATTTGTGAGGAGTTCTGTATAGTCCTGACTGCTTGTCGCTTTCACAGGCAGCTATGTCCTCCTAGCGTAGGAAGCATATGAGTTCAGGGGCAGCATACTGTCGGTTGATACTAATGAAATATGTCAGCCTCATCATTTCGTCTTTTCTAGACTGACGCCAGTCAAGTGTGCGTGTTTCTAGGTCAAAAATTTACATACTATAACAACAGTTAGCTCTGATGAATCAAATATTATTCTACCGATACCGGGCCTCATAGCCGCCGGAAATTAGGGTTTGATACATACCGCATAGTTTCTGAAGAAGCGCATGCATTTCTCTGCGATTTGCCCCGGCGTTAGGTTGCGCTCCTTCCAGAGGCCGAGTAAACGAAGGTAACAAGACCAAGGGCCTAGTTTCTCAATGCTGCGCAACTCTCCAAAGACGGAAAGTTCCTTATACGTAAGTCCCATCTCGGTCTCAGACTCGTCGTCTTGTACACCGGCAGACAATGGAAGTAGCTCGGCGCTTGGGGTCGCGTTTATAAATTCGTCCATTATTGGGAGATTCCAGGCTTCCATCGCCCATCGCTGGAAACGTTTCGCATCTTCTTTTGATATCGAACCTAGGGGGGCCAGGTCTCCGGATGAAGCGTCGTATTTCGTGTAGTAACCTCGCAGATTCTCATCCACATTACCACTGGTGAGCACAAGGAGAGCTGATCCAGCCCTTGGTGACTTTGATGCTGTGGTGGCAAGCTGAGCTAACATGTATTGTGTAGTTAGACGCGAACGCGCCTGGATGTTCTGGAGTGCGAGATTCTCAGAACGTGTGCCACCCTCAATCGAATACTTCGGCGTAAAGTCGAGGGCCTTGTCGATGATGGCCATGCTAGCCTCAACTGCTTGGTCTATGGAGACGGTTAAGTGCTTCGCTCCCAGCTTTTCGGCCAGTCTTTCCGCCCGGGATCTGGTCTCATCGGATGAATTGACTGTGGATGTGTAGCATGTTGTCAGCAAGATGCTAACGATCTGCTCCGGTGATTCTGGAACAAGAGTCTCCATGCCAGTCACCCGTCTTAAATCAGCTAACGTCGTTTCTGAACCGGCCGCAATAGAAGCGAGGACGACTTTGGCCATGCCGTAGACGAACAATGCTACGGTGGAGCTGTCTAATCCACCAGATAGACTTAGAAAGAAGCCCGGAGACGATGTTCGGACAAGGTATTGCCAAAGATACACAGAAGTGCTCATCCATATCTCAGACATCGGATCGAGGACACGAAGCTGAATTTCCGTGGAGAACTGAAGACTCTTGGATCGAAAAATGTCATCGACGGAGCGCGATAAACGGATATCCCATTCTACCCTGATATAATCCGCTTGCTGTGCAGCCTGGACGTTTCGAGAGATGCCAGAGCGATAACTGCGTATTTCTTCAAGGTCGATTGTCGCTATTATAACTTCAACGGGCTCAAGTGAAAATTGGTGCCCCTGTTCTAGGGGCTTGCCATTCAACAAGATCATTGACGAGCCGTCAAACATCATTCGTGCTTCCTACATTTGGCTCGGATTAGCTTGTACCCTGATCACCAGCAGGTGTTCTTAATCGTCATGTTTCTTGGCGAGGTTGTTCTGTCAAGAAAGAACATCGATCTTGGCAATTCACTTTCTCCATGAACATTGTCCCAAGCGGATGCATCCAGAACCAAACGCTCCGAAACCCAATAAGATATCAAGCAATATGGAGTGAATGGTATTGCGATTCATGTAAGTAGAGACTTACCCCATCAACGCCTGTCGCATTGGCGTAGACATAGCATCCGCCTGCCTTTCTCGTCGAGTTCGCAATCAGGTCGAGCCTCGTCTTGAGCTTCCGAAGCTCAGCATGTGACGCCGAGGAATTGAGAATAATTTCGCACTGTTTGTGAGTCAGCTTGCATTATTCGACAGGTGGGCCTTTCTTGAAGGCCTAAGAGAAAGTTCAATAGAACCAAACGACGCAGGATTCAGTTGAGCCATCAAATGCTCTTGAGTGAACCAAGTTCGTATTCGTTTTCATGGAAACTCACCCCGTTCAATGACATGTGTGTGGAAGGATTAAGAGGTGTGAATAGCTCTTCACAAGTTTCACAGCCGATGGCCGTGTCGCGTGTGGACAGGAGCGCATCACCGATGAGAACCGTGCTTTCTCAATCATTAGCATCAGAATTCTCCCACCACATAGGATCAATGAGGCGGATGATAAAATACAGCTCCAACAGAGGGTTTCTGCTCATGAAGAATTGTGAGGCAGAGAACCGGGATAGCATACCGTTGTCCTGTAACTCGCTCAATTACCTCTTCTAAGTAATAGGTCTCGGTCTGTAAGGGCTTCGCCCAAGCGGTGAAGTGTCTCGCCTCTCTGTATAGGCCGTTCATGGCAAGTGACATCTTGGGACGAATGAAAAGCACGCGCTTGTAGGTGCATAGAACGCGACAGTTGTATCTGACGCTCCTGTGCCGACAACCCATGCCAAGGTCGACGAGCATTCCCTCGCATACAGGATCGCTGATGATCTCGGCCAAGACCTCCCACGAGTGCGCGAAGGTGTCGCCCTCCAGATGGTGATCCAGGCAGCCATAGCCGGGAATCTCCAGCTCGGGCCCCGTGCGCACCGTGGCGCCTTTCTCTTTGGCGACCCGGATGGATTCAAGAATCCTGTCTCGGTTGCCCTTGAAATCAAGGGGCACACTTGGCAGCGTGGCTGCAGCTACCGTGATGAACGACATTGGTGGGGTGTAATGCGGGGGAGCCAATAACGGCGATGGGAAACGGTGATGCGCGTGCCCCAACGTATCTCATAAAGCAGCAGTTAAGATGCAGATATCCAAGAGAGGATAAAATGGAAATCTAGGAGGCGTGTGAGAGCTTTCTCGTGAACAGTGATTCAATTGAGTCATTGAAGAGACCTCATGCCCGAGATCGACGTTAGAGTTATGTAGTTCTGGCGTTTGCCGCGGTAGCCTAATTAGGTTTAGCGGCACTTACCTACTCTAGGTAGTCTATCGCGGGGGTTCGGAATCTGTACTTGATTAAGTATGTCGCTATCCACAACCGAGTCTGCTTCCAGACTGGATTACCTATTCTATGTAGACAGTCAATCTCAAGCAAGCTACACTATAAAAAAATACAACTGTGGTATGAAAGTCCATCATTCGTGAAAACAAACTTACGATGGAACACAGGCTGTGGTTGCGGCATAGACCTCAGTCTAGGTACCTAATTGAGGTACCTAGCTGAACAGGTCACCTACCAGCACCGCTTTTTCAACGGTTTAAAAAGGATGTAGAGAGTTTATGGAACTTTGTCAGTCATTACATTGTGTCGAATCGATTTCGAGGCTATCTGCTATCAGGTCGACATTGAGACCTGAAGAGCCTGGTATAATAAATTCTGTGTCAACAAACGTCCGAGGTTCGGGGTTGAGGTTAGGTCTAAGCCCACTAACTCCAGGCGGGTACAGTACCTAGCTATAGGACCTAATTTATGGCTATCACAGGTGCACAGTAGTGCTGTGTAGCACTAAGTCTAGCGCATCCAGCCCTGTAAGGTCAGTATCCCCCGCCCTCTGCCCCTGAGGTCATTTCTGCCCCTCATCAACGCTGCCGAATCACATAGATCTGAGGCTTTGAAAACTCGATATTTTCAAAGTTGTTGCAACAAGTTCATTGTCTAGAAGCATACTGATTGAAGAACATGGCGATAATAGGAGCTCCATTACAGAACCTACCCGTAACTAGTCACCTAGAATTCAGGGAACATAGGAACCCCTGACCTAACCCTGCTTTACCCCTCCGCCACATTCCCTCTTGCTGGAGGCGTGCTTGTGTACTTACACCCCTGGGCTTTGACTACATGTCAATGCTAGTTTTCTGTATATAGCTAACGCCGAAGATGCGTCCTAGGTGTAAAGTCGTGCTCGGCATTACTTGTAGTTATTTGTAGCGTAAACTGAACAAGGGATATGCTATTATGTGTGCGAAGCGTCGGCCACGGGCCTTCTAGGCGTGATCGGGCAAACTCAAACTACGTGTTTACTCTGAATATTTTAGTGATAACAGGAGGAAGTAAACCGTTCGTTCAAAAGGCGTTGATAAGGATTACTCAAGCACGGATTTCTGAGTTTAAAATTCTACGTGCGATCAGAAAATAAGGCTCAATACAGTACTACGTGGTAGCTTGAGCGTCAGTATAATATCGACTAACAATGTTGAAGAATTCAATATTGTATCATTCACCGACGCCCCCTCACTATAAATTAACACGAGGAGGTAACTATGACAACTAGTGTCTAATAACTAATAACGCATCATACCACTACATAAATGGGGGAGAGATATCAAGACCTGCAACAGTCAACTTAAACGCATCATTCCTGTTCACCATATTAGTAAACTCATCCCAGGAGCCCGGAGAAATAACGCGGTCTTACCTTGAGTAGCTCCCAGCGACATCGAGATCTAATCTGCCTCGCAAGCAATCATCAAAGTCGACCCCCACAGTCAGCATGCCATCTTCATTCTCCCACAAGGGCCCCTGAAGAATCTGGCCTTGCGGAGACACGATACAAGAACCACCTCTACACACAAACTCTTCGCTGTCGGACTTCTCCCCGTAGACCCATGCCGGTTGATCCTTTTTCTTGACGCATTGATTCGCGCTCAAGACAAAACATCGCCCCTCGCAGCCTATTGTTTGCATGAGCGGTGCCCAAGTATCCCGCGCATCAGCTATTACACACGCTGCAGTCAGTAATTGCCAGATCGGGAGTGACTCAGCTCACGATTCGGGGGCATACATGAGCAATAGGCTCGAAAACTGCCCGAGGGTGAAATAAACGACTCCGCGGAACTAACCTGTAGGCGCTAGATAGAGGTTGACGTTCTGACTGTAGAGTGAATGCCTCAAGAGCGGCATGTAGTTCTCCCAGCAGATCGCCGCTGCGAGCGTAAGATTGACCCCTTTAATCTTGGTTGTCACGGCACGGAGTGTAGATGGCTGTCCCTGGCCCCAGATCAAGCGCTCACTCCCTGTCTAGGCGAGAAAATCAGCTAATTAAGTTCGTTACGTAGAGACTATCTCGGGATATAACACTTACTGGCATTACCTTTCTTCTTTTCCCAATGACTAGCATATATATCAGCTTTACTCCTCGTTCCTGCAAATCATATGCGTATGAATACTTGTATGGTACTCACCTCCGAGCTTAGGACAGACGTAAACGACGGCGCAGTATAGAGTCCCTCCAGCCTTCTCGACCAACCCCGTAACGATGAAGATGCCTGTTTCCTCCGCGACTTTTTCGAGCTGCTCCCGTGTACCATCGCCCCTCAAGCGGTCTGATTGACCTGGCAGTTCACGATTCACCCACTGGTCGCCCCCACCCTCGGGCGTATCCCCTAGATCCACGGCATCTTTAAAGTAGTTCAGAAACTGCTCCCTGCCCTCGGGCGCGCGTCCTCCGACGGCAGCACCGAAGTTCGCGCCTCTGGGATACCCGCCGAGGTAAGCCTCAGGGAAGAGGATTAGATCTGGAGAGGGGTCTTGTTTGGAGGCTTCATGGCATTGCTGGGCTAAAGCATTCACGGTTTCTTGAGTGGTGGGGAGGGTGTGCTTCTGGCAGACTGCAAGATAAATGGTTCCCGGTTTAGAAGCCATCCTGGGCGTTCACAAAACGCGAGAGACAATTCTTTTTAGTGACGCACGTTGGAGGTAGGTTGGGAAGGGCTCTTTTACCATTAAATACCTAAAACTCCATGCGTGTAGGCGGAAGTTCCCGGTCGCTGATGAACCCCCGTCAAGCGTCGGTACACCCCGCACGAACCCATCAATTCTACAAGAGCCATGCACCTACGTAGTTCAATCCACTCTATAATGAGTAGCGATATTCAGCGCCTCTGATATCAATATCAGAAGCTTTTGTACTGCAAGTCACGACAGCGTGCATTAAGTCACTTCAAGTACCGGTAAAGCCGAAGCCGGAGCGTGTGAGCGGAAGTACTCATAGTACCGACGGAGACCGCAGTTCAAGCAGAGTCTATAGATAAACTGAGGGTTACCCCCCCTTGTTGACCTGATAGTGGCCAAAGCTTTTACAGGTAGAATTTTTCTTACAGTACATCTAATCTTCCTTATTTAACGTAATCTTAAAATCGTACCATATATATAACATACATATAATATAATTTAATTATTAAAAATAATTAAGAAATAAATTGGAAATAGTTAAAAAATAATTGAAAAATAATTATTATAATAATATTTATTAATTTAAAAATGATTTAAAAATAGTTAAAAAACTTTTAAAAGATAAATTAAAAATATTTTAAAAATAAATAGGAAATAATTAAAAAATAATTAAAAAATATAGCTTAAATATTTTAAAAATTTTTTAAAAATGTTTTATATTTTTTTTATAAAAGGTATATATATATATAAAAGCTATATTATATTATTTATTATATATTATTTATATTAATTATATTCCTTTTTTTTTAACTTTAAACTTTCTTTTTTTTATAATATAATTAACTTTATTTATTTTATAATTATAATTATAACTATTATTAATACTTTTATAATTATAGTTAAAATTATTATTAATATTTATATAAATAAGTATTATTATACCTTTTAATTATTAAAATATATTAATATATTATTAATATAAATATAATGATAAATATAAGCTTTATTAATATTTTTTATTAACGTTTAATATTAATAATATAAGCTTTGCTTTAAAAATAATTAAAAAATAATTTAAAAATAATTATATTAACTTTTAAAATAGTAAGGAAGAATTATACTTTTTATTAATAAGGTTTTTTATTACTTTTTAAATAATAATAAATAAACCCTTTATATAAATATTTATATTATTTTAAAAACATTTTTATATTATTATTAATTATATATAATATTATAAATATTCCTTTTTAAATACTTTTAAAAAGTATATTAAAAATATATATAAATATATTATTACTTACTTTTATATTAATAGCTTTAAAAGTAAAGATAATATTTTAATTATAAATAAATTAATTAAAAAACGTTTTTTAATTATTTTTTATTTATTATTAATTTATATAAAATATTAATAAAATATTTATACTTTTATAATTAATAATATTATTATTCCTTTTATATTTTATAAAGTAAAAGTAATTATAAAAAATTATACTTTTATTCCTATTCTTTATAATATTACTTTAAATAAAATATAAATTATATATATTTTAATTTAAATTTAATTATAAAGTAATATTTTAATAATTTATAGCTTAATATTATTTAAATAAAAATAAATATTAAATTTACTTTTTATAAATATTATTTTTCCTATACTTTTTAAAATAAAGAAGGATAAAGTAAATTAAAAATATTTTTAAATTATTTTTAAATTATTTTTTATTTTAATTAAATACTTTAATTTATTTATTTATATTAAATTATAATCCTTTTTATATTATTTAAAAAATATATATTTATTTTAAAATAGGAAATAATAAAAAATTATTAAATAAATTTTATAATTAATATTAAATTATTTTTTAATTATTTCCTATTTAATTATTAACCTTTTTATATAAAGTATAATTTTTATTTTATATATATTATATATATATTTTACTTTATTTAACCTTATATTATAACCTTTTAAAGAAATATTTAAAATTTATATTAATATAGTTTTTTAATTACTTTAAAATTATTATTACTTTATAATATTTTTTTTATATAATATATTAAAAATATTTAAATAATTTTAAAGGTAACTTTAAACTTTAATTAATTATTTATTTTTTTATATTATAAATGTTTTTTATAAAATTATATATTAACTTTTAAATATTCTTTAAACATTTTTTATAAATTTAAAATATTATAAATAATATTATTATATATAATTTATTTTATTATTTATATTAAAGCTATAACTTTATTTATATTTTTTTCTATTTAATTTATAATTTTTATTATATTTTAAATATTTATTTTTATTTTTTTATAAAAGCTATTTATTTTTTTATTTTTAATTTTACTTTAGCTTTTTTATTTTAATGTTATATTTATTACTATTATTTTTTAAAATTTAATTAATACTTTTTAAAGGCTACCTATATTTATTAAATATTTATTTAACTTTAAATAATTTATTAATAAAGGTTTTAAAAAAGGTAGGTTATTAATTAACCTTAAAGGCTTTATAACCAGGATTATATTAATACATTAAATAAAGATATATTAATATTATAATAAAATATAAGGTTATTATTATTATTTTAAATATTAAAAATATTAAAATTAAAATAGTTATTAGTTTAACTTTTAATTAATAAAGTATAATTAAATAATAAACTTTTAATTAATAGTTAAATAGTTTAATGCTAGTTTTAAAATTATAAATTATTATTATTAAATCCTTTAACTTTTTATTTTTTATATCTTCTTTTTTAATTAATTATTAATTAAAAATAAAATATATAATAAATTTTAAATAAAATATTTATTTTATATTTTAAAATAATAATTAAAGCAACTTTATATTAAAATATTTTAATGTATTATTAAAATTTATAATAATTATATAGCTTTATTTTTTAAAATAAAATTTTAATTTTACTTTTTAACCCTTTAAATTATTTATATTAATAGGAAATATTTTTTAATTTAATAATATAATAATATATATATAATTTTAATAATATTTATATTTTTTAAAATATAATATTAATTAATAAATAAAATTTTAAATTTTATTTAATAAAACTTAATTATAATTATAAGGGTTTTTTTATATTTTATTTATACTTTATATATAAAAAATTTAATTATAAAAATTATTAATATTATAAATCGTTTTTAAATTATTTTTAAAATATTTTTAAAATAATATATTTATAATTTTATTATATATTATATTATACTTTTTTATAGTTAAATATTTTAATAAAGATATAAAAGTATTATAATATAACTTTAACTTTATTTTATAATATTTTTTAAATAATTACTTTATACCTTATTTAAAGTATATTTAATAAAGTTTAATTATTAATATAATATAATAAAGTAAAAGTTTAATTAGGTTATACTTTTTTTATAAATATAACCTTAATCTTTAAATAATATTTTAACTTTAATTTAAAGTTACTTTAAAAAGCTTTATATTATAAATGTATTTTTATGAAATAGTTAAATTATACTTACTTTTAAAAATATAAAAAACTTAATAAAATATATATTAATATATAATAGTTATTTTTAAATTTATAAAATAATATATTAAAGGAAATATTAGGAAATTAAATTAAAAATAATTCCGGAATAATTTTAATTATAATATATATCTTTTTTTAAATTTTAAAAATATTATACTTAAATAATCTTTTAATAAAATATACCCTTTATATATTTATAGTTTATATTAATTATAAAGGTCTTTATATTATCTTTCTTTTATTACTTTATTTATTTATAATAAAAGTAAACAATTATTATAAGTAGGTTAAATCTTAAAGGTTAAGTATAATGTTATAAATCTCTTTAATCTTATAATAGGTATTTAATAAGATTAAAGTTTAAAAAAGCGAAAAGTCTCCTTCGAAGTATATATAAAAAGGGTACGGAATATATATAAAATATATATACTTTAAAGGCCTTAAGATATTATATTATAATATAATAACTATTTCTTTTTCCTTAATTAAGTTATCCTTAACTTAATATATAATTAATTTATTAATTAAATATAAAATAAAAAGTTTAATTATATAAATATATAATGTAAAATGTTATAATAAATATATTAATATAATTTATTTATATAAAGTATTATTATAATAAAGGTATATAAATATTAAGCTTATATTTATATTATAAATTATATATATTATATATTACCTTTATAGTAAAATTTATATATATATTTTTCTTAATTATTTATTAACTCTTTTTCTTTTTTTCTTCTTTTTTCTTTAATTATTATTAATTTTAAAAATTAGTTTTAATTAAAAACTATTATATTACTTCCATTTTTACTTTATTTCCCTTTATTTTTTTATTATATTTATATTATTATTATTATTATTTAAATTATACCTTTTAAGGGTATAAAGGGTAAAGGTAAAGGTAAGGCTTAAGCTTTAAAAAGTAACTATATTATATATAGTAATAAAGGTAAAGCGTTATTATTATTATTACTATTTAAATATAATAAAGATATAAATAAAGAATGCGTTAATAATAAAGTATTTATACTATTATTATTAATATTATTAGCTTTATTAACTTTATTAATATTATTAATACCACTATTAAGCAGTAACGATAATAACGATAATAACAGAAAGAGCGGTTTAAGCTAAGGCTATAGCAGACCCGCTAACCCTTCGCTTAATAATCATTCGAGCTATAGGGGTAATTTAAATATTAAAGGTAAAAACCCCTAAAAGAAATATAAGTAATTTATAAGGATTAAGAATTAACGTTATAAAAAGTATATCAACCCTATAGCTATACTATTTATACTAATATATTATAGTTATATTAAGTATATTAAGTATATATATTAACTTAACTTTAATCTTTTATTTAAACTTAATTATTTATTTAATAAATTTAGCTTTATTAATTATTATAGGTATATTAAAGCGTATTAAATATATAAGCTTATTAATATTTTTATACCTATATTATATATAAATTATTATTTATTTAAATTTAACTTTTACTTATAATAGCTTTTAAGATTATTTACTTTATTAAATTCCTTAAATGGAATTAATAAGTATTTATATTTAAAATAATTATTAATAATATTTAAACTATAAATAATAATAAAATAAAACTTTAATTTAACTTATTTAAATTTTATATTAATATTATAGCTATTTAATATTACTTTATTAAATTATATTTATACTTTCTTTTAATTTATTAAAATTGTTTTAATATAATTAATAATTAAATTAATAAAAAGGTATAAAGCTATTTTATATTTATTTTAAACTTA